GCACCCCCCCCCCGCCCCCCCCCCCCCCCCCCCCCCCCCCCCCCCCCCCCCCCCCCCCCCCCCCCCCCCCCCCCCCCCCCCCCCCCCCCCCCCCCCCGCCCCCCCCCCCCCCCCCCCCCCCCCCCCCCCCCCGCCCCCGCCACACATACATCATCAAGGGAAATATCAACGCCCGAGAAACCACATTCACGCAGAAGCCTATCCCACTCGTCTTCTCCGTAGCTGATCCGGGCTTGATTTCTGTTCCATCCTAAGGAGTGGGTAAGAATAGATACGATTTGTTGTGGGTGGGTAACACCAATCAATGCTAGCTTTCCCTTGGACTTTAACAGAGCGTGAACATGTTTCAATGCTTCAGCGGCGTCGGGGACTTGGTCAAGGCCTCCAGAAGCAATGATTAGGTCAAATGAACGCGGCTCCAACCCTTGGGTGGTAGGGTCTTTTCGGATATCTAGTAGCTGGCACGAAACTCCATTGTGACCTTTTAAACTAGCTTGTACGTATTCAAGATATGATAGATCGGGGCCTGTAACAACGTAGTCTTGGTATCTTTTGAACGGCGTATTGGATTTTAGAGTCTGTAGGACAGACGCTGCCGCACCACCCGTCCCGGTGCTAATCTCCAGTATGCGCATCCTGGGATTTTTATGGGCCAGAAGATCGACGAGACGCTGAAGTTGAATATAGCTTCCGAGAGTTGTGATGCCTGCTGCGTATAATTCTTGCAATAGGTTGCCTTGCCTGAGAATTCCAATATAGCTGGCATGTCCCTGGGCTATTTCGTCCCAGTTATCATATAACATCTTGATGCACCTGACTTCTGGAATATGGTATAGCTTTAGAGCAAGCTTTTCGATCAAAGTCTGGGTCCGGGCAGCTGGGGAGTCATGATTGTGTATTCCTGTCGTCTTGATTTCTAGCTTAGACCGTGCTTCCAACCCGTCGGAAACGCATGAGCAAAACTGGTTCAACGACTCGAATTCTTCGGGTGGGATTTTCTTGGGGGGAAACATTAACTTGGCGGAATCGTTAACCAGTGTATCAATATCGACTCGTGAAACGGGCCTCCAATATGGCTCACGCGGAATATTTGAAATCATCGTGTCGGAGCTTCCATCATACATTACACACTTCAGTTCCCCTATATTGAGAAGCGGGTGCCCGGATTTAGAGTAGAGTTGTACCTGCGCATAGAGGCTACGAAGACCAACTAGCTGGCCGCTTGCTACGCCACACCCTTGTTCTTCATGTGTTTCTGGGATCCATATGTCAATGTTATCGGCCATTATAGGGACGAATGCTTTTTGCATACATTCGACTTGGCCTGCATGGCATGACATGAGGGCGAGCTGGATACATGTGTCCAGAGTTGCGGGATGTATCGCGTACCATGACTCTCCGCCGTCGACTGCGCTAGACACTGGGCTGAGAGCTACATCGGCCGCAGCAGCATTGGTACCAGGGAAAGCTTTCAGTCCGGAGAGCCCCTGGAAAGCCGGACCATATAGAAGACCGACCTCTGTGAATTTTTCATACCACCGCTTCATATCAAGCGATCTCGAGCGAGCGTCTACTTGTAACCTTTGGTCACAATCGATCATAGCGTCTCTAGTCTCTACCATGATAGTACCCGAACAGTGGTTAGACCAGGTATCGCTGTCAGGGGCAATCGAGCTGATGCGGAATTTATGCCACATCGACTTAGTATTCGAGTTGTCCAGTGCTTCCTTTTCCATATCCAGGACAACTTCGACACCGAGTTCATTGTCAGAAACACGGAGCGCAGAGCTTATCATAATATTTCGAAGTCTGAAAAATCTGATAGGAAGGGCATCTTCTTCCTCGAAATGGATCTGACTGGCGGCCTCGATGGCCATCGATATATAAGCCGCCGCCGGTAGGACAGTATGCGGTGTAAGCTTATGATCGTCTAACCAGGGTATGTCCTTCTTCCGAATCACATTTCTCCAGGATGGGTGAGCCCCTGAGCACCCAGGTTGTCTGGCCCCAAGTAGGTCATGGCGGGGATGCTTCCGTAATCTAAATTCCTTGCTGTATCGATTTTCGAAGTACAGTGGTGTCTTAGGATATGTGAAGTTGTATCGGGGCATATCGACGCACGGGTATCCGTGCTGGAGGTGTAACCTACCTTGGAGAACCTTTTCCGTCGCATTCACAGCCACGATGTCGATAGGAGCATTGTGGAGGAAAAGGGATCCCACGAGATGGAGCATACTTGAGATATCGTGCTCACCTCTTCGAAGAGATGGCAAGCAAGCCGGGGCCGTTGATGTGCTTTTGCCATACCCTAAATAAATTTGCTTCACTAGCATGCTCAAAGCAGGGTGAGGTCCGATTTCAATCAGAAGGTCTACAAGATTGTCCCGTACGAGTATTTCGACTGCTTGCGAAAATAGCACCGGCGATTCGAGATTCTGCCGCCAGTACTTTGGCGAGACAGAGAGTACCTTGTCATCTGGCGTTACCGATGATATCCATCTAATATGAGGAATAGACGGCTCAGCCAACGTTATTGGTTCGATATCACGAAGACATTGGTTGGCTAGCTCTTCGTATGACTCTCCCAGGCCCAGCATATGATAGGAGTGATATGCATTATCGCCCGTCTTCAAAATGCGGTTGAAAATACTGCCAGCGCTCAACCGTTTGGCCAACTCTTTGATTGCAGCCGGATCACCAGAGACTGTGGTGTTCTCCGGCGAATTGACGGCAGCGATAGTCACTTCGGTTTCAATGCCATATAAATAGGTCGCAATCTGAGTCGGACCAAGCCCAACCGCTATCATTAAGCCTTTTTGTTCGTTGTTTGCCACAACTTGGCCACGGGAATATGCGAGAACGATGGCTTCGCTAGCCCGGAGACGTCCTGCGGCATATGCTGCAGCAATCTCCCCTGAGGCATTTTTAGTAGCTGATCTTTCACAAGCATGGGGGACCATCTTCTTACCTGAGGAATGACCAACTGTGACCACCGGCCGAATTCCCCATTGCTCTAATAGGGCTACCAATGCGATTTGCAAAGCAGTACATATGGTCTGAGAGAACTCAGGTTCGTGAATTCGACTGGTAGTAGCTGGTTCTAGGAGCACTTCTTCAATCGTCCAGGTAGGCTTTCGCTGCAAGTGACCAAGGACGTCATCCAAATAGCGAATTGTCTGCCTGAAAACAGCGTATTCGTGTATCAAAGTTGCTCCCATTCCTGGCCATTGGGCGCCCTGTCCAGTAAACACCAAACCGATACGTTCCACCGGCGACCCAGATGACCTCCCAAAAGACATAGAGCCGAATTCTAGTCCCCCTTTAAGACCTCCGGGGTCCGTAACAGTAAACGCTCGCCTTGAGAACCGTGACTTTCCAGATCCAAGAGTATAAAGGAGGTCTGCAAGGTCGAATTTCTCGGCACATTTTGATATTGCAACTACGTTTGCTTCAAGAGCTTGGTCGTCATGTGCAGAAAACGGTAATAGGACGAAGGGCCGGCTTCCAGCTCGTTCTGTTTGGATGAGCTCGGCAGGCTGGGGCCAGCCTACAGAGCTGGTCGAATTATTTGTGCTGGAATTATTAACATACGTCTCGTCCTTTCGGTGATTATTTGTAGTAGCCTTGAGTTGCAACAAAGGAAGACCGTGCAGCCGGAAGCCGGGGACGACCAAGCTCGGATGATCTAGTATACAGTGTGCGTTGGCACCGCCGTAACCAAAACTATTCCCGGTAGAATATTAGCCTAGTTATCCTAGGAAAAGGGATGGTAATAAGCAAAGAGCCATACCTGTTGATACTGACTCGGCGGAGCTTATTACGAGGCCATGGAGTCATATCAGTAACAACCCGTACTCTTGCCTTCCGAAAATCAATTTCCGGATTGAATTTCTCAATCCCAATTGTTGCTGGGATCTCGTTGTGCTCTAAGGACAGTACCCCTTTCATGATTTGCGCCATGGCGCTCGCAGCTTCACTATGTCCGAGATTCGGCTTAACCTACGTAAACATAGTTAGAAAGGGCATATGTTACCACTACCTTAGCTACCTGGTAGAGAGATATATAACCTACCGATCCTATCAACAATGGCTCGTCTTCGCGCCCTGACGCAAACACGTTTCCCAAAGCAGCGACTTCGATTGGGTCGCCAACCGGTGTCCCGGTGCCATGACATTCAAAGTATCCTGTCAAGTTCGGATCCAAGTCTCCGGCATTCTTGTAGGCTTGCCTGATGACGGCCTCTTGACCTTCTGGGCTTGGGTGCGAGATACCTCCTGTCTTCCCGTTCGCATTAAAGGACGTGCCTCGCACTGCAGCTCCGAGTCAATTATATATTCTATACGTAGCTAAAAGATAGACACTAAGTCCTTGTTAAGGGTTAAGTCAAGGGCCTCTACTACAGAGAGCCCCGAGACATTTAAGGAAAGGCTGCGAATAATTCTAGATTCTACGTACCAACGGCGCGAATTGGATTACCTTCATCGAGTGCGCTTGATAGTCTCTTTAGGTAGATGGCGCCAAAGCCTTCGGCTCTAGAATACCCATCCGCTTTAGCATCGAAAGTGTGGCAACGAGATGTGGGCGACGCGGCGCCTAATTTACTAGTTAGGATCTGGTGATCAGGGCCCAAAATCAGGTTTCCTCCTGCAACAATAGCAGCATCGCAGTCACCGTTTCGAAGTGACAAGACTGCTAGGTGAAGAGCATACATCGATGCGGAGCAGGCTGTATCGACCACCAAGCTGTATTCCCCCGAGTCATCAAGTGATTAGGAACTCGGCATCGGCTATTAGGGAAACGCGGTGACATGCTCACCTCGGCCCCTGAAGATTGAAAACATAATTTATCCTATTACTCAAGATCGCCGGGCCACCTCCCGTGACGGCGTATGGTAGCGTAAAATTGGGATCTCGAAGCTGCATTAACAGGTAGTCATTGTTAAAATTGCCCACAAAAACACCAGTCCGTGATCCGGAGAGCTTTTCCAGTGGTACACCGGCACTATCGAAAGCTTCATAAGTAACCTCAAGAAGCTTCCGCTGGCTGGGGTCCATTGACATGGCTTCCGTAGCCGTGATGCCGAAGAAGGAATGATCGAATAACCGCGGGTCTTCCTGAAGTAGGTGGCCGCCCATCGTGGACATACTCCCGGGTCTCTGGCCATTAGGATGGTAAAAGCCGTTGAGATTGATCCGGTCAGAGGAGAATTCTTTCCATCCGTCTTGCTTCTCTTTGAGTAGGTCCCATAACTGTGATGGACTATGGACTCCCCCAGGCCACCGACAGCCTGTAAGTACAAACTCGATTAGAATATAGGAGCAACCCAGAGGCAGAGACACGGCTTACCCATTCCAATGATGGCAATAGGCTCTGGGCATTGTGGACCATACGGCTGTGTACTCGTAGCCATTACTACCGGGTCCGTCATTTTTTTTTTAACGAAGACACTCTAATAGCGCTCACGCAATCAATATAGACTTGGAACTACGTTTATTGGTGCTAGTTCTTTGACGTATACGACGAGTTATCATAGTGATTTATAGGAGAGAAATATTTGCTATACCTCGAACTTGCTCAATAGTCGTACGTATCGACCTGAGGACTCGCCGTTACGAGAAGTAGGAAAGGCTACACACATTGGAATGACTGCGTCTTTAGGTACTCCGATTTGCAACCCTACTTCCTATATAGGTAGATAGATAGATACCAATAGTCCTGTAAAAGATATTGTATGTAATACTACCCGTATGTGAGCACCCAACAACTACCTATACCTTAGAGATTCTGGTACGCAGCCGACATTTACTGAACCAGTTGAACTTCCACAAGCCCCATAACACCCTTGCCATGGAGATCGACAATCTATGAAATGACAGTCAGCTTCGAGGGTAGGTATCGGATGCGGGTGCCAAATTAATTGACCATCTCACGTTACACGTACCTTAAGCCGTTCGTCAGCCTGCTTCAGCAAATGTGCAAATTCCTTCAAGGATCGTTGCTTGGCGGCGTAACCGTTCATCATAGCCATATCGACCTGCCGTAGATGGTGCTCTTCGACCTTGGGTTTCGCGTTTGCGGGTGGTAACACCATGTCATTGATCAATAGAATCGTGCCCGGCGCACACTTCTCCATGGCGGGAACGAAGGCCTTCAGGATCCTGACGCAGACGTCGTCCGGGTAGTTGTGCGTGATTTGCCGCAAGAAAAACAGCCCCGCATTGGTGATGGGCTGCGGCTCGAAGAAGTCGTATTGCATGAAGGAGACGCGATTCCCTACCAATTCGAATTCCGGACGCTTTGGACCTTCGGAAAGCATGCCGGGGTTCACATCCTGCACAATGAACTCGAGGTCGGCGAATTGCTGCAGGATAGAATCAAGTTAGCCCCGGTCACACACATAGGGCATAGGGTTGAAGTAGGATTGAAGCCGTAAATTAACTCACTGTTGCCAAATAGATTGCTACATGCCCGCTACCCCCACCCACATCTACGACGGTTTTGTTAGTGAGGCTCGCCCAAGGGAAGCTGTCTCTTATCTCCGCTGTGTCTCGGTTCACTGTCGTACATGTCAGCAAGAGGATCACTCGCATGCAGAAGGATCAATATATGATGGAAGTTGTTACTTTGAGCAAGGCCGGCCATGGCTGATGTAAAGCGTGTGCCACGTTCAGGATTCGCCGTATACCACTGGTAAGGAGAAATGCCGAACCTAAGACTGAAGGCACTATGGTCGGCATCAATGGTATACGGAGCCTTTTCGATCGATGTAGCTGTCAGAGAGGCCGCCTCGAACATCTCGTCAATTCTTGTGGTTGTAGGTTAGTACCATTTACTCCTGAGGATGGGGTCAGATCTCTTACTGAAAAGCGACTATCGCCTCGATGTCCTTGTTCTGCGCAACGAACGCAGACAAGGCTGTGTGCTCGTAGACGTCTTCTTCTACTTCTTGAAAGCATCTCTGCGAAGCTAGGAACTTCATAATACGTCCAAGGCGATCTTCATCCATCTTCGCTACCACGGCCATGTCCTTGACCGACATGGGCTTGTCGAGGGGCACGATAGAGAAGTATTTGAACCGTAGGGCTGTCTGCCACGCGCCTAGATCATGGATTGAACACATAAACGTACGAAGCCACTGCATGGGACCCTTTGCAATAAGTATAAGATCTTGTGCTGCGTCTGTAAGGCGGATACGAATGTCATCGTATTCATTGTCAGCTGGGTGTGCAGGCGAGCTCGAGGTAAAGTTTGGCTCGGGGAGATTCTTCTTCTCGAGATATTGGACCAGATTTTCGGCCTCTTTAAGCACCTCGCGAGCTGTGTTCAAAACCAGGGACTATTCTCGCATTAATTTTACATTATGTAGGTGTATGTAGTAGTTCAACCTACTTCTTCTCTAGAGGACGCCATGTTGGTGGAATCGTACTATAGACCAGAGAGGTAGAAACTAACGCAATAAAGATGCTCCCACTTAGAAATATAGGAAGATACGTCCCGTAAACCGTTCGAAGGCGATGCGTACTTGATTATATACAAAATATTCACCAATAAGAAACACATGATACGGCATTTACCTATATTGTTGCCCCCTCTATCATAAGCCCCTTTTACTAGCACAGCTTTTCACCGGCAGGTTCTCACAACACACGTTTGCAGCATTAAACGAAACGCAGGTATCTATGGAGAAATTCTTGAATACATCTATAGGTACCTTCTATTAATGTATAATTACTAACTCTTTATAATAAAGACCCGTGTTCGCGATATTGGTTACCTGCCAGGTACGTTAGGTACTTAACCTACTTAATAACGATATCCTTCCAGCTTATTTTATGTCCCCGAGTGTCAACTACAGTACAAGCTCCACTTATATCAACAAATCAAAACTTTAGAAAGCCCCGAAACATACCATTCTAGGAATAATACAAAAAGCCCAGCCAATCAAATTTGAATAAGCAATGTACTCTAGACTACTTTATTTTGAAAACCCCTTACCTATTGTTAAGTGCTTACCAGTAAATACTAGATATTCCTTAACATTCGTATCGACGATATATGCCCAGATCTTAACACACCCCCATCATCGCTATTCCGAGCCTTTACTATAGCACCACTCCTTTAGGCTTTAACTAAACCAAGCTAAATAAAGCTGCCTAACAAGAGATACCAACCTTGCGATCCCGAAACAAGACCTCATAGTCAGGGTTTGGATAGTCCATATCAAAGAACATGATATTATCTGGCCTTGACTCCTTCGCCCGCAGCTTCAAATCATAGCACTGTAAGAACTTAATGACCAGCAACTTACTGATCAAGCTCCCCATAAACCTACCTGGGCACATCTGCCGCCCATGCCCAAAATGAAGACTACCTGCGTAGGAGGATGTGAATTGTAGTCCGCTATATTTTTTACCGTGGTCACGGCGTAGACGCTCGAAGCGAAACCCGTCAAAAGTGGTCGCATCCGCAAAATATTGTTCCGACATGGACATGGGGACGCCGGCAAGCGAAATATGACTGCCTTTGGGAATATGATCTCCCGAGGACAGCTCGTACGGCTCTAGTAACGTACGGTTCACAGAAACTGTTTCCGAGTGTTGTTAGCCACCGCACTACAATAAAAACAAATATAATGGCGGCTGGATGTATATATGTATCAAGTTATGGGCTCACGCACGTTTTGCAGGCGGGTGGAACCTTTGGGCCTCTTTCATGAAACTGTCCAATTTCCACATCTTGGACAAGTCGGCATTGGTGACGTTCGTCATGTTAGGTCCCAAGATAGTATCGATCTCCTCTCGCAACGGAGGAGCCCACCGATCAAAGTCGGCGGCCAACTCGAAGAGGCAATTTGTGATATGATTTGAAGTGGTGTGAGATGCCCCAAAGCTCACGCCCGTCAAGCGATGGGCCATGATCTCCGGCACGGCCTCGTCAGGGGGTGAGTATTCCACCAGCCAATCGACCGTGCTCATCTCTTCACTCTTCAACCTTGCTGCCCAGAATTCTGGCTGCTGGTGGCGCCAGAACAGGCGCTGTTCGATGACTGGGGAGATGATTTTTCGTATCTTACGACGGTAACTATAAATGCGGTAAATGTACGGCGTAAAGACGGCCACCAGGGGTCTCATCACCCGAGGTACTAGTTTTAGGTAGACAGCTGCCGTAAAGACATTCTGTGCGTAGCCGATCACCGACTCGACCCATTCGGGTTTGCGGCAGATTTCAGTGCCTGCAATAGTTCGCGCAATGGTTTGCGTGACGATTCGCATAATTTTCGGCTGCGGTGCGATTGGAGTCCAATCTATGGCTCAGTAAGTGTAAGTCCCTCAGTGATTGAAGATATGGATACCCTCGTAGCTAGAGAAGTATCTCCCAAAGACATAGTCTGCCTCATCAGACGCGGGTCCGACCTGCTGGCCGATCTTTGAGATGTACTGCGTACGGATCGTCTCGAGAGTAGTATGGCTGAAGGCATCGGTATCTAAAGTCGTCCATGCTCCCACGAAGAACTGGTTACTGTTTAGTAGACAGCCGTGAGCATCACTCATAGGAAATAACTTACGTCTGCTGTTGCGTGTGAATTGCTAGCAATACTATCAGGGAGATTGCTAATCTCGTCTAAAAACCTGGCAGGCAAGACGATGGAAGGTCGGTCAGTTGACGGAAGTCGGTAGATGATACCGGGATACTAAAGTAGTATTAACTATCTCAATATGTGGTTGGTAAGGGGATTTTCTCTCCTTGCTAAATATATGTACCCTACGCACCTTTTCATAGGCATCGTGGATAATCCTTGGCCCGTTCTTGAACCAGTTCAGGGGCTTATAGATCAAGGACAAAGGGAAGCGCTCTTGCGCGTCGAAGACGAGGGGATACCGGTCTTCCGGAATGATCAATCTGATATACTTAGACGCACTGACCCAGAGAACAAACAGAGTGATGATTGATAAGGTGGCTATGGTGTAACGTTCAGTCTCCTGGATATGCCGGACCTTCTCAAAGGCAATGCTTCCCCAACAAGATAGTATTTGCATTGTGAATAGCTTAAGATGGGATATTGGATGTTTGATCGTTTTGCGAGCGTACTTACCGGTAACTAGCCAAATCCCAACACCACGATTATTATACTCTTATTATACTTACACACATGATAGCTATGGTCTTTACGTATACCTGAGGTTACTTACCTGTGAGTAGGTACCTTATTACCTCAGGTTAGGCTAGGTACATATGTACATAACGTAGGGCTACGTACTAAGGTACCTACTAGGTAGTAGGCACCCGGGTGGCGCACGATACTTGGCACCCCGCCAACTTTTCCCATCCTCCAAATTCCGTCTGACCTACATACCTCTTAATTCCAACGACAAATGACCAGTCAGTTCCGTAGCCTTACCTAGGTAGGTTTGAAGGCGCTATTCGGTGTGATGAGATGATGAGATAAGTGCTGACGGTGCGGCTCTGGTTATCTGTACTGTCGTCCAAGTGTCACCTCACATTATTTCACAAATATAACGAAAATGATGGCAAGAGGGCAGGTCTCTACATAGGGCTCAAGTGCTATCCATATCCCTTGCTTTCATATAGCTCAGCTACCAGGTAGCTTTTCACTATTAAGCTTGTTTACATAATTTAGTAATCATCCTACTAATTACCTTTCTCACCTCTCATCTCATGATCTCCGTCTCGGATTTGGCTACGGAGCTGCTAGCTTTCTAAGCTGACGAGCTGAGATATTGATACAGGTTCCTTTAGTTAAGCCCCTTTTTCTTTTAGATCAAGGGCGAAATAACCGTATGCGAAATCCCCGCCATTTTTCTTTGACTTTAACGCTTAAGTACCTGTTTTACTTTCTCCATGCTATCAAGCTAATTTGTACTTTTACAATCATGGCTAGTTCTCTCGTCGCTTCGTCTTTCTCAACGTTCGTCGGCCCAAAACGACACGTTAAAATGGAGGTTGTCGCAGCCATAGCAGCGTGGGCAATATCTGCTACCTGTCGAAACATTCCTGCCAACAGCTTGTTCGCGGGCCTTTGTAATCGAGGAATCGACGTCGAAGAGCTTGCAGGGCGACTTTCTCCAGGTGCAAAAGTATATAAGCCAGGAACCGATGCTTTTGCCCAAGCAACAACGCGATGGTCGACATTGGATGCTCCCGGAGTGGATGTTGTCGTCGTTCCCAGTGTCGAAAGCGACGTTGCCGAGACGGTATGTTTTTCAAGATAGGAGGGTTCTCCCGAGCTTGAAGTCTTTTTATTTATATAATATATACACTATCGTGTTATATACGACCGCTGTTAAAGGCCCTTTCAGAATGCATCGTGAAGCTTATCATGATGCAGGTTAAATACGGCAATGAAAGAAACATACCCTATCTCCCGGTTAATGGCGGCCATGGTGCCATTATAACCGTAGGAAAGATGCGAGGGGGTATTGAGATTTGGATGAACGACTTGAATGCCGTCGAAATCGCAGGCGATGGAAAAACGGCAAAGATCGGAGGCGGTACCCTATCTAAAACAGTAACAGACACTTTATGGGCGGCAGGGAAGCAGACATGTAGGTGAATGTTCTTAAGCTTGATTATTTACATCGTCGTGGATCGTTAATCTTGCCAACGTAGCAACCGGAGCATGTGAATGCACCAGTATCCTCGGGCCCGGGCTGGGCGGTGGCCATGGTTTCCACCAGGGACGTTACGGACTTGTTGCGGACCAGTTTCTTTCAATGAACATAGTCCTAGCCGACGGAAGTCTCCGAACAATTGACGAAACTTCCGACCTTTGGTGGGCTATGAAGGGCGCCGGCCATAACTTTGGTATTGTTACCTCTGTGACCTCGAAGATCTACGACGTCGAGAGCCCCAATTGGGCATACGTAGTCTTTACTTTTACGGGCGACAAGATTGAGGAGCTCTATGAAACCACCAAGAACCATCTTCTGAAAAATGGCACACAACCCAAAGAAGTCATCAACTATTCGTACTACATCAATCTTCCCGATGTAGACCCAGACAACGTGAGTCCGTTCTGATACGCATATGAATAACCTTCAGATTCTCATACTCAGTTTAGACCGTCGTTCTCTTCTACATTCTCCAAGGAGGAGTACAAGTGGTTGATTCGGACTTGACGAACCCCTTCGTTGAGCTGGGGCCAGTCGCTACGACCAGTTCTGCGGGAACATACCTCGACCTCGCAGCATGGACGGGCAACGGCAATGCGGATCCACCATGTCAAAAAGTTGGTCTCGTTAACACCCGTTTCCCCATCGACGTCGAAACCTATGACATCCAGGCCCAGCGGCAGGTATACGACCTGTTCTCCTCAGCCACCCACGAGACCCCGGCGCTCAACGGTTCTCTTTTCCTCTTCGAAGGCTATTCCTTGCAAGCGGTAAAAGCCGTTCCTCAAGAATCAACAGCCGTTTCCTACCGGGGTGATAACCTGTTATTCGCCCCGCTCATCATCTACCCGCCAGAGGGAGAAGAGCTCAAGAAAAAGGCAGCCAAGCTAGGCGAAGACCTCCGTCAGATCCTCCACAAAGCCACCGGCCGAAAGGAGATGCACACATATGTCAACTATGCTTTTGGAACCGAAACAAAGGAGCAAATGTACGGACACGAGGAGTGGCGTCAGAAGAAGTTGCTTGACCTCAAAAACAAGTACGATCCTGATCGTAAGTTCAGCTTCTACGCGCCTATCGCTTAGGTGCGTGGTTTCAACTTGAAATCCCGAGGTTTACAAATGATGCGTTTCCAAGGGGCTTGTCACATTAAATTCTAGGGAATCTCATTACCTCCTCAAATAGTTCTTTTCATGAACCTTTGACAGCTTTTACGTTTCAGTAAATAGATAAACGATGTCTAACGTTCGTAGATTACTGTATAGTAGTTAAAAGTAGCATAGGTTATCATAAACCGCTGAATTCTACTAATAACATGATTCTCTCTCTCCACGTAGCATAGTGTTCACATAACCTAAGAAGTAGGATACATACCATAGTAGCTCGGTTACACCGAGATCACCTATAGATGCAAAGCCCAGATCCCCTTCCAGATCTTTCTCCACGCTCCTAACTCTCCAGCTATCCATAGCGGACACCAATCCTATCTTAAGGGTTATCCACCTAAGTATGTAAAGGTAACCATCAACCTGCGAATCATCTACTCCCTGCCTATGTAACAAATTATGCCCACTAGATCCATGGATACAACAAGTACCGGCATCCCTAATAAGACTGCACGTAAGATTCGAAATATACCGCCCGTTTACGTAGTACCTAGGTAAAATGTTCGCCCCTTCACATTCTAACTATCAGATCACTACTTTTTGTCAGACGTGGGGGCCGAGAGATCGAAGTCTTTTGGCTGCTGTGAAACCCGTAAGCGGTAAGATTTTCGACATAACCGTAACACGAAAAAAAAAAATCAATAATTCCCAGCAGCATTTGACTGGTCAGACTTACGTAGTCAGATGTAGGACCTTTATATTCCCTCAGATGCGTGTAGCCCACCGAGCGGTATTCCTAAATGAATATTTGAAAATTAAGAAAATGCATGTCTCAGCGATCGGCTTCCAACCCAGTGGGTGGTCAGACTTGGTGCTCCGACGACTCACGGTCGAAGTTGGCTTGTTTCTGTGGAAGCACAAGCCTTACATGTTCTCCAAAATACTCCCCGCCCCCTCGGCGCAATTTCCAGATTCACCAGTTAGGTAGCGTGTTGGGTGTCTCAAGATATCATGAACATCGCTGTGTGTCCATCATAGATAGACCAGGAGCATGAGGCTTAACTCGTTTTTCTTTCCATACTAGCGATAATAGATAGATATTATTTCATTGGCGTCCCTTCGCCTTGCGTCGAACCGGGTATATGTATATACGCCTGCTTTTGCGTTTAAGGTAGCTTTTACCTAACCTAGGGCATTTTGCTTGCTTGCGGCTGGTTATGAAGATAGGATAGTTTGGTATTATTCTGCTTGGTCAATGACCGTACTACCTACCTCTCTTCGTAGCCAGAAAATTGTTCGTTTTAAGGCTTCTCATTAACTAGACATATTATAAAATGCCATGGCGATGCCCCCGTCGACCTCGGCTACTTTGATAGGCTATTTTCCACAGAACGGGCCTGGTATAACGGATGTCGTGGTCGAAACTATCCTCCTCTTCCTAGGTTTCGTTTCGCTAGGGCTAAGGCTATGGTCAAGACGGATACAGAGGGCGCAACTGCAACTGAACGACTGGTTGATTCTCTTTGCTATGGTACGTTTGCGATCCCGTTAGCCCATCTTATTAATACCTAGGTATTCGAACTGCTAACGCTGAAACTGCGGTAGCTAATCATGACTACGCGATATGGGATCGAAGGTATACATATATATGCTTTTCGTTCTTCATATGACCTTAGATCTCGAGCCATGTCGCTGCGTCATCATGTTTCCAGAGCAGTAACAGCAGAGACGGGGCTTCCAACTTGAGAAGTAAACTAGAAGACACATCTACTAACTCGAACTCGTGTGCAGTAACTCTTGTCGTGAAATGTGGAATGGGGTTCCACATTGGTGTCGTAGAAGAAGTCGGGGGTGAGGAATTGGTTGCTCTCTTTTCCTTGGTACGATCTTACGCTCCCAACGTAAAAGTAGTCCGTTGCTAACTGTCAAAGCTCCTCTACATCATGGACTGCTTTTGGGTGACCCTCGTCACTCTAGTAAAGCTCTCCATCCTGCATTTCTACCTCCAGGTGTTCCGCCAACCAATATTCAAACGGGCCGTCTACGCAGGCATAGGGCTCTGCGTCGCCTTCTGGTTCGGCGCTTTCTTCGGCACCGCCTTGTTCTGTATTCCGCCTAACAAACTATGGTATCCGAATACACCAGGCCACTGCGGAGATAACAACAAGATGTACACTGCGTGTGCAACGTCTGACCTAGGCATAGACGTAATCATCATCTTACTCCCTATGCCGATTCTATGGCGTCTCCAAATGGCGACATCTAAAAAAATCGCCTTGACCTTCGTGTTTGGGCTTGGCTTTGTGTAAGCCATCTTTCCTTTCCCCTGACTATTCAAAGCTATGCTAATAGTTGCTACACGGCCAGTATCATCTCCATAACCGCCGTTCGCATCAAGTATATGCTCGAGATGGACCCTCTTGACCGCACATATAGTATCTCGCAGATCGCCCTCTTCTCTGCCATCGTCCCCTTACTTGGCATCATCAATGCAAGCATGCCCATCATCCCCCCGGCTCTGCGCAAAATCTCCAAGTCGTCTTTCCTCTCTACCACCATTAAAAAACTAGCCAGTTCGAAGAGTAGCGACCGCCACTTTGAGATATTACCTGAGCCCGAGTATCCACTCGTGAACGTAAGCGGTGAGTGAATTTCCTATATTCTAGGCCTCTCTTTGTTGTGTTGTATCTGTATTAACGTAGTCGATAAGGTAATCGAGGGGCATATGCCGTAGAGAACCGTGATCATATACAGGTTACAACTGATTGGGAAATTTACTCCACCGAGGCAACGGATCGGCTTCCAAGCAAGACTGATAATAATTCGGCGCGCTCGGGTGGGTTCAGGATATGATCATGATAGCCATTTCCCATTAGATATATTGTTTAACCAAGCCTATCGTTAGAAGCCGTTTGCTGATTTAAGATGGTTCTGAATCGTGTACCGATGTAACGGAGGTGATCTGGGCTTCGAGCATACGGGCCGAGTCTACTTCCGTTTGATAGCGCTGTAGGCATCCTAAAAGACGTAGCCTCCTGAGGCTTTGGCGTCGATATAAGAGTCACATATGTCGGGTCACGTACAGTAAACGGTACAAAGCTTCGAGTTGATGTATCTCCTCGACCCGTGGTCCCATTGTTGTTACAATATTGACAAAGTGAAGCAACTGCTTGTAGCTGAACTACAAATCCTCCGGAGCACGAACCATCCCATAATCTCATTGTGAGTTGAAACCTATCTTATTTACTCAGGTGGTAATATGATGCCTGCCCTTTGGCTAGCTCCAATGTCTTCCAACGCATTCGCTCCGCCGTGAAAAGCCTTTTATTACCCCTATTAGTCCTTACTCTATAGAAAGGATATATCCTTAAGGGATGTTGATTTTAAGGTAAAAATAAGGTGATTAATTCTGTCAGATATTGTACCATTGATTGATGCTATATATGGCGTAAATGTCAGGATCGATAGATTGAACTATTGATCGCTTGTCTTCTACCCTCTTATAAGAGCGTTGCGCGCCCCTTATATAATGGGTATACCCTGTAACTATCCCTAACCTACTTATACCCTGACAAGTTCGTCAAGAAGGATTTCAGGGTACTATTCTTCTAAGGTGATTCTCAGGAGTCGCTTATAAGCAAGCTTAGCTTGATAGCTGAAGAGCAAATGACTGGAAACACAGGAGACCGTCTTGACTCATATACATTATCCCCTTCCTTATGTTGTAGTTGGATAATTGGGATGGCTCTTCCTGAACGGCTATTTAATATATCACTGGATAGGTGGAGTAGCTGTTTTCAACTTTGTACTTTAGCTATTTAGTGACGCAGCCACTGAATCCTCAAAGAAGCCGGCATGGCTTTCGGGCTCGCCCGGAACGCGCAATCTGCTCTCGAACTTATCGGCCTCTCAGCCGCGCAATGTCTCGAGCGAACCGGTGCTGTACCGATGCGGAGCGTCCGATTGATGCTGGCTCGAGGCGAAGGAGCAGGGAACGTTGCTGATGAGACTAACGAAACCGATCAAGGAAAGCGTCTTACGAGCATCGTCCACCGAGCAGCCTTTCTAAAGGAAATTCTTGCTGGTATTCCACAGAATCGAATGCATGCCTCGAAGAAGCTCGAGGGAGCCGACCAGGACGGTTCACTTACATGTCATTTCACCGACGGAACTACACATGAATGCGACATCCTCATTGATGCCGATGGCATCCACAGCGCGGTTCGAAAGTTCATCTTTGGAGAAAACAATGCCGCGGCAGTTCCTCGTAGCAGCGGTAGTTGGTTCCTTATGACTCTTCAACCGTTCGACAAGGCTCGGGCGATCTTGGGTAAAGAGCTCGTAGACATGGAGAATGCCCGCGAATATGGCTGGGTCGGTCAAAACACTTTCTTAATGCACAACATTCTAAGCGACGGCGAGTTGGTGCAATTTGCTATCGCATCTAATGACTCGGAAAGTAATCCGAGTCGTTGGACCGCTGGCAGCGCACTGCGGGCGTCGACGAGATTAAACAGTTATTCCAAGAGTACCCATCTCCCCTTAATAAGGCCGTGGATGAGGTAAGATAACCAACCCTTGGGCTCATTGAGGCAACGTATATTTAGCAGGGTGAAGATGTTAACAAGCCTGCAGCTGCTTTGCAACCAACCCGAAACATAAAGCCTTATACCTCTGAGAACACCCAAAAGCACCGACTTACGTTTCGGGTCCAATGTGCGTTACTGGCGATGCTCTCCATTCAACAACACCGTGGCAAGGGTCTGGCGGTGGCATGTCCATCGAAGACAGCCTCATCCTCTCTACCTTACTCGGGCGTGCTCAGACACCTATGTACCGAGGCCCTTACGGCCTTGAAAGTATACGATCGAGTTCGCCGCCCCCGTACACAGCGGGTCGTCGAGTCCGGCCGGGTCACGGGTGATATGCTAATGGGAAGGAGTGAGGAAACTGGACTGGCCCCGAAGAAGTTTGGGTAATTTATATTAAAGTGAGACTTCATCATCGACATCGATATGGAGGAACACCGAGACGAGGCTTTACAGATGATGGAAGCTGAGCTGAAGGGAGAGAGTGTCTTGTAATATCGTATATTGTTTTCTCTACCTAGTTGACAGGGTAATGATTTGATGAATTTATTTTTAATGTTTTATTCGAGCTATGTATATACGTAAATGCCAGACCTCTTTAAATAGCACTTGATGGAGTTTAAATAAAACGGTAAGAAATATATTAAAAGACAAGAGGTTGGTAAGGGTAACTTCCGGGTAATGCAACCAGTCCAGCCAGATTATCTATAAATTTAGTTATAAATAAAATATATGTCTATGCTCGTATGCAATAGCCAATCCTATAGATATTAAGTATTTACTCGAGACTTTGTTCCTAGGCATCTAAGTGAGTAGACTTATCCGAGGCCTTATATCTATCTCAACAGGGTGTAATGGTATAGCAGAGCACCGATGTCGTTTTCATACAGGATTTACCGGATGTAAATTACGTGTTAGGGGCCATGACAGTAAACCTTGCGTAAGGTTCTTTCGAACCCTGGTACTCACAGCTATGCTTATGATATCTGTCGTAGTGTTGATATGATTGTGAGTCCCAGTAATAAGCTCTGGAGTTTTACTGCGCTGATTTTGGGCATCTCCTACCGGCATCCCGCTAGCAGATACGAGCGATAGTAGATCTTTTTCTCGCTCTGAGGCAGTGAATTTTCTGCAAGTTAGTATTGGGTTTCCCTAACTACTAAATTATTGTTCTTCATATAATTTGGTATAGGCAATGTGTTGATAGGTAGCTACCGTAGAAGGTTTCGACCATTACGTAGATCAATATCAATATCAATATGACCAGTAGCAGATAACTCATGACCACCACATGTCAAAGATGGGAATGGAACTTACCACCGTCCTTGCGACCTTGGCGTGAAGCATCAAGGAGACTCAAGCACCGATCTCAACTCTGAACCCATTCCTTACCTCAATCTGCCAAGTCGGTGGTTTCACGGCCATTGGCTTGACGAGAGGAACATGTAATCTTGGTATTATCAGAAGAATGTACGAATCACTTCCACTTATCAAGTGCATGTCTCAGTATACGCCAAAAGGGGCTATTGAGTTTGGGGTAGGCGTTTATTGACTGCGGTTGAGAATTATTATTCCGGTCTAGACCCATGCCTCCCTTTTAGAAATGCCATGCAGTGTTCATTAACACTACAGTGCTCGAAGTTGTACGTTAAGAATATTGAGTGTACTGATACTTCCGACTAGATATTCTACTGGACATCCTGACGCTTGGGCGTAGTTATATTATCTGATACTAGCTAACTAATAGAAATACGAAGCCCATGGAACAAACATCAAACAAGTCAAATAACACAGTCTGGTCTCATGAAGTTACACGTCGGTCCATTATTATACCGGACTCATTCATCTTTGGGCTCACGTTGTTACATGCATCCAAAAGCACTGCATAGAAGCCTTCAGTGGGGGCGACGGGCCGGTATATTAGTGACATCGCATTGGGTATCGAATATGCGAGTCGTTATTGCTTACCTCCCTACCAACCCATCATCTGGTACCGTCGCGTTGCATCCATACGTCGTAGGGCCAAGGAAAAAAATAAAAATAAAGTGACATTGTCAAACCTTCTACATAGTACATATGTGCCGCCGCTACGCGACAAGTTTCCCGCGTTTAGTAAAGGAGGTGTAGCAGTGCAAAAGTTGTATTGTATTTCGGCTTATACACTACCTAACGCTACGCCAGACGCATACGTCATAAGGAGACATTGGCGGTCAAGCAACAAAACTTACCGCAACCGCGCATCATCATCACCGCCGCCGTTACGGGTGGTGGCCCACTTCGCTTCGTCGCAAAAAGACTGTCCCACAGCGCCTTATCCGCTGACGAAGACCGCTGGGTGCGCAACGAAATCGTAGCGGTGGTCGTTGTTACACCGAGCCGTGCATGGGCAAAGTGCGTGCAAAGTTCCCATACCATACATACACTAACTACACTACGAAACCCCATGGTTCTGGAGGTTGGGGTGTGTGTGGGTGGTGGTGGAGGAAACGAGGGATGAACACACGCTAGTTGCACGCGGTCTAAAAAGACACGGGCCAATTCTGGGATCCTGGGGGTAGATACATACACTAATTACATAGTAGTGCCTGGATACATACACTACTACAATGTAGGTAAAGAACCGAATTGTGCCCCTGCCGAGCCCGAGACGGCCCGTAATGTATTCCCCTACCAGTTAAAATTGGCCAACGGCGAATCGGATGGGCCGCCCTTCTTCCTTTACTTGTCTCCGGCTCTTGAGACATTTTTGGGTTGAACGGAAGCCTTGGCTTTTCACGCGGTTATGGCTGACTTCTGCCGACAGGCTGATGGAATCGACCAACCAGTTCGACCAGCTTGCCCAGCTTTTGCCTAACACACCTCGAAGTGAGGCTCCTGGTAGTTTCTTGCATTCTTCCCATCTTCTATTTATGCGGCATGTTTATTTTAAGTTCTGACCTCCTTCGGTGTGTGTGTTTTTTCTTCTTTTCTTTTTCTTTTTTAATATCGTAAACCTTCTATTATTATCGTCGCTTGGCCCTGCACGATTTGCGCGACTCGCGCTTGGTGCTGTATGTACGTGTTCTGCGTATTTTTTTGCGACCGCGGCGCAACTATTCATTACTTTAATTGCGATAGAGCAAGCTTGCCAAGAACGTCGATGATAGAAAAAGGGCCTGCAGTCCCCAGTCCCCGATGGAGAGGAAGATCGTCGTGCGATGATCTTGGCTGCCAAGTTTACACACCTGATATATTGGCAATGCAGAGGAATGGCGAATGCTTGATGGTGAATACTAACGGAGCCAAGCTTCTGATCCAACTGACTTGTTTAAAATATTGCAATTCCTGATGACCAAAAAAGGCTTTAGGGGTAGCTTATGGCATCTTTGTCGTCTCTTGGCATGACGCGCAAATATACGTGCCAAGAAGAAATTGTCTGATGAGGTCTGCTCTATCGAATAATAGCACCGTAAATAGAACGCTGTAGGTATGTTATACCTACCTATGTATTCGAGAAGATGGTAGATATGGATATTTGGGCTTGTCAGGACGCTAGGTAAAATACGTATGTATTTTTGTATGTACATACTTACATATGTATTCGTATGCCTACATACATTTGATCATGTTAGATGTCTGCCACGATTGCTTGAAGTTTGGTTCCACGCATGGATGTATAATTGTACAACGGTAGCGTTGGTACGTGTACGTGCCCAGGTGCCATACCCAAAAATTTGGGGGGCGGGCGTACGCTAGGAAGAAGCAATCACCTTGGCTGCGGAGAAATCGAGAACGATTAGATCTGCCATGGCCTTCAGGGCTACTGGGCTGAAAGGGGGCTTTAATTATCGGGGATACTATTAAGCTTTCTTCGTTGTTACGCTGGCCTCGACTGTGTTGACTGTGTTTCCATGTATATGGACTTTGATGATATGGACTTTGCTAGACTTTGCTAAGGCGAATCGTCAACCGTAGCGTCGAGGTCAAATTCTAGAGTTTTCCCGCGTACACCGTTCGTTGAAAACGCGGTCACTCAAAATGTACTAGCTCGACAGCGTGGCAAAAAGCTATCTCCTTAACAACAAGGCCAAGGGCTCCACCTTTTAGATATACACTATTTATGTTAAACGGACTAGAACCCTTCTCGCATCGATAAATAGTTCGAAACGTCGCTCTACCAATCTTAGCTCCTGTATGTAACTTTCTAAAATCGAAAGACCTGAACCAATTGGCCGGGAAACCTTTGTAGGTAGTCGCAATTTTTCCAATGGGTCTAGGATGTAATGTTCCGTGTAGGTAAATCTCGCAGATAGCACGAGTAAGCACAGACGAAAAAAAAAACTCATTAAAACCAGCGGCGACTAGGTATGTTGTTAATGAGTGAGGCATATTCATGATTCATGATAGTGCATGTTGACCGCGTAGAACAATTATCGAATTGTTTCATGTTCCATCAGCGAGTAAACCAAGCTTTTGTAGCCGGGTTTCGTAGTAACTTGCGTGCATTAAACCCTTGCTTCGACAGCGCATAGCGCCTCACGCGTCTGTTGCTTCGTAGAATCCCATGTGTCACGGGAAATTCTTGCGGCATCTGATTCGTACAATATGGATGATAAGGCATGTACATGGATATTGTACGTATTCAGACTAGGCGCGGCTCCAATAGGGGTTGAGAAATAGGAGACGTAAGTAGCGCCTCGCATAAAGCAGTGGACGAAACGAGCTTTACGAGGCTAGATTTTTCCTCTATTGCGTAAGCCGTCACAGCGCCAACGCGAGCGCGAGCGATTGTCGGCTGCTCGGAGACACGACGGGCATTGTCAAATATCGGAAGTCAGGTACATGTTGGGAAAGGGTCTCCCCGTAGCAGATAGGCTTAAGGAGCCAAGCTATTCTCACCTCGGCAGACCGTAAACAAACCAGAAATTGCTCCTTGGGGAGAGGAACCACATAATGTCCGAATAAAAGCCATTGGACCACTGACAAGGAGTTAAAGCGTGGGCCGCTAGATGGGAAAATATTTTAGCGACACGAGCGGCTCGATCCTCGGATCCTCCCAGTGTCATTATACGGAATCCTTACTGTACTACTAGCCCCCATGTGGCCTAGCTATCCTGAATCCAGAAGCCTGCAAACGGCGAGGCGGACGCCTATTAGCGCAATCACGCACTCTCCAGACGGGCACGCCCCAGTCGTACGAATCCCGATTTTCAAGATTACCTTTTGTCGTCAACCTGATTGGCGAAATTACCTTAGTAAGGTTCCAGATTTGTATGCATATTGTAAGTCCTGATATTAGGAGGTTATTACTGCCCACGCGACTACTTGCCTTGCAGTGAGCGATTTGTACGTCAGATTCATTTACGAGTTTTTTTGATGAGCACCTAGACAACGCATATGATGAAGGTGAAACTGCGCGATAATATCGGCTAGGCCGGTGCATTGTGTCGAGCCTTTGCGCAAATTTGAAGCAGACGGCTGTTTTCGAGATGGCGAAGATGCCGATGACCGAAAAAAAGCCATGGGCGATTCTGAAATCTAGCTGTTTCGCCTAGACTTGAACTTAAAGACCTAGGTATATGGCGCAAAGGCCATTCGACCCTATTAAGGTTGACTTATTGACGATGCACCCGAGACTAAAGCACTCCGTATATACGAAGGGGCAAAGAGCGGATATCGGATGTAGAATTGACGGTGGCCACGAGAACAAAAGCGGCAAGCTTTGTGGAGTTACGGCCATACCGAACGAATACCCATCCGAGAAATTGCGGCAGACAAAGGGTGCTTTCTCCTTTCACCGAGCTTGCTTTCCCGGAGCATGTCGGTGAAAGCCTTGCCGCGGAAGTATGTAAAGGGAAAAAATTTAGTTGCGAGAATGACATATCCATCCCATGTGGTCTGTGACCTGTACGTAGCTGGGGTACGTGTCTGTAGCGTAGGTCTGGGAAAATGCGGGATTGGTCCCCCATGGGCATTATGACGTATGAAAGTAAGCCACACACGCCAGACAGGCCGTCTGAAATTATAGGAATTGCTACCATCATCCAGAGCCGGGTTTAATTAACCCACGCCGCGAGCGTTTGACGGGGTCGCGTTCCCTTAGGCTTTAGCTATGCCCAATTGCTATCGAAGCCCTGAGGCTAGCAAACCGAGAAATAAAGCCGCATTTGGCAGGTTACCGGCAGGCAGTACGTATAGTACTCCACGTTAAGAATGACGATTGTCGGTTGATAGGGATAGGCTGGGCATTTTCCGGATCCCCCAATAGCGAACTGGGAAAGCTGTAAATAGTTAATGGCATGGTATGCTCTAATAAAACAACTCGATACATTAGGTATTCTTCTTCGCAGGATCGACGGGACCAACAGGACCGGGTGGGTTCCAGCGCCTTTCCGCTTTCGAAAGCAGCCTCGCTCATCGTCTTGAATGGAAAATGGCTCATAATGCTGGTAAAGATAGTAGTACATATGTACTCTGGATTACCTATTGTGTGTATGTACCGCGCATGTGGCCTAGCGTCTGTTGCTTTGCAGCTTTGCAGATGGTGTGGGTGTTAGGGTAGCATAGCACAGTAATGAGGCGCACTGACTCGCCATTTGACCGGCTTTCATCGTACAGCCTGGCACTGTGAGAGACTAACATTTAACATGAATCGACATGGAACATGGGTGGCCCTAGTTCGATGGCTAACAGCCCTCGCATAAGCCCATGGGTCGAGAGATAAACCGTGCTTCCCGAATGTAGAGAGCTTAAGGAATCTTGATTTAGGATGAGCCTGAACAGAGGTAGAAGAGAGAAAAAACATCTCACTAAAACAATTAGACCAGAACTATTCCCATGCCAACCACCGCATAGATGTAGACGAATAGGTCCTGAAAATGTGTCAATTGGAAAGAAGAAATGCCTCTACAGCTTCAGAAGTATTCTCTTTAGAGCTTTGACCGTAAATTAGTTTTGGAAAAGTCGGTGCGCGTGTTGTCATCATGGGCGCCATCGAATTGTAAATTCCCGCAAGATCAGAAAGTTCTTGGGGTGCTCCTGCTCTTTTGCTCTGGAGATGGGATGTGGAGTCGAAGCTGTTCAGGTACCGAAAGGTGGAGTATGCAGGGACCGAGTCACACTGTGACTTGTACTTCTCTATCTGTAGTAGACTTCATGAGCTGTACACTTTACCTAAATCAGCAGTTAGAGAGGTACAGCTACAAGGCCATCCACTTAGTATTGCGTGGGATGCATCGTACCTTCGGCCCCTGAGTACTAATGGCGCATAGAAGCAATTTCCCCATGGACAAGCGTAGCTAACCTGGCTGCACATGCATCTGAATATGAACGTCAATGTCAACAAACCTTAAGGTTAACGGGGCAAAGTGTATATACACTGGTGTGACAGGTAAAGACTTCAGTACATACATAATGTAAGAAGTAAGTACCTGACTGAGGTAACTGTGATGACTATGAGAGTTCTTGTATCTTTATTAAGATGCTATGTATTGTTCCTTAAGCTTTGCGCCGCGACTAAACCCTCGGCAACCAAGGTATGTATTTTACAAAAATCACGCGTAAGTATGTAACAAGCACGTACCTTAAACATTGAGTTTAGAGGAGTGATAGGTGGTATTCTGAATATCGCCCTGGCTTGGCCAATGGGGGATCTATTCGACGTTAATGGGTGGGCCCGGTGGAAACACGCAGAAGGCAAGTCCACACTGTGTTAGTCTGTACTGCTACTTCCATGTAGTCAGGTAGTGAGCCACTGGAAGCTTGGTCGACCAAGTGCCCCACTTTCGGAATTAGCTGCTTTCTCATGTCACTCTGTTTCTCACACCTTATAAAGAATTTGCTCTCCCACGTTGGACGCGCTTTCTCTTTTTTTTCCTTCCCATCACGTTGAAGACTTTCGGCTGCTCTGGCTCGTCAATTCCCCCCCAAGGTCGTCCGTGGTGCCTTCCCGCCAAATCTCCCCTCTCCCCTCCGTCTGCGTGATTAGTCTGAACGTCGTCTACTTTATTCTCACGACTATCATACCTCACCAAAACAACAATTTTTACCTACCTTTCAACCTAATCAGCATTCCAGTCGGATCCTATTGTCGCCTACACAGTTCGCCTATCCTGGACTAATAATAATAATTACCTGGACTCGGTCCTCAATCTCTATTTAATTTGGTTTGACATTTGAGCATCGCTTGATTGTCATAACCTACTCTCGCCGTCATGGCCGAGTCAAACGCCGGCGCTCCGGCGCTTCATACCAACATCGAGTCGGGTAACTTCGACGAGAAGGAGGCTCACCGCGCCCAAGATCCTACCGTTACCAAGCCTGCTAAGGGTGAGGAAGAAGAGGAGGATGAGGACATTGATGCCTTAATCGAGGACCTCGAGTCGCAAGATGGCAACGCTTTCGACGAGGAGGAGGAAGAAGAAGGACAAGCTGCCGGTACCGGTCGCGTTGTGCCGGAGGAGATGCTCCAAACTGATACTCGCGTCGGTCTAACAGAGGGTAAGCCTTAGCATTGCGACGCGACTGCACACGACATTAACTAACTTGAATGTAGCTGAGGTTGCCAACCGCCGCCGAAAGTATGGTCTCAATCAGATGAAGGAAGAGAAGGAGAATCTCATCCTCAAGTTCTTTGTGAGTACTCACGCCACTCTGCCTAGTGTCCATCATTTCCTAACAGAAAGTAGGGTTTCTTTATTGGTCCTATTCAATTCGTCATGGAGGCTGCTGCCGTCCTTGCCGCCGGTTTGGAAGATTGGGTCGACTTCGGTGTCATTTGCGCCCTGCTACTTCTCAATGCCTGTGTTGGTTTCATTCAGGAATTCCAGGCTGGTTCAATTGTCGATGAGCTGAAGAAGACTCTTGCCCTCAAGGCTGTTGTCCTTCGTGACGGAACTCTCAAGGAGGTTGAGGCTCCCCAAGTCGTTCCTGGTGATATCCTCCAAGTCGAAGAGGGTACTATTATTCCCGCTGATGGCCGAATCGTTACCGATGATGCCTTCCTTCAAGTGGATCAATCTGCCATTACTGGTGAATCTCTCGCTGTTGACAAGCACAAGGGTGACCAGTGCTTTGCTTCTTCGGCTGTCAAGCGTGGTGAGGCCTTCATGGTCGTTACCGCCACTGGTGACAACACTTTCGTCGGTCGCGCTGCTGCCCTCGTGAACCAGGCTTCTGCTGGTTCCGGTCACTTCACTGAGGTTCTCAACGGTATTGGAACTGTCTTGTTGATTCTCGTCGTCTTCACCCTCTTGGTTGTCTGGGTTTCTTCTTTCTACCGATCCAACCCTATCGTTGACATCCTCCGTTTTACCCTTGCCATTACCATCGTTGGTGTCCCCGTCGGTCTTCCGGCTGTCGTCACTACAACCATGGCTGTCGGTGCTGCCTACCTTGCCAAGAAGAAGGCCATCGTCCAGAAGCTTTCCGCCATTGAGTCCTTGGCCGGTGTCGAAATTCTCTGCTCTGACAAGACTGGTACTCTGACCAAGAACAAGCTCTCTCTCTCTGAGCCTTACACCGTCGCTGGTGTTGACCCCGAGGACCTTATGCTTACTGCTTGTCTTGCTGCCAGCCGCAAGAAGAAGGGTATTGACGCCATCGACAAGGCTTTCCTCAAGTCTCTCAAGTACTACCCCCGCGCCAAGAGTGTCCTATCCAAGTACATTGTTAAGGAATTCTTCCCCTTCGACCCTGTCTCAAAGAAGGTTACTGCTGTCGTCGAGTCCCCTCAAGGTGAACGCATTACCTGTGTCAAGGGTGCCCCTCTATTCGTTCTGAAGACTGTCGAGGAGGACCACCCCATCCCTGAGGAGATTGACCAGGCCTACAAGAACAAGGTTGCTGAGTTCGCTACCCGTGGTTTCCGTTCTCTTGGTGTTGCCCGCAAGCGTGGTGAGGGTGCCTGGGAAATCCTTGGTATAATGCCTTGCTCTGACCCCCCTCGTCACGATACTGCCCGCACTATCAACGAAGCCAAGCGCCTAGGTCTCTCCATCAAGATGCTTACTGGTGATGCTGTCGGTATTGCTCGTGAAACCTCTCGTCAACTCGGTCTCGGTACCAACGTTTACAATGCTGAGCGTCTTGGTCTTGGTGGCGGTGGTGACATGCCTGGTTCTGAGGTTTACGATTTCGTCGAGGCTGCTGATGGTTTCGCCGAGGTTTTCCCCCAACACAAGTACAATGTCGTCGAGATTCTCCAACAGCGTGGTTACCTTGTTGCCATGACTGGTGACGGTGTGAACGATGCTCCTTCATTGAAGAAGGCTGACACTGGTATTGCTGTCGAGGGTGCCTCTGACGCTGCTCGATCTGCTGCCGATATCGTCTTCCTTGCCCCCGGTCTAGGTGCCATCATTGACGCTCTTAAGACTTCCCGACAAATCTTCCATCGTATGTACGCCTACGTCGTCTACCGTATCGCCCTTTCCCTTCACTTGGAAATCTACCTCGGTCTGTGGATCGCAATCTTGAACCGTTCTCTCAACATTGAGTTGGTTGTCTTTATTGCCATCTTCGCCGATGTTGCCACTCTAGCCATTGCCTACGACAATGCCCCCTACTCTATGAGCCCTGTCAAGTGGAATCTGCCCAAGCTCTGGGGTATGTCCGTCCTCCTTGGTGTCGTTCTTGCCATCGGTACCTGGATTACTGTCACCACCATGTACGTTCAGGGCGAGAACGGTGGTATTGTCCAGAACAATGGTAACATGGACGAGGTTCTCTTCCTTGAGATTTCCCTTACTGAGAACTGGCTCATCTTCATTACCCGTGCTAATGGTCCTTTCTGGTCTTCTATCCCTTCGTGGCAGTTGACTGGTGCCATTCTCATTGTCGATATCCTTGCCACCTGCTTCACCATCTGGGGTTTCTTCGAGAACGGAGCGTTGACTCACATTGTCGCCGTTGTCCGTATCTGGATCTTCTCCTTCGGTGTCTTCTGTATCATGGGTGGTGTTTACTACATCCTCCAGGACAGCGTTGGATTCGACAACCTCATGCACGGCAAGTCCCCCAAGGGCAGCCAAAAGCAGAGATCGCTCGAAGATTTCGGTAAGTTATACTTGATCACTCTTTGGTTATCTGAACTCTTAGCTAACATGTTTTGTAGTCGTCTCTCTCCAACGTGTCTCTACTCAGCACGAAAAATCTCAATAGTTGGTCTCCCGATGAAACGGACGAACCGCTCCTTTTGCGGTGGTCGTCGGTCGGGAAGGCACTTAATTGGTGTAGCATACTCTTGCCTTCGGTTTATAGATTAGATATAATCCGCGCCGGCTCAGTTGTTCGCTTCATTTCCTTCTTGTAAACTGAAATACCACGGCGTATAGGCCCACGGTTACGTCATACCCATGTCTGCTAGACTTAATTACGAATGAAAGAAATATGAAATACGTGGCTATCTGTCCAAACGTGAAACTTGCTGCTGTAGTTGTTGATTTCCCTTTACGCAGTGGAGAAGTTTAGTAACTTTCATATGCAATGGTAAAGGATTATTCATAAAAAAGTTTTTAGGCATCCAAGCTACAATTATTGTTATGTGCATGATCCTTGTAGTTTAATATTGAATTGTACCGGATCGCTATAGCCGGTCTTGCACACATCCTGTTGAAGTATAGCGCCCCGATACAAGAGTATGGCACCCCGGTACAAGAGTATACCGCTGTGCTGGTACTCTCTGCACCTTGTGTAGCATTTAAAAAGATCCTTGAATGCAGGCAATCATCTCTAGCTGTACATATTCTTTTTTTTTTCATGTCACGTGAATATCTTATTCCTTAACTTCAATGTCCAGATGGGAGTTCATATTAGATGAGGGTTTGTACCTAAGATATTTCACAGGCTCGTTATCGCATTATACCGCTTAGATACTGCCGCTTGCTAGATTTGTCAATCGGGGTTGCCGTTTTCTAACTTTCATCATCTGCAACGCATCGGATTTTCTCTACAAACCACCCACTTTCCTTTACAAACCGGCAACGTTCTTGTATGAATTAGCAATTTCTTGCAAATTCGGCAAATCTCCTTTTACTGATTGACCATCCCCGTGTATAAAGCAGTAACTTTTGTCTGGAAACTGGGAATTTCTGCCTGCAGATTGCCATCGTATTTCCTCAGATCGCCGACCTGTTTCTTCACAGCATCTAACAGATATATACCCCTTAAACCACATTTTGAACTACCTACAGCAAAATGCCTCCTAGAGAGATCCCGGGTTATTATTGGGGTAAGTTGTATTTGCCTTTTGATGCTTATAAAGCTAGTGATATGTTGTGATAGTTTGAGACTACCTACCAGTGTTCCTATGACGTTTTTATTCCTTCCTATGTGCCATCCTATAATTATCTTATTCAGTCCTGTTTGCAATTCTATATCTACTTCCTTTACTTCCTCTATCTCCTCTACTTCCCCTACTTCCTCTACTTCTCCTTCTTCTCATGTTCCCATCGGCGATCCCAGAACCTCCCTTCTATTGCTAGGGATTTCATAGCCCCTTTCCCCTATCAGTAATCCCGTATCACTAACCCATTTCTCTATAGATAAGGACAAGAAGCGTTACTTCAAGATTGAACATCGCAAGACAGCCCCGAGCAATGCATCCTGGTCTTCTGATAGTGTCAAGAGGCGTAAAATCGAGGATGTAGAGGCTGCTGAGCACGCCCATCAAGTTGCGCTGAATAAGAAGCGCGTTGTTCGTTCCGAGACCCTGGAGCACCCTCTCATCGGCGGTTTCCTTAATCGTGAGTTTGGTGTGCCTAGACGCGATCACATCGGAACTTCCTTTACGCATGGCATGGTTGAGAAGGGCGTTGTTGAGTTCACCTGGGGCCAAGAGCATACCACGCTCACCCACATGGTCGTCACCAATAGAGGCCCTAAAGGACTATGCAAAGTCTACGCAAGTGAGTTCATGATATGAGCATCGACAGCAGCGTGAGCTAATTCTATAACACTCAAGGCCCTGATGGAAGAGTATGTGATTCAGCCTATACCTTGAGAGACATCGAATCGGGCAGGTAAGGGATAAGCCATAACCTCTATGTTCTAGATTCACGTATATACTAACGCAACCCCTGGTAATAGAATAGGTCCAAGGTTTCGTGCCCGGTTATATGACAATCAGTTGAACAATGCACGAGCCCTTCATCTAGGACCAACCCACGAAGTTGTCCCATCGCCAATGGCAAGCATCGGCTATAGCAGCAAATATGATGCCACTATTATCATCCCTCGCCAGTTTCAAAGACCTGATCCTGTCTTCATTCGCCCCAACACAGATGTACAAAACGTGCTAGTGAATAGCCTCATAACCCGCCAGCCCCCCGTCAATCCCCTCCGCCATATAAAGACCCAGCTTCCTTGGAGCACTAGTGAGTAGAGTGATTGGATTGCATTTATTCATAAACAACTGCAAACAGTATACTAACTGGTTTTAACTATTAGACTATTCTACATGCCGGGATCCTATTGAAGCCCTTTCGCTATGCATAGCCCCAGCCACCAGCCCCGATCTACTCTGCGTGATTGGCACGACTCATGGCCTAGTCTACTACAACGATCTAGGATACATGGCAGTGCCCTTTCCCTTAAGTCACTTCAACCTTAAAGATCCCATGGGCCGGCCACCCACCGCCGATACCTTTGGCATAACCTTCAAAGAAGAGAACCCTAACATTCTCTTGTTTGGTGGCCGTCCTGGCCGCTTATTCACCGGTGACCTACGATGCGAATATCCCAAATGGACCAACATCAAGGTGCGCGACACCATCACCCACGTCAAACAAGTCAGCGAGCACAAAGTCCTGGTTGCCGGCCTACGAAACATGCTCTGCGTCTTCGACACTCGCTACTGCGCATCCGAACACCTACATACAAAACCCAAGACCACAACCATCCCCTTCCTCCAAATCGCCGGCTTTAAGAACGGCCCGTACCTCGATCTTGGGCTGGATGTGGACAGGGACTCGGGGGTCGTGGCAGCGGCCCACGACGACGGGAAGATGGCGCTGTACTCGGTGCACACCGGGCGTCGGCTCCCCTGTGCGGATGTCGATGGGATTGCGGCCGGGGGCCCAATTCACTGTGTGCAGTGGGAGACGTTTGTTGGCGATAATACGCCGAGCTTGTTTGTGGGCGCGGATCACCGCGTCAGGGTTTACTCGTTTGGGGTTAAGGACCCTGACGCGGAAGAATAAGGCTCTGAGCCTTACGATTTGTGTTGAGCTGTGTTGGATTGCGAGGGCCAGTGCCGGTGCCGGTGCCTCCTAAGAGGAGGGTTGTTTCTTTGTTTCTTTGTTTGTTTGTCTGTTTGAAGACCATCACAGCATTGCATGGCGTTGGAAGGCGTTTGAATTGCTCGACTTAGCTATTTGCATAAGTAATGAATGATCGAATGAACGGAAAGGGGAAGGGGAAGGGGGACGGACGGAAAGAATCTTTGCATTTTCGAAGGGGGGGGAACATCTTGCACATCTTGCACATCTTGCTTGGCTTGTGATTATCTGCTTATTAGAGGAGGATATACCCAATCTCTATTGCATTAGGATTTATAGTTACTTTAGCACTGAGGAGTAACAATTGATATTCTTGCTTGGCTTGAGTATTCACGTCCTTTTGTCTATTGGCGACTGTTTTTTAGTAAGGGAGTGAGTGAGTGGGTGGTGAGTGAGTGCTGGTGTCTCTAAGAGATATCACGTACATGAAGACAAGCAGTAAGATGCCAGCTAGGTAAGTATAAACCTGCCTTATACATATAGCAAGACGCAGTACCGTAGATGCATGTAAGTCTACAAGCAAAGGAAACACCCCAATCCCTTGTTAGCCTAAAGTAGCTATACTTATTCACCGTTGAATAATCTAGCTTAGATAGATTGCCGCAGTCATGGCCTGTATATAATCTTAGAAGTGATTCCCCTATCTAGACTGAGAGAGAAACGAGGGGGAAACAAAGCCCAAGAAGAGAACATTATAGAATAGTATAGCAAAGAGTTTCTTATAGTGCACTATTGCTTCATCCCAGACAGGCTTTAGGTCTTTAAAAGGGGAATATCATATACCGTTGCCTCTTGGATTCTCTTTGGCAGGCATTATATAGGTGGCTTACAAGGCTAGGTATATCTAAATATTTACACTTAGCTATCGGATAACTTGGTATAATATGCTATAGTTAACTAGATTCATTTATACCCTTCATACTATAGATCCTCAGGAGACAACGACGTTATTAAACACTATTACATTGGATGGTTGAACTACGAGCTATATACGTATACTCGCGTTATATATGTAGATAGATGAACAACTTCTTATACCCCCTATACCAATCTACCTTACACATCTCCTAGCCCTAAGGATATCTTCAGGTCTCTTCTCTTACTCCTATCCAATCAGCCGTTTAATATGACTAAACTTCCTCGGGAATAGCAGGGTCCCGATACTTGCTGCACTATCTCCGTGAGAGGCAGTATATATAAACCCCTCTTTTATGTGTTGCGTATAGCATGGCCGGACTAAAATCATGCCAACCTTCTCATATAGGTTCATGCATATAGATATATAAATATACTAAATTACCCACCGCTAAACTGGCCATCCGCCATATCCCTCGGCGTGCTAGTACATCTTTTGAGATTATACGTACCCCTGAGACGAGGGAACGCTTTATCGAAAGATTCGCCTAGCGTCCAATTCTCGAATCTCCTCAGATGCCGTTCGAACACGGGGTTGATCAGTAATTCGCTCCCATCCGGGCTCTGGAGCAACGTGTCTGTAGCCTCGTATGGCCAGTTGAGGGAGATGGTGGTTGTGAATGGGATGAAAAAGTTATCGAATAGGAACTCGACGGGATTATACTCCTTTGCGAGCTTCTCCCGCATGTGTGGGAAGGGGAGGTGGTCTATCCACGCCGGATGGGTAACTTGCAGTTGTGCCGGCGTGGGGAGCGCAAAAGGAGGTAAGAGGTCGTAGTTCTCTTGCGTAGGGCTGACTTGCCACCGCATGACGAGAAACATGTAGTAAAGCACAGCCACGCGCTCCGGAAGCCCGCTCATCCCTGGAAAGGCCGCTAATATGTCTGTGAAGACCTTGGAGAGTGGGTGAGAGAATACACTATTGGCTGGGTTCAGTAGCGATGAGACGGAGGGATATCTCGGACCGACTACGTCCCGCGTAGGAACGCCCTCTGCGGCCCGTTGACGTCTCTCCTGTAGAAAGTCAAGAAGCAGGCTATCTAGAGGACAGGTTGATAGGCTATTCTTGATAGGGGCCGAGTTGCCAACCCAAGACGACTCGACCGGTTGGAATACATTCCGCGGAGCGTACTCTATGCGATGCTGTTGGTGTTGATGCGGACCGCTGTTGACAGCCGAATGGTTCCGAGGAGGCGGGAGCAAGCCCACATTCCAATCATGTTTCGTAGGAAGATGCTGATATCCCGGTGTGTCTTGTGCCCCATTGACACCAGTCTGCATCCTATTCACACGATGCGAGGGATCAAGCAGGAAATCAAGCTTGAGCTGCTCACCAGCACCAAGATCTAAGTTATGAAATAGATCATGTCGTTGCTGGTTCAGCATTACCTGGGTAAAATGCGGACTTGGATGGGCCTGTGATTGTGCCTGGGATGACGAGTCTGCTGCGGAAGAAGGAGACGCAGCGCTCATGGGTGTCGAAACATTGTAACTAGTAGGGGCGGAGGGTGAACGCTGCGCAGTCTGAGCTGGCGTGATAGTAGGGATAGGAGATGCGTAAGCTCCATCGACTACTTGTTGATTATTAGATAATATAGGTTGTATTAGGGATAAGACAGAGGCTAGCCGGCCTTTGATTTCGGCATTCTCAGCCTCGACAGCCTCCTTAGCCCGTATAGCGGCTTGGAGCTCCTGATATGGTTGTTGCGACGTTAACTCGCGTATCCGCCTCTCGAGATTCTCGATTTGATTCTTAGTGCGTTCGCGGATGGCTCTTTGCGCCTCCCGGTCTAAGGGAAGGAGATAAAGTAGTTAGCAAGGGGTAGTAGATATACTATCATATACATAAAAACATAGGGTTACATTAGTGTAAGCTGGCGTCGGGATGTAACAATCAGGGCGTGTTATATTTATACATCTAGGGCATAATTACGACAGCTCGGCTTACGAGGCTCGCTGGATATACGACGAGATGATAGGATATGGATATGGATATGAATATAGATATGGATCTGGGCAAAGGCTTAAGGTGTGGATCTAATACCGTTTGCTCTCTTCTTGGCAAGTTGCTCTGGCGTTAAGTTTGCTACACCCCTCGAGCTGGGACCGGTCCGGCGTTTCTTAGTTCGCTGATCTTCGAGATGACCCGAGACATGGTCACGGCCCGCCTGGGAAGAGGCGTTCCCAGAATCCGAGGACTGACCATTCTCCTGGGAGGGGCCGGGTTTGTGGAGATGGCCGAAGATGTCGGATTTGTTCCGACTATTCTCGGAAGAGCTACCGGCAATTATGGGGTCGGTGGAGGAGGAAGCTCGATGATGGTTAGCGTTAGCGTTGGTGCTGGTGCTGGTGCTGGTGTTGATGTTGGTATCGGTGTCGGTGTCAGGATTGACGAAGGTGGAGAAGGAGAAAGCTTCGTTAACGGAAGGGTGCATATCACAAAGTACTATGATAGTACTATAGCAGTACTAATGTACAACTGAAATTCCAGTAGTACGGCAATGTAACTGGAGTAGGTGCACTATCATGGCATTGGCAGATTGGGTAGGCGAGAGAAAGTGGGCGCAACGCTGGTGTCGGGAAAGCCTGATTTGGTTTGCGTCAATTGACTGGTCAGTTTCTAAACTTGTCCACGTTTAAACCGTCTAAACCGTCTAAATCGTTCACTAAACTCCACCCAAAACTTATTAAGATCGCCCTTCATGATTCAGTGACGCAAAGTGGGTCAATGTCGGTCTAGCTGACCCACGAGTCAGGAAATAAACCTGCCGACAGAAGCCACCATCAGCCGACGGTCCCGACCCGTCTTCTATTTTGATTGGCTAAAGCTAGGTACGGATTAAGTTGTTAGAGATCTGGTGGGTCTACCTAATAGCTACCCCTATGTGTATGTAGTTGCAGCTCGCTTGTTAGCTTCCCTAATAGTATTTTTCTACATTACTGCGAAGCTTGACCTGCCACACTCAAGTACCTCGTGTAGTTCTAGCTACAGAATGTACTTCTAACTGTCGCCGACTACGATGAAACCGTTTCTTAACAGGTACCTGACCTATGTAAATTTTAAGTGGAACTACTCTCAGCTCCATCATGTAATACGTTTGCATAACTATGTATAGCCTCTCTGGGCTACCTATCATGTAGATAGTAGGTAGCTTCTAATGTAAACCGCCAACCATGATAAATGCGCCCGTCTCGTTTCTCGTCGAAAAAAGCACCAACCTATTACTTCCACTATTTGCGAACAAACCAAGGAATGCTTGCATACCTAGGTAGGTACGCATTCGATATACCCGCTTTGTTGCCCTTCTTAGTCCTATTTTACGCATGGATCCCATTAATCCGCGGAAGCTCGAGCAAGAGCTTCGTGCAGGTGCGGCGGGAATCTATATCTCAGCTGGCTAGTGTACGTCGTTAGATCCATGCTAATCTGCTTCAAATTATCACACATCATCCGTCGAGTGCCTTCATTGCCGCTGAACTGCCCGCTCATGAGCCGCTCTCTTTGTTGGATGCAGCACGTGATAGTCCACATCAGTAGGTTCGGTACGTTGATGGCAACAGTCTGGGACAGTCCCGAAAACGTTGCTGCGTAGTGTCGAATCCTAGCTGGGTCACCGTTAGCGTCCAAAGGTAGGATCTCCAACGCGCGTATTTTCTGCGTCATTAATTAGTATTTAATGTATCCACAACGGGCCGAGGATTAAGAAAACACTTACATCTAACGCCTCAGGCCACTGGCTACCCTCGACCAAGTTCTTAATATCGCTCATTTGTAGGAGGATATGACATGCGATCCGGTTCTGTTCCTCGACTCTCGTATAAAACATGGCGTCCTTTTCGTACATCGACATCATCGTCGTCGCAAGCTGGATGGGATCGTCGATAGCCGCTAGACTCAAGCTGCTGCCAACTTGCGCCTCCGGGTCCTTGCCATCCAATCGGGGTTTAACTGGCATCAAGCGCATAGGATCCTCGCCGATCTCTAATGAGATGGCATCGCTTAGCGCGCGACTCACTATAGTCACCACACTGTCGTAGTCTCCAGCTAAATGATACAACAGTACTGCATCCGTTGTCCGTCCGTTATCATCGGCGAACCGGGCTGCCTGTAACGTAACCGTCTTCACGAAATCATCTTCCTCCCGAAGACCGATGAGCGAGGCACGTTCTTCGACGAGACCTGTGATGCGGCGCCCATCCGGTCTGATGTCACCAATGAGTTTACTAAACTCTCTGGTCTCTAAGATAAGTTCTCGCAGAGCGGCATGGCAAAGCTCTGCTTGTTGCCGTCCCGCTTCGCCGCCTAAGTCCGCATTGAGACAGATCAGAGTTAGATAATCGACAGCCGAGGCAACGTCAGCGGCCCGGAAATCGCGTGTGTAGTATCCTAGCATCCGGCCAAAGCTTAACTGTGGTCTAGAGCGAGTGTCGTACGATAGTAGCGAGTCCGCCGTGGTCCAGGGGTCCGAAGGGCGTAAAAGACCATAATATTCGAGGCCTATGGCGAAGTGGACGGCATCCACGTAAGAGAAAGTATACAAGTATGAGATAGCTTGCTCGAACATGCCCGAGAGGATCTGTAGGAAGAAAAACATGCCGAAAGTTCCATTATCGTCCTCGCTAGGAGATTTTGGAAAGTGTTTGAGGCCGATATCCCGAATGCTTGCTCGTAGGTCCTGTAATCCGTATGACTCTGCAGCTACTTCGGTCGCCTTGTCATTCTCGCGAGCGAGGTTGAACTGAAGCCATATCCAATCCTCAATCTCTGTGTTTAGGCCGTCAAGGCTTCGATTGCTCACATCGCAACGTCCCACAATTTTATAACAAGCCATCCGGTACGGGTCGATAGAGTTCTCCGGTGCATTGCGAGCTCGTTGGTTATACTCGTTATTGCAGCGCTCCTGTAACTGGCGCCTTAATCGCCTATCGGGGCTACTAACATACTCGAGGAGGTATGATGCAAAGGTACGATCAATACTTCGGAAAGTAGTCGACTGGGCCTTCACATAATCAGCCGCCTCGGCAATCTTTCCAGACCGTAACAGATAGAACACGATGGCCCAGACGAACTCGCCGTCGACTTGTTGAAGATCGACGTTATCAGGGACAAGATCTTTCCGCGAGTGCCGTAATCGAACATATGCCTTGATCTTGCTGATGACGTCTGGGCGACCTCCCAAATTCGCCTCTCTTGGGTATTTGGCGATGACGTTCTCGACCTCCTGGAAAAACTTCCTCTCTAGGAAGGCATTCGCACCATTGAGGATTCTTTTTCGCATTTCTATCGCTCCGGGGGATTTATCATTCACATCCAAGTATTTGTCCTTGAACTGGCGTTCTTTCGCCGTGGCGTCACCCGCAAAAGTCTCCGCTTCTGGATTTTCCCCGACGATAGTCATGGCAGCGTGATAGGAATCAACTAATTGCTGAGCATGCCTATCACCAGAACTTCCTGCCACCTGCGCAAGCTCGTGTAGAATAGGGTAAGGCTGCTTCTCGATTCGGCAAAGATTAAGTTGTCGAACTCTTTCTGCGAGACGGCCCTGTTTCTCTCTGAGAAATCGATCGTCGATCGAAGTAGCACCATTTAGGGCACTTGGGCTTCCAGCCGCATCCTGGACATCCGTAAATTCGGGCTTGTGAGTACCAATCTTGCTGGGAGTACCAATGACCGACTTCTGAAGATTTGACCGCCCAAATGCACTAGCCTTAATACCTGCTACCGAAGACCGCGCCGTCTTGGTTGTTCGTCGTGACCGACCAAAGCCCGCATGCGGCTCTCTGCTGGTTGCCCCCGGCGGTCCTTCAACGGGTTCATCGTCTTTAGTCTTAATGCCAAAGTGCTCGTAGATACGCTTCCTCTGCGCCTCCCACTCCATCGTAACGTTATCTTCAAGGAAATTATCGAAGTCCCTAGCCGATCTTTCTAGACCGTCCGCGATCATACTAAGAGTTGTCTTCTTTTGTATATTCGAGAGATAGGTATCGATGTCAACGTCCACGGCGGAGGTGGATGAAGGGCGCTCGACGCGGCCTCCGATCCGGACTTCGAAATCGTTCAATTCTCGTACCGCTGCCGCCGGCTCGACGCCAGACGCGGCCAGGATAAAGCGAGCTTTGTCATGAGCTAAAGGATCTGCTCGCGGGCCTAGCTTTCGAAGGCGCTGACGAAGGTCTCCAAGACCAAGCTGAAGGCTGGGAAGATCTTCGAGCGGTGATTGTTCGCTACCTTGCTTCTTGCCTTCCGAGAGCAGGCTGTCGAAATACCCTGTCGTGTTACCCTGGGGCAGCACACTGGCATTTATCTGACTGACTCCAAGAATAGATGATAGTCCTTGAGATGGTTCTTGAGCTTGATTATTTGTAGTCTGTCCGAGACTAAAGCCACCAGTGGCGGGTTGGGCAGTCTGGGCAGTCGAAGTACCAAACATGCTTCCCGTTTGTTGCTGCTGATTGCCGGTAGATAATCCGGTAAGACCTCCTGTTGGAGGCTGTTGTTGATTTGAAGGAGTCGTAGTGAACGTAGTAAATAGGCTGCTGGTTTGGGTCGGTTGTGTCGCAGATGATGTGCCAGCAGTATTTGCAAATGGGGATTGTTGTTGTTGTTGTTGTTGCTGCTGCTGCTGCTGCTGTTGCTGCGCAGGATTAGTGCCACCAAATAACGAAGACGTCGGCCCAGAAGTAGAAGCTGTATTGGCCGTTTGGTTGACACCGCCAGAGCCTAATGGTTTTCCGAACAACGTCGCCATGTTGAAATGAAAATGATAGGTCGGTCACTATTGGGAGATGGTCGTGTTGCTGCAATTGGCAGCTGAAAGAATGACCCAATGAATGGGTTGGATGGTTGTCGATTTATTAGGTAGAGCTCGGAATTTTATGGCAAGGCTGAAAAAAACAATCAACAAGGCAAAAAGACGTTGCGGGTAGCTTCTGCACGGACCATGTACAATACCACGCTAACTACGCGTCTTCCAAAATGAGTAACCTAAGTACCTAGGTACAGGTAGTCACCTGCAAATCAACAGCACCTACCCAACTAACTTGATCCTGATTATCTTTGTGCAACACAACATTAGCTTCAAGAATATCAAGTCTTATATATTTAATTAGTACTGCCACAATTTTTTCAACGAATCAGATGCTTAGAATCGCCCCGCAGTTTGCGACTTTTCCCTTTGCCATTCTATCGCATAACGTCTGCAAGAGGTGCAAATAGTATAGAAAGGTCATGCAAAACGAGCTCTATCCAACGATATCAATTATTAAAAGTTTTACTTAAAAGTGAAGCAATTCAATTGATTCTACAAAAAATTCATCGGACGTGCGCTGAGGTGTGGCTAGCCAATCAGAGGCCAGGCTTTAGCTGTGGCGTCAGTTTTGCGCATGATCCCCCGTCCGCGGTTGCGCGGACGGGCAACGCCGCTAGTTAAACTTTACCTGTTAACATGGCTAAGGTATTAACTCCAGTTTTCTAATAAAGGCTACACAAGTATCTATGCCATATAACTCACATAAATTCCATTGACATATGCTTCCTCATACATACTAAATAAAGTCTAACGTCGAAGCCCTTGGGAACTGAAGCAATCATTCGGGTCATCCCTACCTCAAAACATCTTCGGCTATCTCTGTATTACTCTCAACGTTCTCAAACGGGGATACTGATGAATTCCCATTGGTAAGTTATATAGATCTGGAAGCAAGGATTCATCATCGCTGTTCACGTCCCCGGCGTTATACATACGGCTTCCAATAAGCTTAGGTAATCCTCCCTTTCGTAAGCCTGATATATTTATTAGGTTAGGTAGCTACATATATCGATCTCTTGAGGAGGCCTAGAACACGGAAGACCTTCTTCGTATTTGTATTGTCCATACAGGCTGACCTCCGCCGAGTGAGGCCGATAGGTCGGTACACACAAGCTTCAACTTTCATGTAATACCGCGCTTTCAACAGCATGACTTGAGTAGAAGAACTGCAGCAAAAGCGACATTCTTTCAACAGTCCATAAAGGCGTATTACATGCTTGCTGCCGCTGCATGTAATTAATACTCGGGCTTTGCAATGGAGCTGAGAGAACATATCGGAAGTAGATCGCGCGGAGACCTTTGATATCTGTCATATTTGACATGTAAGGACTGGCGTGTGATGATATAGTAGGCTATAGGCAATATGAAATTCTTGCTATGCTTACCATACCGACACGCAAGTTACTTCCTTGACGCTGGCCAGGACTCCTCGCCGTATGCGATGGCCCCGAAGAGAGAGCATCGTGATGAAAACCCCTATCCTCACTTATTATATAAAGAGCATCCTTTCCGTCCCCCTCTACATATAATTTTTAGTCTTTAAACCAGGCAACCACGCCCTCTTCAGTCTCTACCAGTACGGACTGTGCTCATTTATCAATCTTCCCGGAATCATACACTCGAAGATGCTCATAGCTATATTACCCTATCTCAGCCTAGCAACGCTGATAGCCCAGGCGTCCAGCTCAGGTATTCATAACGAGCAATATCGACTCTCCGCCGATAATACCCATAAAAAATGCTCAGAAGACGCCACCCCAGTCGAGCCCCTCGCTACGACAACGCAAAAACCAACAACGAGGGAGATGTGGTTCCTTTCCCAGGCCAACGGCGTACGCCTAGACCAGACGGGAGCATTTGCGTATGACGAAAGTGCCGGAGCCGGATCCCTAGTGTACGTAGTCGACACCGGAGCAGATCTATCTCACCCGGTAAGTACTGACCAGTTTTCTCCTCTGTTGCCCCGTAAGCACGCGCTGACCCGATGATGGACAGGAGTTTGATAATGTGCGCGGCCTAGCGGAATGGTTGTATCCCGGAAACGTCCATGAGCCGGGCGACTCAACGGGCCACGGCACCAAAATGCTATCCAAAATAACCGGGAAACTCTTTGGCGCTTCGAAGAGGGTTCGCCCGGTCATCGTTCGAGTGCCTACTGGTGTTGAATATGAGGAGTGGGTTACAGCTGTGAGAGCGGTGCGCGACGATTATCGGACGAAAATTGCGAACGGCTGGGACCGCCGAAAACCCGCAATTGTAAGTATGAGTTTTGCCATTTCACCGGCTAATTTAAGTCAACGACGTATAAATGAATTCGAGACTTATCTTAACGAGATGGTCAACGACGGCCTTTTCCCCATTACGGGTTCGGGCAACTTTGGAGGACGGGATCCGGGAAGGGTAAGTTGAAAAAAAGAAGAAACAAGTCTTAGTCGCTACTCTGGATATATATCAACTCACTGTTTATAACTGAAATAGTATGTTAGCGAATACCCAGCACTATTTGGAGATCCGCTCAGCACTCGATTCGTAAATGGCCTTCTTGTTGTGGGTGGTGTCAAGACTGATGGCACCCAATCCGACTCTGGCAAGATTGCTCCCTTCGTCGTAGTCAACGCACCATCAGAAAGAATATGTGTTCCCAACCATAGGTGGACACAACCCAACGCAGTTCGATATACGTTTGGCACGGGAACATCTGAAGGTACGTTTACTACTGGGCATATCAATACTTGTTCCAATGCTCCAAAGTTGTAGAATATCAAGTCTAACTCACTACGGCCTTCAGCTGCCGCCACGACCGCTGGATTAGCTGCATATTTAATTCAAGTTCCCGCCCTCCAAGATGCGTTACAACTTAATAATAGAACAGCGACGGCTAGAGATAAAGTCATCGCATTGAAGCACTATATCGAAGATACTTCGTTTCCACGGGGGGCTTTAACCCCCCGGGCAATCTGGAATTCGCAAAAATTTAAACCCTTTATGCCGGACTTGAAGGAATTCGATTGCGAAATGGACGGATGAGTGAGTCTTGGGGCATATCATCAAGTGCCAAAGATCCATGTCGTTGCATTCTTCGCATAAGTTTTTTAATTTATGCCAATTATGCATAACTCATCCGAACCCTCTGTTATGTGTATGTATTACACCCCCCTGGAATGCGTCCCATTATGCAAATCCAACTTCCTAGGAAGTTGAATAGCAAACTGGTAGCACCAGGTAACTACCTACCTTCCGCTTCATTTCATTCCATTCCGATCAATCGCTTTTATTTGGATCAATCGCTTTTATTTGTTTCCAAGACAAGTCTTTCGTTATCAACAACAACAACAACAACATACATAGCATATTTGGCTTTACAACCCTTAGTCTATTGATTCAAATCAGCTTAGCAATATACGCGTATGTATGCAGTTAACCTAGTCTAAATCGCCGACTGTATCCCTATGACATTAGTCTTTCTGCAGGTGCTCTACCCTCTACCGCCCGCGCCTGCTCATGAGTCCCAGAGCTTTTCATTAACACCTAGTTCCCGATACCATACCCAGTAGTCCCCTTTTGTCTAGTTTACGTATTCAAGACCCCAGGCACTAGTAGCCTGGTCAATTTTAGAACGGTATTCCCGTTGGGTCCGGCACTGCTCCAGGAATACTTCGTACTTGGCGTCGAAGAGCTTCTTCTCGTTCGCGTCGGTCCCGGGCTTAACGAGACGACCCGGCTTGCTCATTCGGTCCATGATGCTCCAGAGGTTCTCAGTCTTGCCTTCAGCATCTGCGCTTGCTGCCTTCGCACCAAGCATGGCCGCCCCGTGCACCACAGCAGCGTGGACGTATCGGGGAATCAACACCGGCATATCGCAGACAGTGGCGATGAGGTCCATAAGCATATCGTTCTGACATTGACTGCCGGACATGAAGATGGTCTGGATGTTGTGGCCCGCTTTGTTCATAGCCTCGATAATTTGCCGTGTTTGCAAAGCAATGAACTCCATAGTGGCATAGTAATACAAGGCAAGACCATCAACACTAGAGTCAGGACTGAGGCCAATTACGGATCCTTTCATGTTAGGGTCCGCAATAGGTGATCGGTTACCCCACAGGTCACCGTAGAAGAAGAAGTGCCGTCCAAGGTAGGAAACGGTGGGAGCATTAGTTTTCTCAGCCAACTCCCTTAGATGGCCATTCATGTAGTCGTATATGTTCATGTGCATAGCTTCTGCGAGAGGTACAACTTCTTTATGTGCCGGATGTGTCTCGAGGATGTGTCTCAAAAGCTCACCCGTCGCCGATTGACCACCCTCTGCTAACCAGTAGTTAGGCAGGAGTACGTCACGGTAAGGTCCCCATACTCCGTTGACGAACACGGGTTTCTCTGACATGGCAAGATGGCAGGTGGACGTGCCAGCTACAGCAGCGAGTCGAGTAGAGGCTTGGGCGAGGTCGTTTGCTGGGGCACTCTCGTCTGCGTGACCATATTCGGTGTCAACCTTTGCTCCAACGGTGCCGACCCAGCCGGCATAGGCATCAATTACACCGCTGCCAACTGCGATGCCAGCCTGCAGTCCTAATTGCTTGCTAGCATTGTCAGACAGATGGCCAACGAGTTCTCCCGCGCTGAAGTATTTGCCATTCTAAGTGATGAATTAGCGAATTGTCCCGATATAGCAGAGGACCAATTGAGAGTAGAGGAGGAGAGCTTACAATTCCATTAACGCCTCCCATGCGCCTGAAATTGTCTTTGGCTAAGTCGCCCAGTCCAATCTCGGTAAAGAAATCTTCTTGCCAGCCCTTCTCACTTCCATCTACGCCGATAGGGACGTAGCCTTGCTTGCAAACTGTGCTGCAGAAGCTTCGGTTCTCGTTGCCGGTAGCCATATGGGTCAACGCATCTGTCAAGTCGTAGAACTTGCAGCGGTCGAATAGCTCCTTAGGCATGTTGTTCTTCAGCCATAATACTTTAGGAATCTCCATCTCAATGCTCATCTTGCCGCCTACATATCGCAACAGGTTGTGGCCTGTAGCATTGATCTTGTCCGTCTCTTGGACGGGACGGTGGTCTAGCCATAAGATAACATTGCGATCGTTGCCGTCGTTCTCGAAGTCTGGACCGGTAACAGCGACAGGTTGGTCGTCTTTTTCAGAGAAGACTGCGAGCGAGCAAGTAGCATCGAAACCTAAGCCCTTAATGTGACCAACGTCGACTCCGGATTGGTGGACGACGCGCTGTACACAATGGCAAATACAGTGCCAGATATCGGTAGTTGATTGTTCCTTTAAGCTTTGTTAGGTCCCACGTCACATTGATCAAGACAAAGCAGGGAGGGGAGCTTCGTGAAAGAAACGTACATAGTAACCTTGCTGGGGCTGCCATAGCTTAATGGCCTCAGACGCTAGAGCTTTGATGTCTCCAGACGAGTCTATCAGACAGGCACGGGCAGAACCGGTACCAACGTCAATACCAATGTAGTGATCCTGCATGGTGGTTGTGTTAATTGACTGGATCCATGAAGCTGTATTGACATTGAGGGGAAGAGTGTTATAGGAAGCTCTTATAAAAACGCACGTTATCCTCGAAGTGAATTATATTCCGGGTACTAGACGGGAACTCTTTGTCAGAACCTATCTTTAACTCCTCGGTTGTACAAATGATCAACCGATCAAACGGTTAAACGGTGTCGAAAGATTAAGGACTTGGAACATGGGACTTGAGACTGGAGACTTGAGACTTGGGACATGGACATGACTAACTCCATCGTGGGGGAAGGTGCGGCCTCGAGTCAGCCACTTCTGCACCTGCTTCTACTTCTGGCGTACACGGTAAAACGAGCGAATATGTGAATAGAGTTAATAATCACTAGAGGAAACTTTAATCCACCCAATTGTTGTGTGCTCCTCGGGTAGGACACGATGCCGAGCTAGACGTTCTTTCCAATCGTCGTCCGAATATTGTGTGTTAGCTCGAGAAACAAGTCCGGTAATGATGAAACAATTCGCGCAGGACGAAGGCAAGAAGCAAACCCGATGGGAAACCGAGGAGTAGGAAAAATATTGTTATAGGAGTATAAAAAGGGTACCACTACTTTAACACTTCAAGCCTCGTGAGCTGTCTACATAATAAAAGAATACTACTAGTCTAAGAACTAAGAAGCTACCCCCCTTGTTACTTAACCCTTGTAACCCCCCCTCTACCCCATTCTCTAAGAAAAAAAAAAGTATTGAAACCTTTAGAGTGGCCTGGGTCAGCCTAGCCTGCCTGGACCTTTGGGCGAAGCCGGTGCGAATCCTACTCTTTTGCAGGGTACACCGCAGTACCGTACTGTCGTCACAAGGTGGGGGATGTGGGGACGGAAGCCGCTAAAGCCAAGCGATACCCCGCTAATCTTTTCCCTAATTTAAACCGCCTTCCCCTCCGCGCTGTCTATAGTCCGTCGATGCCAAGTACCTACCTGTACCTCTTCCTATCGCCTAACCTCCAGACTCCCACCTCTGATAGGTATCGTGACTTTTGTTGGGTGACAAGCCCACTCCACAAAAATTTCGGGTGAGCCGACAATACATAGTAACGTGGGAGGGCCGAAAATTTTACACAGGATTTATTGGAGAATACCAATGCGCAGGTCTGACATCCTGACATCTTAAGAGAATTTGCACTAAGCGAAAAACCCACATTACAGCTGTACTATGTACGACAGGGTTGACGAATGCTTGGATGTCAGGATGTGATGTACATACCGGCATACACAACCAGCATACATACGTCCACCGCCAACTTGGCTTTCGGGCGTTTGCAGTAAGGAAGTCCGGTATTAGGAGGGAGGTCACGATGATCTGTGGTGTGGCAAACCGCCACTCCCTGCCTCTCGGTTGTAGTCAGAGTCCTCTGGTTCGTCGAGCACCCTCCGCAAAGAATGCCGATCAGCCAACATAGGTAATCCATTTAAAAAGCCGCACTTCCAAAGCAGGACTCAACATTGTCTTGCGTGGGAGAAATAGTAATACAATTAAGACCGGAATGGCGGAATGGGACTGACTGAACGGGTATATCTATGCGAAACTCCCTATTCCGGGCTATAAAAGCAAATTTTTAGCTATCCTATGCCATTCCCCTAATACCTAGAACACCTGTATAATTGTGTAACCATCGTGAAAGTCGTTGACTGCGTCAGTATGTTCGTTAATAGATTAGTATGTGTATGTGTGTCTCCTCGTTCTGCGCCGTCGCCATTTGCCGGTGATCGTGACGATCACAAGCACTCGCAATGAAACTTCCGACTGTCACCTCGTTATTCTGCATCTCCCGGCTGATCCTCAACAAGAATTACAACCGTTAAGGTTGCTGCGTAAGCTTCGCGGATAGCGCACGCCATGCTGTGTCGCATTAGCCATCAATCAATCATCAATCATTTATCATCGTCGTGCGACGAGAACAACTCACCAAGTCCTGCCAATATCCGCCACTACTGCGCTGAGTCCCCAGTGAGAGCACCACGCGCGCGCCAAGACTTCATTGTCGCTGCTGCCGAACGCCTCAACCACTAGGACTCTCTCCGCGTCATCCCCTCCCACAATGGGTTCAAATTCCGGTGACTTGCTTCCGCCAGCTGGCGTTGAACGAAAGCTTCTTTCCCTGCAATTTGGTTTACCCCAGTCTAAGATATCTACGAGCTCGTCAACTTTGCGGGGAGTATAGACATAGTCAAAGAACAGAGGGTGAGGTCCGTCAGAGCACGGCCAAGCATTGATGAACGACACGTCAAATGTGAGGTGAAGTGGCCAAGATACGCCATCAATAGCGAACTGTATCGACGCGTCGAACCATTGAGGGCCTGAATCTTGCTTATCAGTAGCTTCCTTGAGAATAACCTGCTCAAGCAGGACTGTATCTACTATATCATCCGTATCGGGCGTCAACAAGTCGTAATCCCCGACGGGGTAAATTTCAGACCGTGGTCCTAAGGGGTCCGATCTATCGCTCATAGAAGTTACGTCCTCTGGCGTTAGAATATTCTGTCGCGGTTTTTTCGAGCGAATCCGGGCAATCTGAGAGCGTCCCAAGTCTTTTGTCGGTCTAGCTGGACCAACCCATCCAGCGATCTCGTGGCATGTCGGCGCAAGTACTTTACCAACGATACAGGCCGATCTCCAATAAGTATAACTATTGCGGTACTGGAAGCCACAGTGAGGGTGAAGGTGCGTAAGCAAAGCAAGATTATCAGTCGCCTTATCGGGGTCAATATCGATCAAAGAGTTCATAATGAGAAATGGGAATGTGGGCTACATGAAAATTAGCAAATTCAACAATGACCTAAATAAGGGGTGAATGTTAGGTTCATACTCCTGGTAAGACTAGACCGCTGAAGAAAGCCATTGCGTGCGAACTGACGATCATCAGCGTCCCCTCATTATCTCTCTGCTTGAGCTCGCTTATCGTGTCGGCGAGGTTCGGCCATTTCATCATCTGAGCGAATCTTTTTAGCATGCTGACCTGTCTCCTCCTCATCTTGAACCGTAGTTTGATCTGATCTGGCTCCTCGCCGTAATCTTCGATACGGACAAAATCCCTCCATCGCCTGGCGAGAGCTAAATTCCACTGAATTCTCGGTGGTATCTGCGCCACAAGTCTCTCCTTGGCTGGGTCCTGATGCTTTTTCGAATTGATCCGTAATTCTAGCTCAAGGCTTAAGAGCAACTGGTAGAAGAATTTATGGTATTGTTGCTGGTTCTCGGGGCCCGTGTCATAAATAAACTTTGTGACGACCTGGTTCTTCGGATTCGAGAAATCAATCCAATCTGGGCTTGAAAGGCACATAACCAAATCCGTAATCTGCTTCTCCATCGTCTTATGCGGGCTGAAGAGCTTGTCAGGGTCTTTAAGAAATCGTTTATATAGACGATATAAGACTTCGTCGTTCCCATCTTCTAAACCAGCCTCCAAATCCTGTAGTCGTTCGAATATCGAACCTAAATCAACTTCTCTCGGCACAACTCCAGGGTCACGGAGCGCAATCGGTGGTGGGATTGCGCTAAATATATTTGCCCAGTGGTTTAGGGTGATAGTACCCGGTCGTCCTCCGAATCCAAAAGCAAGACTTGGTTGTTCAAGAGTCTCCCAAGGATACTTGGGTTGATTGAAGCCCTGTATGCTCAGGGTTGTGAGTTGGGTCATGGCATCATGCTGGTTAACGGTATCATTGTCATCGCCGTGGTTACCAGCTGTCGTCGTGTATAGCCCGTAGTAATGATCCGACGCATGAGGGATAGGCCGTTTGTGCCCCTTGTGTGCTGGAACACCTCTCGAGATGAGCTCCATTGCGTGGCCGAGGGTGAGTTGTTCCTCTTTGGAGATGCCAGATGGGGGCCATTCCGACAAGGGTGCCGGTTCGTACCTGTGGCCGTTTGGCTGCTCCCTACCTTTACCTTTTGAATCACGTGGATCCGGACGGCGCGGCCGCCTACGAGAATTGATAACATCGGGTCTATCAGACCGATGTCTTCGTACGGGTATGTCGCCTTCGCTTGCCCGTCTCGATGGCGGATCCTTTACCTCGTGACTCGTGAGTAAGGCATCAACTTGCTGCGGGGCGAGATACATACCAGCTTACCGCTCCCTTGGGCGTTACTAAGCCTGCGCATCAGACCACTCAAAAGCCCCTTCTTCTTTGGTTCGGACATGGTCGGTTCGTGGTAGATCCTTTCTAGGCATAAAGGTAGATAAGTGAGGAGACGCGGAATATTTCGATATATCTTCGTTGCCGATGTTGCACGATGTAGGTACGCGTCAGTTTTTGTGGCTGGGGGCAGCTACATGTAAAGCGTCAAGGAAAGACAAATGAGGCAAATGAGGCAAACAAGGCAATTCGGTATATGTACCTAGCTCGGTACTCGGAAATATATGAACTCGCGATTTGTTACTATTTCATATGAAAATAATAAGAAAACCGAAACCGAGGAATTGTTGAATTGTTAGATTGATACGGGACTTTAAGAAAAAGTACTTAGTTCAGGTTGATATCACGCCAAAAGACTGGAGTTATTATTTTTAAGTTGCGGAACTACAAGTATTGAAATATGCACATTGACGCGCGAAACAGGAAGCTGCAGGTGAAGAACGTGTCATGCACAATCCAGCAGAAGAGTCCAGCCTCATGGACTTGGTCATTGACTGCATCATGCTGAAACGAGACATTGCATTTGGAAGCAGCCATTCAGGAAAAAGAAGTCGCTACATATTAGTTCAGCCGTAGCAGCTGCGTGGATAATAGCTTCTAACTAACTAACTACACTAACTACACTAACTACACTAACTACACTAACTACACTAACTACACTAACTAAGCTAATTGCTTACATAACCCCACTACCCCGAATTATTATGTACGACATTCCCTTTTCTCCATCTTCACTGCTGGCGGATTACTATTTGTGCAACTCTTTTCTCCTTGCATTCCATTGTCTTAAAGCCAATGATATGCCAATGAGTTTCTTATTATCCAGGTATATATTCATATTCTCGGTATATTTAGCCGGCCTATGTGTACAACAATTTTGACATATCCAATACAGGGGCACCAATCAAACCATCCACGAAGTATAGAACGAACAGATTTCTTACACATCTCTCATAAGAAAGTATCACAGGCAACGTATACCATCGTCCTTTTGAGCTTTTCATGTTTTACAAGAGCTCTCCGATAAACGCTATTTCAGTTTCGTTCAATAGCTGATTATCCAATTTCGCAAACGCGGCTCGGTACTAAACGTAAGAGGGCAGGTCAGTTGTCACCCAAGATAATGGAAGACTAATATGAAGAACATCTTACCGAGAACACAAAATTAAATATCAAAGCGAGCATCAAGGCAACGCTGACGACTAGCGGCCCAAGCATGTTATCAAAATCCTTGCCACTCCGGTCTACGATCATGTCGCGGCGCTTGTGTAGCATAAGATATCCCCATCCTCCAGCGAGGATAGCAATCACGACATACGTAATGCCCATACACTCAGCGAGGAAGTTCTCTCCCGCTGCTGTGTATAGACTAATTGCCAAGCTACCAAGAAGAATGCAGATGTGCTGCCATTTGAGGAACGTCCGCTCGTTAGCAAGCCAGACCTTTGGTTCAACTTGAAGTGGCCCCGCGTTCTTGAGCCAGACCTCTGGTTTTGTAACGCCTTCGGGGAGTTGCGCCCGCTGACGCTTTGCTCGAGAATACCGGGAGAGGGAGAAGCCGGGGAAAACAGAAGAAAGGGTCCCATAACTCCTTTGCTGGGTGGAACCATTCCCTGTACCGTCCTCATCATCCCTTCCACCGCGACCGTTTACAGCAGTCGGAGGTGTTGACGCCCTAGCCTCTCTAGCGGCTCGCTCAGATAGATACGACTTTCCAACCGGCGAACTTGTTGCTGGTTTATAAGAACCAATTCTGGCAGCAGCAGCGCCGCCGCCCAAGAAGCTGCCTACAACCATGGCGTCTTCCGCCTGCTGCGCTTTCCGTTGTTCCTCTTCATCGTGCGCCGTCTGGGGATCTTTACGAATATCCGTCTCAAGATCACTCAACCAAAGCGGTAACTGATTAACATAGTCCTCGAAGAGGGATGCAACTCCATGTACGAATTTGGAGAACCTTGGCGCAGCGTGAACAAGATGAGAAGCCATTAGGTCTTCTACCCATCCCGGCCGCTTGCGCCCTCCTTCCTCCTTCAGTCTGATCTCGAGAAGTGCGTAAGGGAATCTTGACACCTCACTCTGGTTTATATTCTTGAAGGGATATTTCATATTATTTTCGTCGATATCTCGTCGGTGCCACTCCTGCGGATCGCGACATGGCCTGTCGCGGTCCAGGGTGTCTTCACGGATAAAAGCGACGTCAGTGTCGATCGAAATTCGGATGCGATCATCGGAAGGCTTTTGGAACGCCGTACGGGTATAATTGGCCCGTAGGATAGGTTCCAACTTGGCCTGGATGATAAATTCCTGGATTTCTCTCACAGTAGTTTTGAAGGACTCGATAGCCTCGGCTGTTTGGCCCTGTCTTTCCATTTTTTGGATAGTTTTATCCATCTTGTAATCTCCATCGATAAATTGCTTGATATATTTCTTTTTGATCATGAATTTCTTTTCCTCGCTAATGCCATTCTCGCGAACTATCTTCTGTTCAAGGACAATCTTCGGGTTCGCGTCCAATTGTCCATACCAGCGCAACCTCAAAGATGAAGCATCGACTTGGCGGTCCACCTTTCTACTATATAGTTCAAACTTTGAGTTGTCGAAGTAGAGCGACGTGATCTTAGGATCTTCATTGCCGTCGGGCTCTTGCCCGGCTTGTTGGGTGTAGATAAGAGCAGGCAAGTGTCGCAAAATAGCGGTCTTGACCTCAAGGAGGTTTTCCGGATGTATCCAAACTATTAAATATTATGTTAGCTCGAATGTAGAGTTGCAACGATCTTGATAGCTCACATTTGTGGGCGGTGTACCGCTCGCCATTATGCACCTCGGGCTGATTCTCCAAATCAAAGTCCAGCGGTTGCAACTGCTCACCCTCGTCTAGGTTCTGGTTGATGGCATAGTACATCAAAGATAGCTTCGTGAGGAGAGGCGTATATGCCTGCTCCGAGTTGAAGCCACGATCCGACAAGCTGACCCGCATCATAGGCCGGACCTTATAACGGTCACCGCGCTTGCGATCGTGCTTCTTCGCAATCTTGAGGAAACCGGTGTAGTTGGCGCTGCTATACTTTTTCAGCTCCTTGACCTCGTTGGTGATGGCGTCAAGCTCGTTCTTGAGCTCCTTCAGCCGAGCGGCCGTGATATCGCTCTTAGGCTTCTCGTCGGAGGGTGTCATCTCCTTCAATGTTTCGAAGGCGACCTCGGCGCGCTCCTTTAATCCGCTGACGGTCTTCTCTTGGAATTGAGCTACCTTCTCCAGCTGTACGTTGAATACTTCGTCGCAGAACTTGTTTTCGTCGTCTTCAGTCCAGGGCACGTCCTCGTCCTCTTTCCTATCCTCCCGCAGCATCGTCTTCAGCTTCGCGTAGTCTATGTACTGGTCCTTCCATGGTGGGTATACAGACTCGCGAAGAGTCTTGCCGAAACGCATTATCGCTCAAAAGTCGCGGAGCTCGTTCCGACCAGGGAGGGCTTAGGGGGGCGGGTTGTCGAGATAACGAGATTTTCTTGTTTTCGGTCGTGTATATGGATATCTAAGTAATTAGATTTTAAACAAAAGAGGTATAAAAACTAGAAGTAATCTCGGGCCAATTGAATAGAAAACGGGATATAAAAAGATGCAATCATGTGTCAAACGGACAGTTTTGTAATAATAAGATACTTTGTAGACGAGTAAATTCGGCAGAGGGCGTGTCCTACACAGTACGAATACGTAGTACGATCGGCAGCCGTGTTTCGAGCTCTTTGCGTCACAGGTCACGGATTTCTAGCGGGGCTCCGGCTAAGTTCTAGTCTCGACCTTTGACCAGGGGGGGTAGCTCCAGACTCCGTAGGGCATAGTCGATTTCCCGTCGTCCAACATTTTTGCCAATGAGGTCGCGTGCTTGTAAAACGTGCTTTCTTAAGCATGTGAATTTGATCGAAATGGCCTAACGATTACGCTACATAGAGAAGAGATGAAAAAATATTTGAAGGAAGAAACAGCGACGGGCTAATTGTGGAATATCAAACGACAACAGGGAAAAGGGAAAGAAAATATGTCTAATCTCTCATGTTGCTCAGCCGAAATACTAGATCTATATACATGACCGTATGATAGTAGGAGATGATGTAAATAATAATAATAAAATGCAGAAGTAGGACATCACTCTCCCCCATCTAATCAATATACATAGTTAATCAAAATCATCACACATCAAGTAAACCGCCAAATACTATAAAAACATATATATTCTTAACCACACCCTCCTTGCCTATACCTCCTATATACAAGTCCATACACCACACCACACATCCCTCGTCCTTAGCCCAGCTAACTAATCATATAACAATACTGCCTACGCATGATAAACATAACTAGTTATAGTTACAATAACTCCCTGCTAGCAGCGACCGACGTGAGGTGGTATATATGTATTTTCCTCAAGATATCCCATCCCTTCCGTTTCCCTTGCCGTTCCTTTTTAGAAATCAACGCGAAGAATAATAAAAATAAGCGCTCTCGTCCCTCTCTCTTGTCCTTTTTGTGCTTATTCGTGGTATCGTATCGTGACTCAACTATTCGTAACAAAATCAACGTCCCACCACAACCCCCCCTTGGTTTTTTGGTAAAAATAAAGGCACCGAGCCTGTCCAAAGATCTGTGGGTTTCGACATAGCTAGCTGTACATACGCGTTCGTCTTTTCGGGTTCTCCGTTTTCGTTGAAGAAACCTTTTTTTTTTTTTTTTTTTTTTTTTTTTTTTGGATTGTTCTTATTTTGCTTTGGTGGGAGTAGTACATTTACGCCGCAGCGGCACTAAAAATCTCTTGCGCGGTGTGCTTTACGATACCGCCGGTAACGGGTAGATTGGTGTAGCGCTCTAGGTATAGATCGACCTCGCGAGCAGCTTGTCGTCCTTCGTTGATGCCCCTGAAATAAATGATTAGCATAAGTTTATTCAATTACGAAGGAAGTGAGTTAGTTGACTTACCAGACGATCAAAGACTGTCCACGGCGGCAGTCACCAGCCGCGAAGATACCAGGCACGTTGGTGGCGTAGGAGCCGGGAGGAGTCTTGACGTTCTTTCGAGCATCCTTCTCGATCTCATCACCGAGAACGCGGGCCTCGGGACCGAGGAAACCCATAGAAAGGAGGACAAGGTCAGCGGGGAAGAATTGCTTGGTGTCTTCGAGCTTCTTCATATCCCAACCGCCAGTAGCGGACTTAGTCCACTCAACACGGATGGTGTTAATGCCCTTGACACGGCCGCTACCGTCGTCCACGAACTCCTCGGACATGATGCAGTATTCACGGGGATCCTTGCCCATGTGCTGAGCCACTTCCGTGTGGCCGTAGTCGACACGGTAGATGCGGGGCCACTGCGGCCAGGGGTTGTCACGGCCACGCTGCGGCGGAGGCTGGGGCAGAAGCTCGAAGTTGATGACCGACTTGGCACCATGACGGACTGAAGTGCCAATACAATCGTTACCAGTGTCGCCACCACCGATGACCACAACGTGCTTGTCCTTGGCAGAAAGGTAAGCATTATCAGCCAGCTCGGAATCGAGTAGAGACTTGGTGTTCTTGTGTAAGAACTCCATGGCAAAGTGGATGCCCTCGAGGTTGCGGCCCTTGATAGGAAGGTCTCGGGCAACAGTAGCACCGGTGGCAATAACGACAGCATCGTTCTTTGCCTTGAGGTCCATTAGAGTAATGTCCTCACCAACGGTGACTCCAGTCTTGAACTGTACACCTTCGGCAGCCATGAAATCTGTTCGGCGCTTTACGACACGCTTGTCAAGCTTCATGTTGGGGATACCGTACATGAGGAGACCACCAACTCGGTCAGCGCGCTCGTAAACAGTGACGGTATGACCGGCCTTGTTTAGCTGATCGGCACAGGCAAGACCAGATGGTCCGGAACCGATGATGGCAACCTTCTTGCCAGTTCGGACCTCAGGCGGTCGCGGGACCATCCAGCCCATCTCGAAACCGCGGTCGATGATTGCACACTCGATGGACTTGATACCAACAGGGTCCTCATTGATACCAAGAACGCAGGCACCTTCACACGGCGCAGGGCAGACACGGCCAGTGAATTCGGGGAAGTTGTTGGTCATGAGCAGACGATTGAGGGCATCCTGCCATTGGTTCTGGAATACCAGTTCGTTCCATTTCGGGATAATGTTGGAGATAGGACATCCTGTCTCGGATTGACAGAAGGGAACACCGCAGTCCATGCATCGCGCTGACTGGTACTTGAGCTCGTCTTCGTTCAAGCGTTGAGAGAGCTCAGCCCAATCCTTGGTCCTCGTCTTGACGCTACGGTACTTCTCGGATCGACGCTGGTATTTCATAAATCCTTTAGTCTTGTCAAGAACAAGAGCACGCTTCTTCTCGGCAGCATTATCACCGACGGTCTCTTCGATATCCTGAAGCTTGGCAGCCTTCTCCTCCTTCTTAGCCTGGACACCAGACACGATGGGGAGGTTGTACTCGGCACGCTTAGCCTCGGCGGCTTTGGCGGCTTCTTCCTCGAGGACTCGCTTGTAGTCAACCGGAAGGACCTTAACAAAGCGCGGGAGTGCCCTGTTAAAGTCTACAAGGATGCGAGCAGCCAGCTCAGATCCGGTGTAATGGTGGTGGTCCTCAATTAGTCCACGAAGGAAGGCAATCTCAGTGGGGTCATCGACCTCGGACGCTTCAACCATCTCCGTGTTAAGCTTGGCAATGAAGTCGTCGTGGATGTCAAGAACATAGGCGATGCCACCCGACATACCAGCAGCGAAATTGCGACCAGTGCTTCCCAAGATGACAACACGACCACCAGTCATGTACTCACAACCATGGTCACCGACACCTTCAACGACGGCCGTAGCACCTGAGTTCCTGACAGCGAAACGCTCGGCAGCAACACCTCGGAAGAAGCAGGTACCGCTAGTAGCTCCGTATAAGCAGACATTGCCGATTAAGATGTTCTCTTCAGCCTTGAACACAGCCGACCGAGGAGGATAGATAATGAGCCGACCACCTGACAGACCCTTACCAACATAGTCGTTGGCATCGCCTTCCAGTTCTAACGTAACACCGGGAGCAAGGAAGGCACCAAAAGACTGACCGGCAGAGCCCTTGATATTGACATGCACAGTATCCATTGGCAGACCAGCTTCTCCGTAGCGCTTGGAAATCTGGTAAGATAGGGATGTGCCCATAGCTCGGTCGGTATTGACAATATCACACTCGATGCGAGACGGAAGTCCCTTGTCAAGGGTTAACTCAGCTTCCGAGATGAGCTTGTTGTCAAGTCGGACATATAGACGGTGGTCCTGCTTTCGGACGTTGAATGTCGCAACACCAGGTCGGAGCTTGTGAGCAGGAGTAAGGATAAGTGAGAGGTCAATGTTGGCGGTCTTATTGGTTCGTAGGTCATCCCGGACCCTTAAGCACTCGACATGTCCCACCATCTCGTTGATTGTTCGGAAACCAAGTTGGGCCATGATAGCTCGGAGCTCGTTGGCAACGTAGTAGAAGAAGTTAATCACATGCTCAGGTGTACCCTTGAACTTCTTGCGAAGCTCTGGGTCCTGAGTAGCAATACCCACCGGGCAAGTGTTAAGATCTAAAGATAATTAGTTATTTGCCTACAATTATTAAAACTTCGAGTTTACTTACGGCACTTCCTCATCATGATACATCCCATGGCGATCAGCGGAGTGGTAGCGAAACCCCATTCTTCAGCACCAAGCAGACAAGCGATGGCAACGTCACGTCCAGTTCGGAGTTGACCATCGGTCTGGACAACAACTCGGCCACGCAGATCGTTCAGGACGAGAGTCTGATGGGTCTCGGCAAGACCAAGCTCCCATGGTAGACCAGCGTACTTGATACCAGTCCACCGACTAGCACCAGTACCACCATCACTGAAAAGAGTTGAGTTAGTACTAATCCCAAGGGGTATTAAAAGATTGGCTACTTACTGTCCAGAGATAAGAATGTGGTCGGCCTTAGCCTTTGCGACACCAGAAGCGACAATACCGACACCAGTCTCGGAGACGAGCTTGACAGAGACGCGAGAGCGGGGGCTTGAACACTTTAGATCGTAGATGAGTTGCTTCAAATCTTCGATGGAGTAGATATCGTGGTGAGGAGGAGGCGAGATAAGACCGACACCAGGGGTCGAGTGACGGGTTCGAGCAATAGACTTCGAGACCTTGTGACCAGGAAGTTCACCACCCTCGCCAGGCTTGGCGCCCTGTGCCATCTTGATCTGCAGCTCATCGGAATCGGCAAGGTATGCTGACGTGACACCAAATCGTCCAGAAGCGACCTGTTTGATAGCAGATCGCATCGTGTCACCGTTGGGCATTAGTTGCGACCGCTCAGGATCCTCGCCACCTTCACCGGTGTTCGACTTGCCACCCAATCTGTTCATGGCAACAGCTAGAGTAGAGTGAGACTCCATGGAAATAGAACCATAAGACATGGCACCCGTGCAGAATCGCGTAACAATAGCCGTCCACGGCTCTACCTGCTCAATCGGAATTGGGTTGCTCTCCTCAAATTTAAAGTCAAGCATGCCGCGCAGGGTGCAGGCCTTGATCTGCTCGTACTCCGAGCGAGAGTAAGCCTCGTACGACTTGTCGTTCTTGGTGCGGACGGCATCTTGGATATTCGCGATAGAAGTCGGGTCGTTAATGTGTGCCTCACCACCATCACGCCAGTGGTATTCGCCGGATTCTGGCAGACCAGGAACTCCGACGGTGTATCGAGAGGGGAATCCGCGCTCGTGGAAGCGGAACGCGTCTTCGGCAATGAGCTCGAAAGTGAGACCCTTGATACGAGAAGCCGTGCCCCTAAAGCATCGCTCCACAACCTCGTCGTCAACACCTAAAGCCTCGAAGATCTGAGCACCCTTATAACTGGCCAAAGTGGAGATACCCATCTTGCTCATGACCTTGAGGATACCACCGTCGCATGAGTGTTTGTAATTAGCGATAAGAGTATCGTCGGAAAGCTTCTTTCGGATCAAGCCCTCGCGGTTGAGCTTTAGAATACACTCCATCGCAAGGTATGGGTTGATAGCATCAGCGCCATAGCCGAGCAGGACACACATATGGTGAACTTCGCGGGCCTCTGCAGTCTCGATCACAATTGCCGCCATAGATCGCCACTTGTTGCTGACAAGATGGTGGTGAACCATACCCGAAGCTAAAAGTGATGAGACGGCTACGCGGTCGGCAGAGGTCTTTCGGTCGGAGAGAACGATAATTCGATCCCTAGCTTCAATGGCAGCCGTAACCTCGTCGCAAATAAAGTCAAGATGCTTCAGGTATCCAGCAGTACCCTCCGATTTCGGGAAAGTGAGATCGATCATCTTCACAGTCCATTCGGGGTGAATCTTGGACATGTTGGTCAGGGAATTGAATTCGGGGATTGACAGGATCGGGCTTGGGAGTAGTAATCGGGCACACTGAGAAGAGTCCATCTCGAGCAAGTTACCCTGCGGTCCGACATAGCATTCCAGGGACATAACGATAGACTCTCGGATAGGGTCAATAGGGGGATTAGTGACCTGAGCGAAAAGCTGTCGGAAGTATTCATAGAGCAAACGGGGGGCTTGAGAAAGGCAAGCCAGCGGCGCATCATTACCCATGGATCCCAATGCTTCTTTCTCGTCCGATGCCATTGGTGCGAGGAGCAGGCTGACCTGTTCATAAGTATATCCAAAAGCAAGCAATAGAGGGTCTTCTTGGAGGCGAGTAGAGTCTGGCTTCGCTGCAATGTCTACGGCCAGCTTATCCGATACTTGACTTAGGACCTTTGGTAAGCTAATAAGCTCCTGGTCGATCCAGGAATGGAAGTCAGCTCGGCTAGAGACAGTCGCCTTAAGCTCCGAGTCGTCGATCAAGCGTCCAGCTTGGGTATCAACAAGAAGCATGCGGCCTGGTTGTAGCCGACCTTTTTGAATAACCCGTTCAGGGTCAACGTGGATAGTACCGACTTCCGAAGCACAGATAATGCGGTCATCATCCATGATATAGTACCGACAAGGACGGAGACCATTTCGATCTAGGTTGGCACCGCAGAATCGACCATCTGCGAACGTAAAGAGAGCAGGGCCATCCCACGGTTCCATTTGGCAAGCTGCCCATTCATAGAATGCGGCTTTCTTAGGGTCCATAGCAGTATTACCTTGCCAGGCCTCGGGAACCATCAGCATGACGGCCTCGGGTAATGAAAGAACACCATTAATAGTAAGCAGCTCTAACACATTGTCGAAAGCAGCCGAGTCAGAGCCACCAGCCTCGACAATCGGGTACAGGTGCTCAAGCTCATCACCGAAAATATCGGATTGCATAACACCCTCTCGGGCGCGCATCCAGTTCTTGTTACCGCGGAGCGTGTTAATCTCACCTGATAAAGGAGTTAGACATACATCATCATCATCATTATGGGCGTTCTAGAACTACACATACCATTGTGGGCTGCCCATCTCAGGGGTTGAGCACGATCCCACGAGGGGAAGGTGTTCGTGGAGAAACGAGAGTGTACAAGGGCGAAATGGGCCTCGTAATCAGCATTTACCAGATCATGGTAATACTGGTATACTTGGATAGGAGCAAGCTGTCCCTTGTAGACAATATTTTTGTTGGACAGCGAGCATAGGTAGAACCAGTTATGGAGGCCGATGGAGTGGGTAGCACGCTTCCGAAGGACATACAACTGTCGTTCGAATAGTCGCTCGTCGAATTTCTCTGGGTCCGTCATTTCAGGAGCATTTCCAGAGCCATACGCAGAAGCAAGAACAACAAAAGGCTGGAGAATGAATGGCTCGCGCGAAGACGCAGCAGGACCAAGGAGAGAAGAGTCTACAGGGGGTGATCGCCAACCCAAAACTCTTAACCCCAGCGATTCGGCAATATCTTCCAACTGCCTCTTCGACTCCTGCAAAGTCTCCTCATCCGGCTTGAAGAAAAGGTTTCCCACAGCATATTGTCCCAGAGGAGGCAGTTTAATGCCTTCCTCCTTTTCGAAGTTTTTGATAAAGAACTTGTGGGGAATAGATGTCATAACACCAGCACCATCGCCATCTCGAGCATCAGAACCAACCGCACCACGATGGGTCATGTTGCAAAGGAGGTTTCGCGCTGCTTACGGTTAGTTGAAAGATTCTAACGCGATTCACAGCTAGGATTAAAAACTGACCATCGCTAACAATTTTGTGGCTTGCCTTGCCCTTGATATGGCTACACAAGTTATTAGTCGGCTATTCTGTATATATAAGAGGAAGTAGGCTACGCGGGTCTCATACCAAGCGAAACCGACACCACACGCATCTTTTTCCAAGCTCGGATCGTACAATCCTCTACGGAGATTTAATTAGTTTTATGATCACATCACAGCCGGTTAACTATTCGGCACGTACTGCTTCACCGGGAGGGCGCCAGCCCAGGAATCGTTATTATCTGTTTGATATTCATAAGGATGGTAGGCATCGGCCTCGGACTCTAGTTGTGTTTGTCTATCGTCGAAGTCGGCAAGAAAGCCCATGTCAGGCAAGGAAAACGGGATAGCCAGATGAGGTATGAGTACTGAGAGATAGGGTCGGAGGTGTCCAGATGCCTCGAGAGACGCAGCCCCGTGTGTGTATAACGGCGAATGAGAGCAGCTGACGCTGCTTAAACGTCAGGTCTCTTGTCTAATACACAAATTCTATGTCAGCTCCTAGTAATTAAGCCTTGGGTCGGCAGATGTAGCAACAATGACAACGTGAAAGATAACGTAGAGTAAAGCGTCTTGGCTGATCCAATGGTATGGAAGTCCGGAACACCAGTAGATTTCTTATTTAGGGGGGGAGGGTCCAAAAGGTGGCGTCGTTGATGGGGGATGCAGATGCGGGGTGGTGATGTACAAGCAAACTAACAACCAGCGCAACTTCTTTTTTTTTTAATTGGACTCTTTCTTCTTTCCTATTCTCCGTTTTTTCCCTTTTTTCTCTCTTTTATATATTGCGCAGAGTGGATTTGCCATGTGACGCTTGTAGCTGGAATGCAGAGTAGAAACTCTCTTCAGCGCTAGATCCGCGTTTGCTCAAGACCTAGTAAACTTTGTATTCGAGGACCAATCGGGAAGGACTGAAGCGGACTATGAAATTTTGCAGCTAAAAACTTCATGATCCGGTTTTTTTTTTTTTTCCCCTCAGGACACACAGAAAAGACCATCCCTTTTTTCCACTTGGCGGAGGGGCAAAAACGGCCGACAAGTATTGAAAGTGCCTTTGTCGGCGGGGGACAAGATAAAGAATAAGCGATTCTGAATGAATAACTTTTCGGTGTTGCGCGTGGCCCCGAATGCACCACTGGCGTCATTGAGCTTAGGTTGAAGGACCACCACGACGTACCCATGCAGATGCAGCCTGAATCAGGAAACCCTGTTGTCGAATCATGGGTATCCTCACAGTAGTGGCGTGGGGAAAGATATGATGACAGCCAATGACAGGGCTTCCAAAGCGCAACTATGCGGCTATCGATCTTGCGTTTGATAGGTTGGTGATCGTGCATATGATGCTTGTTTGGCCCCGATACTTCAGTTATCATCCGTATGGTACAGGACAAGGATTTTGTGCATCGGCCATTTGGAGGGAAAGTTCAGTGCTTCATCCATGGGAGCGCAACTCTTTTTTTTTTGTCCCCTACGCCGAATTGACAACCCACGAATGTCTATCAGCGAATCCAGATGCTGATCGTCTCGCTTGTTCGATCCCTCTTCCGGTTTCTGGGTATAACAGAGCCATCATCTAGGTGTTCCGCTTCCGGGTCGGCATCCGCCGCTTTATCGTCGTGGCCATTGGGAGGTAGTTGGATTGAAGTGTCACAGATATGGGAATTGTAGAAATGCGTAATTATACTCACAAGTTCAAGTTCTGCGCGATGCTCTGTATCTCTCTAGCTAAGTGCTCTTGAGAGTGTATGTAGGAAGGAAGTTTAGTCTCTCGAGTAAAAGTTGGGTATTTCGCTAATTGATCTGGCAAGAGAAAGAAAAGAAAGAAGAAGAGAGAGCAGTCGAAGGGGGAGGTGTGGCAACAAGCCTGGCTTTTATGGATGTATGTATCAGGCAGAGCGAAAGAGGAGCCAAGCCGGGTTTAGAGATCAGATCAAGGCTTCTACACAAATTTCAAAGTCAGTAGGGGAGAGAAAAAAAAGTTATTACTTATTCATAAGGAAGAGTAACAATTTGGTGTAGAACCTGGGACGTGGAGACAGGATCGGCCTCCTCCACTAGGTTGTTAGCCCCCAGTCGTCAGTAATAAGAGACTACTTGTAAGTGGGGGAGGGGCAGGAGAAGGCCGAAGGACGGACGACAAGTCCTTTCAGAACCCGGCATACTGTTTGCGTCTATTGGTCCATTGGTTTAGATTGAGCGGCTAGGCATTTCGGTGACGTTACCGGAGTTCATTTTTCTTTGCCTTCCTACATAAAAAGTCTCCTTTAGCCCATGAAGATTAACAAAAACACCATGCTGATTGGTCTTTTATAACAAGGTCTATGGTGGTTGCTAATTACCTACTAGTTGAATCCCCGTATATCTTTTATTATTTTTATTATTAGTCTTGCCGCTACGATGCTACTACGATGCTGCTACAATAAAATACTACTGCATATTTACTGCGTACATACATACATACCTACATACATTAGGTACACATGCCACATACATAACGCGGCGGCCGGCGGCAACCTAAACTTTGCCTCCAGGGTCGTACGTAGTACTTACACATACATTATCCCACCTAACAATGCGCGAGGGGGGAAGCGGAAAGGGAAAAAGGGTGATATTCGCGCAAACTCGGGGTCTGATATATATCTGCACTTACATGACTTTTACTTAATGAAAATTCACCCAATAGGCTTGATTGCTGTTTGTGTGTGATCAAAATAGGCATCGTGAGAGGTAAGTTAAAGGGAATGACCACGTACTCAGACAAAATAGTGTAAGACGCAGTGGATAAAAGCAAGGGGTGTGTCATCTGTGTAGAAAATTCAATAGACTCTGTGACTTTAGGGGTTTGCTGGTAGGTAGGTAATGCATAGGTTACCTACATAGGTAACAGGTATGTATGAGAAATGCAACATGCCATCAAAGTTAAGATGGTAATTTCTTACCTTCCTGAGTTCTATTAGTTACTATGTAACTTGACTCATTGCCCCTCTTCCCTCTCTATTACCTTTCTCTAGCGTTTGTCTAAGTATCTGTTTGTCTATTTCAGTGCCGATCTTGTTACCACGCGAGCAAAAACAATTAGTGTAGCACCGTTTGCGGTCTTCTAAAAGTCAAACTAATTACTGACACGCGGAGATCTATATGAGGACATGCTGCGATGACGCAGTTTTGTACAAGTCTGTAACCCAGGGCCCTGGTTCATTGGCGGTCGGCTCCCCGAGGATCGCGTCTGACAGACATGATGAGTCTATTCGCTTACGAGGCAACCTGGTCGATTCTGATTGAAGCTTCGCTTAAATAAAAAGAATAATACGGAATAATTTGATGAGTATTTGCCGTTGATCGGAGGTCTGCCGTTGCAAAAAGCTACGTAGCCGCAAATGGGGATTCGAGTAACAGAAACGTCTCCCTGCCATACTATGTACAACGCCAGTAAACCAATATGGACAAAGCAGCAAAGCTAGAGTCCAATTCCAGAACGCACCCTGCGCACCCCACACATACATGCATATCCCGATGACAGGGGTATAGCCCAGGACAAGTCTCACTTCCGTGTTGGCGGATTGGCGGATGTGAAGCACAGGTCGCCCGAAACGTCAATTCAGTAGCTTATACGTAGCTTGAGAAAGTCCGTTCATACAAGTGAATATCCAATCAACGTACCTAAGCTAGCCTCGCTCCAGAATCGTAAGAGAGACCCACGGTCCGATGTCGCGTTACCCGCTGCTGCGGAACACTAGATATTTAGGCGTTAGGTATACTACGTACTGTGCAGTATGTATGGTATATCCGTAGGTACCTAACGTATGTACGTCTATATCGTACCTAGGTATGTAGTATGCGGCCTCTGCGCTATGCAGCCATATGCTGGGGCTAGGTAGCAGATGGCAGGGTCCGAGAAGGACGAATCCATTTACGAGAGCCTCCATTTGGGGTGTGATGCGTGGCAGCGTGGGGTATATTTTTCCAGAATAGACAAATACGTTTTGAGAACCAAATTTAGGAGCTACGGGGGAATCAACTAAGATGCCTTATTTCTCGGATGTCTCACGTACGTATGTTCGTCGTTCAAAGGGGCAATGTCATTATATCCCTCAACAGCAATTAGTATGTCTTGCCGAGCTGACACGGCTACCTTTTTATTAATTTGCCCACGAGGTCATCGATCGAATACCTCATGAGAAGCACCGTCAATACCAGAAAGAACGAGCAGGTCAAGATGTGTCTTTGAACGTGAGTAACCTATAAGTTAGATTTACTTCAAGAGTAAAGAGTATGGAGTAGTGTATGGTGTTTCTGAAGGTTGATTATCAATTGGCCTTACTGTTTGTTTCTGTTGCTAGTGCTTGTGATAGTTATACTATGTAACTCCTATACATCCATCCTATTTAGGATAGTGACAATATCACGTAGCCAATAAAATAGCTGTTCTATGCTTGTCAGATTTGTTAGAGACAGCCCTCCGGGTTTCCTCTAATAACTTCTATTCGGTGCTATTCTGCAAAGCAAAGCGAACCTGCATTTAATTTTAAGTAGGACGGACAGCAGAGTTGCATATGTACAGCAAGTCGGATATGTAACTAGGATTACAAGAGACTAATGCCAGATGTGTCTAGGCCGCGTGACCTTCCGTACCATTGCACTCTTAGTTCGTGTTTTGGGTTCGCTTTACAGGCCTTGCAAAGTTATAAGTAAAAGAATCGACAACAGTAAATAGTCGAATACCACCAATTAGAACGCATGTTTTATGCGACGAGTGTTATCTCGCGCTAGGGTTCCTTGCGAACTGTTTAACTAGTTAGGTCCTAGATCCGTAGTCAATCTAGATCTCGGCGAATATATGACAAGACCGTCACCTCGTTTCTAAGCGTGTATGTATACGTACGGACCACGCGATTCGGAGACCATTGTTCGTCAGATTCCCAGGCCACATCTGTCTATAGACTTACACAACGTCCGTCTCCGATGGTGGTTGCATACCAGCATACGTACTGTATCTCAAGACTTATTAAGCAGGCTGAGGGAACGGAAGGATCAAGCGAGATCGGCCTTAAGAAATCGGAACAAGACTTGAGGAAGTGAGGTACGTAAGGTCTCCCCCTCCTAATCCCTGCTGTCGCGGAGGGAGCGGGGCGGACTTAATTAAAGAGGGCTGACGGACGGCGGGGGCCAAGTCCCCTTAGCACGTGCACCGCATATGTAGCATACTATGTATGTACATCTGTACGCAATATTAAGGGAGAGACGTCTTCGTTGTCTTTCTAAGCGCAAAGAATTCCCACTTTGCGTTCCGAAAACACCCGTAGTTCACCAGCAGCCCCGATGGCAGGATGGCCAGCCTAAATAAAAAGGTATGCAGCGGCCTACGGCTCGTTTTATGAACCGCGGCTTCACCGCCGTCGCCGATGCTCGTAACCGTACGATGTGCTTGCCTAGTAATTTCGGGGTATTCTCATTACCTGATGAAAATATCTTCCCTAGTATTATTCGTCAGTCAGCGTAATTTGGGAAGATTTGACTTGCTGCGGGCAAGGCTCTTTGTCGTAGACTCCGGCATAAAAAAAGAGGAGTATGATGACTCGGGACGAATATTTCTTTATTGCCAACTTGCTTATGAATGAGCTAGACGAGAAGGGTATTGATAGACATAGTTGTATCGCAGGCTGCAAGAAGCACTTGACTTTTATGACAGCCCGTAAAAATGGGAGACTTTGCTTTTGATATTTAGATGCAGTAAAAAACAACAACGAAAAAAATAAATAATATTAATGTCTTAAAGATGCAAGGTTAAAATGTCACATGTGCAATTGCCTGGAATAAAGCTCTTTCCTGTATGTTGTCCTGGCCGTAGGAATAGATTTGCACCTGCCATGTAAGTGACCCGCTTAGTCATAGCAATCCGTAATAATAATTCTTCAATTGGAGCCTCACTTAGGTACATCAGGTACACATCCCACTTCGAATCTTGCTTTGCAGCAACGTCTCCCTGAATTGTCTTCCCAAAACAGCATATTTCCCTCTTCACTACGACCGGGACAATACCACACGAAATGGTCGCTAGCTCGGCACGTCATAGAACCGCCAATTGCATTTAGTCGCGAATCCCCCCCCTTGTCCTGTTCTCCTGTTCCTAATCCGAGTTCGACTACCATGCTGTCCCTCCTCCCGGACCTAACACCACGCGATGTACGTTGTTGGTCCGCCCCTATACCGCATCTCCGGATAATCTTCTAGCTTGGGAGGCTAACAATTGGCAAAACAGTCGCACTCGCTATGGTACACCTCCTCCCGCAACCCCCTCTCGAGCTTCGCGTACGATGCAAACCCTCAGCAGCCACAACAGCAGCAGCAGTTGCAGCAGGACAGCTCCTCCGGGAACCCCCACGGGGCTAATAACCACCGCCGCGGGGCCCATCTGGTTGAGCGGTCGCCGCTCGCACGCCTACGCGCTGACGAGCAGAACCTCGAGCGCCGCCGTCTAAACGTCGCTAACTTCGGTAGCGCATGGCTCAAGCCTCCTGGCATTCCCAAGACCCTGCACCAGCTGCGCGAGGAGCGCCGCGAGGCCGAAGAGCACCAGGAAGCATTGCGTCGCGAGCAGCTGGCCCAGGAACTCGCCGAGGCTGAGGCCGCGGGCGTTAACGCCGTCGAAGCCGATCTCGACGTGCAGGGCGACGATGGGGTTATGGACGACGTGCAATTAGACGGAGCTAGGGACTTGGACGAAGACATCCCTGAGGCGGATGCCGACTTTGGTATCGGATCTGATGATGAGGATGAAGAAGATGAAGATGATAGTGACGATGATGACGACTCTGAAGATGATTCTGAAGATGACGACGATGATGACCCAGAGCAAAGGGCAGCACATGCGCAGCAGCAGCTCATGGCACAAAGGATGAGACAAGCCGACGACGCATTTCGCGAATCAGGGCTTCGCGGCCGAGATAGCAATTACTACGGTGTCGACGACGAAGTAGACGACGAAGACCAAGCCCAGATGATCGAGGAAGACGACCTAATCGGTCACGGAGACGGCGCGGACATGGACATGGACGCCGACCTCGACGATGATATCCCCGAAGCGGAGGACGGAGGCTATGAGCACACGGACTCTGAGGCGGATATGAGCAGCGACGAAGAAGATGACCAACCCGAGATGAGCTTTGCCGCACAGGCATCTCAGCAGGCGTCCCAGCAGGCGTCACAACAACATAGGTACAGGCATAGTCTAGCACGTAGCGACGCGACGCGACATAGCCTCGCTATTAGCGATATCCTATCCCACGACGGTGACAGCATCGGAAGCAGCCCGCAATTCCAACGGCGAGGCAGCGGTCCCGCGCGTCGAGCTCGAGGTTGAAGATTGGGCCTTGCTTGTATTCAGACCACATCTCATCGCATCACTTTGCATCGCATCTGCATTAGTACCTTAAGATACCCATCCCCTTTTATTGTTCTTCGTTCTTCCGCGCCGCCCCCCCTATGGAGAATCCGTAGCCAGCCAGCCAGCCAACCGGTCTTTAGTATTTTCTAATGAAAGAAACAGAAAAGACGATGAATATATGAATTATGATACATTTGATTACAAGGCTCGTAAAGCAACCCCGGCCGGCCCGCGTCTTCCCATATGTACTCGTGAACTCGTACCGTACCATACGTGCAGTGTAGTATGTCCTATTCAGAGAAGCCAAAAGCCAAAATATTAATAATAACCCTTTTGCGCATCATATCGCTCCTATACCAAAGCATCCTAAAACGCCTTTTTTGCATAATGCTTTGCTTCCCTTCTCTTGTGTCATCATTTTTCTCTAAATCGTCTTGGTCAGAATGATACCACCTCGCCTCGTTTCCTTTCGTCTAGTCTTCGTAGGCAAAGTGGAAGCGAATATCAGAGATGCGAAAACCGCAAACCGCAAACGGGGTAGATAATTAAAACAGCCAGACGTAGACGAAAATAAAGATGACGGCGGCAAAAAACGCCAGCCACACCTTCCAACCGACACCGGTGCGCTCCGCCATAACAAGCATGCGGTTCATGGTGCCGCGCAGCCGTAGACGCGTCGAATCGAACGTATCGTTCATCTTCTCCGCAAGCGCCGAAGATTCCCTGATCTCGTCGCCGATGGCCACTGTCATCTTGGGACCGGGGTAGGGTCGCGTTAGCATAAACCTTTTCAAAACGTGTACATCCCCTTTCTCGCACACTCTCCTCTCTCTTGCGCAGCCACACTGGTTAGGTTGCTTCTTTTGTTTGTGTAAATGATATGATAGAATATCCAAACCAAGCAAACCTCCCCCCTCAACTTACGCGCAGCATCAACAGCAGGACGAAACTCACATCTTTCAGGATCTTGACCTTCCCTAAGATGCCCTCGACCTGCTGGTCGTTCTGGCTCTCGAGCTCGTTGAGCACCGCGTCGCTGTATTGGCCCCTGTCCGTCATTCGCCCGTTAGCTGGCTTATTCGTTCGGCGTCGTAGATATTTAATCGTATAGACAGGTAAGGTAGATGGGTATAGGCGTGAGCAAGTGAGTAGGTAGGTATTCGTACCTCGAATTCGGTGTCGCAGACCTATAACCCCCCCTACTATCCACACCTAAATGCGTGCTATTACCGCCGGTCGCCGCGCCGTTGCTTCCCCCGGGATACCCATACCCGTAGCCGCCCAGCGCCGGGCTGGTTCGTCTCGCAGGGTCGGCGCTATTCCGTCCGCTGCCGCTGTAGCCCTCGAACAGGGCGCTGCGGGAATCTCGCTGGTGGAGCGTCGAGTGGCCAAACCTACGACGATGCATTCCGTTAGCTTAGTCCGGCCTGGACAAATGAACATCCACCCCGTAGTGTTGGTAGTGCTTGTGCCGTATGCAAGCATACACATAAATATGCAAACGCCCTCCTCCCCTCCCTCCCCTTTCTCGCCTCGCCACGGCGCGATCTACAACAAATCTCCTAGTGTCCCAAGAAACCCGCACCCCAGGTTACCGCGAAGCAAGACCCAACCTGGAAACAGTCTATTCGACAAGTGTTCGTACGTACCTTGATGCCATGCTGTTGCAAAGCGTTTGCAGCAGAAAAAGAAAAGTTTGGATAAGAAGAAGATTGGGTGACAACGTATCTTATTCGATGTTGCACGACTCAAAGAAGTGGCAGCTTGGCAGCTAATATAAGGTAAGCATGAATTAATTTGCTGGGGATAAAAAAGCATCTGCTAAATGCTGCCACGTGTGGTTGCAGCGTACTTATTTCCCCCCAAAACAATTACGTCTGTACTATGTACATAAAGTTTACTCTAGGTACGTACATGCAACTTACATAACAGGCATTTGACGGCTATCAGCGCAGTATCCGCAACCTTCTCCAGCCGACGGCAGCCATCAAGGAAAAGATCCAGGAATCAGAATCAGATGACGTTAAGGTTAACCTAAAGTGAATTGTATAAGCTTACAGCTTTATATTAATAGAAAGCTTGAATCGACTTTATATGTCAAGTGGCGATCAATTACTTATCCCAAGTGAAATCACCAATTCAACTTAGCATGAGATAGATGTTCACCTAACTATGATAAATATCATTAATTAGGTAGCAATATCTTATACGAGTCGTGTTAAACATATGCCAATAGTAAGAATATCCCCAGAAGTGAAAGCTAAGAGCCCAAACCATAGTGTTCAAATCTACCTACACGAAAATAAGCATCAAACCCATACTAGTCACAAAGTAAAAAAGGGTTGTCGAGTCTATGTTTTCAATAGGATTAACAATGCTCTCACACTGTAGTCTTATTATTATGGATTGGGAACCAAAAATGCCCCTATTCTCCTTCTCACACGAGACGGTCTGGATTAAACCGGAGCGGCTTCATCCAAAACCCATGTCAGTTAACTCGTAATCCCGCGCCGCTGTTTAGATCCATCACTCCGCCTTGTCCATACACATGCCCGTTAATCCCTCTTCCTTGCTCCTCAACTCCTCGTAAGCCAGGTTACCGAGTTACTCCATTCAGGACGTAACAGTGGTATCGAAAGGTAAACGGTAGAGTTGTACGTCGCTTCAAGTAGACGGATAACGATCGTGATATTAGTTTGCGGTACAATGGAACATAGGAAGCGACCCGAGGACCAAAAAGTAGGACTCAAGACTGTATCGTAGAAGTCGCTTCGGTCGAATATATATAGCAGTCGCTATATTCCCTTGCTTTGTACGTTGTGACCTTGGAATTAAGACCTCCAGAAGAAAAAAAAAACATCTAGAGCAGATTCGCTAGTAGAAATATTATGCACAAAGGATAGTAAGCTGTGATGCAAAGACCGTTGAACTCCTTTTAGAATCCAAAGACAAAATGTAAAACACGACATAATACCGTCGTCCGAAAGAAAAATATCTTGTGTCCAGGCTCGGGTATCATCTGAACAGCAACAGAAAACCAGTACAAAGAATTTAAAAGTTTTGGGAGATGCCGGTGCTTTGTTGAGGATAGTGCGACGGGTTCTCAATGCGGGTATTGCGTCGAGCTGGATTGTCCCGTATAACAGGTTGTCCATATGCGCCGTCAGCATACGGGTTGTTCCCGCCATATTGATCCAAGTAAGCCGGACCTCCGTAAGAGGCACCATTCTCCCCAGAGCCATCTGATCTGCCGGCGGCACTGTAGGACGACGAGGCATTGGAGGGACCACGGCGAACATCACCGTTGCCGTTATTACCATCGGCGGCTGGGCCCATAGCGCCGAGGATCTCACCCTCGGTCGGCGAGCCAGAACGATCATTCATTAGACCGTCTCCTGATCTCGTGTCAGAAAAGTTGCCTCGGGTTGGTGACGTTGCATCTGAATAGGCCACACCTGCTGCACCACCAGACATGGTGGTGGAAGCTTTTCTCCCAGTTGAACCGGCTAGGGTTGTAGAACCCCATCCACGATAGCCTGATCCATCTTCCTTCATCTCGTAGGCTCCCGCGGCACCAGCGGCTCCCACATCCGGCAAAGTCGGGTCGTTATTTGGGTTATAGCTGTAATCTTCTACTTCTTTCCGCCTCTCCTCTGCAGCATCCTTTCGTTGCTTTCGTTTCCTCCAGAAGTAGATACCCGCAGCAACTAGAATTGCCACCGCAGCGATTGGAACTACAACAGCAACAGCAATTTTGGCCTGCTCGGCCATCTGGGGCGAGCTAGAAGCACCTGGGGATATAATTGCATCAGATGGGCCTGCCGAAGATGTCTGACTTGTCGGCTGCCCAGGCTGCGCGGTCACCTGGGTCGAGGTAACGGTGATGAATTGTGTACTCCCATCTGCCCCTGTGCTCACTTGCGTTGTAGTGATGATCACACTTGTTGGCGTCGGTGTCGGTGTTGGTGTCTCCGAAGTAGAGCTAGATGGTGTCGATGTCGATGTCGATGTCGATGTCGATGTCGATGTCGGTGATGTAGGGGTAGGAGGGGTTGACGTTGACGTTGACGTAGTAGTAGGCGGTGGGGGGTCGGAAGTAGTTGTACTCTCAGACGTAGATGTAGGAGACGGTGATGGTGCTGAAGTAGGAGTTGATGTTGTCGGGTCTGGAGTTGACGTTGACGGTTCGGGGGTACTAGTAGAAGTGGTCTCGGGAGTTGGTGTACTACTACTGGAAGTCTCAGCTGGAGGACTGGTAGACGTAGTCTCAGTCGGGCTCACAGACGGGCTATCAGACGGACTATCAGATGGGCTCGACACTGCGTCCGGTGTGGACGTGTCGGCGTTTGTACTGTTAGAAGACATGGTAAACTGCCTCCTGGCTAGCAATCCGGAGAGATGCCTAGGGAGCGCCATGTTAGCATCATCGAATGGCTTGAGAAGAGAGTGGTGAAGAACATTGAAGACAGTTAAGATCGGTTGAAAATAACGTATAAGGAGCCGATCGCAAGAGGGTCTAAACAAAGTGGAACACGATTAGGATGAATGGGGCGCTGATACTTATTGGTCCAATGAAGTTATCATGGAATGTGTCGCAAATCGCCACAGCACAAATTCTCAATGAATTCTCAATGAATAACAAAACGGAATGAGAAACGTACCTTTTTACAAAACCTGCTAGCCGAGTTGGCCAACTCACAGTCGAATAAAGACTGGATGAGAGAGCCGCAACTCTTTTTTAGTGGAATCGAGAGTTGGACTTGGCTGCTGTTTCGAGTTGGGCCGTCTTGAGACGCGAACGGGGTGAGCGCCAGAAGGGAGAACGAAGACGAGAATAGGACAACAATATGGGGGAATACAGTATTGTACAGTGGTACGGCCGGCGGGTGGGCGGTCTTAACTACATAACCTAGAGCAATTGGGAACGATTGGAACAGACGAATAGGCTAACGCATACAAAGTACACTGTGCAGGGGGACTCCTAGGGTAAGGCGTGGCTGAGCTCTATTTTTTTTCCCGCTTGTGCCTCTTAATCCTCGTGTCTCTCTCAGCATATGCAAGGAGATTGGAAATGATAGGTCAGGAATGCAGCAAACCAGAACGGGTCCAGGAGTTCTAGTTTGCAATAAGTCTCGGTATGTAGAAACGACGGTGGACTCTTAGCAAAACGAAGGTCAATTCATACATATCTGTATATTAGGTCATAGACTTGACGATGTCGTCAGAGAGCAGAACCATAATCGATGAAGACAAAAAAAAGATCAATCGGAAAGGTGAAAGAGAAGTCGACAAGGGGGTCGATTCCCCGTGGGTGAAGATTGACAGTACATAATTAAAAAAAGAAAAAAAAAAAGTTGGAAATTTCAATGCAAGACGGATATGTTCGATCCGGGAAGGTACTCAATTGAGTTTAACCTCGCAGCCTACCTACACCAGACGCAGGAATATTCCCGGCCGCTATGATGATTTTAAGTGACTTCCACGTTTAATATTTTAGCCAACTTAGCTGCTTTGGTTTTAGGTATGTAGTACGAGGTACACTATCTGATAGATTAGCAGATCTGATGCCATAAATGACTTAGCGTCCTTCTTTCGTGCTTTGCCCCTGGCGGCTTGTGGCTTAACCGCCCAAGTAATAACAAGTCCGAAGTGATGAAGCCTCTTTCGGTCATCATCTTATTATTGTCCTATCTAAGCCGTATTTCGCTTCCATAACTACTAACAATACATAAGTCAAAGAAATATCCTATCCTCAAAAGCCGAGTATTTATCAGGTTATATAAGTACAACTTCATCTCGACGACGTTATGTTGCCCCTGACTAACAAAGCCGCGGTATGTACAAACTAGCACGACTCAAAATTCTGGTTAAAATAAGGCACATCCACATTAGGTATTGACAGCTGACATCCGAATTCCGAGGCAGCTCAATGTTGGCAACTCTATTTACTTAAACTAATGTCAAAGGGTTGATAGCGGTATTAGCCTCATAGCTTAACCTGTCTGCTGTATCTATCGACTCTAATTGATTTTAAGGTTTCTTCGGCTCACTACGTTCTTAAGTATGTGATCATTCGATATCGAAGGAAAACACAATTTGCAACTCTATAAATTACTGATACTGCGTTCATTAACACTTGAGGCTGCCATAGACTTAATACGCCCTATACCTCAACCGTAGCATACGAATACCCGCTTCTATATGAGCTACGCGATTCAATATCGCACCGATGAAGAGACCATTGTTTTTAATCGAATAGCCTCACACTACACATACCACTATTGTACGATGACATATGTTCTTCTATTCCAACCAACCTCTGCCTCTGTAAGCTCTGCAGCTTCTACGTAGGGCATAGTCTCAGCCCCAGCATCATGTATGCAACACAACACAACCCGCCGTTCAATATTCCCAATCCATAGCCCCCATACCATACGGTAATCCCTCCAAATCTACCACGGCTCTATTTAGCCTCCATTTCCAATAATGGAAAATCAATGCTAAGTAATCGACAACGCATCATTAGAACGTCAATAGCGACCATCGGACGGACTTACAACCCCGTTCCAGCCATAGCAGCAGAAGCAATTCCTGCTTTCAAGTTGACGTCCCTTGGACATACACTATTAATACACAATTTATAGTTTCTCTTCAACGTCATGTCTACCACGGCCAAAAATTCAATGCGCCCGCGACGAGATATAATTGGCCCACCTCAGCCCGTCCATGACGATCCAACCCGACAGCCAATACGGCCTACCTTGGGTACCTTAACCAGCTTGCCATCTCAGTCAACGCTCTCCACAAATCCGATCTGCGATTCCTCATCTAACCCAAGGAATTGTTTATAAAAATAGCCAGCTACGTTATTCGTTATTATATAAATGGATCTGAATGATGTTTGTACACCGTAGATCGACGCGCCCCCATACGAAACACCGCAACAGGATCTCCGTGCGCCACCGTCAGAGTAAGCGCCAACTAATCTTACATACATACCTAGTAGACAAGTAGAGCCGCCACGGAGGAAACGTTACAGGCAATCTTCGGACGCCGAGACTACATACATACCTACCTAAGTACCTACTTCTTAAAGTAGATCTTCTAACCGCCAAGTCAAGAGGCTGAAAAAACAATAAACAAAAACATAAGACGATGCGGCGGCATAGGATTGATTTTATGACAACAAAGGCAACACGGCTTCTCTCCAGCTATACCTACCTAGCAAAATGATAGAAGTGAAATCCATATTAAAACACGGTATAGGTATAGTAAAAGATGGGTTAACAGGAACTATTATGCAACGCCTACAAATAAAAACTAGCCACACCATTTTAGTTATAATATTGTTAAATAAAATCAATAAGCAAAAATCCCTAGGTATCTGTCGGTACAAACTGCACCTATCCTTCTATGTTTCCGCCATGCAAGGTAAAATGCTTCGCCGATCATGCTTGCTTTCCATATTACTCCTCGACTGGAAGAAAAAACGGCATTAACAGTACATATTTGATCAGATATACAAGACAACTGGCTTTCGCCGCCTTCTAAGTCATGACTGTATATCAAGCCTTATATTTCATTAGTCGCTCTAGTCCCTCATGTTCCACGATGGTTTCAGAGTATTGCCCATCGCCTGCTGCGTGAAAACGGTGTCTCCTGGTAGACGACTGACTCTACCAGCACCGCCGCGGATAGCGCTTAAATTAGCAGACGAAATACCGCTGCGGTTGCTGACAACACTACCCGAGTCGCTCATTGCCTCGGGGTCCTTAAACCGACGCGGGGGAGCGAAATCGAGGGCAGTGAACGTTCCTGATTTACGCAACAAGTGACTAAGATTCATGTTAGTATTTAGCTTGCAAAAGTATTATTAGGAATTCACTTACGGGCTGGGTAATGCTGGCGTGTCGTCGAAAGCGCTCACTAGCGGCGAGTGGATTGGCGTATTCAAGACGTAAGGCTTGCGTTCACCAACAGGGCTCTGCGACCGACCAGCCGCGATGTCCTTGAAAGAAGGGGGAGGAGCAAAGTCGATGGAACCCATAATAGCAAAAGAGTCATCTCTCAACTTGGAAGGAGTAGGCAATGTGTTAAGCGCGGCAGGAGGGGGCATCGGCTTTCGCGGTTTGCCACCCGCCCCATTACCTGCGAAGCGGTTGGAGGCTGATGAATCCGGACGCGGGCTCATCGGTGCCCATCTACCAGCTGATTGGGTGGAACCAGCCCTGGGCCTTCCACGAGGTCCACCAGGCATGTTCATGCTTCCGTGAGGACCGTGCGGGCCGGGAGGACCACGGGGTCCCGGTCCAGGCATCGGCCGTCGGTTGCTCGGAGGGGGAGTCATAGCACGACGAGTAACAGGTTGCGCGTAAGGCATAACGAACGCATTGCTGTCGGGGTCGAAAAATGCGGTATCGCCGAGATAGTTGGTATCGTGATCGTCATAGTAGGCTGCTTTCTGTGCTTGCTGAGGAATTGGTGGTGGTTTTCCGGAATCCGTCTTCGTCTCCTCGAAGTACTCCTTGTAGAATGAACGAATCCTGTTGGCTCTGAATTCGGGATCTTCCGACTCGAGGAAATCATCCGGCGGAAGAGGACGGAACCCAACAGATAGCCTGCGGTTATCCTTGCCGGGCACGCCCAGGCCAGCGGAATGTGGGTGCTCAGGCTCGTTTATACGTGGCGGCATGGGTCGGTCGCCGCTAGCCGTTACATCATCATCGGCGTCGTCGATTTGGAAATGAGCCGTGTAATCCTCATAGTCGTCAGTGACATTAGATGCGGCAGCAAGCGATTCATTCCTAGGCGGTCGCGCTCCTGCGGGAAACGAGTTGGTATTTGGCGAGCTATCCGTCGAGTTCTGAGAGGCGCGAGCATCCATAATACCTAGACCTTGGCCGCCGGACTTTGGCATAGCAACAGAGTTCATGGTAGTCGCAGATCCGACAGCGTTAACAGAGCCGTTAGAAACACGCGAAGCTGCCGCTGCCGGCTCCTGAATCTCAGGGACCTTAGCGACAGTTGGGGCATCATTGACGAAGCGAAATTCATTCTTAACTGGGAGGGGAGGTTGTTTCTCTGCCGATTCACGACGCGATGATCGCTTCGCAGCTGGAGGCACTGGCTGAAGAGGAGATGGAGATGAAGGCAGCCCCTTTTGGCCGGGCCTCTGCCCGGGTCCTGAACGCCTATCAGGTCCTTTCTGGACGGAGCGTAAAGAACCCGCATCACTAGCGCCATAGCTGGTAACAGGTCGATAAGGATCTTCAGCTTGGTTGAGGCTCTTCGCAAGTGATTCCCGGGAGTTCTGTAGGTTGGGCGGAAGGAGGTAAGGACTTGAAAGATTCATATCCATAGAAAGTTGCATTTTATGACTCGGGTCCTTCTCCTTTCCGAAGAAAGCACTACGCCTCTTACCCGCTTTGCCGGCCAAATTGCCATCGAGACCAAAGTCCATTGACTTGTATTTGTCCGTCTCATCCTCTTTTCTCTGCATTACAGTTGTTCGATAGTGTAAATAAAGCAGGACGGAAACTGCAAGTCCCACCGGAATGCTACGGAATTCGTTAGTCATATCAGTAATTGAACCAGAGAATATTAATCCTCACCAAATACCTAGGATGATCGGAAGAGTCATCGAGCCACCAACTGGCTTCTCATCGAGATTATTCTCTCTCGGGACGATTTGAGCAATCGTATTTGTTCCGGTGAGAACTGAGTTGCCGATCCCTTGTCCAGTCTCTAGTTGGCTAGGCTGCTCTGCCTCTGAAGGCAATCCCCTTATATGGAAATGATGGTGGCCGTGGCCATGACCACGACCGCGAATAAAATGCCCCGTCATGGTGTCCAACTTCACACCCTCAATTCCTTCTCTTAAAATTCACCTGAAGCTAGATATAACTAGACAGGTATATGTCAACGCCGATGTCGATCAAATCCAACGTGATATTAAGCTCATGCCAAAGCGGTATTCGGGATAACCGTCGAAAGTTGAAGGAAGCGCCGTTTAAATCAAGAATCCTGCCCACTATGCTGAAATCGAATATTATTCTACGAAATCGATGTCTTAACGCTAATTGCCCGGGTAACGCAAGGTCAGAAAGAATGACTTGTTGATCGGGCACAAATGAATGACTCGAGGTTAGCTATTATTAAGGAATGGCACGCCCGCTGGCAGGCAGTTGGGTCAGTTGACCGATTGTCGAGGGACTCCTGTATTAGGTGTTGGGGTGAATGGGATGAAGGAGAGAGAGAGCAGAAGCAAAAGGGACAAAAGAAAGGTGATTGACCGAATACAAATGCAGAGTCTCTTTTGGGTGACTGGGATCAGGGGAACCAACGAATGACAAGTAATATGGCGGAAATGAATGAAGGGATTGTGGGGACTGCGGTACGTTAGGTACTATGTACTGTGTAGCTTCAGATGGGGGGAAGAATTCCAACCGAATAAGAGCACTGTCCTGACTACTGGTAAGCCACCGGACAGGGCAAACATTCACTAGAGGGAACTGAGGAAACACGCAAGTCAGTGGGCGGCCACTGACTGTGACGGGTCTGTAGTGTAGTACAGCACTGTGCAGTCCCTGATAGGAGCAAGGGGACTAATGCAGGAACAGAAAGGCCATCCAATCAGATCCCATAATTATCTGGAAACGCTGATAGGAGGACATGGATTAAGCTACCCTAGTCCGAAAAAGAACTGGTCCAATTAGCTCCCCCTTTTCGGGCAACTTGGTTACGTTGCTTGAATCGTTCGAATCAGCCCTGGCGACCTCCGCAGCTTCCCCTTTATGTACCTAGGTCTAGGTAGGTACTTTTAGGAGGGTTATAAGTCGGGCATAGATGCTTTAACCAGCTTGTATCCGGCCGAAATGAAAAGACAGCCTGCTTGTTAATTTCAAGGTTGTGTAAGAGACTTGAGCAATACATTGTCGACAACTAATTGATTAGTTCAATACCTCCTATGAATAGAACCTATCGCATCGGACGACGGTTCTCAATTAACCATACCATCTAATCCATCTTGTTGGTAACAGCATGCACCCGTTATAAATAGGTTCAAGTTGTTCGTGAGACGGCTCCAGATTGGATCCTAAGGTAACATAGGTAACACCTGCTCGAGGTAGGTCGGTGGATTAATAGTAATCAAGGAAAATCCCGTAAGTCCTGATTGAAGCTTAGCTGGTGCAGCTAACCTAGAAGTGTACTAATCCAACGACTGAAAGCTTGTTTCTTGTTTCTTTTTGAAACGATCCCTGGCGATTGGCTATTTGCGTCTCAGCCTCAACGGGTTCGACTGCAATACGGATTATTGTTTCATAGCTTGCTTCTCTTTAACGAGCATACCTCAACTACCTGTCTTGGATAGGGAGGTGGATATCATTAGAATATTTAGCCTTCCAACTGGGGAGCACGATGGCCTCGACCACAATAGACCTCGTCGTCAAAACACGCCAGGTCAATTGTGTCAATTGTGTCAATTGTGTCAATTGTCTATTCCGGTAAACCCTTATGACTTGACTTGGTAATATCCTGACGCATACTCTAGAAGCCACTCCTTCTCGATTTTGCTGATATCGCGGATGAATATCTTGCTGCCAGTTTCCATAACCTCGTGGAAAATTACCCAATCAGCTTTGCGATTGAACATTAAAGAACTAGGATGCGCATAGAGTGTCGTTCCACCTTCAACGTTGCGGAAACTTCCATCGGGTTGCATTCTAGCTGCGTGAGCAAAATATCCCGTCGTGAGACATCGTCGAATCTGCTCTCCTTTATTGACCGCTGATGTCTTGAGGCTCTCGTCTACTGCTATTCCAAACCGTTCCAGGTAGCGTTTCAGTTGCGCCCTGATGCTTACGGCGCGGGTCATAGCTTTAAAATTGAGATGGTTTTCGTGACAAAACTTCGACTCTTTCTTGCCCTTGGTTACAAATGCTTGGTAGACATTTAGAAGCGTCAAGTGATCACCTTCTTCTGCGGCGAATTTTCGTCGTGAAGACTCTGTCAGCTTCTTTTCGCCTTCCCTCTGGATCCATACGGAACCGCTTAGGGTTGTCATCGCCGCGATTGTAAGTATTTCGCTAAGGCAACCAAATGATGAGGCCGTTAATAGGGTTTTCGCCATCATGGGCTCCACCGCAAGCTCCGCCATCCGCATACCCAGCGGTTTTGTAAGTTTAGCGTACTCATCCAGGGCACCCAGGGCAAAAAGCAGTTCTGTTGCTTTGGCCATAAGCTCCGCAGGCGGTGGTGTCAGATAGTCGAAGCGTACGACGTTATCAATACCGAGCGCCTTCAGTTGCAAAATAAATGGTGCAAGGTTAGACCTTTGTATCTCCGGGATGTTCGCATCAGGTAAGGCCTGAAAAGCCTTTTCAGTATAAAGTCGAAAACATTTCCCTGGCTTCGTGCGCCCGGCCCTTCCCGCACGCTGCTGTGCCGCCGCCTTCGAGACAGGCGTTGCTGTTAAAGACTCGATGCCAGTCTTAGGATCGAAGGCTCTTAGCTTGACGAAGCCCGAATCGATAACATAGACAATACCGTCGATCGTAACGGATGCTTCCGCGATATTAGTCGAGATTATGACTTTTCTTGTGTTCTCAGGCGGACTATCAAATACTAGCATCTGTTGCTCCGTTGATAACCCCGCATATAATGGAAGGGCAGAGATTGATTGAGCGGCTGGCGGAAGTTGGGCTGCTCGTTCCGCAATGGCTTGGACAGCTGTATCAATCTCTTCCCGACCGGTCATAAAGACAAGAATATCGCCATCCGGCTCTTTGGTATGGATGTCGAAAATCGTAGATATCGCCTTTTCAACGTAGTCTTCTGTCGGTGACTCTAAGTAGAGAACATCTACTGGATACATCCTACCTTCGAGGCTAATTATTGAACCTATCTCACTCTTTTCGCCGTCGGGAGGTCCTTGGTTATCAGACTGCTGGGAGAAGAAGTTGAGAAAGTCTTCCGCCTGAAGAGTAGCGCTACTAATGATAATACGTAGCTCTGGTCTTCGCTTCCGTATCTTCTTAAGAAGACCAAGGAGAATATCCGTGCTTATAGACCTCTCATGGGCTTCGTCGACCATGATAACGGAGTAACGTGATAGTAGTGGGTCGACCAGAGCTTCTCGAATAAGTAGCCCATCTGTTAAAAATTTAATTCGAGTTGCAGCAGACGTCACATCCTCGAATCTAATCGAGTAGCCCACCTCTTTTCCTAACTCACAGCCATACTCCTCGGCTACTCTGATTGCAACTGTTGTAGCAGCCACTCTTCTGGGCTGGTTAAGTTAGACATAGATTACAAGAAGAAGCAAGGAATCATACCTGAGTAACACCAACTATCTTACCGTCGGAACACCATCCCGCATGCTCGAGGAACTGGGGTATTTGTGTGGTTTTGCCGGAACCTGTGTGCCCAACAACGATTGTTACCGGGTTTTTCTCGATAAGGTAGAGCAAGCTATCGTGATGCTTGGCGATGGGTAGTAACGCCGAAGGCTTATGAAGAGCAGGGATGAATGTTGAGTTGAGGTCAAAGTCCGCCATATCGAATAGAGTTTTCCTTTCGAAAGTAATGTTGATTTGTCGCTTTACCACGTTTCCAAGTGTAAGTCTTGTATACTTGATACTTGTTGAACGTGCACCCCAGATTCTATCTATGTAGGTAGGTAGTTTATGATCTACATACGAGGTAGTTAGACAATCAAACTAACTATGTAGTCTAAGAATGTTTGCAATTTTTTGAGTTCAGTAGATATCAAAACATTCCATGTTCGGTGTTGCAGCAAATAGACATGAATTTCGAGACTTTAGAAGTCTGTTTTAAAGATGCTTCAAGCTAAAATGCCGATAATATAATAGTACCAAGTACGTGCATGTGAATAATCTTTTACCCTTATGGTACATGAGTTTATTCACCTACGCAACTGCCTAAGATCTGTGGCGCAGTATCTAGCACTTCCGTGTATTGTACCTAGGTACCTACGTATTCATTGTCACTCAGCCCTGTGGCGGGGAACGTCATCCGCGTCGCAACTCACCTTGCCCCTCAGGCCGCCGAGATATTAGGTTAGTACATACATAATGCAATGTATGTATGCGCATGAACCCATAGCTGTATCTTTAAACTCTAAACTCTCCTGTTTTACATTAAGCTGTGCCTCATTAGGCAAACAATTTTTATCCTCTTCTACTTCTACTTCTGCAACGATAACTCCATTTTGCCATATTGCTATTTTACCAATAATCATTCGTTAATTCATATCAACCTCCTATTTTACTTATCTCTCCTATATCCACTTGATCAACATGTCGGCCCCAACTGATACGGTGAGTTTCCATGTGAACCTATTACCGAATTTAATGCAATGTCCCGCATTTTTATTTCTCAATGAGAACTTCATTCGCTAACATCGTACCTGGTAATTACTTATAGAGCAAGGCTAATCCAGCGCCTGAATCTCCGACCACTGTACGCCCTTTCGAAATGGACGACGATGATATCCAAGAGACGGGCATTCTTGGGGATGATAATGCCCATCAGACGACCGCGACCGCGAACGCGACCTCGACTGCCGCCAACCCGCCCACAGTCAGCGAAGAAACCGCACCGCCCAAGCCTCCTCGGCCAGTCACCGAGCAACAGAAGAAAGAATTAATTCTCAAGGAGGCCTTTCCGAGCATCGAATTACCGGTCATCAAAGCCGTTTTAATCGCGAGCGGTGGTCAAATCGATCCAGCTTTCAATGCTCTATTAGGTATGTATAATGCCGCTCAAGGACCGAACCGATTCGTTAATCGTAAATGAAGCTATGAGCGATCCGGATGCCGTCCAAAACGAACCCGCGCGCGAGGAGGCTGCCCCTCCGCCTCAACCTCCGCGGCCTACTGGGGCTAGAAGTCCCATGTCGCAAATAGAGGCCGACGAGCTCTACGCCCGAGAACTTACCCAATACTACGAAAATGTTGGTGCCTACGAAGCGAGAACGACAAATCAAGGTCACGGTGGCCAGTATCGCCGACAAGCGACAGGTCTAAAGCCCAACGAGATGTACGACCGAGACCACAGCTTCATTGATGATGACTTGCCCGTCATTAAGGAAAACCTCCGCAAAGGATTCCTTGAGACGCAAACGAAGGTCAACTCCTGGTTCACCAACTTAAAGAAGAAGATCGACGGCGAGTATGATGAAAATGAGGACGAGACGCAGCCCTCTAAGCATCAACGCCAGGGTTTCGGTAGACGTAGTGGGGAAGGCTCGCGAAGAAGTGCCGACTACGATCGCTACGACGCCGACCCACAAGTTCTCAGCGACGACTTTGCAGGGATAAGGCTTCATCCGGATGGTAGTGAGTAATACTTGATTATACTATAAAAGAACCGCAGCTAACACCAACATAGGGCCATCTCAAGAACGCCCTTCAGGCAACCCAAGTCTCTATAGACCACCGCCATCTACATCTCCTAAACCTGAGGGTCGCAAGGTTGCCTTTAAGGAGGGAGTCGAAGACATTGACCAATATAATGCCTCCCCAAGAATTCCACCCAAAGACAGCAGCGCAACTCCCCCTCCCGGCAAGCAGAGCAAATGGCAGCCTTTGTCGACAATTGAACCCGATCCGATTACAGATAACGACCCTTTCAGCCTCGGGGACAGCGAGGACGAGAAAGACGCGAAGGAAAAGAATAGCGGAGGGATCAAGATGGAAGACAGCGAAAGGCTCAAGCAAGCTACAGCAGATGCTATGGCTGATAACTTGGTCGGGGGTTCTGGAAAGAAGACGGGTGGTAAGGATTAAATGAGACGGGGTTAGAATACCGATTACTGCACATTTAGTGGTAGAGGTAGAGAAGGTAGAGATAGGGTAATGTTGAGTGACGCGGCTTGATTGCGCCGTACGTAGCTAGGCTATGCTACGCTATTCATTGGCCTTTACATCATCATTACCGATTTGTTTAATCATTCCTTGCCGTATGAAACCCGAAACCCGGTCCCCGAGTTGAATACCTACCTTAGACAAGTAATAAGTCATCGTATACGCGGACCAACGTCTGACGGTCTCGACCACAAGACGACGATCGTACCAGACTACAGGTAATAGTAAGTTGGTAACGAGGCACAAATAGCAACGGTTTAATTGGCTAAATGTACAGCATATAATCGTATCCGTATTATACCCTAGCATTAAGGCGATACGTCTCCTTCTGTTGTATGCAAGACGGGGGTATAGACAGCCCGGGAACACTCCAACGGTTCACAATAAGTATCCGATACTACTAAACCTGTACTTCTTACTCTGTAGACTATGTTGCGACTCACCCCCGCATTGAAATGACTCTGTGAAAGATATATAGGTAATACATGTGAAGACCTTGCGGGTGCCTAGGGATCCGAACATTTCATATAAGTACCTAACGTATGTAATTCGCTATTTATCGCATGCTCATTTCCCTCGTTTGTAGATAGGCATAGTATTATATCTTATATGTCTTATATAAGATATAACTAACGATGTCGAGGTTATCAGAGTTGCTAGATGTTGGGAAATCCAACACTGCGAAATATGCCATACTCGCAGCCGTCGTGGTACGTTTCGAACCGATATAACCATACGTACCTAATGATAGCTAATAATATAATACGGCACAGCTAATCATATCCGAAATAACGATAATCGTCTATAATCTTTACTTTCACCCGCTCCGTGACTATCCCGGGCCGACATTATACAAAGCATCCCGACTACCGTGGGCTTTCAAATTTGCCACCGGCTCTCAGGCTTTCTTCGTTCAGAAACTTCACGACGAATATGGACCTGTCGTTCGTATCGGGCCCAACCACCTTTCCTATACGGATCCGAGAGCATGGAAAGACATCTATGGTCATCGAATCGGCGGCGAAAGCAGCATGAATGAGATGTCGAAGGCGCATACTTTCGCTAAGACGATTCGCAACAGACCCGACTCGATCTTGACTCTAAATCGCGATGATCACTCTAAGTTTCGCCGCGCCCTTTCTCACGGTTTCTCGGATAGTGCGATGCGTGAGCAGGAACCAATGATTGGGAAGTATGTCGACCTATTAATCAGGGTAAGTAGCCTATAAACGCTGGAAGCTTTCTATCTTACCTCAGGAGCTAGGTGGCCTTGAGGTTACTTTACTCCCAAGGTAGAAGGCGAAAGCGGTGCATCTACTTTCGCTGACAGACCCCTATTTTTCACTACCCCTTTAATTGAAGATAACTAACACATTATCCAGAGGCTACACGAGGAATGCGAAAACGGAAAGAAGAAGCTAAACATGGAGGCTTGGTACAACTGGACTACTTTCGACGTGGTAGGCGATCTTGTTTTCGGGCAGTCATTCCACTGTCTTGAGAACATCGACTATCACCCCTGGATTGAGACCATCTTCAAAAGTGTGCACTTCGGCGCTATTATGGTCGCTTTGACATACGCTGGCCTGGGCGAACTTGTACAGATTATATTCAAGTTTGGAAGCTCTTCTAAAAAAGCACGCCAGTACACCAGGGACATGCTGACTACGCGACTCGCTATGGAAGGGAAGCGCGATGACCTCTTCGAGGGCGTGCTTAAGAAACGCGAGGAATGGGTATGGCTGTCTTTCTTTTTTTCGCCGTGAGCTGAGGATTTCTATGTTATAAGTGCTAACTCTTATCTTCTCACTTAGAATCTCTCATTCGACATGCTGTCTGCAAATGCATTCATCCTCGTGCTAGCTGGATCTGAGACGACAGCAACGACCTTATCTGGCGCTACTGCTCTCTTACTCTCCCACCCAGATATCCTCGCGAAGCTCCAGCAGGAAGTCCGCTCGTCGTTCAAAAGCGCCGATGACATCACAATCACTTCGGTCAACAAGCTGTGTTACATGCTCGCGATCCTCAATGAAGCACTACGTCTTTACCCCCCAATCACCTCGGGTCTGGTTAGGATAGTGCCCCGTGGCGGCCAACAGGTTGCCGGTCGTTACGTTCCCGAAGGCGTAAGTAGTTGTCCCGAAATCCATAATCATTCATGAATTCGTTACCGGAGAGAAACTTATATCCGCATAGACATTCGTCGAGGTCCAACAGTGGTCGATGAATCACAGCAAGGACAACTGGAAAGACCCTTGGGAGTTCCGGCCTGGGCGATTCTTAGATACTCCAGAGGCGGCTGCAAAGGCAGGGAACAAACTTGACACACTCCAGGCATTCAGTACAGGGCCTAGGAATTGCATCGGACGCAAGTATGGCAACCCTTGACTCCCTATTTAGATTATACCGATTAACATTTTTTTTTTTTCACAAAGTCTCGCATACACCGAAATGCGTCTAATCCTAGCCCGCATCATCTTTGAATTCGACATGAAGCTTTCGGAAGACAGCCAGCGGTGGATTGAGCGGCAGGATACGTTCTTCCTTTGGGACAGGTCAGTACACGCATCTATTTATATTTCTCCCCAGTTCAGAATTGCAATAAGAGCCATTGCTCCCAGCGATAGATAGAGTTATAGCTAATATTGTCTGGGATATAGGATTCCCCTGAATGTAACCCTAACACCAGTCGAACGGTAAACTCCATTATGCTACGCCTTATACGTAAAGCTATAGAAATAACATACCTACCCTATAGTTTTCTAGGCATAAATAGATAAATAAGTGTATGTGTTGCTTTGGGTATTTGTACGGGATGGTTATGGTTATGGGCGGCCCGGAATTCGCGCTTTTTACATTTATTATAACGATCATGACGGCAGTCAGCCACCATTCCTTATGTAAATATATATGTATAAAAAAGTATTGTCTTTTCATAAATATAGTCAAACGGTTTAAAACTCTTCTTACGGCGACGTCATTATATTTTATGGAAGCTTTATAAATAGAATCGGGTTGATAAAGAGGAACCCGTTTCGTAAGCCTTTACCGTCGTCCTTTTCATATAGGTGCCTACCTACCTCCGTAAGTTAAGTATTCCCTTCTAAAAGCTCATATATCCACCAACCGGAAACTGGTTGGAGTGTATCCGGGCCCGTCTTGTCGCTAAGTTCAGGCCTCCCAGGTTTGAAATATGAGGATTCTGATTCGAGTAGTTCCCCACTACTAGAGACAGATATTCCGATAGAACCGGCCACTAATCTCGTATTATGTATAACTCCATTATCATCTACTGTAAGCGGGACCGAGGAGAACGCGTCCGGGATATCAGACATATCGATGGTATGAAACAAGGTGCCATCGAGATTACAACCGCATGTGTCTGATGTATCTGAGTCAAAAGGAACCACCGGTGAGGTGTACATGCATTCCCCGTTAACTTTCCAGAAGGTAAAAGCGGTGATCCATCCTGAAAGATACTCAACGCCCGAGCCGCCTTCCCGGTGTGCTACCCTGGACCAGAAAGACAGCACCTCGGGACTAGTCGGTTCGTCAAATGAGCGAATGAAGTAGTCGAGCACCGCAGTTAAAAGGTGTGCGAACTGCGCTGGCTCCTTTCCCAGTCGGGGTAAATACTCCAGACGACGCCGGATCTTAACCCAGTCTTCTCTCTCGCCAAGGAGAGTCACGGAGGGTATCCCACAGGTCAGAAGAGCGGAATACTTGAAATACTCCTGCAGAGCGCCCATCATAAGAACCGCGGCTGTCACCGTATCAGTGTGCGTCGTCGTAGTAAAGTCCGGCATAATCCACGCCGTCAGATCCGGATCGACGACGTTCTTTTTGATCTCGTTCGTCATCCGGATCGCCAGCTCGCCGAAGTCCACGCTGGCGATGGTTCCCGCTTCGACGACTTCCAGCTCCTTCCGGCCCTCGTGCGCGACGAAGAACGGCCGCAGCTCCTCGGCGTGCGCGTTGATGTGCGTGCTTAGTTGGGCTATGATGGAAAACCAGACGTCTTCCGGGCGGATTTTCAGGTGGTGATGATTGCTGTAGGCCTGATAGACCGCTCGGACGAAGCCGTTTGAAGAGGCGAGAACTTGGGCGTTCTCTGGGATTTGGATGGAGGACTGGATTACCTGTTTGCAGCGGTTGTAGTCGGTTCGACAAGAGCGTTGTAGGAGTTCCGTGGGGGACGCTACCGCATCGTTCCTTTTATAGGCTCGAGCAGGATGGGCAGCGGTTCGAAGTGTGATAGGCATTTTGAGACTGAGCTTTAGGGGGTAGTTTGATATACTGTAGTTATCTACCTAGGGATAGGCACATACCCACTCATATATAGGAAGAGGATATATTTATCTGCCTATCAGTGGGGTGATGGAATATACGCCAATGCTACGCTACTGCCTGGCTGAGTATCTTTATTGGATAGGAGTACGCTGCTGTGCCTTATGAGACGTAATTAGATCTTTAGTTTAAGCATTTTCTCAGCTCTCGATCTAGAGCTATTTCCCGAGCAACTAATATATATAGGAGCCCATGATTGGTCCCTTGGAACCTATTAACACCTCCAACCTTATCCCTCCAGACGATCTCGCTAGGGCTAGGTCGTATCAATATGCCCACTAGGTATTTGTTAAAGGCTCCTCCTGTCGATATTCCGCTCATCAGTACTTTTCCTGGGTAAAAATATGGCTACTTAACTCTGTTGGGGGGGGCGTGCCGCCGTTGCTTCTTAGGAGAGCTTCACTCTATCTTTGACTTGGGTTAGGAAGCGGGAGGTTAAATGCCTGAGATAATCGTTGCTGACAATGCTATTGTTATTTACTATTCCTTTATACTATTTATTGAATAACTGCTCCTTGCCGTCGTAGGCGAGGCTCTTATCCAGATTCCTTTGCAATATCCCCCAAAACCCGTTATGGGCAAAGTCCCCCTTTTATTTTTCGCCCCTTGTAACCCAACATAGTGATGTTATCAACGTAGTGTCCAACCCTTACTCCGCGGCCTCGAATTTATTCTGATATATACCATATATCTGGTATCTGACTTAGGTAGTCATTAGGTACTTTATATACCTGAGAATGCAGCATATAAGGGGCGCTTCGTGGTACTAATTACTGAGTACGTTAGGAGAGATATGAACACATAGTGTGTAGTAACCTCCGGCCAGATCGAGTACGAGGAGGACATACTAATAAGTTTGCTATGGGTCACGAAGCTTAAAGAGGATGTCGATGGCGATACAGAAATAGCTAGGAGAAACCAGCATTTTCAAAAGGAAGGGAGAAAGGCATTCAGGATAATTTTAGAGTTGCTTATTACCACTAGTATTCCCTACCTCTCCTGATGAAAGGCATCTATAGAGGATAAATGAAGATACGGGATAGAACACACGCAAAGGCAGTACAGTAATATAGCCTGCTATTGAAAATATGTGTCTACATTACGTTGATTTCAAGGGTTAAGATGAAGTGCACTTGCTTCAAGAAAAATGATTTCGTATATGATATCTGTAAAATAAAATGAAAAATAAAATAATGGAAATACCTATGCGGCATCGAAAGAAAAGGGTGGTAGACGGTAGGCAAGCAAAAAAAATTAATGGCAAAAGGAAAATAAAAAAGGGAAAAAAGAATTGCAAAAAAAGCTCGGTCTGGGTGTTGAACGCAGAACCTACGAAAAACTACTTTGTAAATGTCGTACTGTCAAGTCACGGGCATACCGGTCCAGCATATGACACCACGGTGCAGTTTTCTCTAGCCTCCAGTCACCCAGGGATACTTCCTTTTTGCGGGGTCGGCTGAGCGTTTGCAGTTTATTTAGATATATATGTCTTGTTTCCTAGGTACGTACTTACTTAGGTAGGTACGTCTCGTTGCCCCGAGCGAGGTGCTCTACAGGTGTGCTGCATGTCTTCAGGTGCCAGGTGGCGTTGCCAAAGTTGCGAATAGCCTCTGAGGCAGCAACTTACAGTAGCTTAATTAGGTACCTAGGTACCTATCTAAGGTGCTTAATGCTCGGACCAACTAACCCCTTTTCAAAACTCTACGTTGTAGAGTTTGCTGTTTTGCGTCTTCTGGTCCGTACCCCTTTAATCCTTTTGGAATATGTGTGATGCCGTTTGGGAAGATGTTGATAACTGGCATTTATTGCCTTGATTCTATTATGCTACGTAACCAGCGACCACTGTAAATTTGCAACTGCTTGATGCTGATAATCATTCATTCGTTAATAGGTATTCTAAAGCCGTAGCATCCTTGACTGGCCTTATCTTTAAAAGAAGCGCGTGGTAAAGTTAATTATCATGGCTATCAGCTCTTCCTACAGGGCTGACAAGCCAACAATTATAACTACTTCTTCTTCTTGATTCATGAAGTTTAATAATACATAAGATTACCCTGTTATAGTTATTTCAAAGGCCCCAGCAAAGTATAAAAACAGTTATATATAAAATGAGACTGCTGCTAAATCTATACTTAAGAGTAGGAAGTTGAAACTTAAAAGAGTAATACCGTAATGACTAGTTGAGAAATTTACGCACTGAAATTCTTGGAACTTTGAGGATATACATTTATTCTTTGAAATCTTAATATGTGATCAAATTATATACCTATTAAAGTATTGAGCCTAGTAACATCTACTCTGAATTAGTAGAATTAGCAGCTCATCGTAATTCCATGATAGGAGGAATAACGCCAAGTTTTGCTGTAGTCATTTAAAAGATCTCACGTCAATATCTTTTAAGGATTTAAATATTATACAGTCACTTGAAAGGAGAGTCCAGCCTTGACGTACCTAATATATGAGGTCAATTTCGTGGTCAATATCAATTACCTAGCTCTAAGAATATCCCATCGGGACTGAGATTAGATGTTATTTCTATACACGGTGGATTGGCATTTATACTGCTATAAAACTAGAGCAGAGACCAATCATCCTTCCACCTATGAAGATGACATATTCGAAAAGGAGTGAAAAACAAGGAATGTAAGATTTTGGCAACGAAGGAAGGATGACGTATAAGTCGGAGACCCGAAAAGGCCTGGTGATAAAACGGACGGAGAGGACAGCGGAGTACCGGGACCTGCCGATCTCACCCCGGGCTCGGAGACAGACCCCGGCTATCCTCACTCAGCCTCGTGCATGAGATGTCGAGGGCCACGAGGTGAAGACAAGAGATGTGATTGGTTAAAAATGTTAAAGGGAAAGAGGAGAAAGAAAAAAGTAGCTGCGATGTAAAGTGGATTGATCGCCCACTTGTGGGGCTGAGTTGCAGCCCGTTCCCGAAAAACTGAAATCCAAGGTATTCGGTACTCTGTACGTGCGCCAGGATTCGTTCGGGGGATATAAATCCGTCACGACTGAAGAAGCCCGTTTGAACGTGATATGGCCCGGCTTCCCTTTTCAAGTTTTAAATCATACGGCAAGTAAGTTTCTTTTCCCGCTAACGTCTATGATAGATAGGAGATAGATATGTCAGCAGCTTAGTTTATTCAGATAATGAAGTACTAGTAGTGAAGTACACTATCCCAAGTATGCGGTACAATGAAGTTGCTTCTCCGGGTGCTAGTGCCCCACTAGAATAGATGAGAAAGTTGTGTCCCTCCCCCCCCCGACTTCCCTCTAATAAAACATACTAAAGCCAAACATACTAAACATACTAAACACACTACTAAAATACCCTACTACCTAATACTAAGATACTACTTTCAAAAGACGACCCCTCTAGGTTAAAAGCTTGTCTGTTATCAATCTAGAAGCTGGCATCAAAGCCACTCGACGGGGCTCAACAAGCTCATTACGTATAAGATACAGCACTCGCTGAGCTCAAAACAATGACTTCAGACTCTCGATACACATTCGGATGACCCGTACGAACGATATCATATGTCTGTACGTGAGTGTAGCTCGAATAGTCTGCAGTCTGCAAGGTTACAAGGTTGTTAGGTCGTCAAGTGTCTGAGAGCTAGGAAAGCGTCAAAACTAGCTTCTCGGCGCTCAAGAAGCCAAAGGCCATCGAGAATTCATAGTGCCCTACGGTTTTGACGTCGTGAAGTTGCTAGACTGGTAAGAAATTCTCCATTTTTCCTGTAAGGTACCTTTCCTACCTTTTCCTGTCTACCCCTCCACGGGAGTCACCATCGCCATATTAAAGTCTGGGGCACGTCCTCACCACAACTCTTCTGCGTCACATCCGTCTTCGTCGAACATATTTGAGCCTATCAGATCCTCCGCTCTTCCTGTTATTTGCTACATACACCACCTCCAAGCCCTCTCGTCGGGATCACCAGCCGCTTCATGCAGAGAACAGCCACTGCATTCTGCCCCGTCTGACCCCCACATCTCTGTCTAGCAGCAGTCATTGGATCTAATACCCAATATCTCGGCCTGCCTACAAGCCGTCTTACCAAACACCTCGAACTACCTGAAGCTCTGACTCTGGTTAGGTACCGAGTCGCTGTTGTACGACCGACCAGATCGTCGTGAGCGTGACCTCACCCCCATCAGTAAACTTGCTAGACCTTGGATCGTGTGAATTCAGATCCGTCCGGAAGGGATAGTGCAGCACATCGGCTACATTTATTAGGCCCGAGGCCCTCGTTATCATTACATCAGTCTAGCCTAACCCTAGACTCTTGTATGCAACATCCCGAAGTAGTAGCTAATACCCAGAAGCTACAGGTTGGGCGGGAATCCTACCCACGAGCTCACGCCCTACTGGAACGCGCCCCTCTCCTTGAATTGCCATATGCCCGGAACTTTAGTTCATCTGGTGCTACTTTATCCCTGACTATCAACTTCGTTCTTCCGTTTGTCTCTCTTAGCCCCTTGTTATCCCCAGGGCCGATAATTATATGACTCGGGAGATACGTCCTCGCAATCCCTAGCTCCTCATATCTACGTTAACCCTACCGTGCCGCCAATCCACGTCTCTGCCTTAGCTCCCCTGACACAACCGCTCCCCTGCATTTGGTTACACGAGGGAAACAGCCGTCTAAGTCATCTTTATTAAAACACGCCTTTACTGCCAGCCTTGAGGCATCTATCCAAGTAAACAGCCTTCGCAGGCTGGTTGCAGGCGCCCCTGCCGCACCATGTAAGTTTTACTCGTTGGTTGCGGACTATCTTATTATCCCTTTGCCTACCGCGCTAGAATACTGCCTCCTGCGTCGGTAGGGGTTACTAATGCCTCTTCAGGAAGTTCGGTAAGCAAATCCAGAAGCGTCAGCTTGAAGTGCCAGAATATGCCGCCAGCTTCGTGAATTACAAGGCGCTCAAAAAGGTACGTTAATTATTTTTCTAATTAGTATATCCTAGTCAATGATGTATCCTCTCCCCGGACTTTAAGGGGCTTAGGTCTATGTCGATGTCGATCAGGATACAGCATAGTTTCCATTTGTACCATATTATATGAAACTTATGTTGCTCGGGAAGTGGGATTGTATCACTGACACTAGCCAATAGCTCATCAAGAAGCTCTCTGCTACCCCGACGCTGAGCGCCCAAAATGACCCTCACTTTACTCCCACGCCGGTGGACACTCAAGTTGCCTTGCAGGCAAACAAGGCAAAGTTCTTTTTTCAATTGGTAAACTCTAATCTCCTATGGAGGAATACGTACTCGCGGGCAGCGCTCATATCTTGTAGGAACGAGAGCTCGAGAAGGTCAATGCATTTTACCTTCAGAAGGAAGCCGAAGTAAGTATAGCTTAACTATATTGCCCCATATTCTACACTTGGGCCCCTTACTAACACCAACCAAGCTGAAAATCCGGCTTAAAACGTTGTTGGATAAAAAGAGAGTTCTGCAGTCTCGTCAGGGCGTATCTAGACGGTCGGCCAAATTCACGACGTTAGAAGAAGGGTTCCAACAATTTGCAAACGATCTGAATAAGCTTCAGCAGTTTGTCGAAATAAACGGGACTGCATTCTCGAAGATCCTTAAAAAATGGGATAAGACCTCCAAGTCTAAGACTAAGGAGTTATATCTTTCTCGCGCTGTGGAGGTGCAGCCGTTCTTCAATGCCCCGGTCATCAGCGAACTCTCGGACCAAGCGACAACTAGCTTACAAGAGCTCGGGGCGTGGTCAGACGGGGACAATGTCTCGTTTGAAGCTCGGTCAGAACACATGGTGAGTAGCCAACACCTCCTCGGAACGGATGAAGGCGACGCAGACAGTCTATTGCTCGACACAGCGATTAGTGGCAACCTAGAGTCTCTAAGGGACTTGTTATCAAGAATGAGAGCCGGTTCCGATTCGCCGTCAGGGAAGGACATCTCCTTGATGGAAAGAGTAACCCGTACCTTTCTCGCTGCTATTCACGAGGCGCCACGGGCTTCTCTTGAAGTTCTACTGGAGACTGGGCTCGTCGACGTTCGATCTGAAGATGACATCAACGAGCGAAACTGCCTCCACCAGGCCACCATCTACGGGAATTCGTTTGTCTTAGACGTCGGTCTCGCGGGAGGGGTTGAGGTTAGCAGAACTGACGTCTATGGGCGTGTACCGCTTCATTATGCAAGTATGCATGGGCGGTTGGACATGCTCGAGCAGCTTCTTCTAGGTAAGGACAGGTTAAACGCCCGACTAAATCATGTTGTGCTAAATCTAATGAGTAGCCGACCCAACGACAATCGACCTTATAGACCACGACAATTTTACCCCCTTAATCCACGCTATTATCCATGGTCACCTTACATGCGTGCAACGGCTTCTGAAGACCTCCTCCCGTCTAGATCCGAAGTCAGAAACGGACCATATACCACTTAACCTCGCCTGCGAGCATGGGTCGCTCGATATAGTCGAGCTCCTCCTAGAGCACGGTGCCATGATACTTCCTGATGCCGAAGGCTTGTACCCGCAACATCTCGTAGCTCGGTCGGGCCAGACGCCTCAACTACTCCGATTGCTGCAGAACTATGGTGCCGACTTGGACCAGATAGACAAACTCTATGGCTGGACCCCACTGGTGCATGCAGCGAGCGAAGGGAATGTGCCTTGCTTAGAGGAGCTCCTGAATGTGGGCGTTGACCCAAATATCGTCGACGAGAAAGACTTGCCTGCGATGTACTATGCGGCATGGGAAGGTCATCTGGAATGCATAAAGAAGCTCACACCATATCAAAGGGGTAAAGCAGAAAGTCCCGTGATGATACAATCGACCAGTTCTCTCCTTGCTCCTATGGGGAGTGGAAATAGTCCTACCCCTATGTCGCTCGACGCCGATGCTATTCCCATCCTCGAACTTCCGCCACCTATAATACCTCTGAGACGCTATGGCCATAATTTCCTCGACACGAAGGCCGTGATCCAAATTAGCTTCCAGGAAGAAGGAGACCACCCATTGGTTTTCTTCCACGACAGCAAATACCCAGCCGCGCGACTAACCATTTCTTCCAAAGCATCAGACCTCATTCCTAAGAATATCATGTTACCTTTTCAAGAAGACACCCGACTAGTATCTTTCCAGGTCGACAACCTTGACACATTCACCCTTGATTTTGACGTATTCCCTACCTACGGCGCGAAGATAATTGCAAAGACGGTCGCTCTCCCAAATACGTTTCGAGCTTCCTGGAGCAGCTCGGGGAAATGCTGCCTCCCGTTGTTTGATCCTAGACTCCGGGCTATTGGCCAGATCACATTCAATACCCAAGTGATCAAGCCCTTCCAAGGCACTCCGTTGGAGATCGCAGACTTCGAGACTTATTGGAAGGCTACGAGCCAGTTGGACCAAAACCCAACTATGTTTGTCACTGGTTCGAGCCTGTCTGGCGACTTTGTTCAGTTATACATTCAACATACTAGCGATGGCATCCCTGTTGTATGGCCGCAGTGGATGATACAGTGCGGCGGCATTGACATATCAATTTCGCGACTATCATACGAGCAATTCTCTACGGTTACAGCCTCTAATTTTGGTCGAACTCAACTCCACCTAATACCATCGCACGGCTTAAATAATATTGCCGAGGTTCATCGAGCTCTCAACACGGCAGGAGTTTCCTTGGAGCAAGCCCTCTCCCTGCTCCCTAATTCGATGCACGTCGATCTGCAAATTATCTACCCGTCGGAAGAGGAGGAGAGAAGGCTCGGGTTAGGGCCGACCGTGAACGTAAACAGCTTTGTAGATTCCATACTAACCATAGTATTTGACCACGCGAGGGAACAACGGGCGCAGACGATGTCGGCTCCCGACACTGTTAGGTCGGTGGTGTTCAGCTCTTATAACCCGACGATCTGTACAACATTGAACTGGAAGCAACCTAACTTCCCCGTTTTCCTATGCAACGATCTCGGCCGGGAAGACATTATGCCTTCGCCGAGCATGATCCAGAGTAGCGGACGAAGGACGTTTTCAGTTAAGGAGACAGTGAGGATAGCGCAGGGCAACAATTTTATGGGGCTCGTTTGCTGCTCCCGACTACTGGTGAGTCGTCTTAAAGCGAAAGCTAGCTGTGCATGTGGTATACTAATATGAAATACGAACTAGAACATGGTCCCCGCGCTCGTCGACGCAATAAAGTCGCATGGATTAGCATTGGTTGTAGACAAATCAGCCGAGGAGGCTACAGAGCCATACGCGCATGCGGATGTACTCCCCGTTCCTAAGGGCGTTGATGGTATACTGAAGGGTAACGGTGTCCTGAGATTCAACGAGTCTATAGATGTATAGACAAAATCTGCTATTTGGAGTACGCGTTGGTTTTTATAAGGATGAGCTGCAGAGCTTGGCTTATGCCAGAACTAGGTCCTTAGCACACACTGGCTTTTATGGCTTTCGTGATAATTGAAAAGATATTTGCCTTATAACTTTGCTTTTGTAATGTATTACAGTGATGTGCTAATGTGTCGATAATGCGGTAGCGCCTTATGTTATTCACGTATGTATTAAGCCCCCTTGTACTCGTACCGCAGCGCACTTAGGTCCCTCTCCGGGTCCACGCCGCCCATGACTATTTTTGCAATTATCACGACCCCGTACACGACGGCGGGTAAATTGCTCAGCCCAACGTGGCCCCATTGCTGCCGTCCCTCCGCAGAAGCGCCTGGTTTCGATACGAGCCCGGCGAGTACCAGGACCGCGCAAAGGGCTATATTCAGGTATGGTAGATAAGCCGCCAGCGGCGAGTCGCGACGCCCTTCTGCCTGGAAAGGCGCGTCGACGGCGTCGGATCGGCCGAGTATACTACCGAACTGCTTCCTCCTCGCACCTTTGGAACCGCTCCTACTACTACCGCTATCGCTAACCCAGCCGTCGACGCCGCGTATCCCCGTGGTCCCGGGCGGTAGGGCCCATAGCATCCACGCGGTGGCTGCTAGGCTGGTCAGGCTGAGGAGGGCGCGTATGCGGTCGTTCCCGTTGCTGGATGATGATGCTTGGGTCAAGGCGAGGAGATACGGGACCGCGGAGACGATGGGTAAGGCGAGGAGGAGCAGGCGGAATTGCGCGTTGCGGACGTCGTTTTGGTGGGCGAGGGATTGGATTAGGGCTTCTTGTTCTTGCTCGTCGAGGGCGGTGGGGGAGTCGGAGTCGGAGTCGGAGTCGGAGTCTGAGGCGTGGGTGAAGGGGCGGCGGGTGCGGAGGGATTGCATGGCTGGATCTGGCTGTGGTTGTTTGGTAGTGAAGCTTCTTTGATGACGGGTTGGTAGGTAGGTAGGTATCTTGGTTGGTTGATTGTGGTACTTTATATTGGGATGTTCATCTTGAGGTTGTGATTTATGCGTGCTTGGGATTAGGCGGGTATTTAACGTTTAAGTTAAGCTAGGTAGGTAGGTATCTCATATAAAAATATGTATGCAGCCTTAAGGATAGCCTCGAAGCTTGTGGTAGCGCAAAGGTTAGGATGAGTTCGGAAAGTTAGAAGTGACGTAAGGCATAAGGTTAAGCTGCAGCTTGGCAAGCCTATCAGCCACTTTTCTGCTTAGGTAATCTAACATAATCTAACGTGGTGCTTATGGCTTATACACTTAATTGTGGCTCGCGTTAAACCCCCCTGAAAGCGACGGAGGTACTATATGTACATTTATATATTTTAAACACCTTAAAGGCATCTAGATATCGTCTAATAAGTCTCAGGCTTATAACCTGAACTCTAGGCACTATACATGCTAAAATGCCAGATCCAAATGCAAGCATCCAACGTATTTAGCTTAAGTAGTAGACCCGAGTAGTAGAAAAGGGGGAGTAGGGGAGCGTTGTCGTTTCGCGTGAGACTTCAGATTGAAGTCCTCTTAATACTAATACAGAGCTACCAACCACCATTCATTTTAATTAATACGATATGATACACACAACATCTACGTCGTCGGGAACGACTTGAAGTTTCCATTATTATCGTATTTCGCCTCTGCACACATCATTAGCTCGACACCGCACGAAACATCAATCATAGATAGGAATAGTAGTTAGTAGGAGAGGTAGGTAACGCACTGAAAAACGTATAACTGAGCGTAACCTCGTTGATCCCGCGCATGTTCAAATCGTTCAGCATATCGGGATCCAAGTAGAAGAACACGGGCATATCGACCGTCTCCCCCGCGTTCAACCGCTGCTCCTCGAAGCAGAAGCACTGGATCTTGCTGAAGTACGGCGCGACCTGCGCGGGCGTGACGCTGTACGTCGCCACCCCGATGATGTCGCTGTCGCTGCGGTTCGTCGCCGTGTAGAACGCCAGCGCCGTCTCTCCGGGCAGCACGCGCACCTCCCGCTGCTGCGGCACGAATTTCCACGGCAGGACGTCTGATACCGAGGCGTTGAACGTGACTCGGATGCGTCGCGCGTCCGTCACGGGGATAAGTCGCGATGCCTGGTCGAAGTCTGCGTCGTCGCTTGAGGGGCCGTGCGCGCGGACGGGCTGGCCGCCCCAGCCGGTTGTCTGGCATATCTGTTTGTTTCGGCGAGTTAGTCGCCTTATTACACACCACGACTCATAAGAGAAGTAAGTAAAGTATCTCAAACCTACCATCTTATACATCGGCACGGAGCCGTACGAGAAGGCAACAGTGCCGAGTATAATGCTAAGCGTGTAATACCTATAAAACACCACTAAGCCTCGTCTTCCCTCTCACATCCACTTGCCCGCAAGAAGCAATTGGGATTAGGTCAGGTAGGTAGGTATATATACATAGTCGTGCGATTCTTAAATCTATAGTACTCGCGCACGCGTTCCATCGACGGCATCCCGGCGCCGGGACCGGGGGCAGTAGGAGTGGTCTGCTGTTTCCTCGCCGAGGAATTCGTTACGCTTCGGCGGGGAGACGGCCGGACGAGGGCGCGACGGCACGATGCGCATGCCCATTGCGAAGCTGATGAGGTGCTGGCTCGGAGTGCCCGCCATGAGGTCTGGGAGAGGGTGTTCATTATGGTAGATGGAAGAGTTGGTAAGTAAAGCTCTTCGAGAAATCATATCATCGTATCATGTTGTGGGGTTGACGGGTCGATGTCAAAACGCTATGCTGCTACATAGGAATTTTAGGTGGGTCCGGTAAGCTTTATTGTATTGTACAGGGTCTCATTACTGGCTTACCCGCTGTAACTCTGCAGTGCCAGGGTGCGCGCAACTTCTAAAGAAAAGCATGTGATCGGTCTATGTCGAGGAACAAGTTGGCTCATATACATAAGCTAGGTAATTACTTACACGCAGTTATAAGCTTTAGAATTGTATAGTTAATTTACAACGGACATCTTGTTTACAAGTCTACCTAATCTACGCCAGTTTCCTATTTACCAATCTAATTATAGGCGCCTTTACCTTTCCATTTCCTATACCGTTTCCTTGTTGTGTTGATACATTCTTCGTAATCCTGCCGAATACCCTCTCCAACAAATTTATAACAAATACCTGAATCAGCAGGATGACAACTCTTACAAACAAGTCTAATATACCCAACCTAGGTTGCTTTCCACGACTGTAGGTCGAGTCTACAAACTGGAAAGGCAATCTAGCTCCGAGATGAGCTTGGGCTACGTACAGTCCGCTACTAAATCCGTCTTCGTGAAACCCGTACTTAGTCCATGCGCCCGCGTAGCTGATCCCTCTGGTATTCTGTATTATCGGTAACGCTTGCTGCGCTCGGATCGCTGCAGGGTTATACAGCGGGTGTGAGTATGAATATCGGCCTTGTACAGTCTCCGGCTTCGGTTCCTGGATGGGGTTTAACGTCACCAGGACATCGCCAAAAGCTTGCCTCGGAATATGTTGTAGTATATTCATGTTATAAGTCAACGACACTTGATCAATGTCCTTATTCGTCCAAGGCGATGACAACGCGAGATAATTCCAAGCGGACCAGGAATTTTGCCGCCTCGGCATGTGTGAAAGATCTGAGTGGAGAACGCAGGTATTCTCCGAGCTTTCAAACGAGGACATGATGGCCCGCTCCTTTGCAGTTGCCGAAGGCTTAATGATCTGATATGCTTGGTCCCCATGTGTCGCTAATATGACGTGATCGTATACTTCCGTCTTGCCATTTTCTAAATGTAACTTCACACGCCCGTCTTTGTCGTTGCTAAGATGCTTGACTGTGGTTTTGAGAAATAGATGGTTTGGTGGGAACCCTCTCATCACAGCATTAACGTACGATTTAGCCCCGTTCTCTAGTGTAAGCCAGTCTGGTCTCCTCGCAAATGTGCTTAGGAGATGATGATTCCACCTTGGCAAAAATCAGTCTTCATACTTTAGTACCCTTTATTTATCCAACTTACATAAAACGTACGAGCGTCACAGCCGGAAACTCCAAGGTGCACTTATCAGGACTCGTACTCCATACAGCGGCCGTCATAGGGATTAGGTAGTCGGTGCGAAAAGCTTCAGAGTACCCTTCTCTATCCAAATACTGTCCAATAGTCTCCATAGGCGCAGCCGAGGTTTCGGTGTTTAGATAGACGTCATTGTCGTCATCCTTCAACAAATCGAGCGCAAATTTGTTGAAACGGATGATATCGAAAATGAGCCTCCACATCCGTAGAGAAAAAAGGTTCTTCCTCTGACAGAATATGGAATCTAAACTTGACCCTGCCCATTCGAATTTCCCACGATCCCTTGAAAATCCAAAGGTCATCTGAGTGGGCACGGTCTTGACCTTCATATAGTTGAGGAAGTTAATGAAGTTTGCTGTGAATGATTAGTATATCCGCCTATTCGGGGATTCGTTGTCTACTAACGGTATGTTGCTTCGTTGAGGACGATGAAGCCTGTGTCGACCAAGGTGGTGAATTTGCCCTTCTTCCATTCTACCGTATTGGTATGGCCACCCAGGCGATCAGCCGCCTCGTAGAGATAGACGTCATGGTGCGTACGATTCAAGGCCCACAGAGCACCAATACCGGCAGAGCCACTGCCAACGATGGCAACCTTCTTTCTGGGCACCCAGTTAGCCGGCGATGTCATTGATTTATATACAATAAAAGAAGAGTACGAAAGCTGAGGAGGTTATAATAGTTAGGGCACCAAAGGATTCATAGAAGGATGGATATACGGAAGAAGCAATATTCAAAGTCGAAGCATGTGATAGAGCATTATGAAATATGGACTCCGAGGAATAGAAGGAAGCTGATTATGCGGGTAGACTCCGTAACACAGCCATACAAAGTGGTCCAAGTTTCGATAGTCATACCAGATCGGCAAAGTCGTGGCTGCAAAACAAGAAAACGCGATTGGAATGATTGGAATGGAACATTTAGGTAGTGTTGGAGGAAGTAATGTTATGTAGGTGCTAAATACTAATAGAATTAATATAGAAGCGGGAACTGCCATTCTACATTAAAATGTACTTTCCACATGCTTGAACTTACATTCCCATATTGTCAAGAGCGAATAGAGAAAGTAAGGCGCACTAAGAGCGCTAAGACTATTCAGGAGTTGTAAACGATTTAGTCGACCGTTGTTGCCGAGATGAACATATGAGAAAAATAGGAGAAGCCCCAATTCTTATTTTATTTCTTACCTTATTTCATCTCATATACGAAGTTACCTCTTGAAACCATTGAAAGGTTGATAAACAAGGGTTTTACCATTACCGTATGTATTTTCTGAGACAATTCCGACGCATTGACTCAGGTATGACATGCACAAATATGGACAATGTCGGTCAATTTATTTAGTATCCGAAACATGGCATCATTGAAAATAACCGATCCAACGCAGTATCGAGACTAGATAACAGCATATTGGTAGCACGTCGAATCAATAAGAGACAAGTCATCGAATATGTCACCAAGGTTTATAGATTATTCAATCATCAGCTTCGTAGTCCAAAACAGGCAGACTCGATGCTTCAGCATATAAAACCGTAACGTAGGCAAGACGCACAAAAAACAAACACATGCCATCCGATCAATAAATGTCGAGGCTCAACGGGATCGAGTACTCAGAGACGGCCGTCCGAAGACAATCCGTCTAATGCCCAATTCTTAGAAGCTCCATGTTTAGTCTGCCCGGCTAATACAACTCCACGTCCGTCGTAAAATAGGACGCAGAGCCTAAAACATTTCTGCTTTCCGGGGGTTCAACTTTCATGGAGAAAAAAAAGGAAAAGGAAAAGAAGAAAAGCAACGGAAGCTAAAAAATGATTGAAATATTTTTCTTCCAAGATGGTGAATCTCCACTTCTTGTGGCTAGATAGCTGGATGGATGGCTGAGTATGTGGCTGAATACACTATGCAAAGTGAAACCCACTCCAAGCAGGTTCCACATGGTCTGGACCGCATTGACGGGATCTGGGAACTTGTAAGAAGCCGTTCCTGGGTTACGCAACCGACCCAGTCTCTCCTGCAACCCTCATATGTAATCTGTAATCTCTACATACTATTCCATATCTATAATCTACAGTCAGCCAACCACGCCAACCATCCGAGTCTAGTAAGCAGGCGTATACATTTATCCTAATTCGAAACCCGCGATATCTAGCCTTACATCCCTCGTCGAACCACCCGCCCTCTCCGCGAGAGCCTCCTGACCAACCGACGCAATCAACCACCAAACTACACTCATCATGGCCAACCCTCTCGACACCGACGCCGGCTCCGAGCTGTTCAGCAGCTACGAAGCCGAATTCAAACTGGTCCAAGCAGACCTAACCCAAAAACTCGACCAAATCCCCGAACTAAACGGCGAGCCGCGCAAAGCCGCCATCGCCGCCGCCGAGCGTGCCCTCGAGGAAGCCGACGAACTGGTAATAATAATCCACCACCTTCTCATCCATTCCAACCCTTTCTTCTCTATCTATCTACAAGCAACAACAACAACAACAACTCTCGCTAACCCCTCCTCCTCCTCCCCAGCTCGGACAAATGCGTCTCGAAAAGCAAAACATCCCCTCCTCCACGCGCCCCAAGATAAACCAGCGCTTCCGCAACCTCGAGACCGACGTGGACGGCTACAAGCGCAAGCTGCGCGCCCTCTCGGACGACCGCGCCGCCCTCTTCGGCTCCCGCTACACCGACAACCCCAACCCCTCGGACCTGCAGCTCGAGCAGCGCCAGCAGCTGCTCAGCGGCACCGACCGCCTCGACCGCAGCTCCCAGCGCCTGCGCGCCAGCCAGGCCCTCGCCCACGACACCGAGCAGATCGGCGCCGGCACCCTCGCCGACCTGCACCGCCAGCGCGAGACCATCTCCCACACGTCCCAGATCCTGTACGAGAGCGAGGGCTATGTCGATCGCAGCGTTAAGACGCTGAGGGGTATGGCTCGTAGGTAATTGCGTTTTGCCCTCCCCCCCTTTTATTTTCTTTTCTGCATGTAGAGGGAGATGAATAAGACGAGGGGACTTGTTGATGACAATAGGGAATGTCGTTGTGCTAGAGGATATATATATATATATGAGACGAGGCTAACGAAGAGAATTACGCAGGATGGCTACGAATCGGGTAATCACCATTGCTATTATCGCCGTCCTCGTGATCCTGATCTTCGCTGTGATCTACAGCAAGTTCAGGTGAAGAGGAGGAGGAGGGGGGTATTCTATCAGTTTGACGGCGTGGCCGGATAGGAACCAGCCAGCCAGCCAGCCAGCAAGGTATAGAAACACCATGTGTAAAAAAGATAAACATCCCACTCGCGAACGCGCAAGCGGTCTCGAGCAAGGAAGAAAGAGTAACCAACACGGCGTCCGGAGCGTAGACAGGGAGGGCCCTTAGGGAACATTGTAGCAATTCTCACGGTCGTTGTTATTGTATTGTCATGTCATGATATCGAAATTTTTGGAGAGTTATTAGTTATTATTTAACGAACTGGGTGTCTGTTGCAGAAATAGCTACCACCCCTTAGGTTAGCTTAATACCAAGGACGACGATGTATTACCGCCGTCCTATTATCATTGGCTGTGCAAGAAGAAATGGAACGAAATAAAGTATATATTTTCCCCCCCGATCCGTGTAAACCCATTGCGCCGCAACCCGTTCAGGAGACTAGTGAATAAACATGGGATCTGTAGACATATAAGATATCTACATAAAGCAGTAGCAGGCAAGTAGGTATGCATGTGCTGCAAGCGGGTATCAAACTCGGTTTAGAATCTGCTGTAGACCGTTTATCTCCTACCGGGAGACTTGGGCTTCCCAACCTTCCCCGCGAACGCCGGACCATGCCTCTTCTCCTGCCCGAGGCCCCGTCTACCCGCCGCAATACCACCCCTCCCACTCCTACCACCGCCGCCGCCGCCACGCATTCCGCCGCCGCCGCGTGTCGGTCGGCCGCCCCGGAAACCAGCGCCTCCTCTGCCTCCGCCTCCTCTACCGCCGCCTCTGCCACCGCCGCGGCTAATCTGCGTCTTGATAGCCGACACGTCCTTCTCGTCGACATCCATCTCGTCGTCATCGTCGTCATTACCTCGTCTATTCGAGAACTTCAACCGTCCGCCGCGGCCTCTACGTCCAACATCCTTGCTCTTGAGCGCGGCGACGTATGCTCCGACGCCGGACTCCTCGGCGCCATGTTTGGGGGTGTCGATGACCATGGCATCGTCACCGCCGTCCTCTTCGCCGAGGATCAGCTTACCGTCCAGATCGGTCTTAGCCTTGGTCCTGCCCGCCTTGCGTAGCTTGCTAGGCTTCGTAGATGAGATGCTAGCGAGCGCCTTGCGGTCCAGGAGATCCAGGGGCTCGTCCTCGTCCTCCATAATATATGTAGAGCCGCCCTTCTGTGCCTTGCGTGGTTTTCCGAGGACTTCGGCGTCGGAGTCGTCGGATGCGTCTGACTCTTCGCTGCTGTACAGCGCTTCGTCGTACTCGCTTTCGAACCGACCTCGCCGCTTACCGTTCTGCTGGTTGTCGTCCTCATCATCACCTTCTTCCTTAGCCGCGTCCTTCCGTCTCTTGCTGCGCTCCTTAGTCTTGCGGATGTTGGCTATCAACTTGCGATCTGCTTCGGGACAGTTTCGATTGACGGCATCGAAGCCAAAACGACGGACCATTCGTTCTACGATATGCTTGACCTTCGCTCTGAAGTGACCCTTGTGTTCGTGCGCCCAGACCATCAAGTTCGGAACCATCGTCGGTAGACGTGGGGCCATCATCTCCGTCGGCAAGCTAATGACGCACACTTTCACGAACCCCAGAACACTCTTGACAATCTCGCGGTTGTTGGACGTCAAGAAGAGATCCATAGTTTGCACAAGGTCATTCAATACGTCCTTGTTGACGGTCTCCCGGAACTCGTAGAGAATACGAGTAAGGGCAGTGATGGAGGCGGATATCATGTGAGGCGTGCTACCCGCAAGTCCAGCGCTGACCATGGTGAAGTACTCCTCGATGCTTGCCGAAACGGCCGGGGCATTATTTGGCATGTGAGGAACTTTGCTATTATCGATAGATTTGCCCTTCGCTTCCGCTAACGTTCGTCCCATAAGAACAAGAAGTTCGAAGGCCGACGTCCGGGCCTTTTCGTTGTTCTCCTTACAGCAAATTACTACCTCAGATAGCACCGAAGGGATGAAATGGAGTGATGTGTCGGGGATGAATGGCATCAAGGCATTAATTGCCGCTAGCCGTTCTCTTCGTGCAGGAACTGAGACCGTTTCCGCACTTGATAAGATCAACTCTTGAAGTTCTGTGCTTCGCTCCTGAAGTGCTGCCCTGCCAATATCCGACTCGGCAAGTCGTGGGATCAGCTTGTAGGCTTTCTTCTGTAGTTGAGGGTCGTCATCCCTGACAATGATGAGAGCAGCAATATTGAAGAGAGGACTAAAGCTTTGGCGAGGAAGATAAATAGACATAGTAATTACCAAGTCCATCAACGTTTGGGCTGTGGAAGGCATCGGATCTTTTGACTTTTGACCCTTCTCTTTACCCGCCTCAGCTTTAGCTTCGCTCAATGAAGCCGCCAACATCGTGCTCACACGATCAAACGTCTCGACGAGTCCATTTTCGGGGGTGATACTCAAATAAGCATTGATAGTCTGGAGTATAGGACCTCTGGACTGAGGAAGTGTTTGGCTGTAAACGTTAAAGAGCACTGCTAGGAGGTTGCCCGCAAAGCTTCCGAGGTAGGCCAGATTCTTCTGAGCATCCTCTTTAGAAACTCGGCTTCTAAGAATCAAATCATCTTCACTCTCGACCGACACCACGGCTTGATTGGACTCGACGAGGGCCTTGAGGGCTCGACAGATATCGAGTCTAAGATCAACTTTCTGGTAGAGGAGGTTGGCAAGTAGCTCAGCGAATGCCTGGTCAAACGCCACTGTCAAATCAAGAGGCAGATTACAATATCCAGGCAAGATAGACCAGGTCTGGTGAATTATGGTCTCAAAGATCTTGGTTTCCATGGTCTTGGCATCTCCGTTTTCCACGACACGCTGAAACATTGCCTCGCTTAGCGGAATGAGTTCTGTCTTGAAATGTTGAAGATTGGTGTTGGCGGTGAAGTCTCGGAGGATTGGCAGCATCCAAGCTCTACCGGGTTGACCTGCAACTGGCTTGACGAGGTTTAGAGGGAGGACACTGAGAACAGCTTCGGGGCCCATTGCCAAGATTGCCTTTCCAATTACTTCATCTGCCTCTTTTTTACCCATGAAAGAGTCGTTTCCGCGAAGCTCGCCAACCGTTCGCACGACATTTAGCATCATAGGGTTGGCGCGCCATCTAAGCGCATCAAAAATGGCACTTAATACGTTAAACGATTCCATCCAGGCCGCTTGGTATCTGACGCTTAAGAGGTCCTCAGCAATCTTAGCTATCTTCTCAAGGATCTTCTCGTCGTAGATCGAAGGCTCGATTATAACCTGATCCGGGATACAATTCACCATAAATGAAATTAAGCACTCTGAGGCGGAAACCCTTATGTTATGCGAAGAGGACTCCATAAATTTGGAAACCATCGTAAAGAGTTCCGGGAGCTTTTGGAACGTCTCGTCTGGCTCCATCTGAGAGGAGACATCATACCCTCGCGATAATATGGCAATCCAGGGGGGTAGTAATTGGGTATCGTTGGACGAAGGGCGCAGCTCGGAGATGGTCTCAAGGAGACGGGGTAGTTTAGTAGACGCAACTTCATCTGCCATACCCTCGAAAATCATTTCGAAGATTTCGAAAACAGCCATCGTCATGTGTTCATTCCCGCTCTTGGCGATGCTAAGCAAGAGTTCACACAGCGCCTCGATATTTTTGCTGGGCCAGCCACCAGTCGCCGCCGCTACCGTCCTTACAAGCTGCAGAGCGTGTATAAGTGCGGGATCGTGTTCCGCCGACGACTTCTTCTGCTTCCTCGATGCCGCAGCTTTATTCGCTACCTCGGCCAGGGTCCTCATTGCTGATTCGGCGCACAGGTCCGCTGCCGGGTGGTCCACAGACGGGCTCGGGGGAGGATTCTGGAGAACCTTTCGTAGGGCCATCTGGGCACGCTTTCGTACTTTCGGCCTATGGTCCATCGCAAGGTGTAGAAGACCCGCCACGGCTCGTCGCGGAGTTATTTCGCTCGCCGGCAGTTTCCATGCAGCGGCATCCTGCGCAAGAAGCAAGACTTCGAGGCACCCAATAGAGGGCCGTAGTAAAGGCGCCTCAGCATCTTCAAGGAGCAAGACAGGCGCTAGCAGGGTGAGAATCTGTGTAAATTTCGATCGGAGGAGCGGTTGAGGCGCATAAGGCGTAACTACATCAAGAAGATAGACAATCGACGGTGTTAATTCCTTATTAACATTCCCACTCTCGAGAGATTGGTTCAATAGGGCCAAAAGTGCAGCAAAGTATCCAGTGGGCGTCGGTTCGGTACCCTGTTCCTTAAGCGTTTCCTCCACAGCTTTGAGAATTACTACGGTCTATAGAAGGGACTAAGTTAGCGAACTAGAACTGATATTGTAGGGTAAGTGTTTCGCTGACCTGTTGTTGGCTCTGAAGATTTGGTGACCGGATCTTGTCCAGCTTCTCCTCCAAAGTCGACATTTTGAAAATCGCAATCCGTAGGTGCTTTGAATTAGTGAAGATTTCGGGACTTTGCTATCAAGGAATTTTGGATTTTTTTGCTTATCGGATGTTATCGCTTATCGATGAACGCGAACCCCACCACTGGTTTGGCTTGGCAGAGTAGCTCTATGTAACATATGAGGTACCTAACCTACCTAGGTATGTAAATTGTAGCATGTAATTCGAGCCTTAGCCTATGATCATACATAACATACAATAAAATATTCACTTTCTTCATAAATCTCAATCTTAAATTAGATCCGGGGTCATAGACAACATCAATTCCAGTCTTACGAGGTAGCTTCTACTAATGCAGTTGAGATGTGGAAGGTCGATCCCAATCCCGTTCCATTTCCGTTATGAATGTGTCTGGTTCGGTTTGGTCTGGTCCAGCTCATGTATTTCTAACCCAAACAACGCAAGAAAGCTTCGTCCTGCAAATCGCAAGATAAAGCTGCATTATGGTAATATAATGCACCCAATCCATACGCCAAAACATCAAGTTTGGCTTGCATTTATCACAAAGCCTCCCTTCTTCAGCTTACAACGCCACAAGTCCATTTAAGAAAAGTCCTCACCGGCCTCTTCGATGGTGTTCTTGACTCGTACAAGAATCGTAGTCTTCCACTTGTCAAGCTTGCTTAGTTGGTCGTATTGGAATAGCTTGTCTGTAAATTGGTCCTGGTCGCCTGCTTCAATGGCAGCGGCCAGATCCACTAGTAGCTGGTGCTCTCGGGTGCTTGGGAATGTCGGGTCTTGATCTCGATATTTCTCAAGCGCGCGATTCGTAGCGACCATATCACCTGTCGCTAGGTGGCAGATACCGGCCTTGAGAAAGTAATCCTTGACCGAGTAGCGCATCAAATTGTTGTTAATGGAGGCCGCTGCGACCTTCTCGTACTGCTCGATCGACTTATAGTAGTCGCCTTCGAGGGCAGCAATGTCTGCAACCTTGAGCCATAACTTGTTCGCAAGGCTAGATATGCGAATTAGCTTTTAAAACATAATACCTAGTGATATAATGGGGGTACTAACGCCGCAGCATTATCTCCTTCATACCACCCAGCAGCAGTCTCGTATGCCTCGAGCGCACGCTTGGTATCGCCTATCTCTACCTCGAAAACCTCACCCATGTTCTCCTTGTGCTGCGCCGCCCGCCTGAAATTCCCCTTCTTGCAGTACTGGCCAACGGCGACCTCAAGACATCGCACGGCGTCTTCCGGGTTTTCTTTCCGGTATACCTTAAAAGCATCGACAAGCGTGTTTGCGGCATCGTCGGGTTCGTTTAGATGCTTGCTCTGGACCGCAGCCGCCTTCTCGAAAGCCTGTCCGGCCTCTCGATTCATCTTCTGGATCCTGAAGGCATTTGCTGCCTCGGTATACAGGTCCGCCGCATTTTGGTATTTTTCTTCTCGGCCGCCGAAGAAGCTGAAGCCGCCGGAGGCGCCGGAGAGCGCCTTGTCTGCCTACGTTGGCGATCGACGTTAGCGAATGTGTAAGTGGGTATGGGGGTATGGGGGATGCTGGCGGGGCAAGTAGACCGACCTTCTGGAGTAGCGCACGAGGATCTCCAGCCATGATGATGGGATTTTATGTTGTTGCTATACTAAAAGGAAAGAAAAGTTGTATTAATGGTAGATCAATAAACTTTATTGCTTGTTAACGTAATCGTTGTTGACAAAGGAGTGAGAATGGCAAAGTACAGTTTCGGATTGCGACGCGGCTACCTGACGTTAGGTAAGTCTCGAGCTACATCCTATGACATCGCCCTGTATTACATTGGACCCTTGCAAGTATCCATCCATGTACATTCAAAGTACCTGAGCTATGTACATATCTAATCTGAATTCGTAACAACCACCTAGGTAATAACCCAATAAATACATCCAGATTTTATTACGAGTGAAAAGAGAGAGTCATATATTCATAGAGAGTCCCTAAATCCGAGATCGTGATATGTTCCGATGCCTGCAATCTGAACAATATTTAATTCATATTCTCTACAAGTACATCTCCCTCGGCATAGCCTGTTCAGCCTCAAGACCCGACACCACCTTCGACAGGGATCCTCCATTTCGATAAAGCACTCCCACTCCCACATCAACCAATTGGCTGCGTAACATTCACATCTCGAAAAATCGTAGACCTTCCCCAACCTATTTGGACGGATCCAAGTAGCCATGAATTCACAAATATGCAATCACTGCCGCAAGGCACTACACCAATCTTTACGAGCTATACGAGGAAAAGGGTACCAACGACGCCCACTATCCTCAACCAACAACCCCCGCCAAAAATCAAGCTCAAGTTCAGCTTCGCCCGAACCCGAGTCTCTAGAAACCCTCTTCTCAAAACCAACTTGGTCCGTCCGGTCTCTCCTCCCGGAGCCATCTTCCCCAACTAGCACCGATCCCTCAACTGAGGCCGAAATAACCCCCCGCACCCTGCAACACCTCCTACGCCTCTCCGCCCTCCCTCCACCCTCCTCCCCCTCGGAAGAAGCCCTTATGCTCTCAACCTTAACCTCGCAACTACACTTCGTACGCGCCATACGCTCCGTGGACACAGCCGGTGTCGAGCCCTTGCGTGCGATACGCGACGAAACCGCGCTCGGCCAACGTGAGCAGACCATTGACTTAGAGCAACTAAAAGATGCGCTCGCGAACGAGGATGTAGTAGGCCACGCGCGACGCCCGCGCCGACGCCGGCAGCGGCAAGGAGGTAGTGATAGTGCCGATCCAGGGGTGGAAGGATGGGACGTTTTAGCCGGAGCCAGCGAGACGGCAGGGCGGTATTTCGTAGTCCGGACAGGATCAACTGGCCCGGCACGGATAGGCGTAGGGCAAGTAGAGAAGACGGAAGAGAATTTATAATAATAATAGTAAGATGAAATGAGCAATTACTACGCGATGTGTAAGTACAGTCTTCTGGCCTGCCTATCTGAGTATGCTGTCCTATTTCCGGTGTATACACCTGGCCTAGCTGCCTACCTGCATAACTGCCCATAATACAAAGAACAATGCTTAGACTATCTTACAGCACGGCCTCATAACAAAATTCATCGCCAACTAATAAAGACGAAACCGATCATGTATCGCCATCTAGGCAATACAAACCTCTAGAACCAAAATAATATACATCCCTCGGTTGCCGCAGATCTTGAGGGCCGGATCGATGCGTTCCAGGACGTCGCTACTTGCTACCCAGTTTCACACCTTTCATGCCGTTCACGACTGCTCGGATATCCTTTTTGGGCTTAACTTGACTCTTCTTTTCGCGCTCTTCGTCGAGTTTCGCCTCGGCGCCTATGTGTGCGTTCAACTTATCCTGTTCCTTCGTAATTTGGTCATAGTTGATATCCTCCCAACCGACCTTCTTCAGGACGCTGCCAACCATATAGTGGTATCGAAGGTGATTGGTAGCTACCTGGGTCACGTCGAAATTTTCGACGTTCGGTACGCCTTCGATTCTCTGTAAGCCAGCAACGCCGTATTGCCAGCTACTACTGCGATAGAGGAAGCCCAGCATGTAGTCTTTCTTGGAGTAAACGTTGACTAGTTTGCTAGCAACGACGCTCTTCATTGTCGCCCAAACGCGAACTTCGGACGGGCACGGTGCACCCATGATAATCACGTTCTCTACCAATCCAAAAGCTCGCTTCTCGGCCAGAATCATCAGGCAGCAATAGATTATGCGAGCCCCCAGGCTATACCCTATCAATGTAACGGGTCTCTCGCCGTAGATTCTGTTTATGAGAACGTCGGCGAGCACGGCACCTGCCTTTTCTGCTCGGACCATTCCGATACACCAAGGATTTTCGATGACCTTACTCATCTTCACGAGGGCTGTGGGCCATATAGACTTTGTCAGCCTGTCGTAAACTAGAGCAAGAAATTAGCTTATGTTCCACTATAACAGGAGGGGGGCGTCCTTACCAGTCATCGAATCGAGTTCCTTCTTTGCTTCGCTCCAAGCTGAACTCTTCGCGAGCGTTTCTAGAGCGATACCCATCTTCGTCAGGGCCTCCAGCTCCCATCTCATCGCATAGGATTCATTCTGTTGACCTAGAAACTGCCAGGATGTAAGGAAGTCATCCGGGTTGGTGAGCAGCCCAGTAATTCCGATGGTGACTCGCATTCTGCGATTCTCAGCAGGTAAATCCTTAGGGTCGATCAGCTCCGGTGTGTTAACTCCATGCAAAGGTATCATGCCGAAATCCTGGATGTCCTTGCCGTGTGCGTCAATCGTTTTGCTCCCTTGCCGGGCTCCATACAGACCAAACAAGGTACCAACGACGACAGTGCTATCGTTCATAGGTCCTAGTAGACCAGCTGTTGCTGACTGGTCGAGTCCTATGCCCCCGAAAACAGTACCAAGCCTGGCTGCGACGAGGGGTGCTGCAAGGACGCCAGGTTTTCCTCCCAGGGCTGCGTTAGCCATGCCCGGTCTCCAACGTCGGGAAGTTCTGGCTTCCTCCGCTCGCCTTTGGGCGATCTCCTCGGCGGGGATTCCCAGGATAACCTTCGCGAGGGCTTGCGAGACTCTGGCCTCGTCTTGCAATAATACCCACATCGGGATGTTCAACGACGAAGCAAGTCTTATTAGTAAGATTCTCGAGTACAGAGAATATTGGTCAAGCCCGAGCAGGATTAGTAGCATGGAATGCAATATCAGGGCACGCTTCTCCTTGGGGCAATCCTTGAGGGGCGTAGGAATAGGGGGATAAAGCCGAACAAGGGCCAGCGAGGAAGCGTCAGCAGCCGTGTTGGGTCCTAAGTTATCTGATTAGCTCTGCAAAGAAAACTGCCTGATATGAAATATTAGGGGGCACCAAAATGCTAAATTTGCAATGCAGGGAGCTATTCAAAAAAGGAACCACGACGACGTTTATTGGCGGCAAGCCTCTCAAGGAAGAACTTACCACTACCACTTGGCAACAAAGGTCTTCCTCTCGTGGCATTACCTCCTGATCGTCTTGCATTACCTGGTGCTTGGGGTGCCTGGCCGCCAACGTTGCCAGTTGTTCCGCCGTTTTTAATCACGATATCCTGGGTACGCTTGAGCAAGTTGACACGCCATTTGCCGAAGTGTGCTTGAGCGTCTCTTTTCAATTCGAAAAGGCTTGAGATCAGTACATCGTGCTCCGTCTTTTGGTATAAATGGCGGACTTCTTCGGGAGACTTGGGTAGTTTCCACATGGGGTGCAGTGACCTTGCTGTCGTGGTAGCTTGGTGATTGGGTCGGGTATTCTCCTTCTGGGAATCTGAACTGTTATTCTGGCCCGCGGCGACGTTGCCATATAAGTGTCGATATTTCTCGCTACGGGGATTAGGGACAGTGTTACACACTGCTTTAGGTGGGTTAATTCCTTGGTCGGGTTTAACATGGCCAGGGCTCAGATTCTCGAAGCTGTCGCGTATCTGCTTGTGCATATCCTCGACAATGATGGAAATGAGTTTTTGAAGTTGGAATTTCTGTTCCACGTTGATACATGCACTGAGGTCGAGTTCAATACGCTTGGGCGGACGCCCTCGCGATGGGTTGTTGTTGCGAGCCATTGTTTGACCTTCGTCTTCAGATGAACTGGAATAGGTAAAGGTTTGATCCATGGTTATAATTTTCTCTGCTTTTATAGATAGTAGATAGACGTGAACATGCGGGGTTGCGGTTGCTACTGCCGTTGCTGTTGCTGCTGTTGCGGTAGTGACGAAGTTGCTTAGGATTGAGGTGAAGTGCGTTGCTAGGCAGTCATGAAGGAAGGAAGTGACGAAGAAGGTAATGAAGGGGGCAACAACGAACCAAAATTGGGTCTGTACCTACATGGCGATGTTAGGAGGTACGATGTCTGCCTGACTGTACCTAACCTATAAAGTCTGTAACACAAACTGAAGTATAATCACAAACACGACCTATTAGTCTTTATCGTTAACGCTGCAGCTATCCGAATCTCTCGACGTAATATATACATCTGGTAGGATAGATAAATAGGCACCTAAATATTGGAGCTTAGGTAGGTATGAATAAATGTGTTATGCTACTTCAAGTCTATTTTGCTAAGAAAGATTTCGGGATGCTATGCTACTTACCTAATATAAGGGGGCACAAAAGGGGGCGCATGGACTAAACCCTCCAGAACATACTTCTCCCACTTTGAATTATAAAGGAATCTGAACACTTGACATGTAACGCAAATAAACTTATGACTAGATGGTATAGATAAGATCGGTAGCCTGGCTTTATTTTCATCAATCTACGGGAGCAAGCTTCAAACGCAATACGACACGAGACGATAATAAGATTTAGCTAACTTGACTTTCAGATTGTCATAACCATTATCTACACGCAATAGTCACATACAATAATCCTGCCCCTTTTTTACACACACGTTTTCCTTTCTTAAGGTATAACAAATGCTTACTTAATTTAACTGACTATGCCTAACTGTTTCACCCTTAGATACGGCCAATAAATATGAAAGGGTCAGAGTATTAATGAATATAAGAGACATGGTATTTACTAGCTGCTAGACGACAGCACTCACGTTACGTTGTTAGTTTAACTCTCGAGTTAGTCAGAGAAACCAATCACTATAACTCTTCTTGTTGACGAATAGCTAGGAAATAACTAATTTGTATGAGGCGTTCCTATAAGACTCCACCCCCTCAGCTCAAAGTATAGCATTAAGCTGACTATGTCTACTGAAGATCTCCTCAATCGTGTACCGGTACAATCCATGCGTAGGCACTAAAATACCACACGGTATACTCTTCTCGGGTTTCTAGTCCCTTAGGATAACGAGAACAGACATCGTATCTTAGGTAGACATAACCCAAACTACGGATCAGAAAACGTTTATATCGATATACTAAGATTAACAAGCAAAGACAGATCATTCGCTAGTTTATGGCGTGGTAACATTTCTACAACAGCATGCCGTGCTACCTTGCTGGTTACGCCATGGCAATTCGTCGCGGCTATGCTCGATCTTCGTCAGCCCCGTTGCACTATCTAACCGATCAATCGGCACCTATAACGTAGGAGAAGATATATAGTCAAATTGCCGCCTATTGGGATTGCTTCTATAGTACTTAACAACGCAGGGGCTGTCAATCCGAGGAGTAAATCATAGGTACCCATTAGGGATATATCATCTGAATTACGCAGTCGTATGCTACCTATTATGTGTTTACTAATGTACTATTAAGTTGCACTAGTTAGCCCCTTAGTTCAGACGACCTATGCGTGAATATCAGGTACCTATTAACTTCCTATCGTCGTGACCAATATATAACCAGCTACGGAAACCGACCAATTGGATTGCCATCCAGATTCTTATCATAGATGATTACCGCTTACGAGATAAGTTCCGTTCATGAGACCACCAAAAACTTAGTTATAACGGTCTCAGGGGTGCGACGTTCAATCAGGTCTCTTGTATGTACTGTAACTCCCAAAATACTTGGATGACTTCCCCACGCGAGTTAAGCATACTACTCTTGAGCTTGCCTTGGTAAGAGTCAAAACACGGCAGCAGTGACACGATCGAGATGGGAGCAAACAAATTCGTCTCATATAAGCTAGAATAGAACGAGTAAGTCTCACTAACATGGCATCCTGCAAAATACCGAACTGGAAGTCAACGACTACCTATAGCGCACGTCAGTGACGTGACGAGCTAAAGCTTTGGGGGGAACAAAAGGTCCTGTTGATGGGTTGATCATGACATTACATGCCGTGATTTATGTACGACCATCTCCAAAGCCCCGCGTTGGGACGTAAAGCCCACGGCTTGGGGAAGAGATCCGTTTGTTGATATTGACGTTTGGCGTGTGGGATGGGAGTGGGAGTTGGAAGATGGGATGCCAGGTCCCATTGGTCGATCAGCCCACGTGCGCATGAGGAGCTCTCTTAAAAGGATGAAGAGCTACGCGTACTAGCATAGCTCCAAGACGCATGTGTGTGATTGGCCTCGAAGTACAATCTAGATAACTTGGAAGCACGCCGGTTGTGACTTGGTCTGCTTGATGTTGAGTTGATGCCGGGTGTTTGCATTCGGGCGTTTCTCTTATGTAAGTCCGTCTTTCAAGTTGAGATTCGGTAAGGTACATAGAAGATCAAGAAGATGAGCGAGGTTAGCCGAAACAAGATTCAGATACCTAGAATATTGCATGGCATCTACGGTCGCTTACTTCGGATACTTTATACCAAATATCTGAAGTTAGGTTATGTGGTAGTTTTTGTCTTCAATATTATATGGCCAATAGTGCAATTTAACCCTTTGCCAAACGAGACTGCGGGCGTTTGCTCAGCTTTAAATGCAGGGGTAAGCTCCTACCTCATAACATATCAAGAGGTACGTACAGGTAATATATGGGTACTTTAAGGTACATCTAGACTGCCACGAGGGCCCCCTAGCTGCGAGTGGGCATAGTGGATTTTTAGCGAAATCCATCACCCGCGGGATGCTTGGCTGCTCCAATAGCAAAGCAATAAACCTGGTAGATTCGTATACATGATGTACAAACCCCAAATCGTCTAACAATTGGCAACCTTGATCGACTCGGCTGGGGCATAACGTGCTCTATTACAGGGACCCGTCTTATACGTACACTACACTATGTACACACATAACCTAGTGCCTCAGCGGAGGGGGTGTCAATTCCTCCCGCACACGGATAATTGGATTTAATTCGACCCCTCGACGTCGCATCTCGAAGACGGGACACGACGGAACCGAGCTTAGATACCTTAACCTAGTATCTCCAATGTCATCACTTGAACCTATAAACCTCTAAGCCTCTACTTACCAATTACCAATTCCCGAGCTATTGGATACTTTTTCTTTCCATTAGTTACTTTTGAACCTACCATAACTCCTATAATTCCGTAAATCCCATTCGACACGCGGCTGGCCGAGGTCGAGTATCTCTCTCGCTCTCTCTCTCTCTCTTCCGAAGCTCCAGAGTTATTACGGAGTTGACACCTGACACTTTTTCCGAGCAATTTGTCGTGTTGGTACATACCTACATATATACGGATTCTGCCCCCCCGTGGCTGCGACGTACGTTGGGAATTAATATCCGCGCTCTACGTTCTACGTTGGACCGCGTAACATTACACAGCCCTTTTATCTGGTCGATATATTTCCGCCACAGCCATCTGTCGGTGAAAGTCGTTTCTCGTGTCCTTCACTTCGTCTCTCGTCCGAGTTCCCCTCAGGTATCCTGTGCACAGTAACACCAGGTCCCTCAGCCTACCTGAATCACAACAAGTGCGTGTTACATTGAACGATAATCCATAACGGCCTTCGATGAATCGGATGTTAAAACCTTCTAATAGACTCAGGTGATTCGACGGCAACTCAATTTACCAGGTCCGGCCGAACAGCGTGAGCGGGTCATAGCAGACGATTTCCCGCTCTCATTTACCCTTGATACCTTCGTCCTTGTCGAGCGCTGCCTTATTCAATCTCGATCCCCTTTCTGAGTACTCCCTATCGTCACTCGAAATATATTTCTTAGTCGTCCGCTCCTGAGAGACTTCGAATCTCTTGTCGCCCGAACCCCTCTCGAATTATATACCTCGGTAGACATCGTAGGCGAAATACGGCCGCGACATATAGTTACAGTCATGAAAGCTCTCCAGTAAAGTTCCTGCTGGCTCGACGTAAAGAGTTTCTAATTATATGACCGTGGTGCTCTGCAATTATCAGCTGACTGCATGCTATTGTCGCGATGGAGAGCATCAATATCTCCGTCATAGGAGCCAATGGAGTGGGTAAATCCCACTTCATACAAAAGGCCATGTCACTACCGCGCATGCCCGGCCCTAATCCTACGACAGCTCGTATTAATATCGATAACGTACCTTACGCTGTTACACTGTTCGAATTGGATCTCGAATACTTCGACGTGGACCCCGATCGGCAGATCAAGTGGCCAAAGCAAATAGGCGGCGCTATCGTTCCTCGTGTGAACGGCGTCTTGCTCTTATATGATGTGATGAACAGGGAGAGCATCATAGAGCTACCTCAGACCTTGAGTAAGTGCCAATTAACCAGTGTCTTATTCTAGTGTGGTTATGATACCTCGGAAGATAAGCGACAACTAACTCGACCAGATGCTCTTGTGAACTCTTCATTACCAGCGGTTCTTGTTGCGACGAAGTGCGACAATCCCGAGAAATTACGACATATCGATACGGAGGCGGTTGCCGCCGCATGCCAATCATGCCTCGCAACTTTTAAAACGTCCGTTAATAAGCCGGAGAGTGCGAGGATAGCTTTGTCTACGTTGCTTAAGGCACTAGTATCAAGAAATCAAGGTATGTACAACCTCGTGGAAGCTCTTTGTTGTGGGTTCATAGAGCTTCGGGATTGCTCACCTACAGCTTAAGCAAAGCTTAACTACTCTATGTTTCTTCATCTGACTATGGAATGTAATTGTAGACATAGACAGTGCGGAAGGGATAAGCAGTGCGAGACGTAGGGCAGCTTCGGCTGCTCATCTTGATTCTCAAATAGAACCCACCAACGCTCGACCGATAAGTCAACATAGCAAGCATAGTCGTGCTAGCTCGGATATGTCGCTACTTCGAGGCATATCGAACCAGCCGGGAACGGACTACCGCCACTCCTCGAGACCACCTCGTCTCGATCTTTCGGGGAACCATGGGACGGGTCAATTTTCAGAAGCTGTGGAAGAAGATTCTGGTCAAACTGTTTCTAGTATGCTCCGTACCCCTGGTATTAGGCTGGATCCCAACCAGACCACCGCTTCATTTCTTGATATTGACGACTCAGATGCCGATTCTATGCGATATGATGATATACCCCTCTTGCAACGGACCGACGAGTCGCTATTCGAACGACCGGCGAAGAAAATCGGCGTCACCTTCGAAGAGTTAATCGAGCGTCTCATTGCCCCTAAGATGTCTAGAGCAGACAACAATTTCTTGGAGATCTTCTTGTGTTTGTACCGCAAGTTTGCGTCTCCAGGGCAGCTCTTATCATCCCTCCTGTCACGGCTGGACCGCATTAGGGACGACAAATCCGTTCATTACCTTACCAAGATAGGCGCCCAGTTTCGAATTATCGAGGTGATCGCCAAGTGGGTCGCGACCTACCCCGGAGATTTTGCAGGGCCGACAACAAGAAGGAACATAGAGGACTTCATAAGACAAATAGCTACGGAGCCGGCATTCTTCGCGGCTTCACAGCAGATGCGTAGAACGATGGAGTACAGTGTAATCGAGGCTGATGATACGGGCTGGGAGAAAGCCGATAGCCTTGAGGATACGCCAGTAGACGACCACGAGCTGAGTATAAGAGACACTGCTAGGCGGTATGTAGAAATGTCGGAAAGTCTAAGCTCTCTAGGTGTGGATGACCAGATCGAACGACGACCCTCAGCCAGTTCGTCCTTTCAAACAGACGCCGGACAGCCATCTGGGCCCGTTGGGAAGATACATTCATTCCAGTTTCACTCATACGAGGACTACGAACGGGAGGCAGCGACAATGGTGCCCACGTATACATTACCACTGACCAAGTTTCGGTACCATATATTCATGGACACACAGAATGATGATATCGCCGACGAGATGACGAGGATTGATTGGGTTATGTTCTCTTCGATCCGGATACGAGACTTAATCCGGCACGTCAGCCTATCAGCAGAGCAGAAGGAGAAGTGCAGGGCTATGAAGAACGTCAATCGCATGATTGCCCATTTCAACCATATCGCGACTTGGGTATCCAATATGATCCTCATGAGAGAAAAAGCCAAACATCGTGCACAGATGTTGGAGAAGTTTATGAATATCGCGTTGAAATTAAGGCAGCTAAACAACTACAACGGTCTTGCGGCCGTGTTAGCTGGTATTAACGGGACGGCTATCCATCGTCTATCTCAGACACGAGCACTTGTGCCAACCGAAGTGCAAAAAAGGTTTGCGCGGTTAGTGCTCTTAATGGGAACACAGAAGAGCCACTTTGCCTATCGACTGGCCTGGGAAAATTCACCATTACCGCGCATCCCCTTCATCCCGTTACATCGTAGGGATCTTGTATCGGCCGAAGAGGGTAGCATGACATTGGTGGGGCCCCAAGGCGATCGAATAAACTGGAAGAAATTTGAGGTTTTAGGTGAAATCCTCTTGCCAATCATGAAGAGTCAGGGTACTCCATACCCGAACCTATCTAAGCACGACACGGCAAGGGAGCTTATCTTGGACTGCTTGATGCCTACAGACGAAGAGGTGAGATGTGAAGCTTTCATACATGTATTTGACTAAATTGTGGTGGATTTGACTAACGTAGCACTTGCAGGACATCTACCAACGAAGCATTCAGGTAGAGTCCCCTAGTGGTGGCTCTATCGATCCCGGGAAGAAGAAATTCCCATGGTTTGCGAATTCAAAGTGATAGCGGACGTCCGTATTTAGTCTTCAACAGGATGAATCATTTCTACAGTAATCCCCAATCCTCCCCAGGGAAGCGGAGTTGGCGTTAGAAAGAAGATATGAACGTATATTATTCCCCTTGTCGTTGGACATGATTTTCTTGTAGGTGGATTCGAGCGAATTTGGCAGATATCTATTGGGTTGGATATTTATTGGATTTAAGACTTCTAGACTTTCCCCCTCTCGTATAAGCGACCTATTAAGGGGCAGCTGATGGAGAGTTTTGGTAGAACTAGCTCCCTCGCTGCGACTTAGTAGGTTAGCATTTTATTTTGCTATTTTCTCATTCGAACGTGTGGATCTTGCGTTGTTCATGTTCATGTTGTTCGTGTTTGGTAGAATGATACCACATAACATTACACGTACCTAACATATTATAGGTTGGGTACAGTATACTATTTGACATGTGCCCGCCAATATATGTACCTAATGTATGCATTATCTTCACACTACATTGTTAGTCGAATCTGTTAGTACATTAATATGTACCTAAAGACTTTCTTGTTAGGTATATGTATTTCTACAAGTACCTATGTCTTCTCGTAGCGCTATAGTACCTTTTTATATAGATACCCGATGATGTCATAGCTGCCCGCACTTACAATTTACATACCTCCCCCTCATTGCTGTTGCTTTTTTCTTTTTTTTCCTTATCACGGCCTTGTTAGGCCTTGATGCAATGAAGTCTTCATACATCCGCCGTAGCTCCAATCTAACTAGCTCGCTCCAATTCGTACTGTCGTACTGCCGCTAACCCGTCGGCTTACCTGAATGAGACAATAGATGGTCAAGCTCTGCAGCTGCAGTAGTACCTGAATACCTGAAATTGATCTACAATCCGATTTACAATCCCAATAACTCTTTCCTCTCGTCTTCCTTCTCTTCGTCGATATCAACGTTGCTATCTCGTGTCTTCACTGTTGTTAGATGCTCAGACGTTTCCCCCCCTCTTACCTTGGTCCTCTATTTTCGTGATCTATACTATATTCCTTGTAAATTTATTTTTACCCCTATTAGGCCATCCTCCAACATGGTTGTAGTTGACAACCACGAATACCTCACCGAGGAAGAGAAGCGTCTCAAAGAAGATAGCCATCGTATTAAATACTGGAAGAAATGGGGTCCCTATGTTGCTGAACGACAATGGGCTACAGGCAAGCGGGGGCTACTAATCTCTTGTCCTAACTGTCTAACTAACTAACTTATAATACTCAGTGCGAGAAGATTATAGCGCAGACGGAGATGCTTGGAGCCGTAAGCAGCTCTCTTATACTTTTACACTTTACTATATCCCGTGCTGATTCACCCCCGCATGCAGACTTTACACACGACCACGCCCGATCTCGAGCATTTCGCTGGGGTGAAGACGGAATAGCTGGAGTATCAGACTCACATGGCCTGCAGAATATTGCATTCGCTTTCTGGAACGAGCAAGAGTCCGTGTTGCACCCTTTACTACCTAACGAGATGTATCTTACTGACGAATGATAGCCCTTTCCTCAAGGAACGGCTTTTCGGCCTAGCAAATCCCCAAGGTAACCATGGTGAAAGTATCAAGGAAGCACACTTCCACCTTGATAACACTCCTGTAAGCTTTTAATATGGTCCATGTTGTGGCTATCGCTAATAGTAATTATAGACAGTAAGATATATCATATGATTAACCCTACCCGTGTCCCTGCTGACGGCCATCCAGCATTCCTATATGAAATACCTCTATAAATATCCCCAGAGAGCGTTTCCTTATGACGACCTCATAGAAACAAACGGGAAAAGGACCAAGGAAGAGAAGGAATACCAGATCATCGATACTGGAATATTCGATGAAGACAGATACTGGGACATTATAATCGAGACTGCTAAGGAGGCAGATGACCCTGACGAGATTCTCTTCCGAGTCACGGCATGGAATCGAGGTCCGGATCCAGCTCCCCTCCATATCATTCCCCATGTCTGGTTTCGAAACACATGGGCCTGGGGAAGGGAGACGGCGGATAAAAAGCCAGCTATCTCATATTTCACCGAGAACATGGCTAAGTCGAGGCATCATAAACTAGGTGACCGATATATGCTGTTATCACCCTCGCCAGGCGTTGGAACTAGCGGAGAGGATGTCGAACCAGAGCTTATCTTCACAGACAATGACACCAATTACGAACTTCTATATGAAGGGGAGAATAAAGTCCCATACGTCAAGGACGCATTCCATCAGTATATTGTCGATGGGAAAAAGCAAGCTGTGAACCCGGCCAGGACGGGCACAAAATGTGCCGCGTGGTTCCAATTTAACGAGTCAGGGGGTGTTGCCCCTGGCGAATGTGCCGGTACGCTATTGATGAAGTCACAACTGATATATATAGAGAGAGAGCGCTGGCTGACACCTATAATAGTTGTTCGTTTCCGATTTTCGAGGAAAAATGAGAGCTACCTAGACGAAGAAATTTTCGATGATATCGTTGAAAAGAGACGAGAGGAAGCAGATGAGTTTTACTATAGGATTAGCCCCCTGCCAATGTCCGAGGACCTCCGCAACATCCAACGCCAGGCATTTTCAGGTATGATGTGGTGTAAACAATATTACCAGTTTATCTGGGACCAGTGGGCCAATGGTGATCCCTCTCAACCACCACCTCCGCCCGAGAGGAAGGCTATTAGAAATTCGCAATGGAAGCACTTACATATCGACGATATTCTATCCATGCCGGATTCATGGGAATATCCCTTCTTCGCGGCTTGGGATTCCGCGTTTCACTGCATCCCGCTTGCTATGATCGACCCAGACTTCGCGAAGAAGCAAATCGACCTGTTCACCAGAGAATGGTACTGCCATCCAAATGGCCAGCTCCCTGCGTATGTGTTGATAGGGATGTATAAGCGAAAATATTCTAACCTGGCTACAGATACGAATGGAACTTTGGCGACGTCAACCCGCCAGTCCATGCCTGGGCCACTTTCCGCGTGTTCAAGATCGAGCGCAAGATATACGGAAGACAAGATATCGACTTCTTGGAGAGGGTATTTCAGAAGTTACTATTAAATTTCACATGGTGGGTCAATCGAAAGGATATGGACGGGAAAAATGTCTTCGAGGGTGGTTTCCTCGGGCTGGACAATATCGGTCTCTTCAATCGTTCCGAGCCGCTTCCGACGGGGGGTGTTCTTGAACAGGCTGACAGCACAGGGTGGATGGCATTCTACTGCTTGTGCATGTTGAACATCGCACTCGAGCTTGCCAAGCATCGGAGGATATATGAGGATATCGCCTCAAAGTTCTTTGAACATTTCATATTCATTAGCGATGCCATGACATTCAAATCCGGTGAAAAGGATGAGAAGTCACTATGGAACGACGAGGATGGCTTCTACTACGATGCCATTTCGTGGGGTGGGCCGTGGATTCAACAACTACCTGTCCGGTCACTCGTAGGGTTGATTCCACTCTACGCAACATTGACCTTAGAGCCGGAATTAATCAATAAGCTACCTTCGTTCAAGAAGCGTGTGGATTGGTTCATTGAGAACCGATGTGACTTGGCCGAGAGAAATATGGCAAGTATCCGGAAGAGGGGTAAGGGGAATCGTATCCTTCTTGCGATGGTGAGCAAGGACCGACTGGAGAAGATCCTGAAGCGTATGCTCGACGAAGATGAGTTCCTAAGCGAGCATGGTATCAGGTCGCTCTCGAGATACCATAAAGAGAACCCGTACTCTATGGATGTTAATGGTCAAAAATTCACAGTGGGATATGTTCCTGGTGATTCTGACAGCGGGCTATTCGGCGGTAACAGTAACTGGAGAGGTCCTATTTGGCTGTGTGTCAATTTCCTTCTAGTGGAATCTCTTCAGCGATTCTTCCTCTTCTACGGACCTAATTACCAAGTCGAATGCCCTACCGGGTCTGGGGAATATATGCACTTGGGACACGTTTCCGAGGAGATCCAACATCGGTTACAACACTTGTTTGCCCGTGGCGATGACGGACGTCGGAGCATCAATGCCGGAAACGACATGCTAGACTTTGATCCGCACTGGAGAGACCATATGTGGTTCCACGAGTTCTTCGACGGTGACACGGGTCGCGGTTTAGGGGCAACGCACCAGTGCGGCTGGACCGGCCTGATCGCACGTATGATTCACGACACAGGGTAAGTTATTCTACTATATGCTATGTTATAATCATGCGCTAACATGTAGAATAGCATCAGTTGTCGCCTCCCGCAGACGCCCCGCACGCCGACAGCCGGCATGTCGCACTACTTTGATGACATCTTACACCGGCACGTGGGAATCAACAAGCCGCAGAGAGGTCACATGCGGCGGTCGTCGACAGCGCGATCGATTAGTGCCCGCAGTGACTTCGACGCATCTGTCAACGGTGAGGAATATGATGTTCGTAGCGTAGCGCCAGATGACCCAGAAAGAGAGGCCCAGCGCAAGGAGGCGGATGCCCACTTGCATCAGTATATCTCGGAGCAGCTGCAGCGGGTTAAGGACCACGATGATTTTGAGGGGTTAGCGACTGGGGATGAGTACGAGACGCATTTATAGGGGACATTACGGGTTATATTAGATATCTAGGTAGGGTATATTCTTAGACCCTAGAGAGATCTTAGAGGGAAGGTGTAAGGGGGATATACTTACTTACATGGAAGATTGGATGATGGGGATGGGGATATTTAGAAAAGAGGAGGGGAGGGGAGTGAAGGGCATACGCATTTACATAGAGATATACAGATTACGATGCTTAGGAATTCATGGCTATATTATCTAGTTGATTAGATAGAATATGATTATCCCGGTATATGATGGGATGTTTTGATGCCTATACTACCTGTTCTTGAAACTTGGTGTGTGTGAATGGGCGGGATGTTGTGATGGTTAAGATTTTGATCGTGCTTGAGGTTAGTGGTAAGTGAGGTGGTTGATGTGTAAAGCTAGTATCGGCTGATGCCATGGGAGTATGGTAGCCTAGCATTGAAACTGTCTCTTGGTCAATGAGCGGTGTCATGGATAGAGGTCATCTCCTATTCGGAGTTTTCTGAGTAAGTCGGCTAGGGTTGCTGGATATGCTATTACCGTCAGCTTGCTTTGTCCTCGAACGAGGAGAGGTTTAGATGATACGTGTAACGAAGAGTTTATGACCATCTTATATATATGCGTAACTACGTGCCTGCGATAATCAGTTTATATGATTAGGCGTATCGAGGAGTAGGTAGATATAAAACGCGGTTTTCGGTCGAGGTTACTTACTACCTTACGTTGAGGCATTGCAACCCTCGATATGCGTACGACAATAATGGCATCAGGTAGGTATGTATTGTTAAGTTGGCTTTGGCCTATGTTGTAGAATGTCGGTGTTAATTGGCTTTGAAAAGGACTAGCATACCCATCTCTAGTCCTAGCCCAAATACAGGTCTATCCGAGTTAATTATATATTTTAGTTACCCGGTATTCATGTTAGATCTTAAGATTAAAGCCGTTTCGAGCAACCGTTGTATATGGAGTATACCAGTTTGCCTACGCCAAGTCGATTTAAGATGGGTAACTCGTAAGATACAATCCGGTGAAGCATGGCTTAATTAACCATCTAACTGGTTTTTTTTTCCTACTAGTAAAAGGGGAAGCCTGGTTTATACACATTATTGCTGATATTCCTAGTATTGTTCTAGTATTAACCTCTCGGCTATTCATATCAACACAGGTAGCATAGCAACGTGCCCTTATACAGACGGCAGTAAATCTTGGGCGGTAGTTTTAGATATCATTGATTGGCGGGTCTGATATCTTGAAACTCAAATATGAGGGCGACTTGGATAATAGTAGTCTTTATAAATGGGGTTTCCCCTTGTGTGGAATACTGGACTAGTCAGGATTGGGCATTTCCTAGGCGTAAAGTCCATCAATTATTAGTTCCATAAGTAGGCAAATGATATTGGGGGACGAATGCTTCCTCTATTCTACGAGCCTATACACAATGGTATCTCGACGGAGAAACCAGCCTTCTAGTCGCAAGCGCCTCTCCAAAGCAGCTGCCATGCTCGCACAAGACAAAGGGAAGATTATTTTACAAGGTGTCAGTTAGGAGCTTGTTCAGCTTGGCAAGCTTAGACGAGACCGAGAGATCGATTGTCCTGTCTCCAATCTCCACGATGAGACCACCGAGGATGTCCGGGTTGATCTGGTTGGTGACCTTCAGCTTCTTGCCCTGTCCGACGATTGGAGACTTGGCGATGGCATTTTCGATACGGCTAAGCGTCTTGTTGTCCAATTGCTACGACAATTGTTAGCATATTTATCCTGGGTGATCCCCACGTATACTCTGGGCTAGGAATGCAGTACCTGGGCGCTGATAATAACTAGCTCGACCTCGCCTCGGGCAGCGCGCATGATCTGGTTGAACTTCTCGGAGACGCCGGGGAGTATTCCCAGACGGTTGTTCTCGGCCAAGGTAGCGAGGAAGTTCTTGACGGTCTCGTTCGAGCTCACGGGGCCGAGGTTCTTCTGCAGTTCCGCAACGATGGCGCTCTTGTCGCTGTCCGAAAGCGTAGGGGTGTTCAGAATCGTGACAAGCTTCTGATCCTTGGCAAGGAGGTCACTGAGGGTGCTCAGAGCCTTCGCGGTAGGATCGAGGGACGAGGTCTTGACGGCGGCAGTGTACTAAATGGCTCATCAGTCAATATGGCTTGTCCCAGAATCGACCAATGGTTCCTTCCACGTCACGCCCTCCCCAATTGGATTCTTCTGTAGATCCTAGGAGCAAATATCAGGGTTCAGAAAGGGATTGGCGTACGTACCAGGGCACTAGCATAGGTACCATCGAGGCCATAGACGGCAACGGGAGGCTTGACATCCTGGGTGGCAGCGGCGGCGGCATATGAGCGGACGGGAGCGCGGGCGAAGGTCCGTTGAGGAGCCGCAGCTCGGACTGAGCGGAATGCCTGTCGGGCGAACATGGCGGCGTGGATGGGGGAGGGGGGTATTAGTATACGGAGTATAGAAGGATAGATGGTGTCTCGATTCTCAAAGCTCGGCTTCAAAGACGTTTGCAAGAAATCGATCCCGCGGGTTTAGCGGGCCAAACTGACCTAAAGTGGGTCTTAAACTTCCTGGGTATTGGAAAAAAGTTGAAAGCTGTGAGCAGAAGCCACAAACAAAGCCACAGAAGATGGAAGCCCCAGTGCTAGGTCCATATTTCCATTTAACCTAACTTAGGTACCTAAGGTACATAGGACAAAGCGCATATTGGAACAATTTACCACCTAATGCGGCCTAACCTCGGGCTAGGCGCATAATAACATTGAACGGTACTATTCCATTTTTCCGTGTCCCGCAATCCGTACCTTATGTACTGATTGATCTGACTGACGTAGTGGACCTGCCCACCACGTGCCGTTAGGTACATATGTAGGGTCCAGACGCCCCAACAGGTTCGATTTCCTTCAACTGTCAGCCCGAAAACGTTGCAAACCTACACGGAATTCTTCACCGTCCACAACTCTACAACTTCTCAAAGCCAGAAGAGAACATAATTTGGGCGCGCTGCCTTGCCCAACTCCAGTGGTCTTTTTTTTTCTCTGTCGCCCAACTTAGGAGGTATTTTGATTTAATTCATCATCCTCTAGGTATATACTACCGTAACATTCACTGCCTGCCTTGGATCCTTTCGTTTATCCACAACCTGCAACGACAAAAAGTTGTTTTGTCTTGATCGGTTGGTTTGGTTGCTTTAGGATCTTAGACCGAGACGCATTCGCGTTTTGATTCGATACGGTAGCCGTGTCACTGTAGCCACCATCTTTCTTTTTTCCCCTTCCGTACCAGTATCGCGCAAAGCCGTCCTTCTTTTTTTCCCTATGGTAAGGTTAGGATTGTTAGGATTACTATCGTGATGACGAGGGAACGCAAAAAAGCCCCGCTGCCCGTACGTGGCGTGCGGGCTCTAAACCGCCGTGCAAAGATGGAGAGAGCACAGAAACAGCAGCCAGATGACACCTGGCGAGCCTTAAATCCATTAAAGGAACCTCCCAGGATGAAGCATAAGACAACCTTCGAATTAGTCGAGAATACAGACAAAAAGAAGAAGCTCGAGTTCAAGGTAATGAGAGGTCACCAAGAAGGTTGACTATGAGTAGCATCACTAACCAGTAATAGATCACCATCGATAGACACCCACCGCCGGGTTTCGAATTCGTCCCTGTTGGTTATCCACAGTTAACGCAAATGTGCAAAGAACTATCCAGAGAACAAGATGCTATGATATTCATTGTTTCAGTATGTAGGTTCATTCCTTTGTGCTTTGTGATACTAATATATTTGATTTAGGACTCCAAGAACCCAGACAATCTCGACCACCATGTAAACCGTGTCGGGTATCATTTTAGACAGATAATTGTTGACCAAGCTCGCTCAAAACTGGCAGCTACTGGACAAAATGTTCACGTCCCCCCAGCCCACGCATCTGGCGCACCTGAACCGATACCTAAGAGCCAAGCGGAAATTGATGCTCAAGCAGATGCAGTCTTAAGGGATCTTTTCCCAAGAATACCTCATACCGACCGACGCGAAATTATCCAGCATGCGTTTCAAAAAGTCTGTCTATATTTTTTTATATGCCGTACTAGTACTCGGATATACTGATATTAACATTACGTCTACAATACAGGATGGGAAATTCCATGGCGAGTCTAAAGTTGGCATGGTTAAAGAACTAACCCTAGCACGCAGGGTTCAACTTGCTGCGATCGCCCACATCAGGCATAACCACACGCGCTATGATGAATTATTGAAAGAAACTAACTGGCACAACGCTCGAAGAGCTGTAGAAAAGCCGTGCTTAGACGTCATCGTCAAGTGGCGAGGTGACGAAGAGACCGGTCGTGACCAGCTTGACGAGATACTTCGTGAAGTCATTGAGATTTCTGATACCGAGGAGGAGTCCGAGGATGAATCTCCCAATGCAGAGTCTATACCAGCCCGACGCGTTGTCACGATGCCCGCTGATACGTTAGCGAGGTCTAAGGCAGAACCACAAGGTAAAGAGGCTGCTAACCCTGAGCAGCCACCCCATCGTTCCAGTCATAGTCGCAGTCACAGTCGTGGTCGCGACCTATCTGTTCCAGGTGTTCTTGGACCATCTAAGCAGAGAGCAATTGCAAAGGCCGAGAAGAGAAGCGCTCGAAAGACGCAGCGTTTCAGGAGATATGCCGCCGCTGCCGAAGCTCTTGCGGGCTCATCCGACCACAGAGTCTATGCTGAGGACTCGAATGTGGCCCCTTTTGGTCCTGTTCTAATGGATCTTACCAGAAGTCCGGGTTCCACCCACCCTATTAGCTCGAGTCGCGAGCCAACAGTGGTGACGCGTGGTACTCCTCGTATTGAACAGATGTCGCGTTATTCTGAATTGCGATCAGACCAGCAGCGTTTCAAAGGTGGCCCTCTGAGAGAGATGATGACCGTCGCTCATGGCCTTCCTGAAGCCGATGAATACGCCTCGCCTCAACTGATACGCACTCCAGAAAGCCATAGGCCCAAAGTTGGGCATGCAACAGCAACTCATAGTCGCCAATCGGTTCCAGTTTCGCCAGTAAGAAACGGATTGCAAGATATGTTATTACAATCTATCGAGCCTGCGTCCCCTGTTGTCCACAGGAACCCCCCTGAAGCTCCTCGAATTTTATATCGTGAGCCTCAGCGCTTCGCGGAAGAACCTCGTGTCGTTTCCCGGCCCTTTCACGACCATGCAGGTTTTGTTTCACGTCCCGAATCCCCTAGAGTCGTGAGTCATGGTAATGTGTTGGTAACAAGACGCCTTCACGGCGCAGACTATCCCTCCGGAACCCATGATGCGTACCCCAATCCTTTTGCCCCAGCCAGTCATCAGGTTCAAGGTGAGGACCTACGACGCGTGCCGTCTGGATATTTTCCAGATCGGCCGTCGTCATCTTTTAGAGGTGCAGACCATGTCTTATCCCAGCATCAGCCCTGGCCAGTTCCTAGTGAAGGGATGGTGCACTATAATGGTGATATTTCTCATAGGACCAGAGCAAATCCAATTATCATTGATGACAATGATCATATGCCTCACAGACCTCGTCAAGTAATTGAGGTGCAACGACATCCTGGTAGAGATTACCCTGTTACACCGTCAGGGCAAGAAAGTTTCTTCCACGATGCTACCCGTCAAAGAGACGCGTACATCCGAGATGAGCCTCGAGTTGTATTGACTGATGCGCCGCCCACCCGGCCGAGAAGCGCGTCTGATTACCGCCGCCCTGGTAATTATTCTGGTCCCGGATTGACTTCGTATCACGAACCCAGCATCTATAGAGTAGCAGCGCCAGAATTACGACGTCATGTAACCGATACCGCCCCTGATCCTGAAACCAGATACTACAGAGAGCGTAGCCAGCACTTATATGAACCAAGAGAATGGCCCGGAAATGTGCCCCGAGAAGCTCGAGCTGTCCCTATTGGACTGGCTCGCCCCGAAGCGTAAGTCGACTAGGCATATAGAGGAGATACGTTCTACTCATATTGCATGCTTCCTTGAGTTTTTGCTGGGTTATTCAACAGAAGCTAATATACATAATATATAGGCGGTACCTAGGCGATGATCGCCATTTTCAAGAATATCCGGGCATGGCGCCAAATTTATACCCTCAAGACCGACGAGAAAATCGTTACTATAGGCTGGACGAGGTAACCGCGCCTACGCCACAGCAGATGCATTATCGGCACGATTATCAACCTCAACTTGTAGCCCCTCCTACCCATGGCCTCTATATCGAAAACCATGGATCACCACATCGGCATCATATCCCCGAACAACGCGTAGTCTGGGTGGATCGTTGATCTTCGTCTGAGCACTGACTCGAGATCAGTAGATTAATAATTCGGCAACGAAATTCCTTTTTGTGGTTCCATTATCAGAACCAACTGGCGGGTGGATGCGAAAATGATATGAACGTTATGGCAAAGGTGGTATCGGTACGGCTTTAGTGGAACGGCAGCATTTGAGATACCCCCCATTGGCATTATTGTCGTTTCTTTCGAGCATCATTGCATGGCAAGGCGTTATCGGCACTCGCATCACGGCATCGAGGCATACAATCGACAGCATGATAGCCTTCTCGGCTAAGGAGTTTAAGGATTGCATACTTAGCTTTTGGCTAAACGGACCTATCTTCTTTATCTGTCACCTGGAATGGCATCCCTGTTATGAGTATTGTACCTATATACAATTACAAGCACACTACGGACCTATGTCCCCGGATAGATGAATACTTTCCATGTACTTCTTAACGTGATTGAGGTATCATGTGATGGACAACTTGTGTATGTGACTGTCGATATTGATTAAGTTTTACCTAGCTCTCGGGGGCTTTGTAAGGCAAGTTATACCAAGGAACGTGGAATGACCGTAAGGATGATCTGTTTCGTTTGGTTCTGCTTGACTATTTTCCCCGGGACGGGACGTCTGTCTGAGATACTACATATGTGCCGTGAGAAAGTATTATAGTTATCAAAATAGTAACCACTTTCAATATCTTTCTTCCTCAGATTCATTTATAACATTATCCTTCCTCTCTACTATCAACTATCCTATATATATATATATATATACACATATATACCCCCATAACCCATAGCCCCCTACTCCCACCCCATCTCCTTCAACGCCCTAAATTTACTCGAATGGCCATACGACACGCTCGGCTTAATCTTGTTCAGCGCCGCCTCCCAGTCCTCGGGCGTAAGCACGTCGGGCCCGCCCTTAGTATCGGCACGCTCGACAGCCGCCTGTCCCGCGGCGACGTGCAAGTTATCCAGGTCGGCGCCGCTGAAGCCGTCGCACCGGGGATCGCGGGCGACGGCCTCGAGGACGGGGTAGTCGGTATACGAGGGTAGCAGGCGCTTTATGCGGGTGCGCAGGATATCCACGCGGCCGTCGGCGTCGGGGAGGTCGACGAAGATGTTGGTGCCGAGACGGCCGGGGCGCAGGATGGCGGGGTCGATCATGTCCGGGCGGTTGGTCGCGCCGACGACGTACACGCCCAGGCGGCTGCCGATGCCGTCGAGCTCGGTGAGGAGCTGGTTGACGACGCGGGCGCTGGCGTCGGGCCCGTTGCCGTCGCGGCGGGGCACGAGGGCGTCGAGCTCGTCGAAGAAGAGGATGCAGGGGGCGGAAGCGCGGGCTCGGCTGAAGACTTGGCGGACGGAGCGTTCGGACTCGCCGACGTATTTGTTCAGGAGCTCGGGGCCCTTGACGGAGATGAAGTTGACTTTGGACTCGTTGGCGACGGCCTTGGCGAGGAGGGTCTTGCCGCAGCCGGGGGGGCCCCAGAGGAGGACGCCGGAGGGGGCTTCGAGGCCTTTGCTGGCGAAGCGCTCGGGGTCTTGGATGGGCTTGACGATGGAGAGCATGAGCTGCTTGCGCACGTCGTGGAGGGCGCCGATGTGGGCCCAGGTTGTGTCGGGGATGGTTGTGAAGCCTTCCCGCTTGGAGGATGGTTGGACTTTGCTGATGGCGCTTAGCATGTGTTCCATCGTTAGCACGAGGGAGTCGCTCGACACGGCTTCGTCTGGCGCTGCCATTATTGCTAGGTGGAGCCGGAGTCCGGGAGATATTTGGTCGTCGGAATCGAGATCCATCTCTGTAGGGCCGGTCTGTGCTAGTTGGGTCATGGTCGCTCTGACCATTTCGTTCTTGGCGATGGAAACGACGTCTTTCAGATCGGCCCCTACGAAACCGGGCGTTCTCTTTGCTAGTAGTTTGTAATCTAAGTCGGGAGAGACCCGGCCGTTCTGAAGCATCTTTCGTAAGATAGCTTCGCGAGCACCCTCGTTTGGTATCCCAAGACTTATTTCTCGATTGAAACGGCCTGCTCTTCGAAGGGCAGGGTCAATACTGTCTGGTCGATTCGTAGCAGCCAGCGTAACAACGATTTTCCCTCCGAGTTTGTGAGGTGACAAGTCGTCCATACAGGTTAGCATCTGCGCCACTATTCGCTTCTCCATTTCTCTCTGCGCATTTTCCCGCTTCCCCATGATGGCGTCAATCTCGTCAATAAATATTAAGCAGGGCGCGAGCGATTTAGCCTCGTCGTAGAGCTCCCTAATCTTCCTTTCGGACTCTCCGGACATACCAGCGACGAGGGAGGGAGCGGAAACGGGTATATACGCTACGCCGAGCGACGCGGCATAAGCGTTTGCTAGCATGGTTTTCCCGCAACCTGGAGGACCATGTAATAGAACACCGCGAGTAGCTTCCAGGTCGTTATCCAGACAGATTTCGGGGAACCGCACGGGGAACGTGACTGATTCAGCAAGGACCTTGATGGCATCATCCATGCCGCCGAGATCTTGCAAAGAAACACCGCTGGGCGGGCTGCGATCTTCTTTAGGTTTCTCGGTTTTCCTTTTCTTAGGCCGAGACTCTCCGTTGGGTTGTCTGTCGTTCATGACGACGACAGGTGCCATATCAGTTCCAGAACCGTTACCGCCTGGAGTGGTTGCTTCAGATGGTATTGTGGGCTGAGCCTTGGGTATGTTCCAAGACTTGGTGATAGTTTTGTTCATGACGAAATAGTCTCGTTCCTATACATGTCAGTTGGCTCTTGTCGTATTTTTGGGTGTAGATATAGATATAAATCTAGGTTGGAGAATAATAACAACAATAATAGAATTAATTACCTTGGTTTTTGGCGATTCCTCGGGGGCTTCTTCCAAACATTCTTCCTCGTCTTCCTCTTTCCTTTCTTCCTTCCGGAGGCGAAGGACTCGCTCTATGGAGTCTTCAAGCGGCCGTTTCTTTTGACGTGCAAGACTAGAATTTGAGCGTTTTATAGAATCGTAGACCCCCGAGACGGTAAATTTAAGTGGTTTTGAGGGGCTATTCCGTTCATGATCATCTTCGAGTTTTCTGATAATCTGGTAGACATCACGGTCTAAGCCGTGGAGCATCCTAGCCATTGTAATAATTAATTCTATGACGAATTGGTCGCACTCAAAATAGTAAAACCGTAGTATGTGTTTCGTAAGTGTTTTAGTCTATGTGTAAAGGGTATGCTCTTTAATCGAGCCCAATTACAAATGTCTATTGCTGGACGTCGCTACTGTATGAGATTCGAGATTTCTGAGTTGAATTTCTGAAAAGTTCAGCATATGAAAATAAAGTGGGCCACATTGTTGTCTTGACGGGTATGCACTTAAACATAATTTCTTCATACAGCAGTCGCGCCTATAAGGAAGTGTACATGGAAGGATTGCTCGAGTACGGTACAGTTGGGGGCTATATTGGAAAGAGAAATTACCTTGACAATCATGCGTACAGCTGCAGGTACAATGCTTAGGATTAATACCTAGAGTTTCCATTCATTTTGCGAATTCGGCTCGTAACCACGAACCACGAACCAGCAACCAGAAAACCTTGTCGAAAATACCAAATCCGATCTACACTCAGATATGTACTAGTTATTGTGCATACCTAGAAAAGGGACTTCATAAATAATCTTAAAAGATATTATAAGCAAAGATGATTCTTCCAATTATAGCTCTGGGTCAAAGTTAAAATTGATAGACTTCCACAATATCAAAGTATAAGCTGAAAATGCCGAGACGGCTTAGATGTGCGTCATTGGGGACTTGCCGATAAAGATGCACAGCAAGCCCCCTGCAATCGATAAGCTGATCCCTGGAACATGAGACGCCGCTCGTGACAACATCGACACCCTTCTCTCCCGCCATTCTCCATTCCCCAAGGTATACCAATAACGCACACATGCTCAACAAAATCGCATCATCGCTTATCCTACGAACCAGGCTGCCCTGAAAAGGCATTTTGCCTGACCATCATTCTTCTACCGATCCTTGTTATTGCTAAACAATGCGCGCTTCGGATTCCACAGCAGATTCCAGGGCACGGCGATCATGGGCAACAATTCGAGCAGAGTGACCGCCCAGGACAAGTAAGACTCCCCTTTTCCACCCCCTCGCCGGCTGGCATCTTCTATCTTATCGCCAACGAAAGCACTAAACCCCCGAACTCCGCAGGGCGATCCTCGACCTCAAACTACAGCGCGACAAGCTGCACCAATACCAGCGGCGCATCACGGTGCTAACCGATAAGGAGACGGCCGTGGCGCGGCAGATGCTAGCGGCCGGCGACAAGAAGCGCGCCCTGCTAGCTTTGCGCCGGAAGAAGTACCAAGAGTCGCTACTCGAGAAGACCGACGCGCAACTCGCCCAGCTGGAGCAACTAACCCGCAGCGTCGAATTCGCGCTCATCCAGAAGGACGTCGTGTTCGGCCTGCAGCAGGGCACGCGGGTCCTGCGCGACATCCACGCCGAGATGGGCGGCCTCGAGCACGTCGAGAAGCTTATGGGCGATACGGCGGATGCCATTGCTTACCAGAGGGTATACACCTTCCTAACATTACTTTATATAAACCATTATATATACACGCATACTGACGGCTTTTCTACTTTACAGGAGGTAAGCGAGATGCTAGGCGGCAGAATTACAAACCAGGACGAGGACGAGGTCGAAGACGAATTAGCCGCCCTCGAGCAGGAAATCAACGGTCCGGCGAAACTACCCAACGTGCCGGATACCAAGATACCCCCGCCAAAGGTCAAAGATGCGATGCCGCAGGAGCAAGAACCGGAACAAGAACCGGAGCCGGAGAGGAGAGCTATGCTCGCCGCATAATACGAGCGCGAGGGATGGATGCAGTAAGAGAGCGGATAAATACAATATTTACAACTGCATAATGAACCGTTGGTGGAAATTAGAAGCCGCGTTTTGGGTTTGGATATCCAGGGTAGGGTAGTGTGTATAGCATATAAGGCACTGGTCCTCTTTTCGGGGCAGCACGGGATCGCAACACCTCTTGTCGGTAATAGGACCTTTCACCAGTGTAGAGCCAGGGAAGGAGGTTTAGATGAGCTAGCGTTACGACTATGGATGGATAGGTAGGGTATAAGCTATATAATGCATACATAAATAGATAATACGGGTTTATTTATCCTTTTATTTTTTATCTGTACGTCTCTTACGAATGGCTTAAATAAAAATGCTAAGTTTAGATACATTTGAATGACGTCGTTTATATAATCGTCTTTCTCTTTTGGATTAAAAACTCCGAGTACGAAGAATATCGCCTCTTCTTGTATTGTACACTATCATGTACATGTACCTAACGAGTGTAAATGCGTAGGTACATAACCGCGCCCCTGAATATCCAACTCTACACTAGTAGGAAACTGAAGGGCCCAATAAAGCTTTTTCCAATCTAACTCTTAGCATTAGATGAGAAACGCTCGTCCCAGCTTGACCATATCCACTCTATCTAATAGCGTCCTGCTAGCCTATTAAACAGCAAAAATGCTGACAACAATTCAATGCAACCTCATTGGCCAATGGCTCGTACCCACCCAGTTACGCACAATTTCTTGTAATTCCAAGCATGCAACTACGTCATGAAATGAAGATTATCACGAGTCTACGAAAAACCATGGCAAGAGTAACATTCCACACAGAAAACGGGGGCAACGCGATAGATCTAAGAGGGGGAAATTTGCGTCTATGTTCAATTACTGGCGACAGATTATATTATCCGATCCAAGCCTTCCTGTAGAAGCCTGAACTCCTAGCACTCCGACCGGGTGTATAATGCTGGAAAAGAGGAGATGGATATATGTGATTTCGCACCGATGCAGGTGTGCCGCAACTCAACGGTCTAGTAGTCTATAAGTACACAACTGGCCGATCCTGTCTATGCTATGATGGTAATGGTACACGTCTTTCTCGTAACTTCGTTTATGCCGTAGCTTCCTTGAGGAAACTGTAAATAGGGTTAGTATGGAAGCCTCGGGATTCTGTCAAGCAGAGATGAACTCACGTAATGAGGTCGTTTCGGTCCTTCTCCTTCTTTAGACCACCGAACGCCATCTTGGTACCGGGGATGTACTTCTTGGGGTTCTCGAGGTAGTCGAACTAAGCAAAATGTCAGTAGAGTCACTTCAACTAGCATCGCCTAAATATTACATACCAGACTGTTCTCCTCCCAGACGACACCCTTCTGCTTGTTGGCGTCTGTGTAGGAGAAACCCTCAACCTGACCACTCTTTCGGCCGAAGAGACCATGTAGACCAGGGCCGACCTTGTTGCCCTCACCCTCCTTCAGGGTGTGGCACTGAGCACATCGGGTCTTGAAGAGGTTGGCACCCTTCTTGGAGTCACCTACGTAAATTGTTACGTTAGTTAAATAAAGCGCTTAACCATAATATGTGCGCTGCTTGTGTCCAGTCACAATAACCAGCCCGTTGATCAAAGAGAGCCGTTCCGTAGCAAACCCGAAGGCTACCCGCGCCTTCTAGACCTTGTGCGACTGCACGATAACAATCCTCAACGCCACCAGGTAAAATAGCGCACGCAACTGCGACATCCCAGGCACCAAGTCTCATAATACAGTGAGCACGCAGGCGAGCAGCCGATATGATAGAGCTAGAGATATTATATCCCATAGACACTAATCGCAGTCATCCTGGAGCTGGTGGTAGCTCAATGGTTCGAAAGGCGGTGACATGCGGGCTGTCATGCGGCGGGAAAAATAAATCAAGCAAGACGCAAGGGAGTTGGTGGTATACATACCCTCAGAGAAACCCATTTTGTCGTTGGAAAGTAAGGAAGTGAAGGAATAATATTACTTATTAAAGGCGTGAGGAGTACGCAGGTCAAACTGTTCCGTCTGTAGGAAAAGAAGGTAGCCGTCTAAATATGAGGTTTATGTGACGGGAGAAAGGGAAAGGGAGAAAAAAAATCGGCGCATGCTGGGAATTTTTAAAGCGATGAGCTCAGCGGGCATGGGTAGGCACATGGGCTTTCGGCAAGGTGGTACGGAAAGTTGAGCCACAATGTGGCGCGTGCACCTTCCTTTTAGCCAATAGGGTTTTAGCTGAAGTAATACGCTTCCGGGGAAAGCCGATTCTACAGCTCTTTTTAGCCTTCTTTTTTTTCCACTGGGGCGGCAGTTCGATTCCACTCGATTCACCAACTAAGAAAATTGGGGCGAATGGGTCGCCCAGTGACGAAGGAATTGAGACTGCATACACACATACATACACTATGGTGGAAAACTTGGGAATATTTTCGACGGATCCAGATGATGTGTAATGTAATTCCTACGTTGTATTTTGACGAGATATCATGTGCCTACGTTGAATTGCACAGGGTGTTACCTGTCAAACCCACTATAAGCTTATGGGCTTACCTATCATTCCTATCAACGTGGTAATTTAGGTACAATTACGGAATAAAGATCATGTTCTCAAGTTCTTGAAGTCAATGCAGATGAAAACTACGAAGATGAGCTGTCAAAACCTCAAGGACTGTTACCAAATAATATACATTATTTGGTATAACTATAAGGTAGATACCTATTACATAGTATCTTTACCTTTGGTCTATATATCATCAGCCATCGGTAGAGATCTACAAAGCCCTTGCATGTCCTCGCGTCTGTGCGCGTCAAGTTTGTACTACCACTTCCGCTGCCGCTGCCGCTGTCTCCAATGATCCCCATTGTATATGCGCAAGATGACTTTTGGTACACTTTCGACGAACAAGCCCAACTCCTATGGAAATCGTGTGGTGAAGGTAAGAAACGGCCAACCGAGTTGCCAGAGGCTGCCCGAAGAGGAGGCTATTTCAAGGTGAAGGAATAACAAGAATAATATGGAAACAATACGACAATGTGTTGCGGTTGAGCTGTTTACAAGGTGGCTTTTGTGAACACGTTACGTTCTCGTCGCTTTAATATGACAACCCCAAAAGCTATATTAGTACATAAGTTCATCAGTTTATTCTGAGTTGAGGAACAGATAAACCTAACAATGGCTTGCGATTTTTAAAGGGATGTTTAATACAGCTAACAATTGGCAAATATTATAAACATGGCTGCCGTAATTAAATAAATAAAATCAATCATATTCAAAACATAGGTATTCAAGAAGAAGAGACTTATTAAACAATGGTAGCTGTAGCTAGAGGGGTTGTATTACCTGATGCATATATCAAGAATGGATTAGTCATACCACCTCAGTATTCTACATATGCCATGTGAAAACTATTTCGGGAACCAACCGGCTACCACCGACCCCCGGCCCCATATGTCGGAAAGAAAAAAAAGAGAGACTTTGCCGGATTGACTCGTAAGTTGATGATTAAGAATTGCCATTGAAATTCCAAGACATCGCGCTTCAACTTGTACATATGCACAGTACCCTTTGCATTGCAACGTGCCTACAGCCAATAAGCCAATCGATACAAACCAAGCTCGCAGACAGGTAATCAATCATTCAGCAGTGCATCATAGCAAAAAAAAAAAACCCTTCTGAAAATTTCCCCACCACCGTCAAAGCTATACATACATACCCCGACCCCGCGATGGCTTCCAAAACAACCTACATCCCGCGGTACCTGCTACCCCAATACGGCGCGTCATGGCGCGCCGCAGCCCTCGCGAGAGCTCCCCTCAACGCCGAGCTGGGACAGGTGCTAGTGCGCTATACCTCCAAGACCGCAACGAGGGCATCTTCGACCAAAGCCAGCCACAAGTCGCCCGCCGCCAAAGCCGCCAAGCACTCCGCGCCGACGAAGCCCGTGCCCAAAACCGCGGCTACCAAGCCCGCTCCTATAACGAAAGAAGTCCCTCCGCAGACCCCAGTCTTGAAGACTGCGACACCGCCCGCTACCGCTACGCCCAAGCCGGAATCTCTGTCTAAGCCCTCTCCGGAAACCCAAGCACCCGCAGCGAAGCCTAGTGCACCCCTTAAGCCCGACCCTTCGAAGCCCATCGTGCTCGAGAAGCCCGAGCGATTCAACCCTCCATCGCACGGCGCACGACTACCCAGATCGACCCCAAAGCACTACGGAGGCCCCATGACCGACGCCGAGCTGCAAGCCCAGTCCGCAAAAGCGTATCCGGGCCTCCCGCCTCCGGAGAACACATGGGCGCACTGGTTCATCAACAGTCGAGGGATTCACCTATTCATTACCCTAGTAAGCTCTTCGCTACACGCCTATACCAATTAATTACCAGCATCTCCCGATCTAGTTACATCTGACCAAAAAAACTCCCAGGGCACCCTCACGTCCCTAGCAATCTACACCTTCGTCGCCAACTTCAACGCCAAGTCCCCCTTCGCAGACCTGATCCCTCCCATCTCCGAGTTCCCCCGGCACCCCTTGCAGTACATCGGCGTCGTGATCGACGTCATGCGCATGCACGAGGAACACGAGTCCGCCCTGACGGCCGAGAAGCGCCGCCGCAAAGTCGAAGACGTCGCCAAGAGGAACGAGTACCGCAAGGCGCATGGCATAGAGCCTGCTCAGGGATTCTGGGCTAGCAGCAGCAGCAAGCCTGCTGAGCCGGAGATCACCGAACCGGTCCCGATCGTCGAGTCTGCTGCGCCCGAGCCCAACCCAGCTGCGGCTGAGGCCACACCGGACGGCAAGCGCAAGAAGTTCCTCGGGATATTTTAAGCAAGGGGACGAATGGAAGTACGAGGGAGCGTGGGGGAAGATAGTAGCCGTTACTTATTAGGCATATGGCCAGCACGGGTCTCACTACCCCAAAATATTCAGAATGTGTCTCTGCTCCGGAATAAGGCAGGTATTAATTTCATGGTATCGTAATTTCGCGAAAAAGGCTATCCCAAGTCGACAGCGTCTAGACCATCCAATACCTCGTCCGCTATGCCTCCCTTTTCTAGTACTTTTTGCACCATGGCCCCGAGGACGGCTATCTTAGTTCCTCCCCTTGGCGCCTTCCATACACCCTCCACGTCATCCATCTCCGCCGCACGGGCTCCCGGATCTTTGGCCGCGGGGGCGCCCTGTCCCCACGCTGCTGCGTTTACTGCATTAGGTACCCCCGGCGCTGTTAGCCGCGAGGGCGGGTCTATCGTTCGCACCGACAATAGCCGCAGGTGTCTACCCGTCTGTAGCTCGCCATCCACGTCCATCGTTTCCGACGCCTCGTCACTAGATACATTCCTCTCGCCCACCGAGACCGCAAGCGCGGAGTCTGCGACAGCCAGCTCCTCCTTTGACGGGTCGAAAATGATGTTGTCGCCTACGGCCATAACCAGTAGCGTTACAGGCGGCCTTGAACCAACGGTGGCGGACGTTGTATCGCTGCTCTGTCGCGGGTATATAAATTGCGAGGTGTCCCAGTCGTCGTCGAACATGGGATCCTCGTCTGCTTCGGATTTTAACCTGGGTAGGCGCGTGGAGAGCAGCGCGAGATGCGTCGTTAGGCTGAGGAGGGGTAGCGGGTAGGATAGCGGCGGAGAGATGAGGATGATCTATTCGAGGTATATATTAGCATCGTATATCAATGTATCCATATCCGCTTCGATTGGGCTGTGTGGTGCCTTGTACAGTTGTAGAGGGGTGTATACAGGACTTACATCGATATATAGCTTCCAGTGGAATCGTCGGTTGATCCATAACTTCTTGGTGAACTCGCCGTCGGCCAGCAGCGCCTCGCTTAGCATAGTAGCTAAAAACACGGTACTACTATCGTCGTCCCTGTACCCGGGGATCTCGACCGTAATCTCAACCCAGTCGTTCTCGCCCGACACTTCATCCTCCTCCCCATCCAGCCCGCTGTCTTTTTCTATCTGCTCATCTTGTTGCGCCTTCCCCCCCTTGCGTCGCAACTCCTTGTTCTCGTAGTACACCCGGGTAAGCGGCAGTACGCGGCGCTTCTCGACCTCGGCTTTCACGCCGACGACGGCCTCAGTGCCGTCTGCGAAACACACGCGCGCGCTGCCGTTGGCGGCGGGCAGGACGCCGGTTTCGGCTGTTAGTGGGCGGAATTGGGTTGCGGTGCGGCCGTCGGGGCGGACGGGGGGCGTGAGGGAGAGAGAGGTGTGCAGGTAGGCTAGCTCGGCGGGCGAGAGGAGGAGGTGTTGCGTTGTGGATGATGCCATGGTTGGTCGGTTGGTTGGTTGTGAGGGTGGTAGAAAGAAGAAAAAAAAAAAGAGAGGGAAGGGGATGGCCCCTGGATAGATTAAGTAGGTGGGAAGTCGAATTTGTACGTATTCGGACTTGTATATCCTCGCGTCTAGAGCGTAACTAGCAGCAGATAGTTTACATAGATATTTCCGTCCGCGAGGCTGAGGTGGGAGATTTTTTTGAGCTGGAAGCTCTAAGGTGGTGGGGAGTAGAGATTATTGGCTGGAGCTTATCTTTGGGTGTTATGTTAGGTTAGGTTAGGTAGGATCGGCGAGGCTTGAGGCAAGTGTGCTTATCGATAGTGCATTATCCGGGAGAGGCGATATGCAATTGCAGTTTGATGCAATTGAGCAGTACTCTTTCATATGCGAGCTTCTTGTGGTATGTCTGTCAATCTTCACCAAGACGATTATCTCCTCTCTCACCTCTACCACTGCCCTCCCGTCTATTATATTGTATTATAAATTCCCACGATCAATACGCATAAATATACATGTGCCAACCGAGGTCTTTTCGATTGCCAAGACGGACGACGGCGGACGAACCGGGGGTCTTCGGAGACATATCTCTACGGCGCAACACCGGCGCCGACTCTGGGCCACGTAGGAATTGGTATCGTGGATTGCGTCGTAAGACCACTGCATCTAAAGGGTTTATCGTAAACGAACGCAAGGTTCTTTTGTCTATGATGCATGGTCCCGTCTTCACCTAATAATTAAATGAGCAGGATTCGTAGAAAGTCTCCGGTGAGAATACCCAGACGCTTCGAATATAGTCGTAGCTAGGTTCGGTGATAGGGTCTATGATGGGTTCCAGACTCGTGGGAGTACTCCTAGATAAATAGATTCCTTGGTGCTCGTTGAATAGAATGCATCGTCTCCCGTCTTGTCCTACTCTGAATACCTAAACCTTCAACAGTAGCCTTTTGGTTTCTTTAAGTGACCGTCACTCAGTTATATCTCCTCTACCTACTCTCACTACACTAGCACGACACCATACCGGACACACAATGGGTGACCTGCTCTACCAAGCCTACATGAAATGGCACCCCATACCTCTCCCACCAGCCAACAGCTTCAAAGACCAAGCCATCCTAGTAACCGGCGGGACCAGCGGCCTAGGCCTCGCAGCCGCCGTGCACTTCGTTAACCTAGGCGCATCCGAAGTCATAATAACGAGCCGCAACGCATCCCGCGCCAAGGCCGCCCTCGAAACCATAGAAAAGGAGACGAAGGGCCGCAGTAGGGACCGCATCCGCGTCCTGGATCTCGACATGAGCCGCTACGCCTCGGTCGTCGCGTTCGCGCACGAGGTTAAGAAAGTCAGGGCAGGAAAGGGGGGCATCGATTTCGCGGTGCTGAATGCCGGTGCTATCAAGGTGGAATTCACGCTTGGCGATGAGGGACGGTAAGACTTCTTCTCCTTTTCCTTTTCGACTTCATGGGCTATGCTTTTAGTCGCCAGATACAAGTCATAATACAATACGCCTTATGTACCGAACAGTTAACTAACCAGCACAAAAAACCACAGGGAGGAAAACGTACAGACCAACTCCTTAAGCACAGCGTTACTAGGCCTTCTCCTCCTGCAGTGGATGAAGACAGAGCGTCCTAACCGCTCGGCACCTGCACATCTAGCCGCCGTCGGGTCATCGCAGCACTTGGCCCCGAATATCGAAGACTGGACAAAATGGGCCGCAGAAACCGGCATCCTGGAGCACTTCAACAAGCCCGAGAACTGGCCCGGGCCTAACCCCATGTACGGCGCCACCAAGCTCCTGGCGCAGTATGCCGTCAACGAGCTGGCACAGATGGCACTAGGACCGGATGGACGGTAAGTTTCCTCCCCTAGGTACTTTCCCCCTTTCCGCCGTAACATATGTCAACTAACACCAACGCCCCATCCCCAGCCCAGAAGTCATCATAAACACCATGTGCCCCGGCATCGTGAGGTCCGACCTGCCGCGACAATTCGTAGGCCAGGGCGTGGGCTACCGCATCGCCATCGCGATATACCTCGGAATATTCGGCAAGACAGCCGAGAACGGCGCGAGGACGTACGTGGCGACCGGGCTGACCAAGGAGACCGAGCATGTAAGCAACATCTAGATATATTCCTCTTATTTATTCTTTACCTGTATATAAGTTTATATAAGTTTAGCTAGCTGACATTGGTGTGGTTCAACGTACAGGGCAAGTTTATCCGGTTCTACGGTTCGGAAGCCGAGTATCGAAAGTAAGTCCAAGCTCAAGGATTGATTCTCGTGCTAGTATAACTGACCCGTAGCGTAGAAGAGCAGACATAATATTGACAGGAGAAGCTGGCAGGAAAATGCAAGCCCAAGTCTGGTCTGAGATGAAGGCTGATTTTATCGCCAAAATTCCTAACGCGAAGGAGGTATTGGGATTATAGATATCGTGGCCGGTGCAAAGAATTGGCGTTATTGCGACACTGCAAAACTGGTATAATGTAAGATATTCACTATAAGTTGGATTTAATGTAGAATAATGTTTACCTTCCTCGATTGTCAATTTAATGAGGCTCATCGCTTTTCTATGTTACTATCGCTGTACATCGAATTTGCGCCGTGAAATATGTTCATGCGAACCTATCACCTATCTTATATTCGTAACCTTTTCCCTTGCTCTTTCGAGTAGCATCTTTACTGACAGCCTCGTCTTCCTTGCCCAAGCTCGATAGCAAGCACGAAACCTGAGGCCCCTTAAGCTTTAGGATCTTCGAAAGTCCAAGCATAATTCGTGTATGTAGTCCGGACCGACCGCTGCTACCAATTCCGCAACCATTGCTTTCGCCGATCCCTTTTTGACGATACTTTCGTTGTGCCATTCGAATAGATCACCAGCATAGTAATACCCTCGGCTAAGGCGTACTGCAATATGATCTAAGTCTATCGAGCTCATTTCATCCACCGATGGGATGCCTGGCATATTACTACTGAAGAGGGGGTAGTCTTCGTCATCTTCATCTTCATCTTCGTCTTCGTCCTCGTGCGGCATTTCGCCTCCATCCTCTTCGGTTTCCATCGGCAGTGTGGCCTCTGTATCTTGGGCATGCTCTTCAGCATCTTCCTCGGATCTTTCGAAGTCCAAGTATCCGTGGCTATCAAACTTGTTGAGGACACTTTGATCGAGATCTACCCATTCTAACGTATCCGGATTGAGGATTTGTTGCGGGGAGAAGTCGATCTTGTATTTCATCTTCGGGCATGTATGAATATAAAAGCCAGGATACCACCATCTACACTTCTATTAGCAGGTTTCCCTGAATCACAATGTTCGACTATCTTGGTTTGTCTTGCCACTAAAGGAAGTTGTCTGAGATGTATAGTTGCATGAAGAGCGGGATTAGATATTTTCAGAGTGCATAGGAGTAATTCGAAAACCGATTTACAAGCTAAATAAGGGGTTCGTTCGTACGTACCGATAACCTTCTTCTATTGCGAGGGCAATCTCCCGTAAAGCCCCAAGCTTCCCAGGACTAAACCTATGAATAGACTCATGATATAAAAAGTAGACACCGCTAACACAGTCCGGAAGAAGGTCTAGAACTCCTATCGCTACTAGCTTACCGTCGAGCCTGTAGCACTGATGAAATGAACCGACTTGACGTCCTCGTCCATCTGGTGCTGTATACTTCCCGCGCCTCACTGGTGAATTGCAGAGAAATCTCTTAAAGCCATCGCGGGAGATAGATGATGGGGACTCATGGTGGACGATCCGTTGATAGTTTTCATAAACCTGGAATTTCTCCTCGGTAAAATCATCAGGTTCTAGCGTAACGGAGAAGATGTGAGCTGGCTCGGGTGGCTGTTTTAATAATAGGCTCTCACATTCGTGGATCCTCTCTATCAAGTCAAACTCGGTATCTCGCTTCCGAGCCTGCTCGCGCGACCTCGGATGTAAGCGAGCTGCTTCCTTTGAGTAGGCGTCTCCTACGATGTACTTGTTGAAGCGGTTGACAGCTTGCCGTTGATCTCTTGTCGTCCGAAAACGGACTGAGTCAAGGCGAAGTAAATAATGCGGACAACAAGCATCTCGTTGATTTGGCCTGTAGAGCAGCGCCCCGGATCGTCTCCAACACCGGTCTACCAGAGTCTGATAGTGGGCTGGACTCATAGAAGTTGCACGTGCAAAATAGGAGTGGCCTAGGGCGCAGTGTAAGTAAAATACTGCTCAAATCACAATTGCAAGAACAGCCATGTGGTTAGACCAGAGCCCCTTGTAGGACGCTACACGAGGCAGGAGACTCAACGCAGGATACAACGACAACCGGACAATATACATGAATAGCCTGAGCATCAGCGGGTAGGCAAGTATGGCCCTTCGGAAGGGGCATAGTATCATGAACAGATACTAGTATGATGAGGTAGACATACTTTTCTGCGACCGACCATTATTACCCTTACCACGACAGTAGCCGCAGCTAGATGAACTTCTATATCCTAAAACGAGTTAGTCACAGGGTGTCTACATAGGCATCATGATCTGCAGAATCCAGTCTTCAGGACGAGCCGAGTAGGAGATAGTCGACCCGGAAAATGGTAATAGGAGTTATTGACGATTACTTGACCAGGCCTGCGATTAACATCTGATCCGGGAAGAGGTATAAGGAGGTAGCATCTCGGGAACAGAGCGGGAGTCGGAAGTATGCACGAGATGTTGAAACGGACTCTAGAATGAAGACGGGTTGAGGTAACACGCCATGATACATCGGCTGGCCAAGAGGTTGCGATTGCACGGCTGGCGAGATTTGCACGAGGTGAGCAAGATGCTGGTAGGTTGTGGCTGATATCCCGACGTTTTAATGGTAGCTTGGCATGGGCGACTCCAGATGAACATGTACGAATGGAGCATGTAACAGAGCATGTCTGAATATGCACGTCTCTCCCAGCTGCTTTCTTGGAGCAATGCGGCGCTTTCAAAGACGCCAGCGGGCTGGTAGTGGCGCGCCAACGAACGTGACGCCGGACGGAGAGTTGTATTCCCCATAAAAACCGTATGCAAAGCAAGCTGGCCAACGACAGTGTCGCAATGGAGCACGGGTCCGAACGGTTGGTTGAGGGCGTACGGGGACGGCTCGGGGTATATAGAGGTAGATAGACTTAAGGCAAAGATCTGACTCACCAATTGGCGATATATACAAAAATGCATCTTCAGGGGGGGCCTGCATCCTTTCTAAGTAGCGCCCCGGCGGATGGCTAGGTTTTTTTTAGATGGTCAGACAGGCAGACAGGTAGACAAGGGCACTTGATCAGAGAAGACAGCTCATGCGCGCAGGCAGGGATTTTGTGAATTATGTATTTGGCAAGGGGACAGCGGACAGCGGACGTACGAGGTGGATCGGACGAAAGAGTCGGTGTCGAGTCAGACGATGAGGTTGGGGATACTATGTAAGTACCGCTATAGCAATCAGGGTAGAGAATATTATAATAATAAATTGCCTAGGTAGGCATCTAATGTAGTGATCTCTATTATGTTGTAGATGGTTTTATAATTATGCGTCGAGAAACGTTGGCGTGGCGTCCGTGACCTGCATATCGAGTTGTCCGAGTTTAGGTTGAGCGGCTAACACAAGGAGGAGAAAGGTAAAAGGGGATCAGAGAGAGAGCTTGCTATTATTCGGGTCTTCCAGGTACTACCTTAATTGGGCATTAGGTATGTATTTATCTGCATTAATAAGGTAGGTACACCTCTGCAGTGACTACCTCTTTCCCGTTACATTAGCAGATGGATTCCCCAAAGGCAGCGATGTCAATCGTTACTACTTGATGCACGTTAGGTAAGGTACTTAAAGGCAAGTTCTGGATTAAAGAGTTGCATGGCATTATGCAGGTGCTATGACGAATTATACAACCTAGCCTAGAATATGTATCGACTGTATAACAATTAAGGTATTATCATAAATCTAAAAAGGACGAACCTCAGGTATTGAGCTTAGCAGGACAATGGTAAGAAACATTACTCTGGAATAATTCTAGTCTAGAAATGAACCAGGTAGTAATGCCCCGAATACCTCACTGTTCTATAATCGATACTTACAAAAGAACAGTTTTGGATTTATAATATGCATGTGCGCGTATATAGTACGTACGCAGGTATTATCGTATAAGCTTTTAACCTATTGGTTTAGATAAAGGATGGATTTGTATTTAGGGTCGAAATACTACGTCACTGATCCGGGTTGGTTTTGTCATGCTGATGGACTTGGTCTTTGACGCTTTTACTCTTATGCTATAGCGTTGGATGCTATCGAGATGCAACACTAGAAGCTAGAATGTTTAACACCCCCTACGTATGATAGGCGCAAAGGTAATTTATTGGCGTACGTCTATATATGTCGGTAGTAGATATACACTAGCGGTGTGTGTCGTATATCGTAGTCTTATACGTAGATATACGCTGAGTGTTAGAAGGATTCCCCTCCACGATATCTATGTCTCTGTGTCTCAGTTGTAGTTCAATTGGGGAACTCGGCGATCGACGGTAGGATGTAAGCGAGGGGTAGATCCGATTCAAGGCCATACCGACCAGCCCACCTACCTTGTGTAGCTATAAAACAAGTGCCGACCAATTAGACCTACGAAGTAGAAGGGGTTATACCTTCAATTAGATGTAACACCAGAGTTCAATGGCAACCAACACATGCGAGTAATACGTGTTTAAAATATGTACGCATTAGCTTGCGGGAGAGATTATCCAACGAGTATGAAAATGCATACAGATGCATAGCCAAGTTTAGGGGATTTACATGAAGAAATTACGTGGTGAAGTGGGATACTAGGATGTAGGTAATTGTATGACTTTGTACGTGGGATGGTTTGATATCGTGAGAATGATGGATAGACGATCTGAAGACAATCTTTTATACTATGTAGGATCCGAACTAGCGCGGTATACATTCTTTCCCGCGTTGAGGTGAGCACACGAATATAATGAAACTTTCCGAACGATGTGCGTGGTGCATATTGTATATCTGAAGCAAGCAGAATCCATTTAAACGCCTACTATAATCTCTGTATGTTGCTATATGCACCTAACGGGGATACGGCGAGATTGATGTAAACTCCGTTTTGAGGGAAAATTTTTTCTCTTCTCTACTTTTCTCCTCCACTCTTCTCATAAAAGTATTCCATTATATCTATTTCCCTTTCGATGGGAAGCCCCTGTTAAAACGGGCATTCCCTTAGCTTCGGCCCTGTGCCCGTAGCCAGAAGTTATCATACTCTGGTCCCTTTAGCATCTTTTTGCTACTCGCTAGGTACTATGTATAGTGGTACGTACACTACGATGTAAGCGGCAGTCGTTGCTGCTTTCAAAACATCGTGCATGTAAGCTTTTATACCAAAGCATATGTAAGTACATGCTATTATGTACCTAGGGTAACTCACCAGCTCACCCACCACCTAACTCAAACACGCCGGTCTACATAACATTAATACATGATGTGTGTAATTGAACTGAGTAAGGTACCTAACATAACCCAAGGTCAGCGGTAAGCAGGTAAGATACCTAATGTATCTTACACGTTATACAAGTTATTTAAAGCTATCCGGTACTTCCAGCTACTTGTTCGTGCTCCCACCCTACTTACCCTTGTTCTTGTGGCGAGCTGTATGGCTTTGCCTTGCCTTATGTTGTCTTGCCTTACCTCACCTGGCATTAAATATGTACCTACCTATTGAGCAGCAACGCACGGGATGCTAGTACGGTACAGATGGGTTACAAATGGAAGGAACATGGAGGCTTTGCGTAAGTAGCTAGGTAAGTATTTAGGTACCTTCTAGGTAGTCCTGGGCCCTGCATCTCACAACCTTACTAAAGGTAAGTCGTACCTACCTAGCTCGTGCCTTCGCCCTGGTCCGCGGCTCCTCGTCTAAGCTTGGGGCTCCTTTTTTTCTCCCTTTAAAAAAAAAAAAAGAGAAAGTACTATAAAACCCAGCTCAGCCAGCTTTCCCTTGTCTGTGCCCCTCCATTTTTATTTCAGTTATGGCACGAGACTTGCAACGTTCGTGCTGGTCTAGCCAGAACAGCAACTTTCCCCTTCGCTCGTTAGTGGCTCAACCTCAACCTCAACACCGTGCCAAACATCCTGGACATCGTGCTCCCACTCGTCAACAAAGAACCTGTGCGCTTCCTACTTGACCGCCGGGTATTCTACTCTGTGCTCCTTCTCCCCACAAAAAAAAAATCCGCTGCAGAATCCGAAAGACGTCGGCCTATGCGACGAATTCGTCTCACCTACCCGCAACCTTGACTCCTACAAAGCCCCGGGATCCGCCGCACTTTTCTTTCCAGCGCTTCCGTAACGCTTCCCCCGAACTTCTAAAGAAAAAGCCCGAAGTCACACGTGGGTCCGAATGAGTGTGTCTGTGTGGACATCCAATTTTGCCAATACCGCTCACCATTCTTTTTCCTTGTTGGTTGCTAGGGCCGGATTCCCAGGACGTTACAATACAATTTTCGTACATTGAGAATCGAGCATTAAACATTGGAGAACCAACCGTAGACGGACGCTGGAGTAAAAGAGGGACAAGAGAATTGATTCGTATACAACCCCTTAGCATCACGAGAACGCGATCATCATATCACCGCGCCCCCCCGGATAGACGACTTCGCACAATTCTGAGACTTTCTATGACCATGCAGCTCAACATTTTCCGGTAAAGCGCCTTAATTCCAGCTCCATCTGGCCGGCACACTCTGCCCAGGGTCATCCCACGACTAAACTATCCCGGTTTTCCCCGTCTTGATCATCTCCCTAGGCAGAGCTAATACATCCGCGCCGTTCTACTCACTTTCCAACTTACAAAATGGCGTCCGGCTCTTCGAATCATCGTACAATGGAGTCTCGTACTGGTAGAACAAAGCAACGTAAGTTTTGTTACAAGATTCTCGGTGGATTTGTCTTGATTTGTTCTCGTGGCGCGCTAGTTTGCAAACCGCCTACCCCATAGACCAACTGACCCTTGAATTTCCAGGCTATAACTCGAAGGGTGAACGATTGGTAGCGGGGGTGGTCCCTCTCTCGGAGGACCGGCTATACGTTTTGCTCATCCAATCGACTCGGAGAAAAGGCTGGGTTCTTCCAAAAGGCGGGTGGGAAACAGATGAAGAATGTACTGAGGCCGCTGAACGCGAAGCCTGGGAAGAAGCCGGTATAACAATCCGCATCGACTATGATCTCGGCGAAGTCATTGACTCGCGGCCGCCTAAGAGGCTGTCCAAGGATGCCCCCAAAGCTCTATACCGTTTCTACGAAGCTACCGTCCTGACAGAGGAAACCAACTGGCCTGAGAAGCACAAGAGGGAACGCCAGTGGTTTACATACACCCAGGCGAAGGAGGCTCTTTCTGATCGACCGGAGCTGCTACAGGCTCTCGAATTATCTACTATGCACAGAACATAAGAATCCGGGTGTAACCGAGAAGAGCCCTTCTTCAATGTCCCTCTCACAGTGCAATTCGGCACATGTCTTTCTATCGTCCTATAAGATCCATTTGGCCACGTTCTAATCTGGGAAAATTGCATAGACCAGGGTTCTGGAGTTGTCGGTATCTCCCGAGACATTTCTTTCTATCGTGCGGCATTATAATACTCATCTCCTTGACCCTTTTGTTTCTAACCGAGCCGGAGGGGGAGAACTAGTTGAGATGATGAGCTTCGGTATTGCTGATATCTCATCGATTCCTGTTCTTCCCGCCGCTGTTTACTAATGAAAGAAGGCATACTAAGCTTGCATAGTACTAGGCGTTGTTGGCAACATAACATGGTATAGAAGTTGTTGAAATGAAGATTGGTCGGCAGCGGCATCACATACATACGCGCCTAGAAAAACTGGCGTTAAACGGGTACACATCTATAAATCTAAGTAGTACCAAAAAGTAGGAGAGGTTTTGGGCTTCTCGAAATCTCGCCTATTCGGGGCGAATTACCGCCGCGTTCTCAGCTAATGCGGGTGGTTGAAATAATACATTTACCAGCTGGATTTGCTGCATGTCAGTAACAATACGTGCGTGCATGCTCCGAGCAGGTGACTGGTATAAGGGGTCAGATGAGGACCCCCGTTAAACCCCACGCGAGAATATACCACTACATAGACCCCCATTTCCGTATTCGTGGCATCACATTGGGACTTCCGGAGACGGGGTTAGGTTAATTGGTGCTTTGGTGCCCGGATAGGGGGGGCGGTGCCAGTGAGCGTTGTAGTTGGCTCGGTAGAGCCTGCACGAAGGCTCTTGGTACTAATCCTACTGACGTAGATGCGAGAGGCAGGACGTAGACGTAGCAGCAAGGTATACGTGTAGGTACGTAAGTAGGTCGGTAGGTAAGTAAGAAGTGAGTAAACAAACGGCAAGTGTCAACTCGGTATCCCGAAGCTCCCGCCACTGAAAGATAGGTAGGTACCTACGTATGGGATGGGATGGGATGGACTGGCTTAGTTCTGGAATATAAGTACCTAGGTAACCTATATTTGCCTGCACATCTACCTATCTATACATACATCTATACAGCTACATACCTACCCTAGCCTGTCAACCGCGACCGAAGCTTATCCCTTCTAGCTGACCGGGCTTGCTTGAATCGAGGCGCGTGCCTAGCTGCCTTCCTGGGCACCGACTAATGGGACGGCGTGTCGTATCTACCACGTACGCATGTATGTCTTGCCAGGCTTTCGCCTTCCATCCTGGTTCTGGGTTGTTAGTGTGGGGGGAGGAAATTAAATCAACGTATTGTGTTGTCGATTCATCACATTGGATACTGATACTTATGCCTGCCTACATGTTTGCCCATGGATATATTGTTTATCTGGTGTGTGTATGGCTGGCTAGAAACGGATATACGAGACTAGACACGAGACATGAGACACGAGACACGAGATATAAGTTATGAGGCGAGCTGGAGACAAGGTAAGGTTGGGGGGACGGACGAGTTGCTAATGAGGTAGATACTTAGACAGATGTGTTGTGACTAAACTAATACGGTAAATAAATAAGTCAAGTAGGTATAGGTATAGGTATAGGTACATCTCCAGTACGTCCCGTCCCGTCCTGGCAAGGCTCTGCTTCAGCCACGATTACTTTACTCTTGCTTCCTTTCTTCCGTTTCTTTCTCTTCCTATTCCTACCCCCTATTCCCACTTATACTTTACTCGACTAACTAGGCTGTGGTATTATCTTACAAATTACATAGATATCCCATCATAGCACAGCACGTAATCGACTATTGCCTGTCACTCGCTCGCTACATCCCATCTGCTAACCAGCCAGCCCTTGCCTTAGGTACATACAGATACAGACATATCCTAATTACCACCGAAAGGCCAATTCGCGCCCCTGCTCGACCTCACCGCATCATTAGCACCGCCGACCTCAGCCGATTCGCGCTGTCTACGCTCTGCCTCCTCGCGAAGCCGTGCCGTAACGCCGTTTAATCCCGTGCGGTTCCTGTTCATGATAGCCTCGGCGGCGGAACCCCTTGGCGGCCCATTGCGCACCTTGGGGAACGTGGCGACTATAATTACTGTCAGTTGCTTTTTCTTCTTCTTCTGGCGGAAAAGGTCCCGGGGTTTTTAGGAGACAAGAGAAGCTCGGCGAGCCCCTGATGGAACTTGCTATGGGGATAAGCTAAAAGGGGCATATAATAAAAACTCTATGTCACATACAGCTAGCGCCCGCGTTCTTGGGACGCCGAGGCGGCGACTGGCTATTGTCACTACCGCTAGTGCTCATGGTTGTCGTTCGTAAGCTAGCCGTGTTCGTGTTCCGCATCGGGTTTATCGCGGCTACGGTACGCGCCGTTGATAGTCTCCAGTTCGCTGGCGAGGGCTCGGCTGATTCCACATCGCTACTATCACGAAATCGGAGTCGGTTCTGGTTGGTCATTGTCGCGGTATGTTTAACTGGATCTATGTCGGGCTCCTCTGCTGCCTCCGAGTTTCGAACGGACCGAGTAGTCGCCCGTGGTGGCTCTGCAACCTGTAGCTCTACAGGTGACGTCGGCGAGATTGGCGAAGCTGGCGAAAAGGGCTGCGGCTGGGGCGGTGTTGACACCACAACCGGTGCCACTGGCACTGTCGGTGTCTCTACAGGGAGCGATGGCGCTGGAGAGAGTATCGGACTAAGTAGAGCTCTCTGGTCTTCCTCTTTCACCTTTTCTTTCCCTTTATTATTATTGCTGCCCACTCTGATAAGTCGTACACTTGTTGCGCTCTTGATGCTATTATCTTTCTGCAATCTGAAGCTCGTCGGCGAGACCCCGTAGACGTCGTCGTTGACGGGCGCCTTGCCGTCATCATTACTGTAGGTACTCCTCGCGAAGCCAATCTCGCTTGGGGTTCCTTCGCCGGTCTTCTTTTTCAAAAAGGGGCTCAAGCTCAAGTCCGGAAGCTTGAACTTGTCCATTGGGTAGCCGGTTCCACCTCCGAAGGGCGTAAAACGGGGAGTTCCCGGCGTACCGCGAACAGCGATCGGTTTCTCATACTGACTCTCGTTGTTATTGGTTACCGTAGCTAAGCCCTCGCGATCACGTCTCTTCTTTCGGCGGTAACGTACGACGAAGCACGAAGCGATGGTTGTAAGTATAGCTGTACCGATTACCGACGCCGTGACTATTATGGCAACATTCGTGCCTGAGACTGAATTAGATTGTACTTGAGATACAATAGAACTTGCATCGCCCTATCGTGGCATGTTAGCTGAAAGTGGTAGTACATCTACGAAGACGAATAATCCAAAAAAAACGCACCCTAATACCGCTTGCATCGGCTCTCGCCTCCTGAATTTGACTTGCGGCTATATTTACCGCGTTCGCAGCACTCGAGCTCGCCTCTACCATAGCGGCGCTAATTACGCTACTGGCGCTACTCTGAACGCTGGCCAGGTTAGACGAGATCCGGCTGCTCATGCTTGACAGCGATCGCGAGATATCATCGCTCGCGCGCGCGCTCGCCGCAGAGACGGCGCTGGAGGCGGACGATTGGGTCTGCGATAGTTGCCGATTAGCATTATCGGCGTTCTGGTTGGCGGACTGGATCGCTTGGTCGGCGGACTGCCGGACGGACTGAGCGGATTGAGATACGAGACTCATGGCCGAAGAAGCGCTTGACGATACTGATGATATGGCTCGGGTCGCGGACTCTGAAAGTGACCGGAGCTGTTGGGAGAGGGCCTGGATCTGGCCATCGTCCTGGCGCTTTTGCGGCGGCGGCGTTGGCCGGGGAGTTGTTAAGGCTGGAGCTGCCTGTTCTTTGGGAATCCTTCTCGTGGAGTCCGGTATCCTTTCTACTATAAATTTCTCGACCACGCTATCCTCCTCGGCGATGACATTGTTAAACCTATTTCGCAAGGATGAATGTTCATCTTCTGGCGCCTTAGCCACCTTGTGTAATACCAACTCGGCATCTTTCCCAACATCCTCGCTAGCCCATATCCCTATCGTGCCCAGCGCGATCAGTAGACAACACCGCAAGAGCCCGCTCTGCAACATCATTTATGAGCCCATAACGAGTGACGTGAACTAGTACTTGTCGCCAGGGCGTTATCCTCAAGACGGAAAAGAATGCGAAAGAAGGGAGAGAAGACCGATAGACGGCATTGAAACGAAGAGTAGGGTCAAAGCACATATGCCAGCTTCTAGCCGTCGACAGCTCCGTCGTTCCCATCTTTCTCGCTCGGGTTTTCCCGCCTAGGTGCTCAACTCCGATCTTACCAGGTTGACAGGAGAGATTTCATGCGGACAATGGTTACCGAGCTGTTGGCGTTGAGCCCGGATCGGGATGACGCGTGTGATAAAGCCCCTTGCAGGCGCACTACATAGTAAATCGTGAACCGGGGTCTGTGTGATCGCCTGGGTCAACCTAGTGAGTCTTTACGTAGGCTTGGTTAACTGTATGATCTGCAATTAGAAACGAGTAGATAGGATGTCTACCAGGTAAGTCTAGTTTGTGTAAGTCGCATTGATTTCACATCCGGATTGGGCAAACCGGCAATGTTGCGCACCAGTAATATCGCACGCAGCGTTGCTTTTAGGTGTGCCTTATACAATCATCCCGACTTCGAGTCTTTATTTGTGGTTTCTTACTCGATTTCTCTACTCCACGCGGCATGTATTGAGATGAGAACTATTCAATGTAAGTATGTTTTAATTGAGAAAGTGAATAATATCTCACTTGAACTATTACCTAAGCAATATGTCGTATGTACTGTTCCTTCCTACCTAAAGCGAAGAGAAGAGCAAGTACGGCTTGCAATACGCTGGTACCCGGGTATGCACGTCCCACTTATCCGGCCGTCTCGGCAGCCCCTGGCTCTGACACTGCCGCAGTGCCGATATATTTAAGGTTAATTGTTAATTTGGTACCGATCATCTGGTCATCTGGCCTTACACTGCTACCGATTATCTAGTGATTACCGACCTAGCCCTTGCTTTCCAGATGAATAGATACCTTAGGTACCTTATACAGGTGATATCTTCTTGCTTATCTTATTCCAGACTCCGTGAAATGTTAGCACGTAGCAGCAATACGTCGTAGATGCAGGGTATGTCTGGGCGTGGCTGAAACGTACAGTCGTCCCTTTATCATCGGATGCCCGATACCCGAACGTTAGCAACGATTCGATCTATCGCCTAGAAAGGAGTAAGGATGACTTTGACAGATTGTCCCTTGCTACCTTTCAGTAGTATAAGCAGCCAACCGGAAAGGTTCCCTCAGAAAGACCTCTGCATGCGAGATTGAACCAAGAGAATTCCATGCCGTCGAGGAGAATAGCGAACATACTTCGTAGTAAGCGATTATTCCGACCTTCATATAGAGATATCAAGCATGTGCCAATATTAATGAATACTTAGGTATTTATCTACTCTGCGCATAGTTTTCCTTCAGTCTATTTCTCGCGTATCAGATCCCTGGGCCACTTTATTACTCGATAACTCACTAGGTCAACATACTTATCGGGGATATTCATTAAATCCTATTATTCGATTGTACCGTGTTCGTTTTCAAGACGTACATAATAGTCAGACGCTCAGTTTGATAGGCCCAACGTCAAGAACCTCGCCGGGTCTGGCCCGAGAAAATATGTAATACATCCATCCAGCAGCGCTTCTCGGACTGAGGCCAATCTCCAAGCCGTCAAAACACCTATGTAAATGCCAGTGTGTCCCGTTAGTATAGTAGTGGGCCATGGAATATCCGAATCTAATATCCTCGTGCTCCTTGAACGCCTATAACAAACACATGAATGCCGCCGCTCTCCTTTTGGTCGTCGCGGCGCCGAGTTTAGTACCTGCATCAGAACATTTGTTTTCGTCATACATTATCGCGTCTACTCTCATGCCCTGGAAAATGACGTCCGCCATTGTTGCGAAAATCGTTCGGCCTCCTTAGCACAGCTATTATCTCCAACGTTAGAACAATGAGCGAATACAACCGCGATATCTCCGTCCTTGTACTGCTCGCCGTGACCGTTATTGTTATAGGCGTTTATAATTCGCTGAGGAACGATGGCCAATTTCGACAAGATCGTTGGATGCCATTGAACAATATGCTCCTAGTACTGGTCAGCACTCTATTTATATGCCGAATAGGAGCAGGGGTAGAATGAGGACTTACCAAGGCGTGTGTCTCTGCTTTCTGGAAGTTGTAGCTCCGATATAATGGGTCAAACCAAGTATCGAGGAAGAATTTGGCCCATTCTCCGTTTTTGATCACAAAACTGGTGGAAGATAGACCTTCTTTATCCTGCGTAATGACAAATTCGACATCGTCTCCTTTGAGGTGTGAAAATGTCTTGATAATGCTATCCGGGGGGACCACTGGGAGATCCTTGAACATGGAGGCTTCGAGTTTGCTGGCGCCCATGACGTAGTCTTCCACTTTCAAATGCGGATTCATAATGAGCGCATTCTGATCGAGAAACCACATATATTTGCAATCGGGGTACTTGGTTATGGCGTGGCGCATCGCCACAACTTTCGCCCAGGACGCAGGTGCTCCATTGAGGTTATAGTCGCTGGCTTTGGCAAGTAATGTGCCGTACCCTGATCAACGGTTAGGCGATGGCCCCAAAAATGACGAGGCTGTTGTAAAACCTTACCGTGCTTTTCCGCATACTGCATCCTATTTTCCCTAATGTTCTTGATATATACCGAGTTGTCATTCTTGTCATCGAACACGGTTACCAGCACGACAGGGGGTTTCCCCGATATCGCGCGATGTCCTGCGTGTTTCGAGCTGCCGGAAAACACCCATATTAAACCAATAATTATTAGCCCGAAGAAAGCGATCGGTTTAAGTTGACTCCTTCGTATTCTCGGTATTCGCGTGGAACGAGGTAGATAAGGTGGCGGATTCGAACTTTTTCGAGAAGGATAAGCGTAATGCATAATGAAGGTCGATAGAGAGGATTAATGACCTCTCTTAGGATTGTCGAAGAAGAAGAAAGGTAAGACAGGCGGTCGACTACCTGAATAGCGAGCGATTGAGCCAAAAGGCGGGCACTTTCGCCCAGTGTCTATGTAGACGTGACGGACGTTGGCCACTCTAGCGCAATTGGGAACCGAGAGAATGGTAGACTAGACGATAAAGGTGATGAGTTCTGGTGGCATCAGGATAACCTAGATGTTGACAAATTGTGAACTAAATTAGCTATTACTTCAGGCACGGGTAGCGGTTGTAATTTGACATGTCGCAAAAGACCATATGCATGCAGGCCATCGCCAGATTGCATGTACGGAAACTTATTTTGGCAGCACTTTTAATTCAACTTAATTTGACTTGGCGCTATTAGAACAGCCTAGACCCCTGTTGGCTGTTTGACTAGCTGACTACATGTACAATACGTACACTATGTAGGTACCTGGCTTACCTAAACCATGCCTAATACCAATTGACTTAAAGCATATCGTAATCCGTATTTGTACATAAATGCTTCATCTACGCAGTCAAGATTAGGTACTTATCTCGTAATTATTTCAAGCAGTCAATAGCAAATCACGACACAAGGTCTTATAAGCAAATACGTATATACGATACCGGCAAGACTTAATGTATCGAAAATAGCCAGGCCACACCTTTATATAAGACCAGGATGGAAAAGGGTAGACCAAATCGAAACAACTCAAAAAGAGCCGACGACGCGAGGCTGAATTTGCGACGTCCTCGAACAAATCTGCGTGCGAGTAAAAGCAAGACGCTTAACTCATCAGGTTGTAAGCAAGGTATCTATCTTTGCACACAGACTAGTTGACAAGATATGGGAGAGCATCTTCGAGGCAACTTAAGAGTGTGCATTGCGTGTATGAAAACACGTTGATTCGGCAAATCTTTTTTTTCTTGTTATCGTATCTTAAATTTTATATATACAATCACGTGACTTATAACAATCATGTGACATGGCCCGCTCACCTGCATTTTAGTCCTTCAACAAGTTGCTCTTAGACTTTACACGTTCCTATTACCGGGATCTAACATTGCCTAAAGAATATCAAGAGATGTCTGTAATGCCAAATGATATGATATGATAGGCCGTCTGATTACAAGGTCATATTTTATCCTAGTTGAGGGGATGTCTCTGGGTATGCCCGATCCATGCCCCTTAGCTAGGGTCAAGATAACCAAATTACTTAACAATTTGTATACTTCGTACAGCGCACACGAATAAGGATCAAGATATTGTTAATAGCTCTTCCTATATAGACTAATCTTCGTCGTCGCTATCGTCGGCGCTATTATCATTATTATCGCGCTGGACATTTAGAATCCTCTGGCTCGCCCTATCGAGAGTCCTCTCAGTCCACTTTCGTGTAGCTTTCCACACCGTCTAAGAAAGTTAGTAAAAGCTCTAAAGTGACATTAAGCTTGTAACTTACATATAAGAATGTGAAGACACCAATGAGGACGAGAGCCAAATTAATACTTTCCATGCGCTCACGTCCTGTTCCAGCGCGACGACCTCCTCCTCCACCTATGATGCCACTAGTCCGCAAGTTCCACCATTGCCACGGACTCATAACAAGGAACGCCTTGACAAACCCAAGTAGGCCCAGCGAGAAAAGTCCTTTTATGAAATGACCAAACCAACCCGATTCCTCGGATAGTATATCAATATCGTCATCTAAACTAATGTGACCTGTCGTGACCGACTCTGCTATAGTACCAACAGGATCAAGCCACAAGTTGAGGAGAGGGTCGGCTATAAACCCAAGTAAAAATATCGTAACGAGGAGGATGAGAATGGTGAGCCCGAGAGCTACGAGTGGGCTCCGGAGCCGTTGGGCCCATGTAAATCGTTCCATCCTATACTGGTAATGGCATCGACCACATTTCCAAGCATTGGGGTTTTCGTTCATCCAGAGTTTCAAGCATTCTTCGTGGACGTATTTAACACTGCCTTTACAGAGGCACGGATTGATGAGGCGGCCTCCATCCTCAGAAACATAATGCCTTTTTGGCCGTCGATTACGAAGGCCATCTAAGAAACCCGTCTCTTCATAAGTCGGTTCTACTTCGTCATGACAGATCCAACACATTCGAACATGTTTCTTTGATTCATTCTGACTCGGCGCAGGCTGCGATTCAGGTTGTGGCTCAGGTCGCCGGAAATAGTCACTGCCAGTGGCAGTTCCGAACGACGGTTGGGTGTCCATAGTAGGTTGCGAAGGCAGTAATATCGGTATAAGCGGTTTGGAGTATCGGCTTGTTCGGTCCGTCGGACTAAGCTTAAAGAAACGAAAGTAATAAAAGAAATGGGGGACTGGCGCGATGGCTCGAGGTATCTCACAACACGTACAACTAGGACAAGGCTCAAAGGAAATATAAGATAAACGGAGAGTCCTACTCAGATTCTCACCGTTATGTGCTCTTCAAATTCGAATAGAATCTGGAAGGATAGGGTCGAGGACCATTGTCTGACGTAGGGATACAAAGAGCGCACTAGGCCGGATTAAGAATATCGAGATGATATTGTTGAAGATACATATAGCATGGGGTGATGAAGGAGGAAGGATGGTATGTAGTGTCCAGATCTGTCTAGATCCTTGGGAAGGAAAGCAAGAGGCAGCAGCACTAAAAGTAAGGCAGTGCTGTTGCGTGCAGCGCCCAGATGTTGGTTGACTTGGCTGTTTGCCAATCTGTTAATCGTAACAACTATTTCTCCGTCAAGTTAAGTATTTAAATACTCTGGCTCTCCTTTGAGCATCAATCTTAAAGCTGGCATGTTATACGGCTAAACCGAGCCAGCGTGTCAAGCTTCTCAAATGATTTCGGATGGTTGAAAGAAAGTCAGGCGATACGAACTTTAACATTGACGTGGATGTAATCCGTATTCAATTCTAGAAATTTCAACTTCATTTGGTGCATAACTTGAATTCAATGCGATTATGTAATTGTTCAGGTACTCCGGATGACGGGTGTACATTAGGTACCTAGCTGCGGGAGTTTGTTTTCGGAGCGTCGATATTCCGGTGTGACATCGTTCAAACAGAACCTTAGCTGAGGTCCCATTTGCTGCGCTGCCCGATTAGGTACGGTACTGTGCGGGCTGATGTACTATCGAGAGCAAGTGCCAGCCCACCATTGTACCTTACTTGTTGTAATGTACCTGAGCTCTGACGCGCAAACTCGCGATGCCTAGCAATCAACCATAGCTCTCCACACCACAGCTCGAGGTTCTGTAGCCTGTAGCCTCACCATCTAATCCACTCCCACTCAAGCCAACTTTACAACCCTGAACCTTTCCGTAGTACCCTCTCATATTCAATTTTCTATATCTTCCTTCAACCATGGCCGACCGTTATTCATTTTCCTTGACGACCTTTTCCCCAAGGTAAACTCACTCCATTGTGATATCTATTATCTATATCTACATACTGCGACTCTTGGCTAACTCTCCTCCCAACAGCGGAAAACTAGTCCAGATCGGTATGCCATATTTCCTACAGGTCGCATGTCTACGAACACTAGAACCCTGAAGAGGCCTGCGCTATAATAATGTGCATTACGGTAGCTAACGGTGTGGCCTACTAGAATATGCCCTAAATGCAGTTAACCAAGGTGTCACGGCCCTGGGCATCAAAGGTAAGGATCGAGGTCGTTTAAAGCGCCGAGGCGTATATCCGCTGACTTTTGGAAGCAACAAATGGCATCGTTTTAGCGACCGAAAAGAAGTCCTCTTCGCCTCTTGTCGACCCCTCCTCCGTGTCCAAGGTCACCTTGATCACTCCCAACATCGGAATGGTCTACTCGGGAATGGGTCCGGACTATAGAGTACTAGTAGACAAGGCACGCAAAGTCTCTCACACCGGTTACAAGAGAATTTACAACGAGTACCCGCCCACCAGAATATTAGTCCAGGACGTTGCGCGAGTGATGCAGGAAGCTACGCAATCTGGTGGTGTCCGACCATACGGTGTCAGTTTGCTGATTGCTGGATGGGACGAGGGCATTCTACCTGAGGAGGAGTCCGTTGCTGAAGGCCAAGTTGAAGGCGAGAAGAAGCCCTCGGGAAAGACCGGCGGAATTCTAAAGGGCGGTCCTATGCTTTACCAGGTCGATCCATCTGGAAGTTACTTTCCCTGGAAAGCCACTGCCATCGGAAAGAGCGCAACAACGGCAAAGACGTTCCTCGAGAAGCGATACACCGAAGGCCTGGAGTTGGAGGACGCTGTACACATTGCGCTTCTAACTCTGAAGGAGACTATCGAGGGCGAGATGAACGGGGAGACGATCGAGATCGGTGAGTCGTGACCAAGGCATCTAATTCAGGAGGCATTACTAACTATAAAAAAGGTATCGTCGGTCCTCCTGCTGACCATCTACTCGGAGTTGAGGGAGTTCATGGCGCAACTGGCCCACGATTCAGGAAGCTCACCCCACAAGAAATTGAGGACTACCTAACAAATCTGTGAGCACCAATATTTCTGGAATTGGCAGGAGTTTGCGTGTATCATAGAACAGCATAGAGAGCCCAATCGAGGCGGAATCATTAAGGGATTCGATACTTGGCCAATATGAATGAAGTGCTTCGCCCCGCTTCTACACCACAAACCACTTGTCCTACTTCTAAATGTAAAGGTACCTTCGTCCACGAACTTGCTTCGCTGTCTGGTAAGCCTAATTGACCATTCCCGTTATCGCCAATGACATATACATGACCCTCTGAACTAAGGACAATTATATGTGATTCCCCAACCCCACAATCTACTATATCACTTTCTTCCACCACCACAGGTATTGGGCTACTTGATATATCATCGAGGAGCGCATTCTGCCCTGGACGGCCACCCCAAGCATAAAGATCATAACCTTCCGTTAGAGCAAGGATTAAATACCCAGCTGCGCTGATCTTTTTTATCTTGCCGGTAGGCAGGTCCTCGAGTTCCTCTACGAGACCAGGTCTTTCGGCTGGACTAATCCGTGACGTCAGCTACGCTACCTCGAAAGAAACCTAATAGCTTACCTTGAATGTGTTACCGGTCTTCCAAGACAAGCGCTGTACCGCTCATCGCCCCAAGTCCAGACATGGCCATCGTCTGATAAAGCTACGAATCCCGTTTCGTATGCTACTAGTTGAACAATATTTCCCATGTCAGGGAATTCCTGCCGTTCCCGCGTACCAATAGATGAATATTGATAAATAGTATCGCGACCATCATATTCTTGTCATAATCGTAAGTAATATGCAAGACGTATATCTCATAATATAACAACTTGCCGGCTATGGTGCCATTCCAAGCTATGGCAGCTGTGGATGAGAGAAGCTTCTCCTTGAGAGTTTTGGGAATATCTTCGACGAATCCTGCGTTCCGTATACCAGAAGAAGTTCTCACTTGTCGATGTTAGCTTATGATAATGTCTACTAGTTATTTATATAGGTAAGGAACGCTGACCAAAAGTGCACGATAAGAGGGAGCAGGGACGGCCGATAAAATTGTCTTTTAGAATAGATTGAAATGATTCAAGATCATGAGGCTCGCTAGATGTATTCTGTTCATTGTTAAACTGTAGTTGGCGCCAGGCATTGAAGCCTGTAGCGAAGAGTTCCATGGCTGTCTCCTGTATAAGTTGTAACAAGTATCTGGATACTAAGGTACCAATGTACCTTTGATTGGGTACCTAAAGAAGACCGGCCAGCTTTAGTGAGAGCCGTGTGTATAAATATCCCCCTTTATCGCACTGTCATGACTCTCGCTAATTAGAACCATCCGATATATGAATACGTAGTGTTACATACATGTACAACTCCAAATACTTGTGCGTCCCTCCTCTCAAGCAGCTTGCTTGAGGCAGATAGCCTTGCCGGCTTTGAACCTGTCATACCAGGTATCATTATCTGGCGGTTTTCTGCCCAACGCATGAATCCGACGTGTCATATATAAGCAAACAAACGTCGCTCGCTATTTTTCCAACATTGTTAACCTTGCATCATATTATGAGGTACTTCCTATGAAGCATTCGAGTTACTCAGACAATCAGCATCGAGGAGCGATATACGATAAGCTCTCAACAAGATCAATTTGAATTGAACTAAGCAGATCTACCGTGTTAATGGCTACTACGCCTGGGGTAATACCATCGGTATTGTCTATGGATTTAATCGCAGAAGATCTCAGCGACAGCGAGGATGATTCCGTAATCTCTGAGAGCCGCACAGAACCTGAATTCGCAGCCACCAAGGAGATAGAGTCCCATTTGGAGGCTATAGACGTTAAGGATGAAGTCCATGTTAAGGATTCGGGCGTTATCCATGCCCGCGAATATCAGCTTGAGATGTTTGAGGAGAGTCTCAAACGTAACATTATCGTCGCAGTAGGTAGATACTGTCGTACCTGCTGCGCTTCCTAGACTTACTTATCTCCGTAGATGGACACAGGGACAGGAAAGACTCAGGTGTACGTATTGGCATGGACTGGAGTTGACTCCCATCTCACGTCTTTCGGTATACGTGCTTACGATACTTCAGGGCTGTCCTTAGAATCCAAGCAGAACTGGAAAAGTCTGCTCCTCATAAAGCCAGTATAGTCGCCTCATAACTACCTTGTATACATATCTGACTTGGATAGATTGTTTGGTTCTTGACCCCCACTGTTGCTCTGTGTGAGCAGCAAGCTCGAGTACTCAGGTTGCAGATTCCAGCCGTGCAAATCAAAACTCTCGTTGGAGCAGACGGCGTAGAGACCTGGTCCGATGTTCGCATATGGGACAACTATTTGAAGAATGTGCGAATAGTCGTTTCTACTTATCAGGTCCTTCTAGATGCCGTTAACCATGCATTTGTGCGTATGGACCGGCTCTCCCTGATAGTTTTCGACGAAGGTCAGTTAAGCACCACCCCCACCATCTGTCGAGGATAAGCGTTAGTCTAATATAATTAGCCCATAATTGTCGTGGTAAGCACTCCGGCGCCAAGATTATGGGCCGGTATCGTGACAGTAAAAACGCTGGTCTACCAATTCCATCAATACTTGGTCTTACGGCGAGTCCGATCGTGAGTTCGAAGCTTGATACCCTCGAGAAAATCGAACAAACGCTAGACGCCGTGTGTAAGAGCCCAAGCATCCATCGAGACGAGCTTTTGTCTGTCGTGAAGCGGCCGACCATGACCCACGTTTTCTATACCCGGCCGGATGAGGATGACTTTCCTCTAACTAACACTATGAAGAGTCTGGCTAGTGTATACTACGGATTGGATATAAATAAAGACCCGTATATTGTCCGACTGCGAAGAGATATGAGGGAGCGCAGTCAAGTAGCCCTTGAGAGGGCTCTAGAGAATCAGGATACTTACGTCTTTAAGCAGGTACAGTCTTTCTGGCGAAAAAGTGTTACAATACACCGAGAACTTGGAACGCGGGCTGTAGATTATTTCATTTCTGCGTCCATCGCCCAGTTCCTAAAGTCGATCAGGGAGAATGATTCGTGGTTTCAGGGATGGGACACTCAGGAGAAGCAATACCTTGCGAATGCATTACAAGGTGTCAAAACATCAACACCGTCGCCACTTGAATATGGTACGGCTGATTCAGGTATTTCTAGCAAGGTTGCAGCTCTTGTACGAGAGCTATCTCATTCGGCCGACGGAACTATTGGTATCGTATTCGTTCGTGAAATTGCCACGGTAGCTATCTTATCACATATACTATCAATTCATCCGTTGATAAAGGATCGCTTTCGGGTCGGTACTATGATCGGTACGAGCAACCACATCAGTCAAAAACGAGATCTCGGTGCCCCCAACAAGACGGAATACGCTCAAAATCTTAAGGATTTCCAAGATGGAAAGCTCAATCTCCTTATAGCTACGAGTGTCCTAGAAGAAGGTATCGACGTCCCGGCTTGTAATATGGTAGTTTGCTTTGATCCCCCGGCCAACCTGAAGACGTTTATTCAGAGACGTGGTAGAGCTCGGATGAGAGAGTCAAAGCTCGTTCTACTAATAAGCGAGGTCACAACCCAAGTCGAGGAGTGGATGGAGCTCGAAGAGGAAATGAAGAGACGCTATGAGGAGGAGACGAGGCGAGTACAACTTGAAGAGATGGAGCAACCCGAGGTTGAGCCTTTCTATGTACCAAAGACCGGAGCCCACCTTGACTTCGACCAGGCAAAGTCACACTTGGAACACTTTTGCAGAAAACTCTCGAATCATCAATATGCTGATTCAAGGCCGTACTATATATTTAAGCGAACACCCAACCCGCTTGGAGAGGTCCCGCAAGTCTCGGCAACGGTGGTCCTACCGATGTCGTTACCCCCGGAGCTTCGGCGAGTAGAGAGTACCGGCCTCTGGTTCACCGAGAAAAGCGCTAGTAAGGACGCCGCCTTCCTGGCTTATACCGCTATCTATAAAGCCGGTTATCTTAATGATAATCTGATGCCATTAAACACCGAGATCACACATGATGTCGAGTCGAGAGCCCCAGAGATAGAAGTTAACGGACAAAGGAGCCCTTGGGCACGGATTGCGCGTGCTTGGGGTGACCAGAAAGAGTTATACCAGCGCAGACTACGGTTGGTGGATCATCATGGCGATGTATTATGTGAATTTGATGCGACACTACCTGTGCCCTTTCCGGCTTTGCCATATATCAATGTCATCTGGGATAGATATAACCATTGGAGGATCGAACTGGGCGAAACAAAGGTTATATCCACCGAGGACCTCCAGGCTGATCAGAGCCTGGCATTGTTAGACCTAGCATTCAGACATCGTCAATGGGAGACTAGGGATGCCGCGCGATCAATACTACACATTCGGTCCCCTACCCAGGATATCCCATTCGGTGAGCTCGTGGGTCAACAGAGCGTTGAAGAAGCCTGTCTTGATAGCACAAGACTAATACGCTTCGGCGGAGCTCCCTATTCATTCAAAGTATTGCTGCCTTCTCTCGGTCAGGACTTTCCAATACCAGAATCCTTAAAGGGCGAACCAGTTGATGCCCCTTGGCTGTTGCTGGAGAAGTGGATAAAAAGAAAAGACTTCCTTCACCATTTTACTGAACCGCCCAAGTCGGATTCTACTAAGCCAACTCAAATGGTTAGGCCTGCGCGCCTCTGCCGAGTGGATGGTATCCACGTATCCAACGTTCACTTCGGCATGCTCATCCCTTCTATTATGCACAAAATAGAGATCCATCTGGTTGCTACGGAATTATGCAATACCATATTGAAAGATGTCGAATTCAAGGATATCTCATTAGTCATTACCGCAATTAGCGCACCATCCGCCAGAGAAGGGACAAATTATGAAAGGCTGGAGTTCCTTGGCGACACGACTCTGAAGCTGCTTGCTACGGCCACCATAACTGCCAATAGTACGTCGCGGTGGCCTTTGTCTGGGCTATTGAAACATGTTGATGCTGACCTGACGTAGGGCCGAATTTCCCAGAAGGGTATCTGGACGCTATCAAGATGAGCATAGTATCAAATGCTAGGCTGTGCCGCGCAGCGGTCGAGACTGGCCTGGATAAGTTTATTCTTAAAAAGGAGTTCACGGGCGCGAAGTGGAAGCCCATTTATATCGAAGACATGCTTGATATAAATGATAATGCGGACGACAAACGTGTGGTGTCGACCAAGACACTTGCCGATGTAGTAGAGGCCTTAATCGGAGCTGCGTACGAAGATGGCGGAATAGATAAAGCGCTCGCCTGCCTCCGGATATTCGTCCCCGAGGTGGAATGGCATAGCCTTGATTCTGCCTGCAATAAGATATTTGACCAGACTGCTATGAGCACGTATCTCCCGCCTCCCCTCGCACCTTTGGAAGAATTAATCGGATATTCCTTCCGCAACAAGAATATACTCGTCGAAGCCGCCACGCATTCTTCTTTCGGATACGTCGACTCGACGGGAAACTGCATGGAACGCCTGGAATTCCTCGGCGACGCCATCTTGGACAGCGTGATCGTCTCCGTTATATGGGATTTCGAACGCGATATGTCACAGCATGAAATGCACCTCCTCCGCACGGCCTGTATCAACGGCGACCTGCTCGGGTTCTTGGGCATGGAGTGGAGCATCGAGCAGGAGGCTACGCAGATCTCTGAGGATAAATCAACTATCGAGACGAGCACCACACTCCCGTTCTGGAAGTTCATGCGCCACACGTCGCAGGACATGGGCATCGTCCAGCAAGCCGCGGAAGAAAGACACTCGCAAGAGCGGGAGGCTGTCCTCGAGGCTATCAACCACGGATCAGAGTATCCCTGGGCACAGCTCTTCCATCTGCACATACCCAAGTTCTTTTCTGATTTCTTCGAGAGCGTGCTTGGCGCCGTGTGGGTAGACTCGCAGTCTTTAGACGTATGCGCCAGCGTCGTCGAAAGGGTGGGCATACTACCGTATCTGCGACGCATGCTCGCCGGCGGCGTCGACGTCCTACACCCCAAGAACCATCTCGGCCACGAGGCGGGTAAGATCGGCAAGCCGGTCGAATACCAAACCGAGGTGCACGACGCGCAGGGCGGGGATAGGGAATTGGTCTGTAGGGTACTGGTTGGGGATGAGGTGATTGCGGAGGTGGGTGGTGGGGTGTCGCCCGAGGAAGTGCAGACTCGAGCGGCGTATGCGGCGTATAAGATTCTGGTTGCGAGGGGGGAGAAGGAGAGGGTATGTAAGGGGGAGGGTGAGTGAGTGAGTGGTTAGATGGTTGGATGAGATATGATGGATAACCTGATAGGTTATGAATTAATGAATGCACGAATGAGCTCTGGGTGGTGAGCAATACTAATGCGTTATGGGATTTCATGTTGAATATTATGGCATGCTGATCTCTCAATATTTGCGTTGGTATTTATGGTGAACGACTTTATCTTGACTTGGAGGTATGATTTAACTAACGAGGGTATACATAGAAGTGCCTACCTAAGGTATATAACACATTGCTCTTTAGTAATAGTAGAAAGTGAATTATAAATTTATATATCTTGGTGACTTCTTTACGTAAATGCTTGTATATACCCCTATTCCGGCCCTTAAAGGGTCGTAGATATAGCCCTTCCCGTGAATCGCGAGACTATTCTCACCATGTCCTCAGTAATTACACCATGCTATAAAGGTGCATACCTATAATTCTGATTGGTCAGTTTAGTAAAGTGTTACCAAGTACGGTAAAAGAGGTGCAGCAGGTGCAGGCCCGGCCAGCTTGAGCGATTTCCGGGGTTAAGTTTTACCATAACCGATATGCAGGGGTATGGAAGTGCATGTACCCAAGTACCTTACCTCCTGGCCTGTCTTTACCGATCTACCAATCTACACGCATCATCTACCTACATACATCTATCATCCCTGGCGCTCCGGGTGTCTTAATGTCTTAACCGCATTCCTTCTATTGTTGCGACATCGTGAATTGCTTTTTCTATTTCTTCCAACTTAATTCACTTTACTCGAATTCACCCAACTACTCGTCAGCCCCCAAGCTTTCAACTCTTTTAACTTAATAAATATAATAGACCCGACGCAACTGAGTTAACACCTCTCTAACACCGATTTGCTGTCAGCTCGAGCTTCTATTCTGCCATTCTGCCATTTAGATATCGCTATCTGGCTCTCCCACTACCTAGGGTTGCCCGCCTTCAATTCCTACCCATATGACGACGACAATGCGGCCCTATACATGAGTTCTCTCCTCCAATTGGAAGGAGTGCCATCATGCCGTCTGAAGGGGGATTAAGCAATATTCGAGTCTTCATAACCTGGGATGACCAGACAGTTTTCGCTGGCGAGGATATCAAGTGTCATATAACTTTCAAGAATATAGCTCCTGGTCTAAATCAATCACTATCAACTCAACACCAGACACAGTACTCCCTTACCGAACGATCGAGACAACCCTCGCCTCTACTAAGTCCAAGATCGAAGCCCAATAATGGATTGACACCTCCTGCGCCTACACGAGGGCACCGTTCTACTTTATCTCTCACCGTTCCTTCGAACAGTTCGCGCTTAAGAGGACCACCTCAACAGTGGACCCCTCCACAGCAACAACCCCCGCCGCAACGACCCGGCCATGCCCATCAGCGGTCCCTTTCTATAGTATCGATAGGATCGGCCGCTACGATAGAAGAGCAGTCTCATGGAAATATATCTCCTGCACGGCACCAACGGCCTTCCCGTGGTCATGGAAGGTCTGCTAGTTTACAGATATCACCGAGGGGCGGGTTGATGAACGGTCCACAGTCAGCTGCACTGCCGAGACGACCCTTTGGCTCGGAATCTTCGCCAGTATTTAATCACTCTTTCCCCCCGTCTAAGCATGGCTTTAGTCGTGCGTCAGGAGTCACGACTGTCCCAAATACGCCCGGTGTTATGGGTTCACATCTGCCTAAGAGGAGCCCGGGCATAATTCCAGATTTCAAATTTCCTATGATACCCTCCCCAAAACCGACAGAAACTGGTTCCATCTCGCCCACAACGCAACCAGTGGATTACTTGACCGCACCGTTGTCAGCAGCGAGCGGAGGTATCACCCTTCCCGTGCGTTCAAAAGACTCGATACCTACCATCACCGAACAAGCCGCCCCTGTGGCGCGAATACTATCTACGACGAGCATTGCTGGTGGGACTCCTAGGAGTAGTGGCGAGTTCTATTCACTTAGCAACAACTCGTCTGAGACGCTGGCATCGGAGTATGTGACGCAACCGTTGCATCCTGGACGTAGACCTGCTCATCTACGGCGACCTTCTGCTCTATCGAGTATCAGCCACGTGCGGCTTCCGGAATCGTTGATGATGGGCTTTGCTCAAGTTCAAGGTTCCTTCACTCTCGACGGATCGCTTATTAATCTTGGGCCATTCGAAGCAGTTAAACGAAAAGCTGTCCTAGGGGGACAGGGAGGCGGTGTTATTGGCATTGAGAATTCGAGAAGGAGTAGCGGTGGTCTACTAACTGGTTTTGGCTGGAGTAGTCTCGGAAGCTCTATCGGGGAGCTTCTGGGCGGTGGAGAACTCAGCAGCATTAAGCAGATGCGAGGTGTTACGAGCTCCAAATCCATCCCGCTACTATCAACGCCGCAATCGATCTTATTCGTAGATTTACAACTAGCCCCTGGTGAGAGCAAGACTTATGAGTACACGTTCAAACTACCGAAAGGACTACCCCCAACACACCGAGGGAAAGCGATGAAGATATCGTATAGCTTAGTAATTGGCACCCAGAGGCCTGGCGGTACTAAAGAACAGCAGGTACGATCAGTCGAAGTTCCGTTCCGCGTTCTTGGGAGCGTCAATAGCCACGGTGAGATTCTTGGCCATGATCTACTTAACCCGTACATAATCCTTCGCGACATGGCGAAAGTGCAGCCGCTTGACAAACCCCCTATTCATACGAAGAGGGGTAAGCTGGAGCAGCCGGAGTCGACGTATAATGGATTTCTCCATTACGTCGATGAACTCCTCGAACGACCTCGTCGGGGCCTTGGGCTTCTGTCTCCAACTGCCACAGCCCCCCAATCCCGTCGCGCCTCTGCTTATGAAGAGTCGTCTTCAGCAAAGGATGCGATAGACTTTGCTATTCTTAGATCAAACCTCTCCTCCGAGTCGGGGCAGAGCAGTAATCGCTTCGAGATAGCCCGGAATGGCCGACGTGTTGGTGTTGTGATGCTTGCGCGCCCTGCTTACAAGCTCGGGGAGTCGGTAAGTATGGCAATCGACTTCACCGGAGCTGAGATTCCCTGCTACGCCATCCACGCGGCCCTCGAGACCGCCGAGCGCGTCGAGCCAACGCTCGCACTACGCAGCGAGGCTAGTGTACATAGGGTTACCCGAAAAGTATACGGCAGCTCAAGCGAAGCGACGCTGTTCGCGCGGCGCGTCGTGTTCAACCCCACGATACCCATCGGCGCAACCCCCGAGTTCGTCACCAGCGGTTTGAGCCTCGAATGGAAGATTAGAATCGAGTTCGTCGTCCCCTCTTCAAACAAAGACCGGGACTTAGATTTCGGGGAGGGCGACGGCTCGCACCCCTTACTAGAGGAGATCTCGCGCGATGACCGTGGTGGTCTCGTTCTGGTCGCCGCGGAGACGCTCGACTGCGAGAGCTTCGAGGTTGCGGTCCCGCTGAGGGTCTACGGTGCCGTGTGTAATGGCCTCGAGCGGCTGGAAAGGGACCAGGCGCAGGAGGAAGGGCTTACGGTGTAATTTATCATTTACCGAATGAGTATTACACGAGACGAAGGGAAAGAAATGGTTGGTGGCATCGAGCCGTATTGTATGTATGTATGTAGGTATGTATACAACTGCGCGCATGCCGGTCTAGTGTATGGATTAGAAAAAGCAGAACGAGCAAAGCAAGACGAGAGGGGGGGGATGGAAGGTACTGTAACGAGTCGAGAGAATTATAGGATAAGTGAGGACGAGATGAAAAATAATGAAGAGCATGTTCTTACGAACTTTGGCTTTTTCGAAGAACGAATGGTCTGGTCCGAGTTGGGTATAGATGAGATGAGATGAGATGAGATGAGATGAGGTACGTAACGTCAAGTAGAGGTGGGAGAGGTAAGGGGTAAGGGGTAAGGGGTAAATAGGAGCGTAGCCTTCGTCGATGTGCTGATAGAAGTAATCGAATGGAGCTCCTTGTTGAACTACCTAATGTATTATACTTATACCATACCAATTACCGTACCTCTGTATGAAATAGGATGTCATCTTTTTTTTCATTCGTGATTATTTCTATTTCCTATGGTATAGGTAAAATACCCTAAGTACCTAGAGTAGGAGCTAGGCATCCTGTCCCAATTCCTTGTTGGTAGCAAATCCTGAAGTTAACCCTCACCAGAACTCATAAGTGAAAAGTAAATAATAATAGTGTAAACAAAACGTGCCTACTGCCTAGACAAATTCAATTGATGCATCTAAACAAAGCAACTTCATCTCAAGTAACGATAACAATAAGTCTCCCTTTCCCTCCCCTTCCGAGCGCGCAGCCGCGGCACTGTGTCCCATAACTCCCGTGGGTTTTTCTCCTGTCAAGTGGTATCATGTTAGGAAGTCATTTTATGGACTCGATAGGCAGACAGAAGAGCCCTCTGATATCCCTACGGTATCCATCCCGGACGTTTCTCCCAAAAAGAACGAACAAGACCCAACGCCTTAAGTCTCTGAAGACCACATTCTTTCTCCATCCCTACTCCTAATGCTGCGTACTTTCTAATGCGGAGTACGCTTAATACACATTATAGAATGAATATCGCAACTACGTCGAACCGGTACTAGACTCTCCTCCAGATGAACCGGGTCGTTTTCCCGGCGAAATCCCTGGCGAATCGGGCTCTTGGTCCGACGATCCTCTGTAGCCAATTCGAAGCTTTTCATCCAGCAGAGCTACTAAGCGTTCCGAATATTGGTCCAGGAGGCCACTTAGCATAGTCTCGTTTAGAGCTTTGCTTCGCGTGGCTCTATCACCCAGTGCGACGGAGGTAAGGCGAAGTTCTTGATCTATTTCGGCCAAGACATCCTGGCTAATAGGGTCTGTGGAAGCTAATTTCCTTCGGTAGGCTCGGAGCGTCCGACATGCCTGCTCCGTAGCCATAGTAAGGGTTCCAGATCCTTTCAAATTATTATTGCTTTTGGTTTTCGCAGAGTTGAGAGTTGGTAGGGACGGTTGTCTCTTTACTCTAGCCTTTGGGCTAGATGGTGGGCTACAGTACCGGCTATCTGTTGACGGCCGCCTGGTTGGAGTGTCTCCAGAAATTGCCAATGCAGGGCATGCCTGAGGTGTAGCGGTAGGCGTTTTCGATGACGGCGTGGAAGCTAGATTGTATGCAGATCTCTTCTTGGTGAGACTTCTTGGAGGCGATCGTCGACCCGCCGAGGGAGAAGATCGTTGGAATTCCGCAAGCTCAGCTTTAGAGAGGACGCGCCGAAGTGTAGGCCGAGAAACAACAGAGTTATCCTTGGCAAGAGATAGCTCGCGGGTGGCGGTGCCCCATGCCGGATCTTGTAGGTCCATTTCCCAGACCATGAGAGTACCGTCGGATCCAACACTTACCACCTTAAGCTTACCATCCTCCTCTTCAACTAAAGTCACGCCATTTATGGCTTCCGTATGTCCCCATTCACGATCCAAGAAAGATCCTGTTTGGGCGTCATAGATTCTAATCGACTTATCTGTGTTCGAGACGCCTATGACAAATGTAGGTCCTCTGTCAACAGCCGGCCGAGCAGTGAGAGAATCCAAAACTACAGGTTCGATTCCGCTTTCGTCGATACATTTAAACGAATTTGAGAGCTTTCCGCTCTCCAAGTCGAATATACTCATAGTTCGGTCGAGTAGAGAGACAAGCACTGATTTCTCATCCGCGCCCATTGTCATGGATGACGGAGAAGCTTTTAAAGGTAGGGTTTTGGAGGGGATGGCCGCCATAACATCCGGGTCGCCATCTTTCTCTACAAGGTCGTGGACTTGCAACGTCCTGTCTAGGGAGCAAGTTATAACCTTATCCGCTGATGGAACGAGTACTTGAACAACCCTAGTAGCGAATTCAAGGGTCTGGAAATGTTTGAACTCTCCAGTGGTCGTCCTGTGGAATAACTGTGCTGTACGGTCACGACCACAGGTTGCAATGACAAACTTGGATTTGTCCTCAAATGTAGTGATAAACTGGCAATCTGAAGCGTGGGCTTTCATAGTTGACACGCATTTTAAGGTTGCGAAGTCGATGATCTTAACAATTCCCAGCTTGTCACCCGTGACGAAGTACTTCCCACCCTCGGTAGCCCGTACTAGGTTTAACTGATTAACTAGATCGGGCTCCTCTTCAAAATTTGCCTCTTCAAGTGGTACCTGAAAAGAGCATTTGATTTTACCCTCGACATCCCACAGTATAACTTGGCCGGATGCCGACCAACTGAAGAAATCGGCATCCAGATCAGTCGGGCGACGAAGAGCTTCGACACCTAGAATCGACTCTTGATGTCCTGGCATTGGTATAGGGGGAGTTTCTAGGTCCAGCGTGTCTGTAACCTTATCAAGTCCCCAGATATGGATAGAGCGCTTGGCATCAACTGTTACCATATTTTCCTCCAGAAATCCTATAGCAAAGAGACCCTCAAACGAACCAATGTTTGTGCGAAGGGCATTCTGGTCACATTTCACAAAAGATGCTAGGTCGATGGTTGCTAGGTTTCCCGATTTACCACCGAGGTAAACAATATCTCCACGGATAGCCACGCAAGTCGTCGAAAATCCACTTTCGAGGACATTGGTCAACTTCATCTGCTTATCCGTGTCGTCGAAGAGACATACATCGCCCGTCTCTGAGCAGATGATAGCCTTCGTATCGTCGATAGCAGCACCACACGAAAAAGTCGCTTCTATCATGTTATTAAGTATAACATTCCGACCAAGTAACGTCTTCTGATGCTGCTGATTGGTCGAGCTCGAATCTCCGGTGAACTTCTGTTTCATAGGAGACGGCGATTGGCCCTCTTCAACCTTCCACACTTTTACATGACGTACACCAAAGGTGATTAGATTATTGCCCACCCATACCATACCGCGGATAAAAGAGGTGCATCTGTTTTGCTGAAACAGCTGTGCAGCACCAGTTTTCGTGTCTATTTTCCAAATGTAGATAAAGCCATCGTGTGCAGTTCCGAGAGAGGCCAGGTACTTGGAATCGGGGGACCAAGCAACGGCCTTAACCCCATGCGCATGCTCGCTGATGGAGACGAGTGGGGTATCCGACGAGTTATCTTCCAGGCTGAAGATGAGCACCCGAGGAGCATAGCCAGTTTCGCCAACAGCTAGGAACCTCCCCTCTTTGCTAAGGGCTAAACACGTTGCGGCCTTGATCCGCTCTCGACTGGTCCACGTCTTCGATGACGTGGGGGATTCGGTCCAATCAAGGGAGCTGTGGGTTGATTCTCGCAACGAAGCCCTATTCCGGCTGTCGTTCGCCTTTGGAGTTTGGTTCGGTGCCGATGGGGAGTAAGGAAGCGGAGGTGTATTGTAAACGGGAACTGCAGAAGGGCGGGCTCGGTAGAAACGTTGGGTATATTCAGCCCCGTTGACGTCGACTACAACTACAGCTCCGCCAGCGATGTATGCAAACGAAGAACGTACGGTATCAAAACCTGTGGGATCGGCACAGGTGGTACCGACAACGCGCTTCAGAGAAAGGCGAGGATCTATAGAAGCTTTGCTGCGATGAGGCGATCGAATAGAGTGTGGAATAAAAGGTGAATTTGACGGAGTCAATTTCAGCCGGTTTGAAGGAGTGGATGCCATCTTCTTGCCATTGATTTTCCTAGAATGCTATATAGGGCTGACAATAAGTTCGGTTCAGTAACCGTCTTCTCCTTTTTCTTCTTTCAAGTAATATTGATGGTGCTGGAAATTTCTATGCGGTGAGGTGTCATGGGGGGAGAGGGCCTTGTGGATAAGGAAAATATGAGATGGCGCAGATAGCTAACAGCTAACAGCACACACACAGATAGATAGTCTAAAACAGAGACAGTAAGGAGGAAAGAAAAAAAAGTGTTTCTATTATTCCTTGGCGAAGGGGAATAGATAAGGGATATATTATTAGGAAAGGCGAGGGAAAGTTGAAAGGGTCAAATGCTATAACAATGTCAATTGGAAGTTACACGGCGAGTCATTATCACTCATGACTTACAGTGACGTGAAAAGAAAACAGCTGAGGAAGTCTTTTTAGGGCTGCATGTAGGTAAAACTGAGATAACTGGGATAGAAAGACGGAGACGGAACAAAGCCAACGAAGCACCGTATTCTGTATTAGCGTATTAAGTGTCCTATAAAGTCCGACAACTTGGCACCTAGTGTCAAGAGCGTCTTTAAGGAATGATGACCATTGATGCAGGTCGGTCCTTTCAAAAATAAGTCGGACCTCTAGTGATTGGAAGATGGGAAATATGAGGTGTGAAGGTGAGAATTTTGGGTCTTGAACATACAAAAAAGCATACAAAGTGGAAACCCAACCCCCGACCTTTCTTTAATGTGGATTTATTAGGTTGTCTTTTTTCACAGCTCAGCAAGAGCGAGTCGACTGGGGTTAATGCTAACGGGGAGAAACCGAGAAACCGAGAAGGTAATATGATTGGCTTGTTCCTGAATTTTTGCGGATCATCTAACTACTTTTGGTGTGACGAGTTCCCTAAGAGGTCGCAATATGTACGTACCATTGTTCGCCTAATCCGCATAGAGCTCCGTGAGGCTGCAAGTCGACAGGGGTATCACATTGACTTCATTCATGTGTTGCACTCTTTTTTCTTTTTTCTTTCCTTTTGGCCAAAGCTACCAACCTACCTACCTACCTTACTTGTCCTAACAATAGGTATTCCTTTGTATGCTTTATAAATAGGTCTTCGTATATTACAATTACACAATATGTCGACATATCCTAAGAATAGAATATATCCAAGTCGGAACTTGCTCGAGTAAAAAGTGCCCGGTTTCTAGAATAAGAGACCGTTATCGTGTAACTTACGGATCCGTACATGTCTCGTGGTACCAGGATGCCAACCTTTAGGTAGGTACGGATTAGACCACGTTCGGCAATGCACCAATGCAGCAACGCACGGCTGCAAATAGATCCAACAGATGAAGTAGGAAATGACAAGGGCCCCATGAAGGTCCCCGAGTTTTGGTAGCAATGTCACCCGTTTTAAGTAAGCTTTTCGATGCCACCATCCGCTTAAGCAATGCAGATGCACACACACCTTCAACAATATGAATATCATAGCAAATAATCCGTACGGAAATTTTAACTCTCAAAGTTAGTGGCATCTTAGGATTCAATCACTAATTGCTTGACAGTTCTTAGTTCTTTATGTTCATATTTCTATACCTTTACGTAACGGGATCTTAATAGTAGCCTATGCACTTGTAATCCGTCAAAGTAACGCAGTATAATAAACTGATTTTTATCCCACGTTATTATCATGCAGGCTTTCGACTAGTTATCCTCAGATATCTTAGAAAGGTATTCACAGCTGACTGGCAACTACACATAAGAAATGGGGGATGCATTGATGATCTGCTCTTTGTGCATGATAATCACTTACATAGGTAGGCATTGTCTATTCTTTGCATAATGCATAGAGATTTACAATCCACCAGCCCCATTGTCAAAATGGAGCATCCGAATAAATCTTTGGGAATGGTGGGCATCCAATAGACTGCCAAATCTCAGTGCGAAGATCTTAATGTTTATACAGCAAACAATACGAAAAGATAATGGCCCATGCTGTAGTAACTGTCTTTTTAACGGCGTTCTAGGCATACATATCTTAATGTGAATGTTTTATGGATTAGGTATTTTGATATGGTACTTCCCACCTCCACCCCAATCCAAGCATTCACGATGCGACCGTAGGTCATATAGAGTCCTCACTATAGAATAATTCGAATGCGAGCTAAGTTTCCATTATAGAGTGGCGTAATATACGGGTATTCCCATCCCTCAAGCAAGGTAATTACTCCAACCCTCTATACTTCCTCGACTGCCTTGGAGGCTGCGTCCGCGGCCCCCTTGGCCTATTCCAGTAAGGATCTCTAACGATACCCTCGCGACGCCACTTGCGAGGCGGCTTCTTGCCCAGCGCAGCCATCTGGCTCCAGATGTTCTTGCCACGGTTGAACCAGCGCTGCGTGCGGTGCATCTCCTCCTCGGGGGTAGGCGTCCATTTAGTCCTGAGAATACGCCGGATGGCTTCCGGTGACACCATGAACTTATTCGCCAGCACCTCCGTCGTGTAGTCTTCCGGGAATTGCGCGTGCAGTGCCCGGATGCCTTCGAGGGCATCTGGCGACAGCCGCTTGCGCGGCCGCCAGCCCTCTGGAAATTTCGCCTTGAGGACTTCTTTTTGTATCTGCCATGGTTCCTTCTTAATGGGCCGCGGCGTATCGAATGCCGTCTTAGGCTCGTCTTTCATAATCTTCAGTCTCTTCAACCTCTTGGTCTCGACGGGTGGTGCAGAGTCTGATTTCGACTCGCCACGGGCGTCAGACTCGGCATGTTTGTTTCGCCGACCACGGGTCTCGGTTTTTGGCTTGTCTAGGTTGGAAACGAGGGCGTCGATAGATTCAGGGGTGAAGTCAAGGATTGCACCTTTACTTTTCGCCCGATCTAAAATGTCTGCAGAGACATTAAGCACTGGTACATCGGGCTCCTCTACCGTAGCATCGTCCGAATGTTTTTGTTGTGTGATTTCCGAGATTTTATCGGCGTCTAGTGAATTCGAAGCTCGTCCCTGTAATATTTGTCGTGGGAATTGTAAGGCCGCGGTGACACTATAAGGTCTGGCAAAGGCGAACTGCGACTGAAAGTTGCTGGCTCTCGAATATCGTGGTTGGATTTGCCTAGCAGAATTAGATAGTCGAAGTTCCGTGAGGCTTTGTACGAAAATCTTCAAAGACGTCGTGCGACACGAGCAACTCATCATATTCCCCCGGTGCTGAATGGTTAGTTGCGGCGAGGGGATAGATAGAAGGCTAAGGTGAAAGATTGAATATTTTTTTTTCTTGGTTTGCCTTCTACAGTAAAGTTAGAAATTATTCTGCAGGGCTCCGAAAGCACGGACCTTTCCGCATACAAGATCCATTTATTTTAAGGTTATGTGGGTACTGTGGGGAGAGGAAATATATGGTACATAGGTACATACTTGACTCGTCCCCCTTTACTCAACAACGTCAGGCTGGATACCTAGGTAAGTAGGTAGCTATGATGTTGATGATGGGATTTTGCTTTTGTTGTGGCGGTTATACTCATATACATAAGCAATAGCATAGGTATGTATAAAGAAATTACTAATCTTCGACTAGCATTAAGAAACTTTAACCCATAACCAGCGAGTTCGATAAGTCAAGTCAGGTCAAATAACCATATAGACTTGATCGCCTATAAGTCAGATCAAATATATTAGCTTATAAGGCTTACATATCATCAAAAATATGCCTAAGGTTTACCTAAGGATGTTGTGTGTTGTGTTGAATGCGAGTAAAAAGTTCCTATTTAGGACACATGCCTTGCTACCTTACAGATGATTTTCTTGCCTTATAGAAAACAGTAAAAGATGAACAGGTCTGCATATGCATGTTTAAGACTTCTTTATTACTCAGCTCTCGAAGGTGCTGAAAGTAGTTTCCAGCCGTGTAATAGCAGTAAATCCGGGCTATCGCAGGGGTACCCTCCAGTTTAATAGGGGGTAGGTCGCTAATATGTAATAATAAAAAGAAATAGTATAGAAATATAGTGCGGTGTAAACCTTAGGCTTTTGTGTTGCCCGGGGGGTGACCTCTAGTATACGTACATCCTCAATGTACGTACTTGCTACACAACTAAAAAATATTTACGATCTACCCAAGCCACCAGGTCAGGTGGTGTCCAAGTCAGCTCAAGCTATTAATTGACTCGTCGAACTCGCTGCCCATGACATTATTCTCGACATCAATACTATAGCTTCGTTGGACGATATCAATATACTAGATCAGATACTTCAAAAGGATTCTGGTTCTAAAGTCTATATCGATATCAACACAAGCTATTCATAATTATTGCTCGTATTGATAATTCATCTTGATATCTTTGTTGTCTTACAAGGCCAAATATTCCAATTTCTTGATCTAGATAACAATAATCATTATATCTTAGCCAGGTAGACCAGACCTATCATGATGGTTGCAAGCAATAACTACGGCTGGCGAAAATGTTGGGATCTCAAAATCAACTGGACACCAGAGCATCTTACAGCAGAAGATTTGGAACCTTTGATACATACGTACGACGCTGTTTCCACAGAGGCCGTCGAGAAGTTAAATGAGATCTGGTCCTTGTCTTGCAAAACAAACCCTTCTGAGAACGCAGATAGTCCAACAGGGAAAAAGAAAGCCAGACAAGACCTCTATGAACTGCTTCAAGAGCACGCTTTTACCGATGACAAAATTGGCAAATTATGGAATGAGATCAATACCATTCCAGATTGGGTCGACTGGGAGCAGATAGAAAGAGGACAGAAGGTGTTTTATCGCTATGGAGGGCCAGCCATAACAGCCGTGAGTCGAAAATTTCTTCAGTTGATCAAACGCTTGTTGATATACAGGTATAGTTGACATTCCTATCTCTCTTGGGCGGATTGGGAAGTGGACGAACTGTCGAGACTCTCGACCGTACTGGAGGTTTCGGTGTGGACGTCGTCAGACGGCGCTTGCTAGAAACCATACAGCATACACTAAACGTAACACGCAACCTAGAATCTATAAAACCGGGCGGCGATGGTTTTGCAGATTCGGTTAGAGTTCGACTGCTCCACGCGGCAGTACGCCGGCGTATCATGCAGATGGCTGAGAAGGAGCCTAGGTACTACGACATGAAGATGTACGGCGTACCGATCAACGACCTCGACTGTATCGGCACTATCTGTGCTTTCTCGTCGACCCTGATATGGATGGGCCTTCCACGGCAAGGCATATGGCTACGGAAACAGGAAATTGCCGATTACCTCGCGCTCTGGCGCTACGTGGCTTATCTCATGGGCACGCCTCACGACTGGATGTCCACGCCAGAGTCAGCGCGGCGCATGATAGAGTCGCTGTTGGTGGCAGAAATCAAGCCTAGCAAGGCGTCTGCAAACCTCGCCAACAACATCATCTCCGGGCTTCAGGACCAACCGCCGACATATGCCCCGAGGGGATTCCTGTGTGCCCAGACGTACTGGCTCAACGGACGCGAGTTGTCAAAGGAGCTAGGGGTTGAGGAGCCGAGCTTATACTACACCGCCCTCGTGGCTGGGCAGTGCATTCTATTTGCGACGTTTGGTTATATCAACCGAAGTGTTAGCTATCTAGACGAACGGAACATCAAGGTGAGTTGGCCTACAAATGTACACTGAAAGTTCACTCCAGTCCCGTGACGGGGGCTGTGTCCTCGTAGTCCCACTTCGCTTCCCACCATCCGAGTCATCATAGCTATAGCAAATCCACGCTGTTCAAGTGGACAATGCTTTCCTCGATGTCATCCTTCTACGGCAGGGATGTATGCGATCAAGTGATCTGCGCCTCCGCACCGCTTATCTCTCCACGTATCCCCCTTATCCCGCGTATCTGCGTTGATGACCGCGATAGACGCTGCTCACTAACCAATAAACACTTTTGATACTGTAGCTATTCCGTAAGGCTCTGTACAAAGTACTACTACAGGACAAATCTGAAGGCGCGCTGGGCTACACGGCCAAGTTTAACTTCAAGTACATGCCTTCATTCAACCGGACGACAACCGTGCGTGGTCCGGCGCCGGCGCAAGAAGGGAGGCTGAGGGTGCCGGGAAGAATCGAACGCGTGGCACTGATCTCGCTACTTACTTTCGCTGCCGTCGTCTATATTGTTTCTTCGTGGTGCTATGCTAAGGCCGTGAGATGGATGGATTAGGTACTTGTTAGATGAGTCGTATTTCGTTAACTGGTAAGGTAAGCCACGTATAGATACGGGATAATAAGCACCTCTATTCCTCTAAATATCTTTTTGGCATGGCGTTGCCCTTTAGGCATTTTGTGTATTGTCGGGTCAACCTTGTGGTCATCGGCTTTGGTCCGGGATCTTACTCTGACTTGAAGGATTCAGCGCGAAATGAAAACGATTTGATGCGTATTATATTCGAATCCTACGGGTAGAGCCGCAAAGGCTTGTGAGTGTGCATGATCTGTCTACGAAAGTAATGGTTAAGGAATCTTACAATGTTTCTGACATTGATAAACACATATGTGCACCCAATATTGGTACTAGGCTAGTTGGTGAGCTCTAATGAATATTGTATAGTATGAATGCGCTTTCAACCCCTTTTGCATTTCTCGCCTTGGAGATCTACCCTCTATAGACAGCTAATATAATCTGTCCCACCAACGTGCTCATTACTCGACATACCAATGCTATGCCCTATCGTAGGCGATGTTATGCTGCGGTGAATGTGGATATCGACCCAGACTCTAGACTCAAGACCCAATAACTACCTGCCCTTCCGTAACGCCATACTACCGGAACTGCAAGGGAAATATACTCGTTTTCAACCCCTACCCAACTACAAGTTATATGCAACAGATTTCTTATTCCATAAGCTCAACAGGCGGCCGGGCTGTATGCGTCTTTATCGGAGGCGTATTTCCACCTAGACTAGGTCCTAATTCTGTAGGTTCATCTGTCATATCGTCCACCGAAATAGCTGGTAGATTCGGACTGCCACCATGCTCATCAGGATGGTAGATCAAGGTACTACTCCTGCTCCTGCTCTTAAATGTGGTAGGCCCAGACTCTACCGGAGAGGTCGGAGAAAGGTCTGCGGGAGCTGCTTGGTGACGTAATTTCGCTAAAGCCTCCGCTAAGTCGTCGGCGTGAACTTGCTTGTTCGGCGCATCCTCCAATTTCATCTCCCAGCCGTGAGGCGGTGAGGGAGGCGGGCTGATAAAAAATAACTTGCCGGCATCGGGAAGCTGCAGCCGGTCGTCCTTGTGGAGATCAAGAGGAGTAGGTTGTCCGAAGTATACTCGGCACCGCTCGCCCATGATTGCCTCGCCGTCCCATACTGACCGTACCCTGATAGCAGCCTGCTCGTCGAAGAAAGATACTATTATACGGCGGAATGATTTTAATGGTGACCACGTATATATCGGTGCGGTCCCTTGAATAAGCTCACGAAGCGTTTGTAGGTTGTCAGGGCGGAATATTTCAGTGTCGTTTAAGTTGGTGATAAGTAGGGTGTTTGTGGGTGGCGTTGGTTGCGTTAATGGCGGTAAGCTGGAGAAATCTAGAGATAGAGATCTAGATGACCCACGCCGCTCCATGAGGGGCCGCGCCGGCGAGGAGGGGATAGAAGTCGGTGATTGAGACCCGGACATGCTTCTTGTGATAATCTCCAAACGCTGCTTGGTTTGAATATAGAACAGAGAGTTCGTTCGATTCGCGAATGTCGAAGGTTAGCGAGATAGTCGCTGAAATATATAATTCTCTTGTAAATGAAGGATTCTCGGTGTAATGTATTGAGTTTTCTTGTGAGAGGTTGTTGTAAGAAGGGAAACGAAAGGGAAATAGGAGGAGGTGTAGTGGAATATGTATGGGATCTCGGTAGTGGCTGCGCAAGTTACCTAGAAGCGGTGGAATTGAGTTAATGCTACCTAAGTTAAGTGGTTCAGTGGTAGATTCTCGGGTCGTTTGGAATTTGGGCGAAAGAGACGCTGAGCCGCCTCAGTGGATTACTAGGTTTACAGTGCCACGCAGTCAAACCTTGATATCCCTCCCTTACCCCACCCCATGTCTAGCGCCAGCCCGTACTAGCCTATTAAATTGACTTAGTTATCTTGGCTCAGCGGCTTTCCGGTGCTTGTGCACTACAGGTACCTAATGCATTGTACATACACTACGGATTACCTAGGTACATACGTAGTGACAGGGGGCGGCTATGTATGCATCGTTTACATACACTAGTAGTAGACCTATATAGGCGTGTATCCACCACCGACCGCAGCGTCGTATGGATCATCTCAACGCGTATGTGCAATACGTATCACTGGGTAAGGTCAAAGGGTTTAGATATCGTCAACCTCACAGCCTAGGTGTCTGTTAGCATTCTCCAATGCTGCTAAGCCATTACCATAGCGTTGGATACCCAAGTAAGTTTCGTAAAGCACGGCTACGAGAGTCAACCTTATTAACAAGGGATACTTACCCATCGCCTTTCTAATAGTTAAGTGTTGTGTAAGAAAGAATTTGTACTCCAATCCGTACCCTATTAGTTGGCCACGAATAAACATCCCATAAGCCTCGCTAATATTCAAATCTAACAACGCATTGAGTACGGTAACCTTGTGGTATCTTGGCTGGAGATTAATATGAATTTCATGTGATGAATTAACTATTCGGGCGATGTAAGTAACTCCCCGACATCTAAAGGCGTAAACGTAACTTCAATCAATACAACTTACTAGCAGCGGCAAAGCATGATGCTCGCCTCGGGACTCATATCCCTAGGTTAGGTAATTAATTTATAGGCAAGTAGTATGCATATGGGACAATTAGATTTTGGAGGAATATAATGCAGGTACTGCTCGGGAATTCCTCTTACACAGCAGAGGCTTTTCGGCTTAGGTACCCTTGTATGCCTGCAGTACTACATCGTGACTGTACAGCCATAGTCACTTGTCCGCCTGTTGTGATCGTCAACTAACGTTAGGCGAAACAAATAAATTCTATATCAACGTCTCAGACATTGATTCAGCATTACCAAATGACATAGTTTATTTGTCTGCTTACCTACCTAGGTAGTTATCTGGAATCATGTTGTTGGACAGTGCTCATGCAATGCCGTCAATAGTGGAGAGCAAAACCACCACCGCACGATAAGTCCTATACAGGAGGTTGGCTACGTCCAGGGCCTACCTAGGCGCTAATGTCATGTATGTATTGAAATTTAATGAAGGATCGCGAGTATGTAAACGCAAGTAAACAGCCATAGATGCCTCGGTTACTTACATTGAAGTAAATGCAAGTTTGAATTGCAAAAGCGAAAATGAAGCGAAAAACGGCTTTTGCATAGCCTCATTGTACATACATACACTAGGTGCAGGTGGCCTCTCCCCCACGGACAACCTTACCTTCCATTCCGAAAAACACATCGGGGCAGAACCTTAAAGGCCGAGACCGTTTAGCTTAGATCGGCACCACAAATGTGGCGCAACCCCGGCTTTCCGTTCCAGATTCCAGAATGGTGGCTGAATTCTTGTGTCACTGGTTCCCTCCTTCGTAAGCCACCACGTGACAATATCACGATTCGGGTTCTCCGACATCCTCGTTTAATGCCTATCACCTCGTTTCAATTAAGATTTTTATTCACGTACTTTTAATACCTTGCACTAATACAGGTATCAATCTGGTTTGCATGGTTAAACCAGATTGTCGAGTCTATCCTTCGTGGTTCTGGTTTCGTAAGTCACGGGTTATCGATAGAAAACTTACAAATATCTTAAACTGAATGTATCATTTATACCATCCAAGTCAGCAATCCAAGTCAGCAGTTAGCCTAGCCGCAATAGAGTCGGTGTAGGCGTGGGAGTATCGGAGATCCCATTAAATCAAATCCGGTAAGGGAGTTCTGCTTTCGATCTCACTTACTTGGTAGGTAGGGTATTGAAGTATATCTTATTGTGTTTGTCTTTCCTCGAACGACTTGAAATGAGCACACAAAATGACATACCTATGTCTTGGAAAACTTAGTCAGCATCTCGAAGAAAGGGGGACAAAGAAATCTTTAAACCAAATCGGCGCTCTACTTGAACGAATGTCGAGGACGACGATATTGCCATCCAGCGCAATTCAGATATGCCCACTTCGACATGGTATCTATTGAATTTATTTTCCGCTGTACAATGAGCGTTCCAATATCCTCCAGAAAGGAACAACTCTTACCAATGATAAGCAATACTATCAAGATAATGGGGATTTACTTCGCATCACTAGGTACTTTAGCTACCAGAAGATGGCCTCGAGAAGGTGGTTATGACCTTAACGATTCCAAAATTGGGAGTAGGTTATGCCTTGAGATGACCAGAACGTGTTGATTGACCCTGAACCGGACTTGGCACTGTCTCCAAATAGAATTAGCAAATGAGACCAGTCATTGTGCTGAGATAGAAAGGGGGGGTTGTGTGTGAATCGCCAATCATATAGCACTCAACTCGATATCTCGGAAATATTAACGCGCCGATCGCGGGGTTTTGTCAGTCTACATATCACAGCCTTGTTAACTTTAGGTAAAATGAGCAAATTTCAGCTGATTCATCCCTACCTAGGTAGTTATCTAGACTCTAAAGACGGCTCTACTCCGTACCGTTAACTCGTCCTCACCTAATCCATCGGAGCGTGAACACAAATATCTAGAGCGAAAAAGAAAAACGCGTTACAACAATGTCCGGCCTCGAAGCTTTAGGCGTTGCTTGCAACATAATGCAAGTGATTAGCTTTGCCCACGAGACGATCAATTTCTGTAAAGAAATATATCAAGGTCGATCCTTCAACGAATACAACCAGCAGAGCGTCGTATCACTCGTGGAACTCTCAGCTCAACTGCAAACGCACTTTCAGCAAGCGAAGTCACAATCAGCCAAAGAGAAGCGGCTTTCTGACATTGCCCAGAAGTGCAATGTTGCAGCTCGTGCGCTCGAAGATGAAGTCAAGTTCCTTACGTCTCACCATGCAAAAGGTAATCTTGCGGCGACTATAAAAACTGCGGTGAAGGCAAATTGGAGGAAGAATCGGCTGGAGAGACTGGAGAAATCACTCGAAAATTACCAGAATACAATGGAGTCCCATTTACTAGCTCGAGTATGGTAGGTACTTGATTCATCCATATTGATAGCGGCGAGAATTAAAGATTACAAGCACACAGGGCGATGCTATTGAGATCCAACAGAGCCAAGGATTCGAGAAGCTAGGCAAAGATGTCCAATATTTTACGTCTCAGTATGCCGCTGGCCATACAAGAATTGTCGACCTTATCAAGACAGAGCTAGTCTTGGTCAGAGCCGAGGCGGTTAAAGCGACCCTGCAATCCGAGGAGTCAATAAAAATGCATGTCACATCGACAACAAACAACCTTATCCAGAGAATGGACCAATGCACGATCGAATCGAATGTAAAATCTTCGACTAAGGAACAGCAAGACCGGTTTCTCAACAGTCTCAGATATGAAGGCATGAATCAGAGGAAGAATGACATAACTAGCTCATTAAAGGATACCTTCCAATGGATTTTCGACTCGGACTGTGGTGAAACCCCTATACAATTATGGGACAACTTTGGAGACTGGCTCAAGTCTGATAGTAATATATACTGGTAATGGTCTCTACTTCTGATGGGATGAGTTGAATACCGATTCTAACACGGATTAGGATTGCTGGTAAACCTGGCTCTGGAAAAAGCACACTGATGAAGTATCTCTTGAAAAGCCCCTCTACAAAAGCGGCATTAAAGATATGGAACACAGACCCTATCATATTGTCTCATTTTCTCTGGAAACCGGGCTTTAAAATGCAGAAGAGTGTCAAGGGGTTTCTTTGCTCCATCCTTCACCAGGCTCTTCTCTCCGACAGGATATCTCTAGCTCTAGGCTCGATCCTAGAAACCTCCAAGCCCTTGCTACTAAAACAAGAGGCTGCTGATTGGGACGTTGAAGAACTGAAAGATCTCTCTTTCACAATATTGGGTAGCGATATGTTCCCAGTGTGCATATTCCTCGATGGGTTAGACGAAATATGCGAAGAAGACGGGCCGTTTTCGCTATTGAAATTGATCGATGACCTAAGGACAAACCGCAAAGTCAAAATATGTGTTTCCAGTCGTCCCGAACCGGTGCTTCAGTATAACCTATGCAGACACCAACAACTGAGATTGCATGACTTGACACGTAATGACATGAAGAAGTTTGCAGCTGCGCAAGTGCGGCCGTATGTGAACCGTGGTATGATAACCAAATCCTTCGGATCAGAAATCACAAGTTCTCTTATCGAGAAAGCAGAAGGCGTATTTCTCTGGCTTCACTTGGCATCACGAAGCTTGATTGGAGGAATAGAGAACGGCGATACAGAAGACATTCTCATGCAGCGACTTGAGGAGATGCCTAATGAACTGATGAAACTCTACTCAGACATGTGGAAACGAGTGAATGGAGACTCCAAAATCTACCGGGAAGCTGCAGCTCGATATTTTAATTTGCTTATTTTGGACAGCAAATTTAGGGAAAAATATGGTTATTCGTCTGATTTTCGAATACGCTTTTTCCAATTAATGGGTGCGACACAGACCAAACTCCAAGATATCATCCTCGAGAAACAAAGCTCCGTTAGCGTGGCGACTTTGGAACAGACTTGGGCTGTATCTGTAAAAGATATACAAGTTCGGTGTGCGGGCCTCCTGGAGGTAAATTATAGATGGGATGATTGTGAATTCTGGGAAGTACGCGACCCGAATCATTACGAATTTATCCGAGTACAACAAGGGAACCCGTGGGTACAATTCATTCATCGAACGGCCTATGATTTTATAACAGACACCGAAGAGGGCCATCGTATTCGCGCGTATGACTCTTCCTCATCGGAAAAACTATATATCCAGCTCGTCAAAGGTCATCTCATCATGGCGAAATTTCTTCGGGGTCATAATGAAGCCCTTGAAGATGTGTTGAGGTATCTATCTGAAATAAAAGACTTAAGTCTACAACCACGCATCTATGAAATTCTGCGACACGTATGGGCCTGGTATCACGAACGTAATTACCGAATTGCTGGAGAGGATTCTTCCGATTCATTCTGCACTGGGCCTCATTTTTTAGCTCTTCTAACTGAATCTATATATCGAAACTTCATTTTATCTACCATCAAGGGATCATCAAATCCATCATCATTAGCCACACACGTTTTGAGAAACATTCACTTTTCGATTACTCGCGGAGATTCTGCGTTAATCGAGAGGCTTGATTGTTTCCTAGAATCACTCCTTGCTCTAGGGGCAGATGCAACGTCCCGAGGGCCTCGTATAAAACTACGCGAGCGAGAAGAATCGGGGAAGGAGCCAGTGCCATTTGTCAGTCCATTTGCGAGTTTCATAATCAAACTCTTCGACTACCATAATATCTGGCCTGAGCCTACAGTCAGGCTCTTAGAGACGTTCATGAACGTTAACCCTGACCTGCAAGAGCGCGTACCACTAATTGTTGAGTTTTTTAATAATAGCTTCAGAATTCAAGAACACAGCAATTATGTTGATACCGATGACTTCTTCTTCTTCTTCAGATTGCCTGTATCCCAGGACTATGAGCTGCTGCACTTGGGCGCATCTCATATTATGAGCGATGGAGTGTCAATACTCTTGAATATTAGTGTTGGATTTCTCCTCGATGCTCTTCTTATGAGAGGTCTCCCTTTAGAGACAGGTTTGAGGGACGGGCAAGCATCAAGATGCCAATCAGCCCAATTAGTACTTATATATGTTAACGGACTTCAATATATTGAAGGGGGTAACTCAATATCCCGTGCTCGCTTCCGACCGATAGACGTAAAGGTCACAGAGCGCCTATTGTCTTTGCTGCTGCAGTTCTTATGTGGTACAGATCTATCATCCGACAGACTTGAAGAATGTACTAAAGTTATTCGGGATATCTGCGACAGATCGCCAAATTATGAAGTAGTACACGAATCTGGTAGAAGCCTCCTGGCCGAGGAAGATTGCGGCTATCGCTACGAAGGACCTGAGGACAATCATTTTATGGGGGATGAATGGACAGAACATTGGCCTGAGGTATGTAGCGATATAAGTAGTTGTGCGGAGGAGAGCGACGTTGGTTCATTATGAGATCGGCCAGTGAAGGCTTCGCTTGTCTTAACTGCTTGAAAAGGGTTTAAGAAAGTTTAGTGAGTAATATATCTATAATATCTCATTACCCAGCACCTTGAAAGTTTATCGGACTAGAAATTAAGTTTAAAATTGAATAGGATGTTAGGTAATGGTGAAATGGCCGCACGACGCACGTTATAGCAAGAATAATTACAATATTTATATCGAAAAATAAAAAGAATTTATTAAGGTACTTAATTCATTAATAATAACTTTTAACTTTTAAATAACCCATTACCATTTTTAATAATTAATAACTTTTAAACAATAAAAGACTTAATTTTTATTAATTATATTTATTAATAAAGCTTAACTTAATCGGTATATTATTTAAAAGAAAAATAAAAAAGAAATTACATATATGTTTTTAATACGAGGAATTAAACCTCGAACTCTTCGGTGAAAACGAGGTATAATAACTTATTAATCTTATATAAACATTTTACATTTTAACATTTTACCATAATAACCACCACTTATTTTTAATTAATTGTAAAAATTTTAATTTATAATTAAATAAAAAATAAAAGTTATTATTATAATTTATTATTTTTAAAAATTAATATTTAATATATTATCCGTATATTTAACATATAATTAAAAAATAAAATTTTATTAATTTAATTAACTTTTTAATAAAAATAAAATTTATTATTTTTTACACTTTTTTAATTAACTTTATAACGTATATAATATCGTTTTTATTTTATTTTAAATATTAAAATTAAAAATTTAATTTATATATTTTTTTTTTAAAACTTTTTAAACGTGTTTAATAAATATTAAATTAAATAAATATAAAAATTATTTAATTATATAAATACCGTACTTTTTTAATTAATTTTTAATGGTTTTAAACTTATAAATAAACGCGTTATTTTAAATAAAAAAGTTTTTAAATTTATAAAAAAATAAAAAACTTTTTATAAAACATTTTACGGTAAAATTTTAATAATATACCGTTTTATTATAATTTAAAATCTTTTTTATATACGATTAATTAATTAACTTTTTTTTTATTAAAACGTAATTAAATTATATTTTAAACTATTATTAAAATATTAAATTTTACGTATTTTTATTTATTTATTAAATTTTATTAATAACGTTTAAATAATAATTATATTATTTATTCGTTAAAATTAATTAAATTATTTTTAATAATAATTTCGTTTAAAAATAATGCTTATATAAAAATTTTAAACTTAACTTTAAAATAATATTTTTTAATAAATTTTCGTTTATAATAAGTATTTTTAAAAATAAATATAATATAATTTATAATTTACCATTTTTTTAAATATTTTATACGTAATTATTATTAAATTGTCGAATTATTAATTAATAAAATTATATAATTTTATATTTTTTAATACGTTATATAAAACTTTTAATAAATTAAAATATATAATTATTTATTTTTAAAACTTTTAATAATACGGTTTTTAATTTAACGTTTTTTAAAATAAAAAATGTAATTGTTTTTAAAACGTTTAATTTAATGCGTAACGGTTTAACGTTTACATTTAAACGTTTTATTAATAATAATTTTAATTACGTTTTTCGTTATAACTTTAATTATAATAACTTTAATTTTAAAAGTAAACTTTTAAATTTTACGGCGTTTATTACTTAATTTATAACCGTATTAACATAATTTAAATAATATTTAAATTTACAATTATTAATTAAAATTATTATATATATTATTATATAAATAAGAAATTAATGCGGGGAAGTAAAGCGTTTATATAAAATTAATAAGTTAATGTATGTTAACCGTTACATTATACCGGACTATTTAATAAATATTGCCAAAATGGAGAATAGTGAAGTCTTAATAACGTACTAAAGTAACCGAAGGCCTAACCTTTACGTTAATATAATTCTACTTTATAATCGGGAAAAGAAACAAGTAAGTAAGGTTTAAAATGTTGAAGTTATAACTTTCAAATAACGCCACACAAAAACACAGAAACACAGAACACGTCATATAAGAATTGGTGCTACCTAAAGGATGTGCTATATTCGTCAGTGGCGTACTGTAGGACAGGGCATTGTATAGTCACATGGAACTCCATTTATTTGGCTTGATTGCAATGCAATCATTGCATTGCAGAAGGGCGGACCACAAGTGCAGCACGGATATCTCCTTTAGAAAATCTTCAGCTGAAGCAGAATCAGCCCGGTTGTAAGTAGTCCCACAATTCATAACTAAAAGGCTATTAGAGGTAACGATACTACTTCCGTACAGTCAACCGGATATCCTTCCTCTAGATATATCAGACATTCCCGCCAAGAAGTTCGCAGAAGTCTTCCCATGAGCTAAGAAAGAAACACGGCTGACATGCAAGAAGCTATCAAATACGAAACTAGCTGAGATCACGGGCGGGATGTCAGATTGACCGCTTGACCAAAAGGTATCTTGTAATCACATAAATGTAGTTACTAAATATATGCGAGACGGGATCTCGGTATACATATATGGCTTCCCTTCTTGTATATTAAATAGACGGACATTGAACTCTTATATGATTTGAAAGGTCAAAATCCAATAAATCGTTTCTAGATACTGCTATCTATGTCCTTATTACTAGTCCTTTACAAGACCAACAACTTTGCACTATTTCTCTAGAGTTGTCACTAAGATGTCGACACTAAGCAGCAAGACCGATTTCGAATTACTTCTTGCAAAGTGTATCGGCCAGAGGGTTGAGATTCCGGATCTTTTCGTTCTTTGCCCGTGGGATTTGGAAGTATCCCCTCTAGACGAGAAACTAGAAAAAGAAGTAGAGCTATGGCAATTGAGGTAAGGCTAAGATACCCTAACTACTGACTCAGTTCTCTGACAATTAAGATGGATCAATGACCCAACGAGCTTGAAGCGTAACCGTATAGTCGACCCTTGCCTATTCGCACGGGGGATCGCACCCAAGGCAGCCTTTAATGAGCTAGTGACTGTTGCTAAGTACCAGGCTTGGGTGAGTTCAAGGAGCTGTTATCTGGGGAGCTTGTTTAGGCAAAGTTACTAACAAAGTGCTAGCTATATTACTGGGACGATGGTGGGATATTCAAAGTGTCAAAATTATTTATTATTACTCTGACCTTATCACAGCCTACGACTTTGGAGATTTCGATAACAAGTACGACGAGATTGTCGCCCACCAGAAGCAGACAATAGAGTTACTCCGCGAAAGTCTTTTCAATGAACACCCTAGCTCCATCGACCCTATCGCAATCGCTCCGGACTTTCCTACCGCGCAATCAATCCATGAATGGGGGGCTATAGTAAGCGAGAAGAGCGTATCTTGTAAGGCCGACTTAAACCGCAAGGAATAGTTGTGTTATTAACCTAGGTATATATCAGCCTCATTGAAGAACTGGGTTTTTAAAGTCCTTGTCGACTTTATCACGGCCGCATTGTACCTCCAGGACGAGTTTGATAAGAGAAATATCTTAGATCTCGAAACTTATAGGAAGATCCGCACGGACTCATCCGCGGCAATTCCTACTTTAGCAATGGTTTTGTAAGCCGCCATACACTCATCCAGGTTTTTAAGCTAATACCAGCTCAGGTTTGCCGATCAAGTCGCCTTCCCTTGTTGGTTCTTCGACCATAATCTCGTCCAGAAAGCTGCAGAGTTGTCTAACGTCATCGTCTGGGTGTAAGCGTCCTTGCATAGGTAATATGAATGCCAAGATGCATGATACTGACAATAAGCAGCACCAATGATATCGTGTCATCGCGACAAGAACTCGTAACTATATCATCCCTAATATATTATACTATACTAATAACAAGAAGCAATGCAAACATGTCGACAATCTTATACCTCTTCTTGTCCATCATCAAGGAATCACACCTCAAGAAGCCGTCGACGAAGCAAGCAGAATTGCACACCAGGCCTATCTGGATTTTGAGGCATTAGAGCCACAGCTGATGAAGCTTGGCGAAGATCGAAATGCTGTTTACGAAATGCAAAGATTTATTGCAAGTTGTAGACATTTATGCACAGGCATTTTTAATTGGAGGTAAGTGGCAGCGTTGTTGGTCTCAAATAAAAAGGGGTAAAAGGCTAATCGCGCGATAGCTATCATATCAAACGGTATGTTCATTGGGAACCTGGGATGGATCGTGCGAGTGTCTCTGCTGTACTTGGGGAGGACATACTAAGGTAATAAGCTCGATGTGTTCAACTGAGGCTGGTATGCATGGGAGATGTGCTATGTACGAACGTCCAACGAGGGGGTCACGTGAGAGTCACGGGACCCAGAAAGTGAATCATGAGTACGAGGTGTTGTTCACCCATGATTCATGATTCAATCAGAATGTATGAAGGGTATAATGAATATAAGAAGGGAGGATCTCCTTGTGTATCTAGTCATTTATTTTACAGTTATCAATCTAAGCCTGGGATCTAGGTACACATACTCAGGGGAAGGACTCCAAGCCTTCCTGACGAACACTTTAGTATTACTTATTTTACCACATTGACTCGTATTGTTACTGTTTACCCAAAATCAAGACTCAACCAGCATTATACTTTAAACGTACCTAAGTATAGGTTCGTCACAAGACAGAAGAAAAAAGTTGATTTACGACGTTAGCCCCAGTTTCTCTTTTTATATTAAGTAATAGAACTCTACGTGTCATGTAATCTAAAATAAATAACCGGAGTCTCTAAACTGCCTTTAAATTTCTAGGGTGAGGTAGGTATTCATTGACTGGAGATGTTTGGTTAGCAGATATTAGTAGTCATGCAAACTAGTTCAATGAATATTTACCTACCTAGGCATGGTGGCTATTTCCGATTATTTATGAATATCTCCAACGCCCATAAAGTCAAATACTGGTGTTTAATAGTTGGTGTGACGGCTGCCGTCTCCATTCCCGCTATATTTTTAGCATGGAATGTGAATGCCATCTTAGAGCGGTTCCAACTACGGGCTAAAAAGGACTCTACGGAAACATCGCCGACTACAAATGCAAGCAGTGTCCTAACATAAAAGAATACATCGAGATTTTATAGCGAGAGACTAAAGAGGAGGTGGCGGAGGCGTGACAATAATGTCCTCCCACAGCACGAGGGCCCCTAACCAGACGCTATGATCAGTTAGGTGTCTATATAAGTGATCTCTCAGTATATCGAATAAACCTCAAATTTTAACCCCGAGGTCTGTCCTCTCTTCCAAGAAGTTCCTGGTATATGCATATATCGAACGCCTTTAATACTTACATAGGTAGCGACCATACTCGCCAGCTAGAGTCCTTACCGGCATCTTCAACCCTACCTATTCCAATATGCGGATGCGCGGCAAGACATTTGTGCTCCCCTCAAATGCCTCTAAACGGGGATGTAATCGTGCCATGATTTTTCTCTCGTCGCTGTTGGAATGAGGCTCGGCCGGAGCACGCGCTATTATACGTTAGGTACTTAGAAACCCACTAATTTCCAAGCCTCTCGTGCAATACAAATTAATAACTCAATAAATAAAATATACATCAGAAGAGAGCTTGATTGAATGAGCAAAAAAAGTCCAGATCGGAGTGTGTGAAGATGTAAAAATGAAAAAGAAAATCGGCAAAAAAGGCAAAAAACATACAACACCGGGGATTCGCTGGTCGTCACCGACCCAACTACTAATCCGGCGGTATCCGGCTTGTCTAGGGGAGAGCGGACGGGATCCCGAATTTTCCAGATCCTATGGTCGTATGTGATTGTACATGCGTTTATTACGGTATATATGTATGTGGTCGTCTGTTGAGCGTATCGGCAACCCCTATATTTCTCCGGACCTAACCCCCCCAAGACCCTCAAGATTAGCCAACATGAAGATCAACACTAACTACACTGTGTGCATAATAGATCCATCATAATTGAGACATAGGTAATATGATGGCACAGACGAATCAAGGGATTTATACCGTATATTGAAATCCTTGCTCTTACGTAAGTACTGGCAAATTATATTCTTGACGTGATCTTGCCTGTCGCTACCGCTATAGCATCCCTTTTTATTTATTTATTTTTTTTCAACATCGGAGTGCAACTATATAATGCTACTTACTAGCCAGACTATCCTTCGATGATCTTAGGGAAGGAATTGCCACCGCCGAGACCCAGAGCACAGAATCCTAGCGAGTTACATCTGCCATCCTGTCGTCCGTCAGGGCAAGCGGTACGGGTGAATAGAGCGGTGGCTTTCCCAGCGACGTCACCGTCGTCGGCAGTATTATCATCACCAGTTGTGCCATTGGTAGTATATCAGACCGATTATGCTGCTTGCATAAGGCCTTAGCTTGGGTATTTTACTACAGGATGTATGAGGGTCAGGGTTTTGTGTTGGCGTAAGCGATGAAAACATAATACTGGCGAAGAGGCTAAGTTGCTGATATAATTAACTGAAAGGTCTAACATGTAGATATCCAGTCCTGATCATTAACACTATCTCACATAACACCTACATTACGTCTTGGTATCACTTAATGAGCTCAGTGGCGTTCAAGATACCAACAAACCAACCAGGCTTCGACGCAAATATGCAATTCATCGGGTTCCGCGGATATGTTTCCCTTTGTTGGTCCTTCTACCTCTTTCCAACCCCCGTCTCCATCCCAACCTTATTATCGCATACACTCCGATCATGAGCTCCAGAGAAACCGTACTCATTACGGGCTGCAGCGATGGCGAAATTGGCTCCCAATTAGCCATCGTCTTCCAAGAGCGCGGGTTTCACGTTTTGCTACAGCTCGCAATCCGCCCAAGATGTCCAAGCTCAGGGACCTGCCTAACGTGACGCTATTATTGACGCTTGATGTTGTCAAGCCAACTGGTATCAAGGCTGCCGTTGAAGCAGTCTCAAGGAAGACGGGTGGCACTTTGAATTACTTAATTAGTAATGCCGGACATAATCATTTCATGCCAATCCTAGACGAGGATCTAGACACAGTTAGAAACCTCTTTGACATCAATTCCATAGCTCCACTTGCTCTTACGCAAGCTTTTGCCCCTTTACTTATCAAGTCTAAGGGCATGGCTGTATATATTACCTCCATCGCTGGACACTAATATTCCATACATGGGTATGTTCTTTATTCTTTTCTCCGCTTCAACCCCCGTTGATAACTTACACAGATCCCAAAGGAACCTATGCGGCATCGAAGATGTCTTCGGAAATCGTAGCTGAAACCCTACGACTTGAATTAGCTCCCTTTGGTGTTGACATCCTCGAGATTGTTACGGGTGCTGTCAAAGCATTGGGACAGATGTATTTTGATGATTTTCAGCTTCCGGCGAACTCCCTCTATAAGAGCATTGAAGATACCATTGCCAATATAGCCCAAGGTAACGATGAAATTCCTAGGATGGAAACGCGGAAGTATGCCACTGCTGTTGTGGACGAGATTAAAAAACCGCACGACAGGCCGATTCTGGTATGGCTCTCACGCTGATACCGTTAAGATGAATACGGAAGCAATAGGGGTGTCTCAATCTGCTATAGTATGTCTGAAATCCCTTTTCTTCGTGTGTGTGCTAACCTAAAGTAGGACGCTAGAACTGCCATGGGAACTGGGCTTGATACACTGGGGAAGTAAAGTAATTACCTGACTGATAGGGGGCCGTTACACTACAAAATCAATATTATTTCGTCTGAGTTAACCGAGATAGTAGGATGATACGTTAAATGGCTTGGTATTAGATTGCGGACGACATGTCATCTCCTTCACAACGGCCTATAAAACTATCATCGCAGAGTTAACCGCCAGATTCATATAACTTCGGTTGGCCCTCTTCAAGCTCCTCCGCCCTCGCAAGGGGGAGTAATGGGGCTGAGTAATGACTGGTTGAGGAAGCCCGAGAAATCTACCTATCTAGATAGGTGGTATAGGCGGTGTGGTGCGGAACTTGCGATCGATGAAGGGGAATAGCCCGGTTTTGATCGACTTGAATAAGCGGTATGCATGCGTGCCGTGTTTACGTGCGCCGTAACTTTAGGAGACCGATTGTGAAGTGACATAGCAAAGCTGACGATGCTACGAGGCGCTTATGTCTAGTTTGCAACAGTTTAGATCTGATTGGCTATGGTTAGTATGTTCCGATGTCACCGTCGACTACCAATATACATATATTACTCATATGATATGCAAGTGCATTAGTATAGACGCCCAAAGGCTTGTGATATTCAGGGTGAGGAAACAATAGTAGGGTCGGTAGTTTGACTTTAACAGATAAGAGTTATTTGCCACATAATTAGTTCTCTGATATCAAGGCGAATACCGGGGGTATATTTTCTAGTCTATCCCCATGAGAGACGTAGTAGATGAGAGGATATCAACCTAACGTTTGCATGGGCCTACTATACATTTACATTTATCCTATTCGATCGACATGATTCCCATGTTCCACGCAGACTTCCAGGACCTCGTTAATGACGAGAGGATTCATCGTGTGTTGTTTCTGATTCTGATTGGGACTTACGTCTATAGTGAGGCCAAGTCATGGTGGAACGTAAGTGTTAAAAGTCGTACTCTGGATACTACAAGTCTAATCCATCGAAACAGAGTCTTCTACGCCCTTTATACGTGAAAATCACATCCACGCTCAGTGACTATGTTGGTTATTCCTATTTTAATACTCACCCCCATTACGAACACATATCGCTAATAATTCATAGCGATCTGGGAAGTTTTACAAGCCATGGGGACCAACTACGCCGATCGTTATTGTATCCACAAAGAAGCAGATTGCCGAGCTTAGCGAAGCACCATGCCTCTCTCAACGAGCCGTATATGCCGATGTAAGTCAACTTCATCTCTGGCATGAGTTTCTATGCAGGTCTGATTATGTAGATGTTCGGGTTTAAACACACTATGAACAAACTTGAACACAATACCAGTAACAACAAAGTTATTAGGACACGGCTATATAGTCGTCTTCTTCAAGTCAATGGGCCCGTCCACCTAGATGGTCTCTATCCTCATTTGCTCAATCGGTTCGATATTAATCTAGAAAGAGAGCTTCGCGGGGGGCGTGTCTTGAACGGTGAATCCCGAATCTTGGATATCCCTGAAGTCAGTATCATTCTAACGTGGAAACTAGGGGGCATTTCCTTGCCTATTGCGCAGACGGCCCGCCGGCTCGTTTCTAACCTTATGGGTCTTATGTTTTTCGGAGAGGCCCTATGTAGGTGGAATAGACGCGATATTACATCATGAAAAGGCTAAGTTAACGCTTCACATAGCTTCGGATGAAGAATTCTCCTCCGCGCTCTTGCGTTATCCCCAGGATATGGTGAAGTGTATGGCTGCCTTTCAGGTAGCACCATCGTTCATGTCACCGTATGTCAAATCCTCAGTTATTTTTACCCGTGTATGAAATGAGCCTCAAAATACTAATTCAATTAGGCTTGTCCATGCCGTCCTCACCAACCGCGGAGAGGCCATGCACCTGATCCAGAAAAGGCTTTTCCAGTGCATACAGTCTGGACTTTCAAACCAAAGCGAAGGCGATAAAATCCAACGTGTATGCCCCCCCCCCCCTAAAAGGGCGAACATTTGTTAATTGATATTCTCTTTAGCACACCATTCTTTATAATATAATTGCACTAACAAGCGGCAGCGAATATTGGAATGCAGACCTCCTCTCGCAGTCTCTTCTAGGGATTTGGTTTGCTGCCTCTCATCAGCCGTGGATGAATCTGCACTTCGTCATATTAGAATTATGTGCGCGCAAGGAATGGCAAAGCAAACTACGCCAAGAGATAGAGCAACACGTTCCGCTTGACTACAAAGATTTAGAGCAGTTGCCCCTTTTAGATGGCTTCATAAAGGAAACTGTTAGATGTAATCCTCTGGACACACGTATGAGCTGCCCTACGGAACCCCGTCCCAAGATTAAAGTATTAGGTACTAATACTGTTGATAGTCGCAATACGCAGAAAGGCGTTAGAACCTTACACTTTCTCAGATGGTTCCCTGTCTGTTCCCTCAGGGGCAACTGTTTGTGTATCATCATATGATCTTATGCATAACCCACAAACATATCCCGACCCAAATGCCTTCAACCCTAGTCGATATCTACCCAAAGAACCCAATAGCCAACAGCTGAAGTTTACTGAAGTCTCCGAGGCATACCCCATCTGGGGTTATGGGTCTCTTGCCTGGTAAGTGTTAAATCACTCTGCCTTGCACTTTCGCCTACTTATCTTCGATTTAGCCCTGGCCGGTTCCAAGCATCGTTAGCCATGAAGTTGGTCATATCACAGTTACTTCTAAAGTATGATCTAAGTCTTGAAAACAAGAATGCTAGGACTAAGTGGTCTTGGGAAACATTTGCTATGCCATATAAAAGCACCAGAGTCATCTTGAAGGAGCACGGTTTGTAGACTACACAGTTTGTATAAGTGGATGAGAACGGGTGTGGAATAAGAGTGCGCAAAGATACCTTTTTGTTTTGATGGTAGGCAGTTTAAATTATACGTGATAGCATACTTCCAGGAAGAGGCTATTCCAGAATATTAACATCAAGCCACTAGTTTGACATGAGGTATTTCCATCAGCTGAGTGGTTTTGTCCATTAGGAAATGAGTTGTATCTCATAATTACTCCAGAACTAGAGGCGAAGCTCGATGCTTGTGGCTCTTCCTCTGGTCAATGCCTATCAACCTTGATCCTGTCACGAGGTGGAACCAAACAGCATGGAAACAACTTCGTTGTTCCGCGAGGAACTCTAACCTATCTGGCGAGCCCGTGGCTCGTATATACATACATGTTCTTTGTCCTAGATGTCTCATCTAGAATCCTGACATATCCCCAATCTCCTATCTGAGCCAAATAGCCATACCAACAAATAGGCACCACTATCACAGCAGCAAGCAGGCATTCCCGAACCCTAAACTCTCATTTCCCCGTAGTTTCCACCTACCCAGTCGGAAGTTTTCTCTGATGTAGAAATCTACTCGTGCTATGCAATATGCAGTGCCTACAGAAGTAGCCACGCTTGACTAACAAGCCACGAAAGTAAATGTTGCTTAGTACAGAAGAGCCATTGGCAGTCTCGCGTGGAGACGCTGGAGTTCTGTGCAAATGCAAGTTTCCAATCAACAGATGGACTTCCTCCTGGGTTAGGCTTCGCCGCACTGAGAAGTGAGAGAGGGATTGAAGTATGCTGCCGTCATCATGAGAGCAGGCTATCGCCAGAATGACTAGAAGGGACCAGAGTTAGGTAGATTAGCTAGCTTAAGATTGAGATAGTAGTTACCCCCGACCCTCTATCCCCGAATTTCCACTCCGAGCTTTTCCACCAAAGCTTCGTTGACCTTGTTATGAAGATCGTTAGTTTCTTTATTGGTTAGAGTCCGTTCGAGGCTACGGTAGTTGATCCGGTAGCACATGCTCTTCCTCCCAGTCTTAGGGTGAGTAAACTGGTCTACTAGCCTGACATCCTCGACGTCATCTCCAGCCACGCTGCGTACGATTTCCATTACGTCGTTCTCATGGAAGTCGTGCGCGTTAGCTTTGGTATTGCCTCCAGCCGCGGATAACGGCCTCAGCCAGAATGATACGTCTTTAGCGCATATCGGGTACTTGGAAAAGGGCACGAAACGTTTTAGCGAACTCAAGTCGTCCGAAACACCCTTAAATTGGGTTAGAAAACGCTCGTCCTCTGACCAGAAGAGGCGAATGTCTGGTATCTGAAACAGTAGCATAGCAATCCTTTCGAGGCCGATGCCGAAAGCCCAGCCTAGTTGATTTGGTACACCTGCATTGATGTATATGTCTTGGTTAACTACACCGCAACCTAGTACTTCTAGCCAATCACCGCCGTAGTAAACTTCAAGCTCCCAGGAGGGACTTGTAAAAGGGAAGTATGCCTCGACCCATCGCACCTGGAGCGCTTCATCTGGGAAACTGAGGTCTGCCCTTTTGGCAGCTGCTTTGGCACGGGTGAAGATTTCGACGACCATGAGCTCCAGCGACCTCTTCAGATGGGCAGCGATAGCTTCGGCCTCGGACGGAGAGTGATGTGCCGTTTGCCGAGGATTCCTCTCGTCGTGGAAGGGTGGGTTTGGGTCCTCGACTTGGATATTGTGTTTCGGCAGTTTTTCTAGGTCCGCCCATATAGCCGCCGCAACATCCCCATTGGGTACTTTAGCGCGATCCCACGACCGCGCGCCCTCCATCTGGTGGAATATGGGGTAATGACTCTTATCAATTTCATCACGGCGGTAGACATCGGCACTGATCAAGTATCCTTCGCTCAGATTCGCCTGGAACACGTCCGCTTGATGGGCGCTCGTGTGCGTTCGTAGTAACGTATCGCTGTTGATATAGTACGTGTCTGATATAGCTCGACCGGGGTGGTCTTCTGGGAACCCTAGCGAATCGAAATTCTGGTAAGTTGTAACGACAGGGTTGAAGTCATTATGGTATTTGAAAGTCGGGGCCGGGAATACGGACTCGACGATCTGCCGGGTTATGTATATGGGATGGTCTTTTTGTAGGTGCAATCGGCGGGGGATTTTTTCAATAATGTTTTGAGGTACATTGAACCAACAATCTGTCTTATAGGTGGTGCCATTGATTGTGGTAGATGTGGTAGATGTTGTATTGGTTCGGCATTGAAGTATCGAGGTAACTGGGTGTAGCAATATAAGTGTTAGGGGAGCTGAACTTCATAAGCGAGTAAAAGCTCACCACATACCTCCCGACAGGCCTCTTTGACGATTTATTCGTCTTATAATATTAGAATTGAATCTATTTGCGCCGTCAGGAATTGCGCTAGCTGTTCCTCTTGCTCGAAGACATGATATAGTGAGCCGGTTTGCCCACATGGTTGCGCGTGGAGGGGCTGTTGGACGTTGTGGCCTAGAGGCTTGGAGCTAAGAGATTTTCGAAAAAGCTTTGACAAAATTTGGTTCAATGTTCCAGTCTTGCAGTCTTGCAGATCCGCGGGGCAACATGTACAATGTACCTAGGTAACTAGCATTGACACATGCAGCCAATAAACTTACAACGCTCTAAGGGAAGGCGCCATGAAGGCCGTATCAATTCATCGAAACATGAAGTTACCTCGATGTGAAGCTGCACTATGAGGTACAGTACATTTTAGGTAGGCAGATCCCATGTGCGCGAGGGATAGGCCCATTAGTGCATGGCTGCATGTAATTAGCTAATGTACATGTACCTAATGTAGGTACCGACGAACCCTTTCTGCTTGTAACACCTGAATTACCAATACTGAATTACCAATAATGATTCCACCTTTCCACCTTCTCGGGCGAAAAAGACCCGGACAAAAAATAAATACCGGTAAACCCGAGCACTGGCCCATGTTTTTTTTCTCTTGGCCTCTTATGTTTTTTCTTCGATGAATTCCTAGAAGTCATCCCATTGCCGTCAGGGCTTAGCCGCCAACTTTTCTTCCGAGCTACGGTCAGCTACACCGTTCTTTACTTACATATGGCTTGGGTTCGCTGCATTTGGTAGGTGAATTAAGTCCAGGGTTTCTTGTTAAACTACCAATTCCAATCCTTACTTTACGACGTACATACATTATACATACATACATACATACATACATACATACATACATACCCTGACTTACTATTACTCCTCCTCCCAACCCATTCTTACGGTATAGACGGGAAACAGGAGTGCTAAAATAGTAAGCAAGCCATAGGGATGCTGCTTTTCGTCCATTCATTCTTCGAGTTACGCCCCTGTCTAGTGTAACATTCCATTTCCAATCTTAAAGATGCAGTCCGTACCCCCTCTCCCTCCGACGACCTCCCATGAGCCGTCCGTCGCCGCTACACCCGCTTCCGCAGCGGCCGCCGTAGCCGCCGCCAATGCCAAGCCCAAAAATCTAGAAAAGAAGAAGGCTGCCCTAGCCCACGAGCGCATCTCCTATCCCTTCTGGTTCGGCGGGAGCGCAAGTAGTCTTGCCGCCTGCGTGACACATCCGCTCGATCTCGGTACGTTTTGCGATCAAGAAAAAAAAATTTCTTCCATATGTCCAAGCTTCTCGGCCCTACCGAGGTACTAGATCGGACCGGTATCCGCTAACGGATGACGTACATATATATAGTCAAGGTCCGGCTTCAATTGAGAACCGGCGATGCCCCCAAGAACATGAGCGGCACTTTCGTGCACATCGTACGGACGCAGGGTATCCTCGGGCTGTATAATGGCCTGTCGGCGTCGCTGCTCCGACAAATGACGTACTCGACCGTCCGTTTCGGCGTGTACGAAGAGCTCAAGGCCCACTTCACAGCAGATGGGCACAAGCCCTCGTTACCTTTACTCATTGGGCTTTCGACGTTCTCTGGTTTCCTAGGTGGAATATCCGGAAACGCCGCGGACGTAACCAACGTGCGCATGCAGCAGGACGCAGCGCTACCCGCAGCGCAGCGCCGGGGCTATAAGCACGGACTCGACGGTATGTTCCGCATGCTCCGCGAGGAGGGGGTCCGGAGTTGGTTCCGTGGGGTCCTACCGAACAGCACCCGCGCCGCGCTCATGAACGCCGGCCAACTGGCTAGCTACGACACGTTCAAGGGAATGCTGATAGCATACACGCCGCTGGGTGATACTACCACGACGCACTTCGCCAGCTCATTATTTGCCGGGTTCGTGGCTACTACGATATGCTCACCAGTCGACGTCATCAAGAGTCGAGTAATGAGCACGAGTCACAAGCAGGGGATTGCCCATCTGCTACGCGAGATCTATGCCAAGGAGGGCGCATCGTGGATGTTCAAGGGCTGGGTACCGGCCTTTTTAAGGTTAGGACCGTAAGTGTCGTCCTCGTCTAACTAAGCTTTCTCCCATCTTCATCGCTAACGATATCGACAGGCAAACGATATGTACATTTTTGTTCTTAGAAGCGCACCGCAAGGTATATAGGAAGTTCAAGGGGATTGAATGAGTATTCTTGCATAAAGATTTGGATGAGCCTCGATATAGCACCGATAGAGTGGATACGGATCTAGAGGTTATATTTAGAATGACGGCGTTTAGAGTCAAATCCTTGGCATTATCACAGGCGTTTAGGAAGCATTGGCAATTTTAGCTGTCGGTCAGTTTAGGGTATAATGCTTTCTATTGCGTGTATTATATGCGCTTGGGCTGGGTTTCCAGACACGCGCGTATATCTACCATATGGAGAACTGATTTTATGTGAAAATGCGCATGTCCACTTTCTCTAACCTGAGTATCCCCTAAACTCCGCGTGATGATACAATGCAACGCACCTAAATGGCGTCTCAAGAAAACCAACTTTCAGACTCGACCTCGAGGTGACTCAAAACCTCATATTGTACAGGGCAGGTTGTAAAGAACTGCTTTCTGAGAAAAGCGAGCTCATTAGGGGTATAAGGTGCTTAACTCCATCCATTAGAACCAGAGTTGCCGTAAGGTGTCGTTCCGTATGCCGTGGCTCCACCTCCCCAAGCACTAGCAGCCCCGGGATTACCGTAAGGGGTGCTATAGCCCTGCTCTAGATAGCCTGCGCCGGTATCCATCCCATCAGGGCTACGAGGGCCGTCGTAGTCGCCATTCATGCCTTCGCTTTCTCCAAGTCCGTGGATTAGACCGGCAAGTTTGCGCTGCAACTCCTTAACACCCTCCAAAATGATGGCATCGGATTGGATGTTCCCAATACCCTCAACCTCAAAGTAGAATCGCGACGGGACAGCATCGTAGTCGAAGGGTTGACCCTCAGCAGGCGGCTCCTCCATATCGGCATACTTGGACTTCGGCCTAGCAGTACAGTTAATTACTTGAAATAAATACAACAGGCGCTAGGATACCAACCACTCGGCCTCAGCATCTGTCTCGTACCACAAGTCCAGATGGTGGAGCTTGTTATGTGGATCGTATTCGAAGCCGATGGCAGAAGTAGGAGACCATTTAGCATGCTCTTTTGCGATACCCTTTTTCGCGATACAGTTGAGCTTCAACTCTTGGCCTTTGCGCAGCTTGCATATTAAAGAACCGAGTCCATCAGGGTCTGTGATGACAGGGTTGCCAATCTCGCTGTTAGGTCTGTTAAATCCAACAACTAGATCGCTAGCATACACCTTCATAACTTCGTCGCTCGTGCACTTTGCGTGTAGGGAGAGGGTTACACTGCATCTTTCGCAGTTCTGCTCGCAGTCGCAATCCCGTGAGTAGGACAGATTGTCAATTTCGCTGGAGTTTAGAGGAATTAAACCAAGGCGATGGCTGATAAATTCGTCGGCAAGGACGGATGTGTTGACTTCAATTTCGACAAGGTCAATAGCAATTGTTGGGACTTCGGCATGCATGACGCGTCGGAGGGAGTTCGCGAGAGATATGTCAACGTTACTCAACTCGAAATCAACGTGGTATCGGTCAGCCTAAGGAGAAGTATAATTAGGAATAAAGTCTTCTGAGCATGGCAATCGTGACATCTCATACAGCCGACACCTGAATCTTGGGTCCAAAATCCTCCTTGAAGTCACTATCCATCATAGTATCGTATTCCATCATGGCGACTGATGCAGCAAGAGCTGCGCGTAATGCTTAATAGTTAACTGATGACTGGGAGTCTTCTGGAGGGCTCAGAATAGATGTGGCAATGTAATAACTGTTCCTAAGAAGCGAAAGTATGTTGGGTCGTCTTTTGCGGTGTGATTATGAAAGGATGAGAAAGCTTAGAAAGTTGTCAAGGCTGAAAGGTTTCCAAATAACCCACCTGAGCAGCCGCATGAGGTACGGTACGTACCTAATTGGCGGGCGCTACGACTAGAGAAGCTTAGTGCCCATCTTTCAGTGGCGGGAACACGCTAGTGGAGGTAATGTGGCTTAATTACATATGCAAGGCTGAGCGAGTACCTATTATGTAATTCTCTAGGAATATCGAGGTTCACGGTGAAGAAAGTATGGTTGATTAGGTACGTATGGCGTACCGGTATTGTGGCTACAAGCTCTATATTCACGAACATCACCTCGGGTTCTCTCAGGTGGCAAGTAAAGAAGACCATCGAAAGACAAAAACCGTGGGATACGTCAATTCACCACTATTGTAGAAGGGAAGCAATAGTTAGAACCTTTACAACCTTAGGTGGGATTTCAGTTTGCACAATTGAGAGGCAAGGTAGGTCCTGATCTATTAGGAGATTCCTCTTGATTCAAGTATTAATAACCATCTTCGCGATCCTGGGCAAGCCAGAAATAGCAATGAAAGTTAGCGTCACCTGGAGGCAGTGTAATACCAGGGACACGGTGGAAGCGATCATGGGCAAGCCCAGAGGATGCGCTTCCTAAGGACAAAAATTAGAATAATCACGATTGAGTTACTATGTAACTCTTTCAGAGATTAAACTGAAAAGAACAGATACTACACTTGATCTAAGCCAAAAGGCAAAGAGAGCTGAAGAAGAAAAGAAGAAAAATTGTAAAACTGGGAGGGGAGGCCAGGTATTTATAATGGAATTGTGTGGGGCGGTGATGAGGGGCAGAAAAGTGTGTCACAACTGGCAAGTGCTTGGCAAGTGCTAGTCAATCATATTATCACTTGACAAGCAAGTGACACGATTGGCAGGCGCGGGCAAATGGGCAAAAAAGCTCTTGCCAAAAATTTATTCTTGCAAAGGTTTATTTTATTGCCCCAGCTCGAGGGGATTCGGTAACCGTCCGTCTACATACATAATACCTAGTACATACCTACCTACCTACTTATACATACCCATACCTGCGCACGCGACCTTTCAGACATTGCCTTCCCGCCTACTTACATAGGTTCCTAACTCTTCTGCCCTCGGACGGCATATACTCACTCCTCCCCTCACACACGTCACCATGTTAAAACAAGTAATTTCTAAGTCGGCCAGAGCTGTATGCTCCAACTCGAGAACAATCGCTCAACGGCCTTTGCTACGGACACAATTCTCGCCGGCACCTTTAAGTCCTCTACGAAACGTAAGATGGTATAGCGACCAACCGGAATCGGCTGCAAAAAAGGAAGACGAAGGGCCAACTGCGCAGGTAGAAGCACAGGATAGCGAGGCAGCCAAACCATCAGATGCTGAGGCTGAGCTCAAGAAGAAGTTGGAAGCTAAAGAAAAAGAGGTCATTGACTGGAAAGTGAGTGCGACAAATGCACTATAGCGTATACCTAAAGCTAGGACCTAACAATTCATACAGGACAAATACCTACGGTCGGTAGCCGACTTCCGTAACCTTCAGGATCGAACACAGAGGGAAATGAAGGCAGCACGCGACTTTGCTATCCAAAAGTTTGCCAAAGATTTAGTCGATAGTGTCGACAACTTGGACAGAGCCCTAATAATGGGCCAAGAGAAGATCAAGACCATGGAAGAGGATCAGAAAAACGAGGATCTGATCAATTTCTACGAAGGTGTTAAGATGACCGAGACCAACATGCTCCAGACCCTCTCTAAGCATGGCCTAGAGCGTTTCGATCCCGAGGGAGAGAAGTTCGACCCTAACGAACACGAAGCAACGTTTATGACCCCAATGCCTGGCAAGGAGGATAACACCGTCTTCCACGTTCAGCAGAAGGGATTCAAGCTGAACGGAAGAGTGCTCCGAGCCGCCAAGGTCGGCGTGGTCAAGAGCCAATAAAAGATCTGGACGAACCCGATTTATCACTGTATAATACGAAAGACCTTGTATACCAGCACGACGGGATTGGCGTTGGGTAATGTATATAAAAATGCTCCTCTCATGAAAAAAAAGGCGGTCGGCGGAGATTCCCTGCTTTCAAGGTATACATGCATGGCATAGCATGGCTTGGCTTGGCTGTTAATATCACAGCTTCTCAATCGATATGGACTCTAGGGTTTTACGTTATGTAGAGCGGTTATGGAATCATTGGGCCGAGGCGATTACCATATGATGAATATATCCTCTTCATATCCGGTATCGAAGGTGCGCAGGTAATGGAATTATATATTATTGTGCCGAAATCATAGGTACCTCAGTCACTTTTATCATACGTGCCCAAGTTACTTCCTGTTAGCTAACACAATTCGACTTGGAGTAGTGAGAGGATCTGGATAGCATCAAAAGATAACCAGAGCTTAATCAGTACCTTGTACCTATGTACTACTCATCCAATTGGAACTTTCTGCGTTCACATGGAAACATACCGTATCTCATATGCCAACTGATAAAACTGAGCACAGACCGACATAGTACCAAAGCTAAATTAGCCTCTCTTCAAAGTTTTGTCCGTGGAGATCCTTGTCAAGACTTTTAATAACATTATTTCCATTAATGGTCAGTTCGTAACAAGGAGTTTTCTTTGGACAAAACTTCCAAAAGGGGTCATCCGTAACAAAGTACCGTACATCTGTATGCGCGCAACTCAGGCGGCCAGTCAAAGCAAGACAAAGCGTTTAAGTTTTAAGCTATCGCAAGAGATAATTGCTTGCTTCAATAGGTTACAAACTTATTTACTCGCTCGAGCCCATCTAGAATCGAATTGTCCGTTAACAACAATTGATTGCAGCCATGTCGCTAGCATCGCCCGTCTCAAAGGACGGATTCTCCTACGCCGGAGACCTATTCGCCGAGGCGAGCGGACATAACCGGCATAGGCGTGCCACCGTAGCGGAGCTCAAAGACCACTTCAAGTCCGGCTCCGAGAAGGATCACCCGGCCCATTGGTTCGAGGCCCAGCTCATCCACTACGGTCTGCAGGTCTCCAAAACAAAGGCCGTGGCTCGCATGCGCCTCTTCGATGCCGTCAACGCCGGAAATCTTTCTATCCCGGCTCATATCCAGAAGGTGGAGTCCGAGCTGAAGAAAGAATGGATCAAAAAGGAGCGCGAGGCTAAAAAAGCCTTCAAGAGCGCTGCTACATCTTCGCCTGCACCCAAGGCTACCGGTGCCAAGCGCAAGGCTGAGTCTTCGAGCGTCGATGTTACCGTCAGCGTCGGCGGTATCAACGTCACTGTCTCCGCCAGCAATTCGAATAAGAAGATCAAGTCACCTGCCAAACCAGCAGCTACTCCCGCGCCGCCCAAAGCCGCCAAGAAGACGGAGGCCAAGCCCAAGGCTCCAAAGGCAGCTGCCACTCCCAAGGCTGCTTCAACAACTACTACGTCCAAGACCACAGCATCCAAAACTACGGTCTCAAAGACCACCGTGTCAAAAACTACCACTATCAAAACCACGGCTGCCAAACCTCCTCTGACCGGGCGGATGGCCCGCCGCGGCGGAATCCACTCAGGCCTCAGCCGCGAGAGCAGCGCAGCAACATCCACAGCATCAACCCCTCAACCCGCGCGAACCCCCCAATTCGCCCTTCGCGGCCGGGGCCGAGGCGGCAGCAGCAACAGCCCGTCTCCCGTGAAAAGGGAGTATTCTTACAACGACGACGACGACGTCAAATACGAAGACAGCGACGACGGCGAGGACCTCAAGCCCCTGGGCCTTCTCAACGGGCGGTACGCGCTAACCAGCGACTTCGTGACTTCCGAGTGGGGACACATCAACCTCTCGCTAGTCTTCACCCTGAGCGGGACCGAGCTCTGGGGCCGTTTCGACCTCGGCATCGTCAGCGGCATCATGCGTCTCCCCCAACGGCCGTGGCAGTCCTCCACCGAGCCGTTGAATTTCACCTGGCGCGGGCAGGAGCTCGAAGGGCCGATGATGTACGGAGACTCCAATCGCGGGTGGATCCGATTCCTCGGGGGCGGAAAGGTGGAGGGCGAGCTGGATTTTATGGGGATTACGTTTGAGGGGAGTCGGGTTGTGGGACAGGGTACTAGGAGCGAGGTTGATATTAGTAGCATGAGGACGGAATGGGAGGGGTATAATGAGGGTGGATACGAAAGGGAGAGTCGTAGTCGGTGGTAGGACTGTTTCTGTTGTCGGCTCGTGAGCAGTTGCAGTGGTATAGGGGCTACACGCAGTACGGTACGCGGTCTTCTGAGTCAAAGGGCCATTTTAATACTCTCATGTACGATTTGATTAGGGCGTTAGATTGCGCATTCTACGCTGCATTTGTATTATAGGAGAGTTAGTTCAAGTGCTTATAGTGATCACCGTAGCGGCTCTTGTTGGGCTGCAAGGGGGGATTATAATCATTAAAGTGTGTTCTGGTTATACTCGTCACGCATTACAATAAGCATTTCACGGAGCATTTGCAACTATGATTGTGACAAAGGAATTCCGTTGTCGATTAAGCTCATCCAAGCACAGAGAATAGTACCTAGGCAAATACGTACACTATCAAGCAAAGCAGTTCATCATTCGTACTCTCAACATTATTCGTCCATTCGTCCATCCATCCCTTCATTAATCGTCTCATTATGCAAATCCAGCCCTTTTGAATTCCGAAACCTGCCAAACAAAATTTCTTTTTTTTTTTTTCTTTTGGGGGGGAAGGGGGGGGTTTGGTTTTTTTTTTTTTTTGGTTTTTTGGTTTTCTGGTTTTTTTTGGGTTTTTACTGTTGTTTGAAAATCTGTTCCTCAATAATAGTTAAAAACCAACCCGGTTTTTCACGGAAAGAAAGTTGAAAGGCCAACCCCTCAAAAGCCTAGCTGGCTGCCGAGGATGACGAAGGTGGTTCGAATCGTAAATATCATAGTGCGATCGAGTGAAAGCTGGTCTCAAAAGAAAAGAAAAGAAAAACCAGATACATCTGCCACTTGGTGTCTTGGCAGACAACAAAAATATCATACAACTCCCAATAGGGAAGTATGAAGGTTGGTGTTGAAAAGACAGACATCTCTGTCATTTTATATCTCAGTGAACAACTTTATCGTTGTCAATTCGTAATAGGGGAGAGTGCCAAGAATCAATCCCCGAAAGTGACATGCCACCCCAGCAAACCAAGGTCGTCATGTTGACTGGGATAAGTTGCTGACGTATCGGCAACTTGATGGAAAAACAAAGAGAGATAGACAAGTCCCAGCTATTGGCGATCTCATCAGAAACAGAAAAAACAAGTGAAGGAGAAACTGAGTCACAAGTAATTGTGACCTAAATTGAAGACAGAACCAACTGAAATCAAAGATGTCTAATGCAAGCTGCGACGGACCGACGGAGATAAGGTGCCGGCATTGTTGATTTTGTGTGTACTGAAGAGGCCACCTAATCATAATAAGAACGATCAATCGGTTCAGGTTCGCCCGGGGGAGGAGCAAAGCAGATACGTTCGTCGGGACCTTGAATATGGGACAAGCTCTCGTCCTTTTCTTTACGGCTTTCCTGGGCAGAGGAACTCTCCTCAGTCTTTCCAGGAACAGTGTCGTGAGTGGTAGTATCCACGGGAGGGTCGGGCATTCGTAGAACACCCAATGTCATAGGCTGCTCATCAAGCCCACAGAATGATTCCCGATATGGGCCACCAGTATATTCAGCTAGGGACCCGGGTTCGCCAAAGGGTATTGCCAAATCTGGGGAAGACGGGGCAGGGACACGTCTACTAAGATGATCACGGATAGCGCGGCGGACATCTGGCGAGAGAGGTTCCCATGAACAATCACGCATAAGATCAACTAGAGTATGTCCAGAAATGGAATCAACTTCTCCCATTTTAGGCTCTTTCTTGGTCGGTATTTCGGGTTGTTTAGCAATCACATTGGTTGGATAGGTGTTATTATCATCAAGGACAGGGAAGAAGTTCTCAGCCCTGAAGTTCTCAGCACTGCGGTTCATCCCTCTTGTCCCCGACCGTGCAGAGGCTAGATGAGGCGATATGAGGCCGTTGATTTCATCATAGATGCCCCGAGGACTTGTTTCAGCCAAGAGACAATCCTCATCGATCTCCTGCTTCAGCTGCGCCAGGCGCTGTTGGTTCACCTTGAATTTCTGCTTCGACTCGGTTCGTTGCATGTACGAGCGGTCAAGCAACAGTTGCACCTCACGGACGTGGTTTCCCAGATGCTCGCGGATACGATCATCGCGAATGGCACGTTTCTTCTGAAGCTCTCGCAATGCGTGGCATTCCTGCGCGACACGGTACTCGGTGCGTTTTTTCTTCAGAAGAGGGATAAAGTGTTCTCGGAGGATGTCTCGCTCCAGCTCCAGCTCCTGGATTCGCTTGGCCTGCGCCGAAATTCTCTTACGAAGAGTTTCATCCTCAGCCTGCTCCTTTGCGATAGCTTTGTATTGGGCGCTGAGAAAAGCATAAATCTCTGGGCCATGAGGAATACCACTGCCCTCAGATCTGGTGATTCTATTGGCGACATTATTGACCTCACTCTGTGGAGAAATTGTTATGTTAGTCAAGGCTCAATAAACGTGCTTTTGTTTGCCCGGCATAAAAGGGATTAGGATTTAACATACCTCTGTGAACTTGTAGTTCGTACTGGCAGGCGGCATACTTTTCTCTGTCTTGCCATACACATGATCTCGGAGCTTCTTGGCCTCTAGAGGAGCCATGCGGTCATATTGCGCTAGGAATGCAGCCGGAGCCCATGCGATGCTGGGCACACCAGGAGGCGTGTAGATAAGAGACGGGCTATGGGGGACTTGGTAAAGGGGAGAAAACTCCTCTCCTGTATAGTGGTCCCTCTGAGCCTTTGCATCCTCAAGATAGTAAGGATAATGATCCCTGTCCGGTACAGGCCCCATTGGGCGCATTCGTTCAGCAGTAGCAAGTGTCTAAACATGCCTGATTAACAACTATTCCAAAGTAGACAGCGCAAAAATAGAAGAAAGGAACAATTAAACTTACGTTTCTAGGGTCCATTATATTTCCACGTGCCCAAGGCTTACAATCCTGAGCCCACTGGAGGAAAGTGCAAGGAGAAACGCGGCCAGTAGGAAGGGCGCCCTCATCATCGTCTTCATCATCTCCCCATACAGGGATACGATTCTCTGTTGCTGAACAAACCCTGCGGTGAGGCAAAAGGTTCATCGAAGCCGGAGGAGCTATGTGGTTAATCGACGGCTTGCGAAGCTCAAATATAGCATCGCGGGGAGAATCACCATCCATGTTATCGGATTCGATAGCCTTATCCATATAATTCAACATCCTAGGAGATACGACTGTTAGCATAAAGTATTGATATCAGGAAGGCTCTTGGGATAACAACGTACTTAGTGACGTCCCTAGGGTTGTCAGGAGGTTTGGGTTCGCCATGAGGTTGAGATGCCGCTTTACGATCCATCTCATCGCTGTGAAACTTGATCCACTCAAACAGAGGGTCGGTGAGTCCTCCCATATCGGGACCACGCATAGCTATGTATGCCTGCATCATCGCATTGGAGATCGTCTGCTTATCTTCATCTCCAGTCGGAGTCGGCTTGCTGGCAGAACAGCCAGGGACGAACTGCTCGGATTTACCACTTGGGCCAGCACCTACTTCGAAATCTTCAATCGTGTTAGGTTTTCCTAAATCAGGATAGTCCTCAGGCCCGAACAAAGGGGGCGAGGAGGTTTTAGGCACTCCGAAGAAGTCATCCTCATCCCCCGACGCGTCGCCGAAGAAGTGCAAACTTGACGCCTTGTCGCTGAATGATGCCAAATCCGGAGCCAAGATAGGCGGGTCCGAGACTATAATGTTAAGTATTTTTATAAGTCAAAGTAGTTATTAAAGATGGCTTATAAGGGGAACTAACCTTTGCCTTCGTTAGAAGGGTTCGAACCAAGGGGTGACGGTTTATGCTTGGGTTTACACATGGTGAAGAAGGGCCCAGAGTATTGGGTGATAAGAGAAACAGCGAAGAACGCGGCCGAATAAAGATAGCGCGATAATCAAGGATATGAATGAATAGGCGAAGGTTTTTGATTACAATAGGAGCAACCACAGACGCATTCATGGAAGGTTGCGTGCTGTTGTTTCGCCGATAGGAGGAAATAGGACGATGAATAGGCGGCAACGAAATGTGTGTCGTAGGTAAGGTGCGAAACGGAAGGTTGTAAAGGTAAAGGTGTAAGGAGAAAAGAACAGGAAAGAAGGAAAGGAAAGAAACAAATCGTTATCTCCCGCCACAACGAAATTCACAACTGCCTAACATAAGGAACACTTCGTTGCTCCGCTACCAAGCTTGCTTATCACCAGGCGTCAATTACGATACGGAAGTCCCCTAGAACTCACTAAAACTGCAGATAGGCACCGGACAGTAGGTCGTCACCCCGTAACGGAGGTGGTTGGTACCCAAAGGCAATGCTATTGCCAGCCTACACTAGGCTGCTACGTTAAGTCAAGCCGAAGTTAGCATGCCCAGCTGCACATTTCAGTACCTACTGATAGGTTAGGTATCTAGAAGTATATTCCGTAGAATATATAGGTAATTATTGATTAGAACTTCTCGGTATGCCTACCTAATATTTAGGTGTCTAATATATGTGAAGGCACCAAGAACAAACCCCTTTACCCCTGAGTTCGTGATTAAAATGCATGCATCATTGACTTCATTCTCTTCTAAGAACGATCCTGCCCTAAAGCCTAAGAGATATTAACAGCAAAGCAAAACAGGCTCGGTCCACATAAGTTGCAATAATATGTGATGGATCTCACTTTTTCGCTTTGCCTTTAGCTCCACCAGCCTTGCCCTTGCGGCCCTTTGCTGGCTTCTCATCTTCATCTCCATCCCCAGCTGCTGCAGCTTTCTTGCCGCCTCTCTTCGCAGGCTTAGCCTTCGGCTTTTTGATATACTTGTCTTTTTCAATGCCGCCATCGTCATCATCATCATCAACAGCCTCGACGGCCTCTACGACATCTGCATCGTCGTCTTCCATTGCTTCCTCGAGATCTGGCTTATCCTTTGGAGCCGCCTTCGGAGCTACCACGCTACTGGCCTTCATGAAAGGGATTGGGTGTGACCTCGTGTTGTACCTATAAATATTAGCCTATTGATATATAATGCTGTTGCGTAAGTCTGACTTACAGTCTAGTAAAAGTAGACTTAGTCTGGGTTTCAATGTTAACACTCTCTTCATTTTGAGGGCCAACGCCAAGTTCCTTAATATAGTCGAAATCCTCTCTAGTGAGGAAATAACTGTCCATTAAGTCGATGACTTCGTCGACAGATGTCTTGCCTTCGTCAGCAAGTCTTTTAATAAGCCGCGTCCAGAGCACTGGCAGGTACTCTTGGCGAATCTCGTGATGGTCACCGGAGGACCTGAGTCGCATGTGCGAATGAATTTCACGAATATATCTACCCAACTTGCCGTATTTGCTGTTATTGCCAAGCCAGGTTGTGAAGGTACTACCACCTAGAAGTTGGCCAGCCACGAAGCTGGCCGGTCGAACTGTGCTAAAGACCGCATGAGTAGGCATTAGGCTCCAGTGCTGTTGGGGACCATGAATCATCCGATCCACCAAGTCGCCATCACTAATACTTTCTGCTGCCATATCGAACAACTCTAGAGCTTTGAGATCATGCTCGCGTTTGTTCTTGTACTGAGACTGGTTTAGAGCAGCTGGCTTGGTTTTTAAATAGTTTTCTTGTATCATCAAGTAGCTGAACTCGTGATCGTTGAAGTAGAGTTCAATCTTGTCGTTAAGAGTCGCCTTGCTTGCGGGGGAGAATAGACCACCGCCGAGCACTTTCTGACAGATATCCCACGGCTTCAGCACTATCGACTTCTCCCAGGCCTTCGACATATCCTTGCCCTGGCTATAATCTATAGAGGTCTGATCTAGCTTGATCGTGGATAGCATATTAACAATCTGCCTGATATCTCGGTTACTGCCTTCAATGAGCGCTTCAAGCACCTGCGGCGTGAGTTTCAGCCCTTCTCTATGACATATAGTCATCATACGTGAGCGGATCTGGTCGATTGTTGGGCGTTGAAACTTGATATTGTACGTCACCTGGTCGAAGGGCTTCATCTTGGGCAATCCTCGCTCGTTGCAAATAAGTATCAGAGGCACCTCGGTCTTCTTGCAGAACTTCGCGAGAGCACCCACACCTCCACGGTCGCCAGCGGACATCCCGTCAACTTCGTCCATAATAAGGACAATATTCTTTTTCTCCTCATCTACCTTCTTCCCATCTCCTGCAAAGTAGCCACGCAAGGATGTGTTATTCATAACTTCACTAACTCCGGATTCCACAAGCTTTTTACTACGCGTATCGCTGGCGTTGCTCTCTATAACGTCGAAACCTTCAAGCTTAGCAGCTAGATGGGCAGCTGTTGTTTTGCCAATACCTGGGGGGCCAGAAAGGATAATGGCGCGATAGCCGCCCATGCCATCTGCACCAAGCCTCTCAAAGTGATATTTACGTGATTTATGCCAGTTCCTCAAGAAGTTCTGGATCCTCTCGACCGCTGCCTTGTTACCACAGATGTGATTTGGCTGGGTTGGAGCATATTTCACGGTCCATAACTGAGAAACGGGGGTTGGCGCTGCTGGAGAAGGACCAGCACCTCGCGCGGCGGCTGCTTTCCGTGCTTTCTCGGCCTCGACTTTTCGGGCCTTTTCTTCTCGTTCCATCTGAGCGGCTTCTTCCTTGATCTTTTCTTCCTCTAGTCTTTTCTTTTCCCGGGCCTTTTCGGCATTTTTTCCATTTCCACCTCCAGCGGGTAGGCGACGAATGAGCTCAAACAAGCCCTCCTCGTTGATCGTCTTGATACCATGCTGGCGGATTTTCGCAAGCTTGCTAGGTCCAGCATCCTCACCCAGTACCACGTAGCTAGTTTTACTACTTGGCGCACCAGTGATCTTTCCACCATGTCGCTTTACCAACGATTGAGCATCCTCGCGAGCGATAGTAGTCAATTGCCCAGTGAAAACAAAGCTTAGACCGGCAAGACAATCTTCCTCACCCTCGGGTAATTCCCCAATGGGATTCGGTGGGGGACCACTATTTCCCCCTCCTGCTGCCGCCTTTTTCCAGTCGAACTTGGCATTGGGGTCCTTGGCTGGCGGTGTCGGTGGCCTAACCGTAGGGATATCGTCCAATATCGCCTGGATCTCTGCGTTCTCCGGTTCGTCCGCCTTCTTGGCTCTCGGCGCCCTGGGTTTCTTCGCTGCCGGCTTCTTACGGGACGGAGGTTCGTCATCGTCATCTTCTTCCTCACTAGGTTCGGACTCGGGTGTCTTCCTCTTCTTCGCTGAATTGGAGGCCACGTTACTCTTCGAAGGTTTCGACGTAGTAGGCTTGTTATCCTCAACTGCTGGTTTGGCACGAGAAGCAATTCTCTTGGGTCTAGGAAGGAACTCTTCTTCGCTATCCTCCTCGGCGTAATCGTCGTTCTTTCGCTTATTACGACTCTTAGCGTCCGCGGCGAATATGTCGTCGCCAGCATCTGCGTCGTCATCCATGAATGCATCCTCCTCCTCGTCTAAGTCGTATCGCTTGAGTTTGCTCGCAGGACGCTTCTTTGGCGTGGTCTCATCATCCTTGCTCGGGAGTGCAGCGTCTTTTGCTATAGTCTTCTTATTTCTCGGGCTCGATCGAACTTCAACTTTAGGCTTTGGCTGCGACTGCGGCTTTGTATCCGGCTTTGTAGATGGCTGATTCTTCGACTTGCTCGATGCAAAGTATTCACTCGCCGTAGTAGCTGTCCCTTGCACCTTGTCGCTAATGCTAAAGTTTAGTTCAATACTAATGTGTTTATAATATAAGCATGGCACTCACGCCACTTTCTTAGGAGCTGATCTAGTAGTTGGTTTCTTCGTCCTTCAAAGCCAGTTAGCTTCAATTAATTTCATCTTGATAGAATTATTCTGCTTACTCTGCAACTACATCCTCATCCTCATCACTATCATCCACAACCTTACGTCCCTCTATCATGTACCATTAGTTGCTAAATCAACTGCTTAAGTTCGAGGGATACGCACTGGTCCGTCTCTTTGGCGGTTCTTCGGCCGTCTTCTTTGAAACTGGCTTTGAAGAGGCCGGGGCACCGCCCTTGGCCCCGAAGAAAGAACGGATATCCGGCATGCTACTCAAGTTTAGAGGATATATCCCAGCCTTGGTTTATTGATCAAGAAGAAGGTCGGTGGTGTTGCTATCAAAAGAAAAGAGTTTAGGATTTTCATAGGAAAAGTGAACGATCTACTATGTAAAACGCTCGACGCGAATTAAGACGCGCCGACGCTTGGAGCTAGTCCATATAGTCTTTAATGGAATTGATTCGCGCAATTCGTGCACGTGCCACCGGTGCCTACCACGCCGCCATGCAGGCAAACACATGTACGAAGTACATATCATTACATAATCCAAGAGACCCACTACAAATATTTCCGCCTATCAGATAATAACTGCCATTAATTGCAATAATTCAAGTCAACTTCAACAGTCCGAAGGGTATTTTACTGCTATAACATACACTCTACCTAGGTAGGTAGTTATCTCTGTTGATACGTATTAGCTTTACTTGGCTATTAAATAATGATATTTATCTCAGAAGCAAAGTCCCGTCTTTGTTACTAAAATAAATTATCAATGACAGTCCGAGCATTCTATAGAAAAAGTTTATGAAGTACACACTTAACCTACTAAAGCTCTCCCCAAGTCTGACTTTTAACCAGACTGAAATCTACCTGGATTATTAACTTGATGAAAATACTTCATGAAAACTCGACGCCTAGAGCGTAGATACATAAGTATCTAGGAGGTAGATATATATAGTTGTGTATCTTTATTCGGGAAAGAAGCAAATTGAAAAGGACCATAATTACATGTATCTAAGGAAGTCAAGTGAGTTATCGATTTCTATCAGGTGTCCCCTCGCAAAGAAAACACAGTCCTCTTACTAAACCTAGCTACCTTAAGTAGGCAACCGTACATTCAATAGTTGCAGCATAAGCTCAGACTGTCCTTGAATATGCCTAGACTTCCCTTAAAGCCAGTATTGTAGTTCCGGCATATTCTTCGCTTTATTAATACTAGGATTTTTCATTGATGTACTTCATTAATATATGCAATTAATATATGCACGAATAGTCTAGAGCTTACCTAGTATACACGATTAATACATTTTGCTCTTGTTGATATTTTCCTGTAGCAAAGAGATCAACTAGTTCTCTTGTCCTATTACTTCTATGCCTACGATATCTCACATACAAAGAGAAGGCCCTGCATATCTGGACAGTCCCAGACCAAATATCAGTCATTACAGCATTTTCCTGTCTACAAATATGTGTTTCGTCATCGGAGATCGCTCTAAATCTCATCAGTCCAGCAAGATAGGTAAGATAAATAGGAGTTTACCATGTCTAACAACTCATATCTGGGCAATAACATCACCCCTTCTATGAGACAACCACTATTTTCTCCTCGCGTCACCCCTATTCCTTTCTCACCTTTTCCGCATGAGCCACAGCTCTGTTCGTGCGACCCATGTGCCACACTCAGGCTATCTCGACGTATGGATCTAAGATGTTCTCACGCAGAAGTCACCGGGGGCAATGTAGCCGCAAATATCCGTCAAGAGCGTCATGAGATCAGAACCTCCAGAAGAAGCAGCACGAGAAGATCAGACTCGGAATCCCGAGCGACATACCAATTGCCACCGGTAGTCATACCGCCGCATCTCCATCCGGGGATGGCTTATCCGGAGATTTACGTCTATCCCGGCAAATCACATCATATCACATTCCCAGTGGTCAACTACAGCTCGGCCTACCAGGCTCAGAATCGCTCATCCGGGCCAGGATGCTACCTGGCCATCTCGCCGCAGTGCGCGAAGCCGGCAGACTTCGAGGCGGCGCTAACGCCGCCAGGTTCCGGGCTTGCTGTCGTAGCGCGGTTGTCCAAGACGCAAAGAACGGCACCTATTGGCGTGTTTCGAGACGCCGCGGAACTTCGCAAAGACTCGATTCAGCTGGAAATCTGGGATGAAGATGCTATCAAGGCCCCTGCAAAGGGTCACGGAGCAGAAGTTGAAACCGACGTTCCCGATGGCGCTGAAGCTGGAGCGTCAAAGAAGAAAAAGAGAGGTGTGAATCCAGTACAGGCGAAGTAGCCCTAAAGCTGACAAGCTAATTGGATTGTAAGTTGGGCAGCTTATGATGAACGATTCATAGGCAAGTTGTCAATAAGATAGTATGGATTAATAAACAACGACATCTGGCCAACTATCACGCATTAGTATTCTCTTGTCCTATCGTTTAAGTTTATTCTGTATTGATGTTATCTACCTTGTTGTCTCCCTTGGTCCATTTCAGGGGTTAAACGTATATGTAGGTATGTACTGTTCAATCAGCCAAGCCTCTAGAACATTTCGTTGCTGTTTCTTATCCACCGGGATCGCGCTAGCCGTAGATGCGATGTCGACCAGCAATGCAGACTCTGCATTGCAGAGTACCTACCTATGTAAGGTAAGGATATAATTTCTGCACGTCATGTCGGTAGGGAAGTTATGAAGGATTTCACATCTGACAATCGGCATTGATTGCCGAACGGATTCTGCATCTTACAGCCCGTAAGGCGTACATAACCCCCAAATGCTGCGTCACCGCATCGGTAATAATCGCACTGGAGTGCCGCGTATCGGGTTAGACGTCTGGCCGCGGGAAGGTATCGTGTTGATCAGATAAAAATTTGATGCATCGTGCAACGGGATAATAAATTGGTCCGGGGTTGTGGACCCGGGCGGTGTAATTTGATGAGACGGGAGTCCCGACTCGCCGACATGGCATTGGTTAGGTACATGTACCTCTCATTGGAAGTACCTATGTATCCATGCCCGGGTCAAGCCGCGGTTCAAGATTTAGGGGGCGTATGTACATCACGGAAATAGAATACATATAGGTTAGCTCATCCGAAAAAACGAGTCTGGATCGTTCGGCAAAGCGGACGTGTTTATGCGATACACTAGACATGGTATACGATGTACGGAATATGATGGGTGATGCTCGCTCAATTGCACTTACAGGTCAGTTAAGCTAAGGCTGATCCTTTACAAAAGGTCCTCCATATTGGGGAGGTCCCCTCTATCTTAAGCTTAATTTAGCTATGTACTAGAATCAACTAAACCGCTTGCAACTGATCCTACGGGAAGACCCTTAATAGGACATATCTGAGTTACTTTAAGGAACTTACCTACATCTAAGTTCGCACGTAATAGAAGCGATTTAATAGGAGGGATGATGATAAGAGGGTCCTATCTGAGATGCTTAATCAATCTGCAAGATAATGCCAGCGGGTTTAAAAAAATAGATATTAATGAATGTACACTACAGTTATCGGATAGGTAGTACAATACATCACGGCTATCCCGTTGTCTTAGTGTCTTGTCTGATGGTTATCAGCCCACCCATAAAAAAACTTGTTGGACTTGGCTAAAACAACCGAGGTTCGCTTACTCATCTTCTCATTTCTATACAACTAACTACTAGCCTTCTGGCCTTATGCCAACGGGATTGCCTTAGCTTATGTATGTAGATAGTGGTGTTTCTTATACGCTAGTTAGCGCATTATAATCTATATGGGCCGCCTTTCTTACATAGCGCGCAGTACCGATCCCAGCTCCTTCAATGGTCGGCACATGCAGCACATGGCAGCGTTACTTGGGTATAAACATGACAGGGAAGCCTGGCGTAATAGGGGCTTGTTATTGGTATGTGTGTAGGGGAGTGGATAACCTACATAGTATGAAGTCAGGACTTAAAGATGTGTATTGCGACCATTCCGTTTCGTCACGGCCCAAGCAAGTGGATCGACAAGATAGGAAAACATACCTCGGTTCATTGAACATGTTCGAGAAAAAAAAAATAAAAATATGAGAAGAAAATAAATAAAAAACCACTCATTACTAAGTAGTACATATCATGATTCATAGCAACGCAATAAGTCGAATAAGCAAGCATATTTCTATAAACAAAGCGCATAGGTTGTTTGTTAACCCGTTTGCTCATATTTCCTTCGCCCACTTGTTTGCGTCACTTAATCGGCCTGCCCAATTCGCGATCCTGACGACTGACTACCTACCTCTTAATACTCGGTAGCCACAAGTTACCGACGGCGAATTCGGGGTTTATCAAAGCCTACCGGAGGCTGAGCTCTATAGTACACGAATACATATAACATTCCCATAACGTCCTTATACATATAAAGTCTCTAGGGTTCCTATCCTAGAGACGATTTACGTCGGACAGTATGAACATCGACTGGCCTTCAATCCTAACTCTTCGACAAAGCAACAGTGAACCTAGCAATAGTGAAAGTGATACAATGTCAGAAATAACGCCTATCCCAGAACCACCAAGTCTACCTTTCCTAGGCCACGTTACCGAGATCGATCGAGAACTCCCCTTACGCTCATTTATTTCGCTCGCCGATAAGTATGGTGAGATATATCGACTTCGCCTTCCTGGAAGGTCGCTGGTAGTTTCTTCAAGTCATCGTATCGTGAATGAGCTTTGCGATGAGAAGCGTTTTGTCAAAATTCCCAAATCTGCTCTTAACGAAATTCGAAATGGTGTTCATGATGGTTTATTCACAGTGAGTTAGCTTACAATGGGCATTGGTGACACAATATGTTAATCAAGACCATAGGCCCGACCAGATGAGCCTAATTGGGGTATCGCTCATCGAGGTTAGTCTACCAGAGCCCCAAGAAACTTGGGTTATGCTCACATTAGACAGTTTTAATGCCTGCATTTGGCCCCTTATCGATCCGGGGCATGTTTGACGAGATGCACGAGATTGCAACTCAGCTTTGTATGAAATGGGCCCGATACGGACCTTCAAACCCGATCGACGTTACTGAAGACTTCACTCGTCTCGCGCTTGACACGCTTGCTCTCTGCTCGATGGGTTATCGTTTCAACAGCTACTATACCTCAGAGCTTCACCCCTTCGTTGCAGCCATGGGTGATTTCCTCGTTGAGTCCGGCAACAGGCCGAACAGAACGATGCCCACTTGGTTTTACCGAAATGAAGACGCCAAGTACTGGGAGGATATCGAAGTCTTGCGAAAGACGTCCGACGAAGTTCTCCAAGAGCGTAAACGCAACCCGTCCAACCGGAAGGATCTTCTCAGTGCCATGCTTAACGGCGTGGACCCGAAAACCGGACAGCACATGACTGATACGAGTATCACCGACAACTTGATTACATTCCTCATCGCCGGTCACGAAACAACATCAGGATTGCTTTCATTCGTGTTCTTTGAACTCCTAAAACACCCCGAGGCTTACCGAAAGGCCCAACAAGAGGTCGACACTGTTATCGGGAAAGGTCCCATCACAGTCGAGCACATGTCTAAGCTCCCGTACATTGTAGCTGTAAGTCAAGAATCTAAAATCCCTATATCACCTCACATGCGCATCAGTCAGCACGGAGAAATGATTATACTAACACACATTTAGGTGATGCGTGAAACCCTAAGATTATGCTCTCCCATTCCCCAGATCGGTGTCACACCTAGAGAAGATACTCTTCTTGCCGGAAAGTACCCGGTAAAGAAGGGCGAGATGACTGTTATGATGTTGAAGAAGATGCACGTGGACCCGGCTGTGTACGGCGAGGATGCCGAGGAGTTTAAGCCTGAGCGCATGCTGGACGAGCCGTTCAACAAACTTCCCAAAAACGCGTGGAAGCCTTTTGGCAATGGCCTTCGAGGCGTAAGTAATGACGCTGTATTGAGATTATCATATTACTAACACCCTATTAGTGTATCGGTCGTCCGTTTGCCTGGCAGGAGGCCACTTTGGCCATAGCCATGCTTCTACAAAACTTCAACTTCGTCCTTGACGACCCATCTTATACCCTGGCTATTAAGCAAACATTGACTATCAAGCCGAAGGGTTTCCGCATGAGGGCAACCCTCCGCGATGGAATGACTCCGGGCCAACTGGAACATCGCCTGGCTGGAACACCTGAATCACCAGCGGATGCCCTAAACGGACTCTCATTGAATAACTCCCTGACATCCGCCGCTAACGGTAGTAGTGGAAAGCCCATCACAGTTCTGTACGGAAGTAATAGTGGTACTTGCGAGGCCCTCGCTCAAAGAGTAGCTAGCGATGCGTCGCGCAAGGGATACAAGGTTTCCAAGCTTGATATCTTGGATACCGCCAATGGAAACCTACCTAAAGGTCAGCCTGTCGTCATAGTCACCGCTTCATATGAAGGAGCACCGCCGGATAACGCTGCCCATTTCGTGTCTTGGATAGAGAGTATCAAAGACAAGACGACATTCGAGGGAGTACAATACGCTGTTTTCGGTGTCGGCCACCACGACTGGGCTCAGACCTTCCACAGGATACCAAAGTTGGTGGATAGCAAGCTCGAAGAAGGCGGCGCTACTCGCATCGCAAATTTGGGACTCACCGACGTTGGAAACGGCGACGCTTTCGCAGACTTTGAAGCGTGGGAGGATGAGGTGCTTTGGTCATCGCTTAACAAGCAATACGGTACATCTGAGGTTGAGACGGACCTATCACCGGCTTCCGGCCTGAAAGTATCAGTGACGAGCCCACGTACATCCACCCTCCGACAGGACGTCATGGAAGGTTTGGTAGTCGACACTCGCACGCTGACCGCCGATGGAGAACCCGTTAAGAAGCATATTGAAATCGTACTTCCAAGTGACGAAACATACCGAGCTGGTGACTACCTGGCGGTCCTGCCCATAAACCCTAAGCAGATCGTCGAGCGAGCCATGCGTAGATTCCATCTTCCATGGGATGCGCATATCACCATCAACAGCGACGGAATGACATCCCTCCCAACCAACGCCTCACTCCCCGCCCACGACATCTTCGGCGCTTACGTGGAACTATCCCAACCGGCAACAAAGAGGGTAAGCTAATAAATATCTCAATCTTGTATCGTCAGCAGCCCAGCTAACAACAACATCGTAGAATATAAGCACTCTAGCCGAAGCCGCAAAAGACGAAGCCGAAAAAGAAGCTCTGAAGAACCTTGCAAAGGACTCCGAAGAGGCGTTCAACAAGCGCATCTCGGTACTAGACCTACTTGAGAAGTACACGTCCGTCGACTTACCCCTGGGCGCTTTTCTCGCCATGCTCCCGCCTATGCGTGTGCGACAATAGTACGTAGCATACATAACTCCCTTCGCAACCTACCAGTTGACCACAACGCTAACACCAACCAGCTCCATCTCCTCCTCCCCTCTATGGAACCCCTCCCACGTAACTCTGACCTTCTCGGTCCTCGAAGCCCCGTCCAAGTCCGGCCAGGGCACATACGTCGGCGTAGCATCCTCGTACCTCGCATCCCTCGCCCCGGGCGACAAGCTGCACATCGCCGTCCGCCCATCCCACGCGGCCTTCCACCTGCCGCAAGACGTCGAGAACACGCCCGTCATCTGCGTCGGCGCAGGCACGGGCCTAGCTCCCTTCCGGGGCTTCATCCAAGAGCGCGCGGCCATGCTCGCCGCCGGCCGCAAAGTCGCGCCCGCTCTGCTCTTCGTCGGATCGCGCGAGCCGGGCCGCGACGACCTCTACGCCGACGAGCTGGCGGAGTGGGAGAGCGCCGGGGCCGTGACGGTCTACCGCGCGTTCAGCCGCAGGCCCGAGGCGGCGGGCGGAAACCGGTACGTGCAGGATGCGCTGCGGGCGTCTCAGGACGACGTCCTGAAGCTCTGGCGCGACGGCGCGAAGCTGTATGTCTGCGGATCGCGGGCCGTTGGCGACGGGGTCAAGGAAGTCATTGTCGAGCTGATCAAGAAGGGGGCGCAGGAGACCCACGGCAAGGACGTGACGGACGAGCAGGCGGCTCGGTGGTGGGAAGGCATGCGGAATACCCGGTATGCTACGGATGTGTTCGACTAAGCATGTTTACCTACCTATGCTTGCATATTATTGTTGTTGGTGGTGTAGATATTGTTTGATACCTTGGCGGGGGAGGACTATTTATTGTATTTTGACTGGATTCCATTAGGTATATACCTCAGATAGACCGAGTATTTGCACATATAGCGGTGAGGTGAGGATTAGAAAGGGGGTAGTTAGGGTGGTATTCTATGCTCTTCTCAGTAGAGACTTGGCTATAAATTGATATTGATTATACTACTTATTGTCGTCGAGGCTCTCCATAGTATGTAAGCCTGCTGTGACCAATTGCAACCCATCCCACGATGATTCTAGAACACTTGATATTTTCGACAGACTCGATGGGAAGGCTTGGCACCGTATTCATATTTATCCACGGTCTCATGGTGTCGCATTTGGAGTGTAGATACCGATAAGTATCGGACGAGCACGCCTAATCGAGAAGTTGGTTCTTAGATGTGTTACGATGATGCAGTCTCTCCAGGCATCGATGTCACTTATCGCATGTTAAATAATAATGATCTTGTAATACAACATGATAATTGTTAAACATACAAGGTACCTAGGTATGTAGCAATCGTTGTTTGCGGTCATCTATAAAATGGTTGCTGAGACCCGACTTTACAAATTTCCTCTACCTAACATTAGTGACTGTCGTCTCAAAAATAAAAATCGAGCTTTTTATCGTAGTGTTTGTTAAGTCCTCATACTTATCCTAGTATCGTCTAGTTAATGGGTATTCCACAATTAAATCAAAGTCGATTAATTGTATCGCTGGCTCTCTTCACTATACTGATCCTCTTATTCCGGAACGCCGGTAAATTTAACGATCCCGACCCCGACCCAGTCATCGTGAACATGTCAGACACGGGCGACGTCATCTCGAAACTGAAAGTGTCAGTCCGCCAAGTCAGCAGCGCATCGTCCCCCCCGCCGAAGCTAGCGGTGGCTGTCACCAATACGCACTCTAGCGCCGTGACGATCCTGTCCTGGAACTCCCCTCTGGATCCGTTAGCGTTGCAGTTAGGCCTCGTGTCTTTTGTACACGCCGATAGCGACAGCCCCATTCAGATTCCGACAATCCAGATCAGGCGTAAAATGCCGCCGGGGCCGGAGGCCCTAGTCGAGATCGGGGCGGGCCAGATTAGAGAACAGGTCCTAGAACTCAGGGATCCTATCGTGCCACTGGAGGAGCTACGTGGCAAGGTGAGGGTCGCTTGTGCAGGAGAGTGGATGGGTGTCTGGCTGTCAGAGGCCGACGCCGTTCCTAAGGCTTCCCTGGAGAAAGCTGGCGCCAGTGACGACGCATTTCGGGGGCCTTTCCGAAGTGAGGCAGTCGATATGGAGTTATAAGTGATGCTAGGTTAGCTTAGTTGGGAAGGTATTTGTATAGGCAGAAAGGCGTCAAAATAAGTGCCGATTTTAAGTCTTAAGCAAATAATATCCTTCTTTTCGTAAACTTATTTCTTAGCAACCAAAATAGTAAAAAGTTCTCAAAAATTAGATTAAGAAAATAAAGTCATTAAATTTTAATCCTTAAAAGAAATGAGAAATTTCTATTAGGAATGGCGAAGTTATATGAGATACAATTTGGAGTGTGACTTATTGCAAGAATAAAAAAAGGCACTTAGTTTGGCGCTATTCTGATAGGGTATAGGTGTCGAGGCCTGATCGTATAGGAACAGTGTTATGGTCTAAAGTGTTCACGAAGATGGTGGGATAAGAATTATTTTAACGAGTAAATTGAAGCTATTCGATATCGACCAGACGCTTTAAGCGTGAACATGTTCATTCCTCTAATCTCTGGATAGATGGATAGATACCTAAAGAGACGGGCTGGTGTGAGATTTATCTAAAGCTGCAAGGTGAGGTATCATCTAGGTTAAAGAGTTGTAATAATAAACGTGCGCAAAGGTTGGGTATTAAATACATGTAAGAGCCTGACGTAGCTACAGCTACAAGCTACAGCTACAATTTATCTAGCTCGTTACACTATTCCCACAGTCATTGAACAAGTATGGGGCTATACTAAATTAGGCTTAAATATGACAGTTAGGGTACTGGGGTAAGACCGTGTCGTTAGGCTAAGGTTCCATATAAGCGGGGTGGGTTACTTACAGATCTGAGCCCCACCATCCCACTATCCCACTGCCTGGTACCCCTCAACGGCGGGGTTCCCCTGAAGGTCCCCAAATCGTTGAATCCAGCTGCGACTGCAAGTCTACTTCATAGGGCATCCAGGTACCTAACCTACCTCATTTCAGCCTCATCTATTTCGGCCTGTTATAGCAAAATAATACCTATATGTAGTAGGTATGCAGGTTAGATGTTAGATGCATATGACATACACAGCATTATAAATATAAATGCTGCATTGCTGCTGTACGCCTTAGGCACCTACCTTGGTAGATATGCCTGAGATGTAGCATCAAACCAAGGCAATACATAGGTACAACACGCAGCCTAGGTACAATACGTAGGTACTTCACAATTTTAACTTCTTTCCTACACCTAAGCTTTATTTCACAACCGTCCGTTTCCAAGCTTATCAACTTAACCTTCTTTTACCCTCCCTACCTTTTCTACCTTCACTTCCAGCCTCCCGGATCATCTTTTATATGTCCTCCCCGCCTCCTCCTACTCGTCTACAATCGTGATTCTACGGATTGTCTTTTCGAGTACGATATGAGCCCTTGAGGTGTCTACGCCTCGTCATCCACCCCTCGTTCATTGGCTGGGACATGAACCATCTAGATTATCTGCATCTTACTTGGCCGACGTTGACTTCCTCTCCTACCATACCCGAACTGGGCCCGTCAATTCAGAGCGACTTCGTTAAACCAAAAACGATATCATTTTAGGACGCCACCTTTACCACTGTTGCTCTTTCTCCTTCTAGCCGATGATCGGCCGCCCAACGCCAGTCTAAACCCACCAATTCCATCTTGATCACCCTCGTTCAACGATATGTCGTCTTCATCATCCCCTGTCCGTTTGGACATTCCGGTTGAGCCACAGCTACAGCGTTTTACTTATTTTGCTAAATTCCCGTTCGACATCCGCCATCAGATTTGGGAAGAGATTATCTATACACCCGGTATCCATTTTCTAAAGTTCGAGGAGAATGACGATGCCTCGGATACGCCTAACGATTTTAACTCTGTGGGTTCCCAGTACGCACCTAAAATGGGAGGGGATGTCAAGAAGTCCAAATTCACTAGCACTCTCAAACCTGTATTCCCCTTCCCAGCAGCCGACAAGTCGTACTATCTTACCATGAACAAGACTTTCACCCAACTGTCACTGTCTTGCAATGAGGCGAAGAGGCTGGTTGAAAACCTAATCGAACGTGAGGGCAACCTAACTCTCGACAACGGCCGTCTAGTCCACCTGGCGGGATCTTCAGATATTACGTGTTTCGACTATCCTGGTGCCACCTGGTCCCGCCCTTTAGGCCCCTGGGCTGAGCGTTTAGATCAAAATCAACTAGCTAAAATTCGCCGCGTGGCTATTCGTTACAGCACAAAGTGGGATAACGAATGTCGTGTCTGTAGTACTTGTGGCATCATACACAGCTATCACCGCGATCACGGCAGTATGCTTCCGCGACATGCATACGAGTTTGCTGCCTTGTTTAAGAATCTCGAGTCTTTCTACTTCATGGACTGCCTAGCGGTTCGAAAGCAGCGCGACAAGTCTAAGCCGACTTCGTGCATCTTCGCAAAACGAGGTACGTAAATCGCAATTCACAACTACTCTCTGCTCGCAACTGACAGCAGAATAAGCATGTGGGGATAAGGGTGAGAGCTTTGCTAGCGGGGAGGGGGGACGCACGTACTACGAAGTTGACCCTGAACTCTGCAAGGTTAACACTCACGTCTTTCGCACCCTCTCGTGGGTTCGCGAGGCCTACATCACCTACTGTCAGAAACATTCAAAAGGTCCGGTGGATCCGGAGAAGGTCAAATTCAAGGTCTTAACCTGCGAATGGGACACTGACGAGCTAGTCCCTGCGAAGCAGCAAGAGCCAATCTCGGGTCGAGCCTCCTCGGCCTATAAACGTCAGAAGAAGCGAGGTTTCAGCCTTACGGATAGCTTCAGGAAGATGAGCATCGGTGACACACCCGACTCTGGCGTCAAGTTTCACAGCAACCTTCCTGTAGTCTTCGGCGACGGTGGCAAGTCGAAATTTGAGTTCACCATGGAGATGCCCTTTCCGACGCTGCACACGTAGCACATTTGGTACTGCGTGTATCATTATTTCTTCTCGGACGGATCCTAGGTAATAAAACATTCACAGCATGGCGTACCGGGTCCTAAAGAATACCTTTGTTTCCCTTGTTTATTCATCTTCCTTTCCAGGTGTTGATACCCAATCGTTGCAGGCGTTATCGGTCACAACTAGGGTCTCCGGAAGGGATGGTTCTTCTCACAAAATATTTTATGAATCATAAAAATGGCGCGGAACATCAGTCTACAGATTTCGGTGGCTTCGCTCCCCTGAACTCTCACATGGCAAAGAGTGGCCAAGTCTGGTGCTTGTCCCACCTTTTTTTTCTTTTGTGCTAGGTAGACAGATACCCTATAATACAAACTTTCGGGTCATGATAGGATCTGTGATATGCTCTAGCAAAGATCAAATACACGTTTTTGATAGTTAATTGATAATGCCCCTGAATTGTTATGCCTAGTAGTTCAGGTACGCACTGCTGTCTTGCTTCAATGGGTGTATCGATTATTTTGTTAATAACCATTATACCTATCACCCCGTCCCCCTATAAGACAACCGCAAGAGCCTAATTTCCTGACTCTTGTACCAAACCCAGCCTAGCTTTCTCAACCATATCCTTCAACCCCCGGACCCGTTCGTTCGCCCCGTCGCTAACCTGTCCCCCAAGCTCCTTCTGGAGCATATCGAAATGGCGGGCATGGGATATCAAACCCGAAGCGCCGCCCTGTTGTTGCCTCTGCTCCGGCAATATGCCCAGTCCCCGATCGATGTTGTCGAGGAAATACAGCACCGCTTGGCAATAGAACATGCTCGCTAGTCGCCCGCTGAACATGTAGAAGGCGCCCAGCTGGACGCCCTTGCTGGGATCGGACAGGGTAAGCGGGTATCGGTCGATGCCGATGGCCCGCCGGTGCGCGTGGAAGAACATGACTTCCCAGAGGTTGATCGTTTGCACGTAGCAGCTTACGAGCACGCAGACAAACGGGGTTGTTAATATCACGTCTTTCTCGGCCGGCGTATCGCCAACCGTGGTTTGGCAATTATCCTCTTGACCTAGATGCCCTAATAAGGGCTCTTCAGCGTAAGACGAAGAAGAAGAAGAAGAATCGATTGCGGCCCCGTCATCAGCGACGACGTGTCCATGGTGATGGTGGTGTAACGGCTTGGGCTCGTGCTTAACAACCCAGACGAGATTCGTAATAGCCTGCTGGAATCTCTGCGCCATGATGAGCAGTTTCTCGGCAAGCGAAACCCCGTCGCCGGCCGGGGGAGGCGGATGGTCGCAGAACGTGACGAAGTTTACCCTCCCGCTTTCGTCTAGTTCCTGGAGGGCTCGCCAATGAGCGTGCAGGTCGACGTTAAGCTGGGAAAGCTCCTTGAGGCATTCGTGCCGATCTAGCTTCGCCGTCAAGAGGCTGTGTACCTCTAGGGGGTCCCTGTCCGCGGAACATCCGGAGTTAAAGCGGGTCGGCTCGTCCCATTCGGGAGTCCTGTACTCGGAAAGCGGTAGCATTATTGGATTTAAGTCGAAGTCGTTTACATGGCTATGCGGTAGCGATGGCGTCTCGGCGAATGAACCGTTGACTTGTGGGAGGTCATCAAGTCCTGGTGGTAGTAGTAGATTATCTGGACTCTGGCTTGGCGGTATACTACCCTGGGCTTCCGGAGTATCATGGCTTTCGCATACCAGTAGTTGAACAGGAGGTATACTTGCTTCGGCGGCTGCTGAGTCGCTTATTGTGGTTTGTGATGATGAGGCGACTTTTCGCGGACGTCCTGGTGGCTTGGCCGGCGCGACTGAGCAGCGTAGGTCGAGCCGTAAGCACCGAGTGCATTTCTCCTGGTTCTCATCGCGCAGACACCTCAACTTCGAATGCCGGCACCTAATTAGATTGAAAATGTGAGTTTAAATGAGACATGGTCATATTTTGGGAACTGTAGGGCTATTATAAGGTAGGTATATATACCGATCACAGGCAGTGCGTCGTAAGCTCGATCTAGGATGAGGAGTTGTTGTCTCCATCTCATAATTTCCACAGGGTCTTGCAATTGAGGATCTCGAAGGGAACTGCGTAAAACTTATGAATTCTTGTAATGATGGAGTTAACTTACAATTACGGCTTGGCTATAAGTTAATTGGAAATCAAATGAGAATGTTACATATTACATATAAAAAGACCGCCGAGCCATCATCTCGCACGGACGTCTTCTTTCTATTCTAATAGGTAGCCGGTACGAAGATAGCATCACGAAGGTATATAGGACTTATATTAACCTTAAGATTTATGTATAATTACCTACCTCCTATATAACATTGACTGAGACATACACCTGGGCTTCTAAAGGAAAGAATCTTTTTGCCTAGTTATTCATTGAATAAGAAGAGTATCAAAAAAGCAATTTAAAAATGTATAAAATCAACTATCTCGTATTCCGTTCAAGTTGACTATTATTAAGTACCCGTCTTTCGTTCTTCGAGACCAAACTCGGTCTTCAACTCTGTTCTCAACTTTACTTCTTTTTCAAAGAGAACCGAGAGAAAGACAAAGCCGGACAGCGGTACTCCGATAAGGAACACCTTCTGAAGAGACAGCGTGAAGACGGTCCTGATTTGCTGCCTCGCAGGTTCCTCGAACGATTCCACGAATGCCTTTGTCGCGCTTGCGTACGAGTTCCCCGACGTCAACAGCGCTCTAGCTCTAGGGTCCTCTATCATCGGCGCGTACGATGCGGTAAAGCTGTTGAAGATAGCTGCCGCGATCGCCACGCCCCATACATTGCCGAAGCTTCGGATAAAATTCCAGCTTGCCGTAGCAGCCGCCTGGTCCTCTTCTTTGAGAGAGGCCTGAAAAGCAGGGAGTAGCGTATTCGTGAGCATGCTTGTCCCCAGCGCTGTTACTATGTTGATCCAAATCCAAGCCGCCGTGCTGGTGCTTTGGTCCATGATGCTGAGGAGCCCTAACCCAAGGGTAAACATAGCAGAGCCGATAATGTGAATAATCTTATATCTACCCCATCTAGACAGCATCAGCAATGCGATGGCAGCCCCCGGTATCCCCACGAGACTATATACTAACAATTCCACGCCAGATTGCGACGGCGAGGATAATCGAACGCTTTGGAAGTAGAGCGGAATGAAAAAGAACTGCCAGTAATTCTCAGCCGAGTTCAAAAAGGAGATAACGTATACGATGACAGCGGTACGGTTGCTAAATAAACGAAGGGGCATGACTGGCTCGACTACGAAGGGCAAGCCTTCAAAAACCACAAACAGTACAAGGCCGCCAACCCCAACCACCAGGGGTACCAGGATGTGCCATGACTTCCAAGGATATAACACGTCCGCCCAGGTCAGAGCGATCAGAATAGACACCGTGGATGCGATTAAAATTGCATTGCCGATATAGTCGATTTGCCGTATCTTCTCGTAGGCCGTCGTAGACCTATCCCATTTGACGCGGAGGAATAAAAATAAGAGTATGAATGCTAACCCGCCAATAGGCAAGTTTATATAAAACACCCATCTCCACGATGTGTTTTCGACGATAACACCCCCTAAAATGGCCCTAGAGTCGTCCCGATACCATATATAGCTATGATTATTGCGATGAAATTGCCGCGCTGCCTCAGTGGGACGAGATCTGATACGATGATATCGATGATCATATTAATACCTAGATAATCAGCTCCGGTCAGTTTCGCGCCCATAATTGAACGACTTAGCTCGAACGTACCGCCTGAGCCCATGCCCTGGATTGCTCTTCCGGCGATCAACATAGCCGAGTTTTTCGCACCACCACATATTCCGCTACCTATGATATAGATGGCGACGATAGACAGAGCTAAGTGACGTCGCCCGAAGAGGTTTGATAATTGCCCACATAAAGGCTGAATAGCCGCGCTTACTCCGTCATTTCAATTAGCCACTCGACGTTAGATTAGTCTATTTTGAGATCATCCTACCTCGTTAAGAAGAAGATATTGCTAATCCACACGTAATCCTGGCCGACATTAAGCTTCTCGACGATCGTAGGTAAAGCAGTGACGACGACAGTATTCTCGGCGGCAGAGAGCAAAGAGACCGTACAGAGCGCGATGATGATGGCCCAGAACCGAAAATCTCTTTGCGGCTTCTCATCAGAGGCCTCGGGGACGTTGGGATTCCGCACACTAGCATCGTTATTTAAGATATCTGGGGACGATGTCTCACGATTCGAGTCGGCTGATGCGGCCGGGTTTGTTTGCATTCTGATCTAGGGGGCTCCCAACCGTTCCATTGCTGATGATGTCCATCCTCGTGGTTGTAAACAGTAACTGCCATGGCGCCTTTTAAAGGAATGGATACGGAGAGATGTTTAGATGAAGAAAAATCTTGGGCGATTCTAAATCGGAAGGTTTCAATACTCATCGGAGCGGGAGAGGCTGTTACGGAGTCAAATTGCTTCCGTTCGGAAGGTTTTATAAACGATGATGGGCCGTATCGGAAGGTTTTCTATATCAGATCACCGCGCTCCAGGCAGGTTAGTCGGCCGTATTAAGGGCAGCCAGCCAATAAGAAAATGTGAAGCCTAGCTATTCCATGCCTTGATAATCTCTAAGTCGGAATGTTTCCATAGATTAGAGGTTAACCGTATCGATGTCATCCTGGGACATACGATAATCCTCCCGCTCGCAAATTTCAGATTATATCTTACCTTCCGAGCATACTTGTTACCTCGGATATACTCAAACCCTCTCATATTGCTCAAGTCTTTGCTATAGAGAACCGTCCGTTCTATAAAATTCTACGCGCCTAAGACTCTACCGCATCGTGATACGACATTTGCATATTACATTAGAGGTAAACATACTGGGTTAGGAGGTAGTTTATGCGCAAGCATAGAGCGATACTCGTTCTACGAGTTTGCCACATCCGTTACTCAGTATGAATAATCGGTGCTCGGCGAGAATAACTTGAACTATGCTCGTGGAAGTCAAAACGAACTACCGATGAGAGACCCCTTTCTCAGGATTTATAAAAGCTTACCGTTCTGCGACATCCTTCGAGCATGATCGCATGAAGCTCGGGGTAAGATAAACGGGAGGGCCAAGTATAATTATATTTCGAGGCTTGAGCTCATTTCATGCAGATGCCAAGTGAAAGTGTGCGTGTTTCGAGTGCTCGAATATAATGTAGGTGTATACCAGCTGGTGTATACGCTAGATTCGGGGTCACGATGTTCCATACAGATGATCTTCTCTCCACTTAGCCGGTGATATTTGCCGACGGCATTGCCGTAGGTTTTAGGTTCGCCTTCTGAGGCTCTGCCGATCATCGATGTGGTGTCCTCTCGCTATGTATGCACTCATACTTGGCAAACTCCGTGAACGTTTCGTCGCTTGTCTTAACGACCGGTTGTTGCTAATTCATTAATTGTGTCATTGAGCTGAGATTGTGATTGAAGAAGTTGAAGAATTTAAACTCGGGATTTGAATTGCAGAGATAAGAGGTACATACCTTAGGTACCTAACGAATACCGAAATAACCAAAGTTTTCGATTACCGCATAACTAGGTACCTATACCTAACTAAGCAATCTTGTAAGTATGAATAATTCTATTATAGAGGGCCTCAGAGGTGATATTATTTCTATTATTGCATACGCGAGCTAACAAAACACCCCCTATTATCAGACGCCATGACCAATCCCGGAATGCTCTACGTTACTATGCAGCCCAAGCCAGGGCTGCCGATACACCAGTTTCATGAATGGTACAACAATGAGCATGGCCCTACGAGGCTCAGACTACCCCAGATCTTCTCAAATGGCCTCCGTTATCGGGCGGCAGACGGAAAGGAGCCTGAGTTTCTAGCCGTCTACGACGTCGTGTCTATGCCGCTCTTGGAGACGGATACTTACACGTCTCTACGCGCGAATAGATCGCCTAGAGAAGCTGAAACTATTGGCCAGGTCGATGTGAAGAGGTGCTTCTGGGATCTTGTCTCTGCAACCGAGTCTCCGCTCTTCGTCCCAATCGAGCAGTTAACAGATGACGAGGCCGAGGGCATACTCCTACTCTCATTGGAGTTCAAGCTTAGCGACACGGCAGATGCCGAGAAAGGAATCAGTATGTGGCTCAAGGAGCACGTATCTTCGATATCAAAGTCAGCCGGCTGGCTACGATCGCGGGTCCTTAGGACGTCTAGCTTAGAGACTGGCTCGCCAATCTCCTTTATTGCGCTCCATGAGTTCTCCAAGGCAGAGTTCGCAACAGCAACTCATCTGCTTACATCATCCCCTCTCGAGTGGAATGATATTCAAGAAAGGCATGCAACAGTGAATTCGCAACGACTGTATGAGCTCTTCTACGTCTTCGGGCCGGCGTCGCGTGACTTATACAATTTGTCGCATCTCGAGCCCTCTACGCCCGATTTTGTATCCCCATACAATAAGACTGTCACTTCAGCTGCCACTTCAACAATCCTCTCGTACGTGACGGCTCCCGATGGGCTCGAGATTCCTTACGAGCTCGAAGGCAACCCGGATCCCAAGGCGCCGGTTGTTGCCTTCTGCAACTCGCTGCTTACCTCGCATCATATGTGGGACCCCTTCGTCAAGATCCTGAAGGCGCAGAGACCGCAGTATCGCATTCTACGCTATGACTTCCGCGGGCGACACGAGATACCTTCCCCCCCTGTTCCCGCAACCTTAGACACGCTAGCAGACGATCTCAGCAGCGTCTTAACTGCGCTGCGGATCCCCAAGCTGGACACCTTGATCGGCGTATCCATGGGCGGGGCCACGACGTTGCGGTTCGCGCTCAAGTATCCAGATAAGCTAGGGCGCTTCGTCGCGTGCGATTTCAACGCAGCGTCTAGCCCCGCGAACACGGACGCGTGGAAGCAGCGCATCGCTATCGCCGAGACGCCTCTTGAAGACGGTACCCCTGGTATCCAAAAACTGTCAAAGCAGACCGTCGAGCGCTGGTTCCACCCTGCTACGATGGAGAAGCAAGAAACCGTGCGTTGGGTAGAGAATATAGTTTCCAAGAACAATCTCGAGGGCTTTAGGTACGGGTGCCAGGCGCTCTGGGACTACGATATGAAATCCCAGATGAGAGAGTGCCAGGTCCCGGCGCTACTAGTCGTTGGCGAGGGCGACGGAAAGGGGGCGCTGGTCAAGGCCATGGACGGCTTCAAGAGCCTTCTCGGAAAGAATGGTGCCGAGCTAGCCGTCGTACCAGAGGCAGGCCATCTTCCCATGTGTGAGAATCCAGAAGCTTTTTGGAAAGCCGTGGAGGGGTTCTTGTGAGGATCTAGACTGCTCTATAGCTATTTCGGTAATGGGGTCGTGACAAAACGCCAAGCTGGGTTACCAACTTGAAATCATAGCTCTACGTCTATCCAGCGGGATGTCAGCTGTTGCGGTAGCTATGAATAGCTCCTAATCTAAGTAGATCTCTTTGACCTATGGCATCGAAAGATATACCTTATCGTGGGATGAGCCGACCGTAGGTATCTACAGAAAAGGGTTGTTAGTAGCTAAGAGCGATACATATACCACGTAACCATACGACATAGAAGTTACTTGACCAGAGTGTTCATATAATTCCACGAATGGCATGTTCTATCATACTCGCTTACTTAGCAGTTATAGCTATGAAAACATAGCAAGATCTGATATCTGCGCATCATCCTATCTTGTCATGTATTCATTGTTCTTTTTCCTATCCAAGCTACGGTAATATGGGCCGAGTATTATAAGAAACGACTTAGATGTCGTAGTTTACTCAGTACGCCCCATCACAGAACGATCTCTACCATCTCCCCTGAAGTTTGCTGTGACGTCGTTTGAACTCTTAGAGCTTAAGACTCTCCAGGTAAGCCTAGGAGAATTATCATCCAGGATATTTGTTAGAATTAGAGAGAATGTGGATATCTTTAAGTTCGAGCTCTATTTCTCGTTATCCTACCGATGCTTAGTATAGCAAGGTAGTATAGACTCAGCTAGCACGTGAAAAAAGGTAGGAAAGGTGTTCCGAAAATATATCAAGATCCCCGGGGACCTGACCCCCACCTTGGCGAGGATTGCTCACGCCGCCGGCACGACGGAAGGAGGCCAGTTGGGGGCGTTGCCGCATACGGATAGCTTCGCGATGACGCAAGCAAGGCGGAATCGCCAGTCGGAAAACGATCGAATATTAAAGGATCTATGCAACTCGTCCCGGCAGCCGTCAGGGTTGCGTTGTGTATGTATGTACGAGCCCGTGTGTAAATTGATTCCTGGTGAGCTGATCGAAACCCCCACGCCATTCATCCCGAATAACGCCATCTCATGTATGTATCCTCTCACCTTTTCTTCTTATCCATACTTCACTTGCGGCTTCTTGTACCTACGATATCCAGGCTCCCGGTCTGGTAGTATACCTAGACTGCAGGATTGCAGCCGCGTAAGAGTGGCACACACACCCTGTCATTGATACATATGCAGCATCTAGAAGTAGTTCGCTCGGGCTGCAGTGCGTCAGACTTCCCGTGGGATGGGTGGAACTAATTACGATCATGCGGAGTTGATAGTAGTGTTGCTTCGAGTTTGAACGGATATATTACAAGTTGGACTGGCCTGGTGGACTTAAGTATAGCTTATCTCCTTGTAAGTCGTATGGTTCGCGTCTTGGATCGGCAAAACCTCCTGCTGGACATGATTCCGCTTGAAATTTATATACCTACGTTTAGATGCGCCATGCTCATAATAGCATTACAAATATGTAAACCAATAAATGTGGTATCGGCTTTTCGTCGTCTCATAGTTACTTAAAACATACGTGCCGTTGGCGAGAGGGATTCGGGGTACATGTGTACTGTAATCACCTTAATAGACTGTTTGTAAGCCAGCGATATTCTTACCAAGCCATAGTCGAATAGCTTAGAGATTCTATTAGAGATTCTAAGGGGAGCTGGAAGCAATGGCTGCGTGAACCTTTTTTACCGATTCCATGTTCCATGAGAACTTCTAGAACGTCGCCTCGCCTTGTGTCTTAGCTGTATGCTACTACGGACAAGATCTCTCGGCGTTACTATAACTGCAGGTGACTCTACATTACGTACGCATTCGGGTTATAAAACACTAAAAAGATCTAGTTATATACGGAGTAGTGTGAACTTCGTAACGTTACCCACGACCCAGCAGGTCGGAAGCCCTGGTAGAGTTGCCCTGCTTCCCGCCGCTTAACCTACCCGTAGCGTCCCCTACGATATGATTACTAGATTTGGTTACTTGTGTATAAAAACCTGGATCCAAAGCTGCTTTAGCGTTGGGCTACGCGGCTGGACTAAACAGAAAGAAAAGGAGCCCATGTCAAGCCTCCCGCCCCGGGGAAATAACGGTCTTTCTTTATTTGTCTGTGGTCTTTTGCAAGGTCGTACAAGGACCATGTGTAAACGCGTCCCGTCTCTTGCAGGGGATGTTTCGGGGTAAAATATCTGTTGGGCTGGGTGGCGAACGGCGCGTGGCCCGCGTCCCGGTAGAACTCTCTTGCGAGCTCGCGATAAATATTTACCTTAGGTACATAGAGGTAAGATAGGTAATGTACCTAGGGTGAGAGGCAAATAGAAGAGGAGGAGGAAGAATTCTGTCCCGTCTTGGTAAGTCGCGATTCTCTTTCCTTAACGGATCGCTTCGGGACACGGCTCAGTAAAAGCTCATCTTGGATGGACTGGATGGGATCATGCAAAGTAGATGAACCGGATGAGATTCGACGGGAAATCTCCTTGTTCGAAATTACCGACCAATAGCATGTCGACGATAGGGATGGGACGGCTGCTGTGGACGGAATAGACTTAACGAGTTATAGTGTGTAGTGACTTCGGAGACTCGGAGTGGTCTGGAAGAAAAGAGACAAAAAAATGTGGCCCCAGGTATTTTTTTTTAAACTATTTTCTCTTTTGGTCCGGTTTGATGTTAGCTACGGGAACGTACGACTTGTTTCTAGGACTCTAGGGACCCTAGGGATAATCAATCTGGGCATTGTTGGTCGTTAATCGATTCATCCAAGTGTGTCAGCTCTGATCGACCAAGCATTAGCTTCAAGTGAGGCGGACCGTCAAAGAATAAAGGGCCCTTTAATGGTCCAATAGTCTTGGTCTTGGGGGGGCTAGATCCACGTTGGAACCATACTGGCCTAAGCTGGACCGCGGAGCTGCGTGCCGGCTCGTCAATCTAAAAGAGTGCGCCGTACTCATGCCTGTTCGGGCCGGGCTGCCGCATGGGAGAAGACCCCTGACGATGGGGGGACTGGGGGAGCGAGGGGCAGCCAAGTCCGACATGGGGTAGGGAGAAAGTGTTTCTTCAACCTGGTTAAAGGCTTTACCTTTTGACATACCTACGGGTCCTACCTAAGGTATTTAGTCCCTGCTTGACCCCGCGGTAACCCAGCAGTCCCAGGTGGGCAAAAGAAGAGAAAACGGAATCTGAATGGCCGAGTCACAGCACACTGAAGGGATAGAGGGATCACCAGACACGGGGGCACGCACCAGGTAAAAGAGAAAAAGAAGGGAAAAGGCTAAGCATGTCCAACGTAGATGTGGTACAGCGCACAGCCGCTGCACTCCCCTCAAAATTCGAGACCGTAATGGCTGCCGCTGCCACTACCGCTACCGCCACGGCCGCTGGAGTTGGGGTGGGAGTTGGAACTGGGACAGCCACCACAACTCCAAGTAGCGCTGCTGCTGTCACAATGGCGTCGACTAAACCCACTACAACATCTTCCTCCTCTACGTCGATAGCGACAGCGATCTCGACGACAACTTCAATAACTTCAACAACGACAGCACCACCACCAAAAACTTTAGGAACAACTACAATATCATCTCCAACGCAAATAGGGGTAATTGGAATCAAAAGGACAAGAAACGGAGACCATAAAGAAGGCAGGAATTCAAAAAGTAGGCAGAGGCCTTTTACCAAGAGCATGGAGCCTCCAGTATTATCATTTTACGGCACGCAGCCAGTACCTCTACCCTCGCGATTTGGCAGTCTTAAAAAGCGTCTCGTCGCAGGCCACGAGTCCGCGCTAGAAGCATCGTGGGGACGGCTTCTGGCCGCGCTGCGCCAAGAGATCAAGTATATCGAAGAGCACGGCTCCGGTTTGATCCCGTCAATTGACTTCACCGACATGGAAGACGCCGCCAAAGTCGCGCCGTTCGGAGAGCAGCTAAAGCGACACGGCATCGGCGTCATAAGAGGCGTCGTCCCCTCTGCAGACGCGAGCTCTTGGGTCGAGGAGACCAAAAAGTATCTCGAGACGAAACACGAGTATAAGCCGCCGCCGGCACAGGATCCTACCTGTTTCGACTTCTTCTGGACTCCCGCGCAGGTACGCTCGCGCGCGCACCCTAACGTTTTGCAGGCGCAGCGGTTCGCCATGTCGCTATGGAACGCGAATAACGACGACCGACTCGCGACGAGGTTCCCCATCACGTATGCGGACCGAATCCGGATAGAGTCGGTGTCGAACGGCCACCTCACCGTAAATGGGGCTCTCGCCGCAACGCATGAGGACACCTTGATCGCCGCTGCGGCTGCGACATCGTCTGCGCAGATCGCGCAGATTGACAACGGTAGTCTGGAGCGTTGGGAGCAGGACGGCTACGGACGTGGTGGTCTTTACGATGCAGTCTTCAAGGGCGACTGGGAATCCTACGATGCGTGGGACCCGGCGGGACGCATCAACGCAACATCTGACTTATACAATGGCGCAGGCGCGTGTTCTATGCTGCGCTTATTCCAGGGCATTCTCGCGTTGACGGTAGTCGAGCCAGGGATGATTCGACTGCTGCCTTCGCCAAAGCTATCAACAGCTTATTTTCTTCTCCGACCCTTCTTTTCACCAAAGAAGGGACCGCCTCAACAGGGCGCCAGCGAAGAGGAGTGGAATGCATACCTGGATGCGTCGAACTGGGCCCTTGATAAAGACCAGTCGACAATAATACACGGTGCAGTCCCGGGTCATGCGCAGCGTGTGACAGCACCGTGGCACCCCCATCTGCAACTCGACAAGAGTCTCGTAACGCCGCCTACACTACAGGCTGGCGACTACATAATCTGGCATCCGGACCAGGCGTACCAATTCTCCAATACCAACTACCGCACCAGCAGCCGGCCGCAGACATCCTCTAGCGAACCTGGAGCCGGCGATACGACCTCCATGCTGGTTTACACACCCGCAGCACCCCTAACCCAAACCAACGCCCTATTCCTCGCACGCCAGCGCAAAGCTTTCCTTCGCGGCCACCCAGGTCCAGACTTCGACTCCACCGGCACAGGTCTCGGCAGCGAGGCGCCGCACACCGGCCGTCTCGGCGAGAAAGACATCCGAGAAGTAGGCGGCCAGGAGGGGCTGCAAGCGATGGGTCTTGCGCCGTGGAACCTAGCCAGCAGCAGTAGCAACAACAGCACCAAAAGCAGTAACAACAACAATAATAGCAGCAGCAACCACAAGCAACACGCAGCACCGAAGGAGAAGAGAAACGCAGACGTAGACAACATGGACGTCGACGCGCCCAGCAGGAGCAGCAGCCGCGACAGCAGAAGCAGCAGCACAAGCAGCAGCACGCACGCCGAAGCCGAAGTAGTGCGCCTAGCCAACATCATCCTGTTCCCCGACCGCTACGACTTCTACATGCCGACGCGGGTCAGCAGTCCCTCTCCAGCAGGCCGGGACCGAGGCGAGAAGGAGAGGGAGCGCGAGCGCGAGCGAGACAGGGGTAATAGGGAGCGGGAAAACTCGGACCGGGATAAGGATAGAGACAAGGGGAAAGAAAGATAAAAGAGAAATAAATTACCTAGGTACATAAACGAGAGCAGGTGCACAAGAAAGAAAGAAAATACACTAAACATGGACGGGGGCGGTAAGGCATGACTTGATAAATGGGAAATGGGTAGGAAAGGGGTCGGGGTTGCATAGGCCTGGATGGCTTGCTAGCCACGCATGCGAGTTGCTGCTTATTACTACCATATTCAAAGCTGTATATACGTTACTTCTCTCTGTCTCTCTTCCTCCCTCTCTCTTCCGCAGAGATACGCATCACGAGGTAGAGGTAGCTGACATAGATAGGATAGGATAGGACGGAGAGACTGACAAGCCATTTGAGTCAGTTCAAGTTGGGTCAGGCTTAATTGAACTATGACACATTAGGTCCCTTGATTCTATCATGAACGTCCAGTCTCCCCTTTTTGCTATCGTGATGATGTCTCTTAAATAGACATAGGAGCTACCTAAAATTATTTCCACCTTGCTTCAATTCTACTTCCTTAAACGCATATAGTATCCTACACTTAAACCATGTCTATCAAGTAGATCAAGTAGCCAAAATACACCAAATAGAACGAATAGTCATTTAAAACGTACCGGTACTACTCTAATTCGTAGTTAGTTTCATTATCATTATCATGCATATCCCATTGACATGCGCAATGCCATACCCGATCATCCAGACTATCTCTGACTCCCAACCAACCTTCCAAAACGTATGGACGAAACCAATAACCAACCTTATGCCTAAACCCTTACCTCCCATAACGTACCGTGTTGATCCTGCCTCAAAAGACCATACGTACAATAACTCAATCCTTCCTCATAAGTACTTGAACATCAGAGAGCCACTCCTGCTCGCGGAGCTCTTTTAGTTCCTGCCGCAACAATCGCTGCCCCCGTGGCAAATTCCTGTCGCTGGAGAGCAAGTTCGAGCTCGGTCAACGCACACTGTGCACTAATTATCTTGAACGTCTGAAAGTCATCCTTGTTTCTGCCAAAGCTCTTCGACTTGGCGATACCGACGTGGAGGCAGGCGATGCTCAGTTCAAGCGGCGTGCTATCGTGGTGCCGGCTATCAGCATGGTAGTCTGTCGAATCTGTATCACTGTCGCTATAATCATCGTCATCATCGCTATCCCGCGGGTCCACCTTTTTCTTGCGGATCATGCTTTCGACCCATCGTGCGATTGCATCATAATCGTCTTTGAGGCGGACCGATCTATCTCGCTGCCGGCGAGTCTGAGCGCCTGTCTTATTAAAGATATACCCCGTAAAGACCTCGAGCTCCGAAAGGCCTTTGGTAAAATTATCAGAATATTCCATAGTTGCAGTCCAAACCGCATCGTCGTATCTATGAATTAAGATTAGTTCTTTAAGATCATAAGTAGTAGGTAATTCACCGCAAGGGGTCCTTACGCATCACGGATACGACGGGCTTCATCCAAGGCTGCCTCCCAGTCGACAAATCCTAACTCGTCGCACCTATGGTTGATGTATTGAAGCAGCTGTTCCCATACTGAAGGGCCGTGACGGCTAACAAATTGATGGATGTCGTATTTCCAGATTCGTTTCTCGTCGATAGCTCTGTATAGTGTGCCAAGAATCTTGTCGGATTTGTAATATACATGCCCAGGGCCGCTGTCGTCGTCTTCATCTTCGGGTACTGGGGCTTTCATTGTTTCGAACACGATTTCTGTCTTGTCGACGATGTTCGCGGGAGGGGCAGGTGCCAAGCTGTACAGAGCTGAATTAATGACTCAAACATCATGGCAAAAAGTTATGATTTCATTTCCGGAAGAGGAAGTAAAAACAGTAATATTTTCAAAAACACTTACAATTCTGGGCGGTATTTTGTTGTTGTCAAACCTCTAAGCTTGTTGATATCGATGGGAATACCTGATTTGCTGTAATCCACGCCTGTGGAATGCATCTCAGCAAGAAGTTTACACTCATCATCGACCGAGCCCGCAGGCTTCCTATCGGCGAGAATCAAGTGCTTCGTAGCGATTACACCCAACCTATGATAATGATATTAGCCAAGATACATTGCGGAAGGGCTAGGTCATATTATGTTCGAGATGGAGTTATGGACTCAATTCAACTTACTGGTCCGTGGCCATGAATTCGACGAAAAAATTTGCCATGTCTTCCCATCTCACCTCCCGGCCAATGTCCAGGGGATTAACCCGGGGGTAGTCTGCTGGGGCAAACTCCCGCTGCGATGAGTCGACAGCAAGTTCATCCCAGATGATATTATAGATATCACCATCAAGATCTCCACCGCTTAGTTGACTGGGAAGATCTCTCTCTCCTTTCTGGCTGAATACAACACAATTGGAGAGCGACCGGAGGGGATGGCCATCTGGAGGTACGACCACTTTCCGTACTTGAATATCGCCCGGATGAAGAGCAGGGGACCTTGTTACCAATACCAATCGGTTATGTAGGTCTATATCAATACCACGTTTTCTATAAAGCTTTTCTTGCTCAAACGTGACATAGATTTCGTCCTCCTTCAAAAACCCAAACTCATCCATAACGCCGAAGAGTGTGACTCCTTTCTCGACTGGAATGCGGGCTTTATGCTTGAGAAGACGTACCTCTCTTAAGATAACGGTCTCAACGACAGAACAGAGGAAATTGTCCTTCTTGTAGTCTATCCCCAGCTTATGGAGACGGCGGATGAATTTTGAGAAGTTGATTTGCTCTGCAACCTTTTGTCTCTTGAGAAATGTGACGGTATTGTGGATCTGGGCGGTTATCATGCGCAGTCTCTCAAGCTCGCGATTTTGAACTTGAAGGAACCATTCGCTTGCGACACCCATGTCCTCAAGGATCTTGATCATTTGACGATTAAGAACAAGGGGGATAGGCCGATTCCCCATATCACATATCTCCAGGTATCTTATATCTTCACTGTCGAATTTAATCATACTCGGTCTAATGCACATGACCATTCCATCAAGTCTTTCGTCCAAGGAAAGCATTCCTTTAGCACCTGCCCATCTAATCTGGAAACACGTAGTCGTGTTTCTATGTTGTGGTAAGGAGGCATGAATAGCCTCCATCAACGATCTGGACAGTGTCCCAACCCCATCGCTGAACACTCTCTCTTTATCGCTAGACGTCACATCCGCAAGAGGGTCGATGCGGGCTCCAATGCTTTGAAGATCGATAGAGAATGGAGTCTCGGAAAAAGCCTGGCCGATTCGGGCGGCGCACTTGGAGGGCGAGAAGATCTTATTAAATTTCCCGAGAAGTGAAATCACACGGAAATAGTCCTGTGAGTAACCATCATGATCAGTGAAGGGGGCCATGAACCATACACTGTGTGCTCGAAGAGAGGAGTGAGAAAACCCTAAGAACCTGTACTCGCGACCAGCGATATGAACCCCTTGTAAGAGGATCTTCTTGAACCGTTCCCAGACCGAGTCAAGCGACACCTTGGAATTAAAGAATAGGTCCTGGCCATCCTCTTCGCAAAATTGAACACGAGCAAAGTAGCTAATATGGTCAGGAAACTTCCGCAGTATTCGGTTTTTCGCTTCTGGTTCAGGTCCAAGAAGGGTGATCCGAGTAGGGGTAACCTGCACTTTGTATACCATCACAAGACTCTGACTTGCCCTCTCCGATATTAGCTCTTTTACGGTGCCACGACGGATCTCCTTTTCATTGGCCTCCAGGTATGACCAAATCTCGTCTGGATCAAATGCGCTTGCTTCCACATTTGGGCTAGGGAATGGAATTTGGGCGAAAAGTTTCTTGACCGCGCCTGCGGAGAAGGGGCAAGGAGGCTGTGTTGGTGCATTCAGCCTGGGTGCATTCTTGGTACCATTAATACCGTTGTTACTTATGCCCGGTCGGTAATTCGCGTTGATTCTCTGGCGAAGGCGCTTGAGTAGTATCTCGACCGTCTGCGGCAAAAGATAGCCGTTTTGGACAAGAGCTTGAAACTGAAAAAGGATATCAAAAGGAATGGTGGAAGTAGCCTGGCATTCATTGAGTAGAGCTTTAAATGCCTCATTCCCCTCAGCCATAGAGGTTCGGCCGTACAAGACGTCCGGGAATTCATAGTATGAAATCTTGAGCTTTTCCTTTTGCTTGAGTCGCTGAAGCTTAGAGTTGAACTCAATAGGTGATACATGAATACTGTACACAAGGCTCTGGCCTAGGATTGCTGCGTGATTTGCGCTGGTGTGTGGTAGGTGGCTTAACCGAAGCCTAGATACTTTGATTGCTCCTGCGGTAGGTCCAGAAATCGCCAATTGACTCATGTACATTGCGATATCTTGTGGTGAGACATGCGCTTCGAATAATCGAGGCGCTTCCCATAGCGTTAAGGTCATCGTAGGTATTTGACGAACGCTAGCAACGACTATCTCATCGATAGTACGATATGGGATTTCAACTCGGATGGACTCGTATGAGATTATAAGTGAATCCCTGGCAAATTTGGCTACCCCTTTGACATGCCATGTGATGTCGGGGCTGTAAGCGAGCCTGCTACCCATATATTCGTAATGGCCGCACGAGAACTGACGAAGGTCGAAGGTAACTTTTTTATCATTCGGAGACAACGTCTCTTCTTCCTCTTGCCGTTTAAGGTCCTCGGCTGTCTTGATCATGGCCCTCAGTAGAAATGGGTCTGGGGTTTTATTACTGATTTGACACTTAGCCCAGTCGCCGAGGATTTTCAAGTTTCCTTGATCACGTCGCGGTCCAATTCTACGGACGCCGCCGTAAAGTTGTAGAAAGATATCGCCATGTTCTTTGTAGAGGAAGGTAATAGTCCCGAAACGCTTCCCGCGGGTCTTCCTACAGGTCCAATCCGTAATGCCCAGCCCAACAGTAATGATAGGGGTTAGCTGAGTCTTGAGGCCCTGGTCGTTGAGGCCATGAGGAAGGCCTTGCACGAAGACCTCCATGCTAAGTTTGTGTAAAGTATACTCGAAAATGTGCGGATGGAGAAACCTACCTAGGTAAACTCCAAGTGGGTGTAGAAAGATAGGTAGGTAGGGTTAATAAAGCGTAGCCTCGCCAGGAAACAAGATGGGGGAAGTGTAATAACTACTACGAATAGAGCTCAAAAGGTGGTATGGCGGGATTGATCGGCTGGTAGCGGGCAGCTGCAGAATCCAATGGTAGCTCTTCACGACGTAGGAACGAGGGGGTAGCTTCCACGGATTTATGTAGGTGTAGGTACTTTGGGTAACACAAAGTGCGGGCAGCTTTGAAATAATCTGAGGCACATGTTATAACGAAAAAGGATGGTACGATAACTCAATGCATATGTGAGGCCGATCAGAGGGGTTTTTTTCTTTTTTTTCTTTTTTTTTTGGAGTTAAATTTTGAGGCCCAAAACGTTGGTTGAGGCCAAAACCGTGCTTACCTAACAAATGCGTTTGTTCAGTTGATTTGGCTTTTAATTAATAGGTAAGTTAGGTAATCAGAAAGACTTTGGAATTATCCTTATCAAGCACATCTACCATGCCTTCCACAATCTTCTTGGCGGAAGTACTCCTAGACATATTATCGTCTTGCTTTGCTGTACCACGATTGCTACCTATGTAGTATCAGTCAAGTTATAAGTAGGGCTATCCGTGCAAGGTGATAAAGCAAGGGCAGGAATGGAAAGATTTTTCAGAGATGCTTGATCATTTGAAAGCCATTGCATGTTATGTTATATAGGTAGATACCACAAACATTAAGATCCGACATAGAAAAAAAGTTGCATTCTTTCGATATTAAAAATAAACGGATTTGAGGGTAGGGGACCAAATGTGGGACAAAACCGCCCATTGAATAAAAGAATCTGAGGTCTTCAATGTAAGTAAGGGGACGTGAACCAATCATTGTTCCCGAATAGGAAATCTTCAAAATCAACCCCGCCAATCATCAATCATCTACTCCTTCAACTCAAACACTATGTCTTACACTATGTCTTCTCGATTCTAATCCAACACTCTCTGATTAGGGGTTAAGCGACTATGGATTCGCCAAGGAACAAACCAAAACGCAAGAAACAACCACCTCAGAATCCAATTGAGGCGGCAATTAGGACTTGGTTTCATACCAGCGCTTTAGCTCAGCACCAGCAATGGGATCTTGACGAACTCATTGCCCATGCCCCGAAAAGATGGACGGTGTACGAGCCGATGGTGCTACTTCCAGCAGGCTCTTTTCATCCAGCCACGTGGAAACAGTTACTTTCAGACTTATCTGATGAGCAAGTCGACCTCTTGTGGGCCCAGATCCTAGTAGAGATCTCTAAGAAGAGCGGAGGAACACACCTCACGCATCTAGCCGTAAATGAAGGGATTCCTGCAGCCCTCCGCCACAGTCCAGGGGAGAATGCAGTGGGGGATAACTCTGCGCCGGAGAACATATTGCGTAGCCCGACCGGCCTCCATATCTTGCATGGTGACTTTGGCCCCGCCCCTGATGATATAACGCCGGATTTCGAGCACGCATTCTGGGTCTCGACGAGGCAAAACGGTGTATTCCAGACGTGGGCACCCCGGTGGACTATGTTCAGTCGAGGGAATATCAAGGAAAAAGCGCGGCTACTCGGCTTTCATGACGGCAGGCCCATGGAAGATAGAAAACCGCTACAGGATACCTGGGCGGTCGACCTATACGCAGGCATCGGGTACTTCACCTTCTCGTATGCGAAGCTAGGCATGCGGGTACTATGCTGGGAGCTGAATCCGTGGAGCGTGGAGGGTTTGCGTCGTGGTGCCAGGGGAAATGGCTGGTCGGTGCGGGTTGTGAAAGACGAACATGACCTTGCATTGCCGATGGATGAGCTTGTAAGTGGAGGCGAGCAGATCATAGTATTTCTCGAAGATAATAGGCATGCTGCGCGGAGAATCAAAGAGCTAAGCGAACTGGATATATCCCATGTCAACTGTGGCCTACTGCCTACCAGTCATGCGTCATGGAAGGACGCTTGGAATATTGCAGGGCGCAGTAAAAGACGGGAAGTGTGGCTTCATCTGCATGAGAATGTAGGAGTGGCAGATATTGAGAAACGAAAGGGAGATATTGAACAGTATTTCTTGGGTATAGCACCCGACGACAACGACAATGCCAATAGAACCGCACGCATAGAGCATACGGAGCTTGTCAAGACATTCGCGCCGGGTGTTTGGCACTGCGTGTTTGATTTACACATTACAAGGTCTAGTAGCATAACATAAGCATATTATACATGAACTCATTCCAACACGCGCCAGGTCATAGATCGTAAACGCAGTCCGCCAAAATGCAATTGCCAACACTCCCCTTCCCGCTAATTAGGTATTTAGTTTAGAATCCAGTGGGTATCAATCAAAATTTTTAGTTGCTTCTTCTAAACTTGCTCGGAATATTATCTTCTACGATGGCCATCTTGTTCAGCTTCTCGAGCTTTTCCTCTTCGTCTTCTAGCATCTCGTGCTTCTTGAAGTGTTCGATGTCTTCAGGGTGTGTTAGGTCCTCGAGTTTGGTATTCTCGTCGTGATACTTCTCCCAATGGTGTATCTCGTACTCGTACTCATCGTCGCCGTGGTGTCCAGGTCCCGTTCCCATGTCTGGAAGCGTCTTCCCGGAGTTGATGAAAGCGACAAACTCGTCGCGCGTCACGAGCCCATCTCCATTGGCATCCAATAGGTGTAGTAGCTCGCGCTGAATCTCGTCGCGACGTGATTGCGGTACGCCCTTGTTCGATTCGTCCATCAATCCGTACGTGCGCAATATCTCCTCGGCTTCCCACTGGCCGTCGGCATCGTAGTCGTGCAGGACGAAGAAGGACGAGGCGTCGAAATCGCTGATATGGTGCTCCTCTGCAGTCATTGTTAGATTTGAGGAGATAGATGCACGAATAAGGAGCACGACATACCGGCCATGTGCTTCGTTATCCAGTTGGCGTTCTCGCCGATCATTGGCTTTTGCGATCCGCCGTGATCACCATGGCCGAGGACTTGACTAGCGAGGCCAGCTACAGCCAATATCGTAGCGCGCATTCTGATAGGATCTGTTGAGATTTATTAAATATTACCCTGATGACTGAAGGGATTAAAAGGCGGCGATTTGAGGATAAGGGAGTACGAAGAGTTAGAAGAAAAAGAGTTACGCGGAGTAGAACCGGGCAACCGGGGAAGTTGCATCCGTGGATCTGGCTCCAAGATAAGCTAAGGTGGATAGATAAGGGAAGTGAGATCATCGATCCCCAGTTATGATCCTGAAGTTTATCTGCAGTTTTCCTGCAGGGGCCGAACACGCTAAGATTAGCCTATCCGAGTCGCGTTCAGAGCAGGTACGGGGTTTGTTTTAGTGATCGTCCGGTCGTCTAAGCTTCCTTCGTCATTTTGGATTCTTCAACTTTCAACAACTTCTGAATTCGTCCTGCTTTTTATCCCACTGCATTTGAGCCTAGATATCTACGCTGTTACATCTTGCTTTTCCACTTGTCCTATTCCTAGTACCCTAAACCTAATTCCGATATGAGCCGCACTTTGGAACCAACCCTCCTTTCTCTACTACCTACCTACTCCAAAGACTTACCTCAACCTCTCCTCGAGCTCGCGTCTTCCTTGCTTACGCAGTCCCGCCACAGTGCTGGTGCGCTCAAAGCCGAAGAAGAAGTAGCTCGGACCTATGCATGTGCTCATATTGCTTGCGAACGTCTGAAGATAACCCTCGATCTTCCACCGATCCAACCCAGACCTCCCGTCCCACCTCGAATATATAAGAGACTATATACCCATCTTGACAATGTTTTGCCTGCAAATACTGTGGGAAAGTCAGGAAAAGTGCGGACCCCAAGCTCAAAGCTGCGCGAGTCGGGGAAATTAGGCGGCGCTCAACGAATTCCCTCCCGAGGCACGCCTACAAAGGAAGAATCGTTAGCTAAATTTCGGTCTCCCGCTGCAGTCAAGGTTAATAACACTCCGTCGAAGTCTTCAAGTAAGCCGCCACCGCTCCCGGCCAAGAGAAAAGCAGGTGGTAGTATAAGCGCACTGCCAGCTTGGGTTAGACCCACCATTCAGTTTATGTGTAAAGAGCTGGATGAAGAACGTATCGGACGAGTCGTCCTCGCCGGTATACAGACGATCGCTACCCCACATGGGAAGCGAACGAAAGACGAATGGGTTAATGAGCACCTGACACCATTGCTGGCGGCCGTGTATTTTCTCGTTTCGTCGCAAATATATGTGTTAGAGCAAGGAAAGGATTTGGACGATCCACAATACGCACGAATGCGAAAGTCGATTCTCAATGTTATGGGACGAGCACAGGAGAACGTTCACGTGACAGGGATGGATGAGGATGAGCTCTGGATCGGCTGGACAGACATCAAGTCGAGAGATGTAGACGGTGCCGTTGCCAAAGTGGTCGAGAATAACTGGCAGGAAGAAGAGTGGTTCGCTGGTATCAAGCACATGGTTAAAACAAAGAATATCAGTGTTGATGACGAAGATGCGGAAATGGAGAATGGCAACGAAGAACAATTTAGCGAAAGGCTTCATATCCAGAGGGGTGATACTATGCTTCAGAGCAAGTGGGATATGACCGATAAGAAGCGAGAGGAATACCGCTCGTGGAAAGAAGAAATGATGCGCCGAATCGAAGAGTTCGAACATTCTCAAACATCCGAGATAGATATCCATGCTTCCGCATAATAGTGACGTAAAGAGGAATGCCAGAAATCGCGAGTAGAGTCAAGGGTCAGGTAGGTAGGCAATAGGAATTTCCAAACTCACGTCCCCGTCTAGACTGATACTCCTGATAATTCAGGCAGCCGCCTCTTGTTCATTACACGCCCCGTATCGGTAGCCTTAGGAATTATATTCGACTACTTATTTTCTATATATTGCATCTCTAAGTCAACACCTAGGTCTTTTTGAAATTTCTAACCTTATGTAGTTGTCGATACCACCTCCTTCGTCTACCTCAACACGATGACGATGCTTGGGCCCTCAAGCTTTCTGCTTTTCGCTCGATTGCCGAAGGAGTTACGACTACTTGTGTGGGAGCAGTACGCTCTTCCAAGAGTGCCCGTGTATTACACCTGCTTCTCGCGGTACACGCCACTATATCCCGTGCTTTATCAGTCTAACTCCACAGTTCGATGCCTCATGCAGGTGAGTAGAGAGGCAAGATCTACAGTCTTGGGTAATCGGCAGCTTTATTATTTACAATATGGCCGACCTCCTGTCAGATCACGCCAACATGCATTGTTTTATGAAAATTTCCCTACAGCTGGTGAAAAGCGTGAACGTAACTGGACGGAGGGATATATGTTTGTGGACTTTGAGAAGGATATATTCTGCTTTGAATTTATACGCTCGATTGAGTTCCGCTGGCCGAAGCTACGCGGTTGGCCTATTATCAAAGAGCATATCAAAAATATGACCTTTGATCTCTCCTACGCCATTTCCATACTAGTACCACAATCAGTATTACGGGATGTATCGTTTTACTTGGAGTCTGCTTCCAGGGCTCTTATTAAGGACTTTTATCCACATCTTGGACCAGACCTGAAGTCCTTACGCCGCTTACAACTCATCTTTTCCCTCGAGCATATCCAGAGACTATATAGTCAGGACTGTTACGAAGATTCAGACACTGAAAGTACCAGTATATCACGACCTAGGGATATCGGTATTCTCTATATCCCTATATCAGCCAAACAACTTGCTCCTCTCATATTGGAGAGAAACCCAGCGCGGGTCGAGAGCGCTGAAAACTGGCGCCGTAACGTTCTATCGTACGAGACCAGCAGATTTGCTAGGGAGGTATCAACAATGGTTTCTAAATTGTGTGAGCGAGACGTTCGTGTTGATATCACCATAAAGAACTATAGCTTATCATTGGCTTATGACTCTGAAGCACCTAAATAACGAAGGCGGCCTTCTTGAGCTCATTCGAGTATAACGATAAATTTATATCTAGCCTACACCCAGATATAGGAACACTTGTATTTGAGAACAAAATCACTTAGGCCATAGTGAATTCTACTTGAGCTTGGACTTATATTTCTCTGCTTCTTCTTATAAGCCTATTGATACTATGAGATTGGCTTATATTCACACATTTAGGAATGTTAACAACGTGACTTTGGTTAAATATTTTCATTGCTATTGACTGAATATACACGTATTCGTACCTATCGGCAGTTTGGTATATACCTATATATTACACCCCTTTTCTTGTCTCGTTTCCACGGCCGACCGTATCCTGGACAGTTCCGCCAACGGACCCCTTATCGGTGAACTGGCGTCCGATTACACCCTCTTTCGAGAATGGGCCACCAATCTTATTCGCTGTACCACCGATCGCGCCCTCGGACTAGACGCTCAAGATGTGTTAGCTAATATTTATAGCTTATATACTAGATAAAGAACTTGCGATATGGGAATGGAAATAGAGAAGTCGGTATCCACGTACCGTGAATTGATGTCCGATAGAACCTTGGGTATCGAATGCCGAGGCCTTAGTTGTCGAGTCTGAGCCTGGCTCTGGACCTAAGTAATTCCCGGTAGCAGGGAACTTGTCGAACCTCGAGTGTTTATCTGTCCTCCCTCCAGTACTCTCCGAGCGAGAGTCGTTGCCACCGCTGTTCTGCATACTCTGCCCACTCTGCCCAACGCTTCCCGGGTCACCACCTCCAACAGCCTTCTTCAATGGTCCCGGAAGATGAGGGGTGTTGTCGCCAGCGGACTTCACGGCACTGAAGATACCACCACGTTCCTTGTTACTATGGCCCTTGTACCCCGGCATCACGGACTCGAGCACGCCACCGCCATCGGACCGGCCGTTGCGGTGGGTCTGCGGGGCCTCTTGCGATTCGTCGTAGTCCCGGTGCCCCGGTTCCATAGTCTCCTCGACGCCGCCGTGCCGCCCGTCGTGTGTGAAATCGCCATGGAAGCCTGGGCCCTGGTGTTGCTGCCTCTTGGCGTCGCCTGGTTTGAGGGCTTCCTTGAGGGTACCCAAGAGGGATTTGCCCTGGTTTTGGTCGGGAACCTATCACCTCGGACCTTTATGTTAGTTGTGGCTGCTTTATTGGTGGTATCGGGATCGGTGGGCAGATGGGAAGACGTACGTATCCGGCCGCTGTACCTTTAGGGTCCGGGTCGTCCGATGGATCCACGTTCTGCTGTGCCGCTGTGGCTCCGTGGTTTCGTCCCCAGATCGGGTTTCCGCCCGTGCCGCCGGTCGACATGATTATGAGTTGACAGGTTGGGTAAGTCGATCTTTCTTATTTTCACATATACTGCTTCTTGAATCGTAAATCAAGAATTCCAATGATAGAATCAAAATACCATTTCCGATCTAACACAACTATTTATATGGCTACCCTTTTAAAACTTTCAATATAAGTGTCTCCATCTTTTCACGTCATAGTGATACGCTCAATACCTGGAGGAGATCTCATCGTCTTAACTTAAACCGTATTGACGCGCCGGGATGATGTAAAAGTACAGAAACGATTCATGGGCTCCCATGGTTACTTGCCGAGGGGAACGCATATTGGGGGAGGATGATCAACATTTGATCGAGATGTCTTGCGCATCCAATGAGAATAGTTGTAACATTGAGTCAGTATCTCCAACGTGCATTCTAGCCAGCCTTATAACCTAGACACATTCGGTGTTTGATCTATTTTTAATTACTTCGTTCTTTTTTCAGATCTGCAAGTTAGATATCCAGCCCGCCAATTCGCTTATAGGAACCTGAAGTATAAGAGACCTATCACAAAGCCTCCCACCCTGACATGCAGGACTTCCACCCTATTCCACCCTATAGGCTTATTCCTGCAGCATGTATCCCCAAAGTTCCTACCCATAGCCTCACACAATCCTCTCACAACAAAGCCCACGGCCGGACACAAGAAGCTATGGATACCCATCACTTGGACTTGGGGATTTGTTCATCCTTTAACCAATTATAGCCCAGCATTCTTCAACATTCTTACCCTTGAGCATCGCGCAGCCATGGACGAGCACGGACAGGTACCTAACCTCTACTCAGGCAGCAATGCCTCTCCCGACCTTCCTAATGACAACTTTACCATTCGCTGGGTTTCAGGTGACCAACAGGACGCCATGCAGGATATGCCTCCACCAATCACCCACTCTTCACTCACACGACCGGGTGAAGAAGGGTAAGGGTTTTTTTTTTTACTGCTAACTTTTGGGGCTCCGCGTGGTCCCGTGGCGTCTTTAGATGTATTGAGTGCTACGGCATATTTCCGAATCACACCCAACTAAACAAGCATGCAAAAGACGCATCTCACAAACCATACGGTTGCACCTGCGGAGCTAAATTTAGTCGACTAGACGCCCTCACACGACATGTTAATACTCGGTCTAATAACGTTCCCCAGTATCCGTGCTCATACTGCAAGCACCATCAGGGGGCTAACGGGTTTCGCCGCCTTGACCACCTAGTCCAGCACTTGAAAGGCTTCCACAAAATCGACACCGAAGACAAGCTGCCGAAGCAGAGGACAGGAGGCCCTCGTGCTGCTGTCGCTTCTGTGGCTGGAAGAGCAACTGTCGCCAATGAAGATAATACTGGCGTTGTTTCGCTGCCTCAGATTCCCCCTTTCCCTTGCACTGTCATCGGATGCATCAAGGGGGGTGCAAACGGCTATCTTCGGGAGATGGACCTCCTTGAGCATCAGAACATGATGCACGCTTTCATGCTGCAGAGCGACATGCAGTTCTATCAGCAAGATGGATCTTCCCAGTTCCATTTCTAAGAGATCATGACTCTGGCTTATAGAACACATTTGAATTTGAGACTACGCTGGGGAATGACTACAATTGACGAACACTCGTTTACTTCGAAGTTATGAATCGGATGGGCTTGATAGTTACAGCAACACTACACTCTTTATACTCAAAGGCAACCTCAATATAACATTTTGAGACATATATGCTATTACCATAACGTGATAAAGCTTAGTTCTATGAAGCTGTGTCCGGCGAAAATAGTAGATACCGCAGCGAAAAGAGGGAACGGGAAATAGGGGTAAAGGGGGGTGACTCCACTTCCGACTCCAGTAAGAAGAGTTACTAACTCGCTTTGAATGCGGACACTATTGCTAGACGCGAATTAGCATTAATATAGATCGTTCGTCTTTCTACTAGGCTGTACGTGTTATCTTCCGTGTAGCATTAGATACTGGTATGAGCTTGTATAGATTCTTGGCACAGAGTGGTTTATAACTGTTACGTTACGTAGAACATAGAGTGGTATACCAGTACCAAGTAGCTTCCCCTTTTACTACCAAGTTTCAATAGAAGTATATAAAAGGCAACCATAGACAATTGGTACTCGAGGACAATCTACCTTAGGTACTCACTAGCCTAGGTACCCATGGGATACTACGCTACTCATACCTTTCAATCGTTCCAGCTATCCCTAAAGCATCCACGCAAGAAGTAAGGAGAGTAATACACATAAATAATATTACGAACCCCTCTCTAGTTTCCTAACCTATGATACAAGGAACCGCATCACACAAGGCTCTAAGCCAAACCCATATGCCGCCGTCAAACGCCAAAAGAATCGGACAAGCTGAATCACCAGACGTTCCAAATAGAACGACAGACTCATATCTGCAAGTACGAAAGCATTCATATCCCATCCCCCGCCACATTTAAACAGCGCTGTAGCCCCCGCGACTCCCGCTTCCCTGCACTGTATTAAGCACCCTCCTAGTCCAGTCCTTAAGTAGGTACGGGATGTCGCGGATAGTATCGCCGTGCGGGATGAGGTCCCAGCCCCGAGCTCCGTAGCGATTGTAGTTCAGCCACGAACCAAAGACAAGATAGGCCGCGGTTCCAAGGAAGACGCTAAATATTGTAATTAGTATGTTGTAGAACCTAACATATCCGACGCTCTGGATAAAATAACGGCATCACTTACATGATAACTAGCCACGTGAAGAAACCCCAGTGCGAACTTGGGCTTTCACCCGAGTCATCGTTGTCTCTGTTTTCGCAAGCGTATTTAGATAACCAGGTCAACCGTAGAACGTCGATATTCGTATCATCGCTAAGCGGTTCGTAGCTGTTGAATTTCAAACTCGGGTCATTCTCAAGGCCTAGCTGAACCTCTTTAGGTGGCTCGTCGTCACCATCACCGTCACCATCACCATTGTCATCTCCGCCATCTCCGTCGCCGTCCTCGGCTCGAAATAGGAGCGGATTTACCCGAGCCATGGCCGCGTCGGGGCTAGGTTCATATTTATCGTCGGTAGGATCGTATTCGCCTTCGGTCCCGTTGCGATCTTTGTCGCAGAGGAATTCTATAATGGCTCTCTGCCTTCGTTTGACTCCGCTATCTGTCCTGTCGAAGCCGCCCTTCATCACTAGGAGCACACCCTCCTTCTTCGAGTCCGAATTCGAATCCGAGGTCTTGAGCCGTGTCACCTCATGATCCAAGTCACCACCGCCATGGTCTCTCAATTCGCCGGCGATCGGGATGGCTTTGTCGATATGGTCGTCTACGCGTTTGATGGCGCATACTCGAGTTCCATTAGGACATTCTTCGCCCTTTTTTGCACCTTTCTTCTTGCCAAGAGATCGACAAATATCTACGGTATACGTCATATTATGAACTTTGCCGTCTAGGATGCGACTCGTCATGATGGAGTGCGGGCCTCCGAGAGCCTTAAGGTTAAATATTTGCTTATCAGCAACGACGGATTCGCAGTTGAGCATTGCAATCGTTGGTAGAGGAGCTACTAAGAAGAATAGAAGCAGTACGGCATCTGCCGCATGTATCGTGGGGACTTTCATGGTGTAGGGATAATTCGCTAACGCGGTCGGGTCTTTCGGTACTGGAAGGAAGTCGAGCTGCGCAGGTTGAGGATGCAGGAGGCAGGACGCAAAAGGATATTAGAGACTGAATTTAATAGTTGGAAGTTGATGGATAAACTGGATAAATTGGACGTGGTCGGGGCCTCAAAGTTTAAGTCTTCGGGGGATTGATTCAAAATGCGCGTGTTGTTAACTGTCACGATGTGACGATGTGACGATTTGATAAAAACAATAAAAAGTGACGAAGGAAAGGTTACGAATAATGATAAAAATAAGAAATCTACCCAAGTATCAGATGAGCTTTAATCAAAAAGGTAGATGGCCAAGTCCTCTTTTTTTGCGATACGGATCTCACATGCACAGATGCATAGATGCCCTGATGCCCTGATGTCCTCGATGCTGGTGAGCTAAAGTAAGGTAGCGTGCACTTGGCTGAGCGGTACTTGAAGCTTGTTGGGTTTTCGGCTGCTCTTCTTTGCGGCTCGTCGTCATAGGTCTACAGGGGTTACAGCTTAAAATTACCAACGCTTACGTAAATATGGTACCTGCACTTGCATCGTAACACTCACGTGACACCCTTTCTGTTGACCCGTCAAGTTCGTTCTACTATGTAGTACGTAGTTACTCGGAACAACAGCGTAGGATTAGGTTATACAACACCAAAACAGGTCGGAAGAGTCCAATGGGATATTGAAGGTCAATACAAATTTTGATTCTACGATTCTTATTTAAAGGATCCCTTCCATCCAACATGTTCTGTTGTTCGTGATCCCGTAGCAAACTAGCGAAATGGGTATAATAGAAATAAACCTGACCCGCCTGGTCCGAGGGGATACCCCGATAATGCTACGGCTTTGTAGCCTTGTACGCCCCCATTACTCCTATGAACGCCATATAAGTCGCACGTATAAATGGCACCCCATCTGATGCTACCCCGAGCCCCTTTGTTTGTACAATTCCAACGCAGACGTGGTTGAGATCACAACATTTCTACTATGTATCTCGGCCACCGTCCCTTATTACATCATTCCGTTCATCCCATTCATCCCGTTTTGCATACCACCTTGCATCCCATTCGGCATCCCGTTCGGCATTCCGTTCTGCATCCCGTTCTGCATGCCATTCTGCATGTTTTGAGTCATTTGCTGCCGCCGTTGAGCAATATCACGCTGTAACGACTCTTGGGCTTTCCTCAAGCAGTTCTGTTTGAACTGCTCGTGAAGGTCGGGCGGTACGCTCTGGGGGCCGCCAAACCGTTCTGCCCACTGTGCGAAATGCGCGCGGTAGAATTGCTGCTGCCTCTGCCGTATCTGTATCGCGAAAGGGTTCTGTCCATTTCCCGGGTGCTGACCTTGTTGCTGTTGCTGTTGCTGTTGCATCTGCTGCTGCATCTGCTGCATGGCAGCTATCTGAGCGGGGTTCATTCCGTTGCCAGTGTTCATAAAATTCTGGTTGCCCATTTGCTGGGTGGGCATCTGCCCTTGCATTTGTGGATGCTGTTGCTGCTGCTGCTGCTGCTGCTGCTGCTGCATGCTGCTCATCTGCTGCTGGTATCGATGAAGCTGTGCCTGCTGGGCAGCACTCAGCATATTGGGATTTTGCATGCTCATGTTCATCATCTGCTGGCGCATATATTGATTCTGTAACATTTGGTTATGCATTGCTGGATTCTGCCTATTCATCATCCCATTCTGCATAGCTTGTAGCTGTTGCTGTTGAGCAATCTGTTGACGCTGCTGCTGCTGTATTTGAGCTACCATCATCTGGTTAGGTATAGGCTGGCCCATATTCTGATTGCCCATAAGCATTTGACCCATATGTGAATTCTGGGCCATCATGCCCGGGGGTGAACTGGCTTGGCTCATCCGGGGCGTGGGCATCGGTCGATTGATCGGGGTAGCGTGCGACATTTGTGGTGTCGCGCTCGGCATACGAGGCGTGTTCGAGGGATGACTTTGCTGACTACCCCTTGCAGACATGCTAACTGCCATGGGTGCAGACATTGGCCCGTGGCTCTGCACGACAGAGGACGGCCTTTGAGGACTGGCGCCCATACCCGAATTAGTCTGTTGCATCGGCGCATTTCCAACCATAGGGCTCGACATGTTTTGCGGTGTGTTCTGGCGAACGACCGGAGATGAGACAGGCGCTTGTGAGACCTGCTGTGGGAACCTGTGAGGAGCCTGAGCCGACATGACACCGTTAGCAAGCCCGTTTTGCACAGGGTGTCCGTGAGACGATTGTGGTATTTGGTTTAATTGCGCGTTTGGAGGCGATTGTGCGGCCTGAGCCTGAGCCTGTGCCTGTGCCTGAGCCTGAGCCTGTTGTGCCTGTTGTGCTTGAACCTGAGCTTGGGCCTGTTGGGCTTGGGCCTGCTGCTGGGCTATAGCACGTCGCTGTGCTTCCTGCTGCTGCTGCTGCCGTATCTGCGCTTGCCGCTGAGCTTCCTCGCGGCGTGACTTTTCTTGTTCGGCTTGCTGCCGTTGTAGTAATGCGGCCTGTTCCTGCTTCTGGATTTGAAGTTTGCGCTCATTTTCTGCCTGCTGAATCTTCTCCTGTTCTTTCTTCGCCTTATGCGCACTCTTGATATCTGCAAGAACCTTGAATCTCTCGAAGCGAGGCTCAAAAGTGGCTGCACCAGATTGACCGTCACCATCGGCACCATCAGCACCAGTCTGGGCACCGCCAGTATTAGCGGAGCGGCGCTCATCGTATGTAAGCATATATTTCTCTTGCTCTGCAGCCAGGGCCTCGTCAGCGGCCCTTTCAGCTACAGTCCGTTTCCGAGCCTTTGGCTCAGGCGGAGGCTCCGAGTGTTTCGGATCAGCCATGCGCTTGAGCAGGAGCGCGACGGCATCCTCTCTATTTTTGGGTACGTCTAAGTTTAGCGGAGCCGAGGTCGCGAGTAGGATCTGTGCCTCAGCCGCATATATATTGCTCCCATCCAGTTCCATCTTTTCTCGTTTTACTTTCTTAGCCGGCGGTGGCATATTCGCTGCAGTTGGAGTTGGAGGCACAGCAGATATCGGGGTGGGCGGTACGCCATTAGAATCCCCACCGGCCTTCGCATCACCAGATCCACGTGGCGTACACGCTTTAATCATCAAGTCCATGTGTAAACTCTGCGGGGTTGGATGAAGGACGACTGTAAAGATTTTAACTTCCGCCTGTGCCTTAGCTTTCTGCCCATCAGTAGTAGGAGCAGGTGGGGCCGGCATGTTCTCTTTATCGTTAGAATCGTTATGCGCGGGCTTTACGTCGCCTTCTTGAAGGCCATTTTCGGCGCTGTCCTTGGGAAATGGGACGTAGGGAGAGGGCGTAATATAAGGGTTATAGTTATGGATCGAGGAGGGCTTCTCTGAGGTAGATTTAGAGGCAGGACGCGCAACGTCCTTAGCCTGCGCAGCAGTCTTATGGTCATGTACTTGTACGATTAGGCAACCCTCGTAAAAAGCAACGCCGGCTTCGTTAAGATCCTGTAACATGTCGTGTGGTACTGTTCGGTTTCTGACGTGATCTAAAAAGGCCCTCATCGGAGACTTGTACGAAAAAACGCTATCTTGCATATCGAATCGAAAATGATTGGGATATAGATGCACGATCAGCGACGGGGGGTGCCCGGCATATTTCTTTAGAATATAGGAATCGGTGACAACTACGAGTATGTTAGTATAAAATGCGAATATTAGATAGGCGATTGTTGTGGAGTACGCACCATCTGGACGCGGCTCAAACGATCTATGTAACGACGTGTCGGGAGCCAATGTAGCTGACCTCAGAGACGCATTATTCCTCTGATTACGTCCTGGAACCTGATTAGATGTATCGCGTCTCGAACGGGCTACGCCGGGTCGATGAGCAGTCCCGTTAGTGCCGTTTGTTGCGGATGAGTTCGATGCATGTTGCTGTTGCTGCTGTTTGGCCACGGCAGGTGGAGGACGCTTAGCAGTCATATTTGGAGACGGAGAAGATTGCAATGAAGATACGCCATTTGTCTGGATACCGGGCGGCGGTGGACGTTTAATCTTGGGGGTCGGCGGTGGAGGAGCAACGGCAGCGACGACTGGAGCCATAGTTGATATAGGGCCCTGCGCGCTACGAAGCGACCAAATGACGCTCAATCAGTAGCGGCTAGGGACTAAGAGTATGGCCAAGTTCTCTTTTGCTATGGACATTGATCGCGACGTAGTTTCGACGTGTAGATTTGCTTAACAATTTGAGATGCGCGCGCGACGAGCAGGAAGATGATTGACAAAACGTCGCTCTTCTAACCGAATTATGAATTACATTGAATGATGCTCTAGGAATATGCGACGATGGATGTGCGGCGCATCTGGGAAGAATCCCGATAATACAAGGACGAAATTGTTGTTGAATGCTTTGTGTGGGGTTGAACGTATGTTATATAGTACGTATGTTAGTGACGGAAAGAAGTTGGAACTTCGACTCTGGCATAAATCGCTAATTTGAATTGAGCCTCATCAGCCGCATTGATGACATTAGAAGGTAAAATGTACAAGTGGCTCCACCTTACCTTTCATCTGGCAGGTATTATTCTCAGCCTCACGTGATTACACCACCAGGTATGTTACATGTAAACCTACCCGATACCAGCATAAAATATGTACCTACCTAGGTTACAGACAAGAAATAAATGCGCAATACAATACCAGGTACTATGTAAGTTCAATGACTCCAAAACATATATTTATTACTTCCCAACTGAAGCGCAACCAACCCAAGGATATAGAAGCGGTAAATCATATATCTACCATGGCGTAACCTAGCGTCAATATTCCACATAGAAATCGTAAAGAAAAGTCACCAGTTCATGCATGCTGCTCGTGTCACCATTCGTAGAGTGATATCTTATAAGATATCATCACTCTTTACCTTGCACCCGCCGCGCCCAATCGTCGCCAACCCTTAGACTATCCACCACTACAACACCTCTTCCTCGTCCTACCCGTTCCTCCCGCTGCCACCATAGGTCATTCTTCTTTTTGGTCTCCTTCTCCGGGTTTTCGGCCTCCGACTCGCTATCCGCGAGCCCGCCATGACCATCATCAGCTCCGACGACAAGAATAACGTCGTACTTAAGCCAGGTCTGTAATTGGGTAATTACACCTCCGTTGTCTCCGGCTAGAGATTCCTGGAGGTATATTACCTCGGGTTGTAGGTGGCGAAGAATATGAACGTGACCGTTAGGGGAAGTAAACGGTAAGATCATCGCTTCCTTTTCTACTAAGCCCATGGCCTGTGAATAAACCGAATTGAAGGGTGTGTTGGGGGTGTTAGAGCTTAAACTGGATCCTAAGTCAGCAAATACATACTAAGCGCTTAATCGTAATATCCACGTACATAGGGCTTTTGTCCTCCTCCCCTGGGGTTTGACTCTGTTCATTCGCAATATTTGAGAATGATGAACTTAAAGATGCCGGAGGAAGGTTATTAGTTGATGCGTCAAGAGCGGAATCCTTGAGGCCGGGTGCATAGATCAAGACAAACAGCTTGATCGTAGAAAAATCTATATTACGAGGTATATGGGACAGGATAGACTAGAAACAAGTTAGCAACTAAGTACGCAAATCAAAATAAGGGCGACATCATACAGCATGCTCGTGGAAGCCTTCCGCATCAAGATCGGCTGTATTTGTATTTGCCGAGACCACGATCGCAACCGTTTTCCGGCGCTTAGTCGAGTCTCTCAGCTGAGGTGGGGCCGGCTTTTCCTTTCGAGCTTCGGCTTCTTCTGACCAAGTCTCGTGGTCGGCATATGCGTCCTTATCATCTCGTATAGTAGCTAAGGCGCTACTAACGGCCGCCCCAACTCCCGCCACTCCTGCCGTAAAGGTCTTGCTTGCGCTAGAGAAAAACTGCTGTGGGCTTGGTGTACGTCGCGAGCCCCATCCGGCAGAAACGCCGCTTGCCTCTGGATGTATTTCTCCCACGCCGTAGCTTACATCATCAGGCCGGATAGGAGGACGCGAGTCTCTTCCGGTCGCGCCATACGGGGGATTCTCGCCATAATCGGCATTTTCGTAGTCGAGATCGGTCGGCTCAACATCGCTCTCCTCGTCTTCGCGTTCGTTATTCCGTTGGCTCCATGCCCAAGCGGCAACACCGACAGTCGCAACAGTAAGAGTAACGACAATAGGAACCCAGGGGCCCCAGATACCCCTCCGGCGGGATCTCGAAGAATCGTACGACGACGACATTTATTCAAATAAGATCATCGCAAGATCGTGGCCGGCATACCACGCGCGAAGCGGTGGAGTAAGCAAAAGTATAATGCGAATCACGACGCAAGAAATCTGGACGCGATCCGAGAAGCTTTGGTCGCAATTACGTAGATCGCCTATGGGTAAAGTACCTAAGTAAGTTCGATAACGGATAATTTAAATGGAAGTAAGAAGATGTTAAAGTTGGAAGTGTTGCTGAATATTCCGTACAGCCTTCGAAAAATAGCGGGCTGGGGAAAGCAGTACCTAACACCTAACCTAATAGGAACGAACAGAGAGGGACGAACAGGGGTTGGGGCTACGTGTAAGAGCGCCTTCTGTATTGTACACTATGTACAATAACAACAGCTAAAAGCAGCGGTGGCAACGATAGTCGTAGGTATTCCGTAGTGTCAATAATGCTAACAACCTCTTAGGTAATAGCAAGTAACCTAGTATATTAGGTAGATTTAGGTATATCCCGCAGCAGAAGAAAATACGGTCAACTCTTGCAACTCTTTGATGTTATGTACAATTCTTCGACGTTCGAAGCAAAACTGCCCGATTACCAAGTGGAACAGGTGGACTGAGGTGGCTGGTCGTAGCTTTCTCTGAGCTGCTGACCCCCTGAAGGAAATCCATTGGTACTCCGGGGCACGGCTAAGCTTGCTGTTTTGATTGGTTGGAGGGGAAACGCTTCACCTGGAGCTTCCATTAATGGTCCTGAATGGTCCGCAGCATAATTGGACACAGACCGACAGACCGATAATCGCGGGCAGTGGGTCTTATGTTGTTATCGATTAGGTACTTAGATACATAACCACATGCCATATGCAGATAAGAGCTATCGCTACCTAGGTACCTACGTATTTTCGATATTGATAGCATTCAATGATAAGTCGATATATCGTGAGTGACTCAAAAGTTCCAATTATTGATGAGAAGTAACATATTCTCTGTTACTCTTCATCGAAATCCAATCCAACCTCTCTTCCTCCGAGCTCTACCAATGTAAATTAAGGCCCAGTAAATATGAAATTCTTCAACAATTATTTAAAAAACTAACATTTTACTAGACTACTACATCTCATCCGAGGTCCTTGGTTCTCATCAACCCCTCCATCAGGCCTCGGTCTCGGCTGGGCTGTACTCGAAATGCCCCACGCCGTCTCTATGCCTGCGACGGGCCTTCAGGCCCTCATCCTCTGCGGCCCGGGGTCCTCATTTCCGACCTTTACATCTAACCCGGATGAGAATCCCAAAGCCTTATTACCCATTGCCAATAGGCCTATGGTCTGGTACCCCATTGATTTCTGCTATCGCACGGGAATCACAAGTAAGCATCTTCATGTCATTTATAACTAGCGCGCTGTAGTAGTAGGAGTTCTATTTTATACTCACATTACCTCGTGATCGTTGCTCTCTATCACATAACCATAGATTAACGATTAACATGGCTTAGGTATTACTCTTGTTTGTCCTCCTTCCGCCGCCGACGCTATTACCACGGCGCTGAACACAAATCCCTTCCTCACGGGTTTACCTCACCCGCGCCCAGACCTCGTAGCACCCAGTGGGCTTGATCAGAACACAGGCACCGCAGAGATATTGCGACTCCCTGAGATTCGAGAGCTCATTACCTCTGACTTCGTCGTCTTACCATGTGATTTGGTATGTGAGCTAGGCGGCGATAAGCTTCTGCAAGCATGGATGGTCAAAGCAGCGAGTCTTCCGGATATCCTTAGTGACGGCGAGCCGCCGTACTGCAATGGTGGTTTAAGCGTATGGTACGAAACGAAGACGGCCAACCCTATCAAAGGTGAAGAAACAGATTTCATCGTAACAGCACCGATAACCGCACCTACGGCACCCACATCCAAGGATTCACTACTGCCGCATCTCTCGTACTTGACCTACGCCATGCCCAAGGATTCTCTAAACGATCTCGTGGATGAGAAGAAGAGCTTTCCAATACGCCATGGATTGTTGCGCAGTCATCCTAAAATCAGAATGCTAACAACACACCGGGACGCACACATTTATATTCTACCCAAATGGATTTTAGACTTCATTGAACAGAACGAGCGGCTAGAGACACTTGGCGAAGACGTCATCGGCTGGTGGGCAAAAACAAATTGGGAGACAGGGCTATTCGGGAAACTAGGGATGAAAAAGGTCATCGAGGGCCACACCAAGGAGCCGGACATAAATAGATCGCCACGTGGTAATGAATCCGCGGTAGACGCCAGCCTTGTCGACTCCCCGTGGAGAGCACGCGAATCCCATGAGACGTCTCCTCACGCAGACTTCCGGAACAAGCAGCATGACGGACTACTAGCCAAGCTGAAGGAGCCTGTCGTTCCCCCGATCCTAGCATATATCCACCCTACTCATGCCGATGCCCCACTACTCCGTCGAGTAGATACAGCACAGCTTCTCCTTGCCGTATCACTACAGCTGGCAAAACTTCCTGCCGTCGAGGAAACTGGCCCCGAAGCGGCATCGCCATTTGCCCATTCTAGAAAGGTTGCATACCCTGAGGGTGTCAAGCCGCGGACGACCATAACCAGGCAGGATTGCTTGATTGCCGACAATGTAATGGTGGAAGAAAAGACGTCGATCAAAGAGAGCGTCATTGGAGCAAACTGTCAGATTAAGGAGGGTGCCAAGTTGTTCCAATGTCTGCTTATGGACGGTGTGGTGGTGGGTAAAGGCTGCAAACTAACTCGCTGCATCCTAGGCAAGAGGAGCGAGGTTGGTGAGGGTTCGACACTCACGGATTGTGAGGTACAAGAGAATTTGTTGGTAGAGCCCAAAAGTACGTTTCAATCCTTCCAATCCCGATTTCCACAAGGCGGTGTAATAATAGCTAACATCATTATAGCTGAGGATAAGGACAGCAAACTCATGAGCTCTTCTGGGATGGAGGCCAGTGAGCTGGAGATGCGGGAGGCATTAGACGACTTTGATGAAAGTGACAGGGATAGTGCCATGTGAGGGTAGGCAAATTAAGAAATAACCGCGGTCCAGGCTACCGGTAGCCAATACGGCGGGCAATGAAATGTGCAAGAATATCCCGGATACATAGGCTCCAACCCACCATCACTCCATCACTCCATCTAACCAATCACGCTTAGTTGATATGTGCCATGAGGAAATATATCACAACTATTTCCCTAGTGAAGGCTGTGACAAGACATTAGATATGTCCACTAACCTTAATATGTTAGTGTGGTAAGAAAATGAGTAAAGCTTTCCT